AGAAAATAGAAAAATAATGAATTATGTAATAAAAAAAATGTGATAGATAAAATGAAAAATCATGTAAAATATAAGTATAAAATTATAAGAGTAAAAAAAATTTGCAAACACCATGAATTTTATTTTAAAAAGAAAAAAAGAACATTAAAAAAATATGAACACAATATTTTAAATTTAGCTAGTTTATTTATGCTGGAGTGTGTATATGTCGGTATATATATAATTATTCTTATTTTAAAATTTTATCTAAATTATATCTGTTCTTTTTTGTTAATCAAACTAACAGTTCAGAGAAATATTTAAAAGTTAATTGAATAATAGTGAAACATTATTAAAATGACAATAAATATTATCATTTATGCTTAACTTGGTAGATCAAACAAGATTTTTTGTACTATACTAACGTTTTGTTAATATATATTCTCATAATTGATAGTAAGGAATAAAAAAGCATTGATTATTTATCTTAATTATTTCAAAAACATATGTTTGAGTTTTTTAAGATGAAAAATATATTAATTTAATAATTTTTCTTTTGTTTATCTTTTATTATCATAAAAAGGCTTAAAGTGATGGGATATACATATCAAAGTGTATTTAAGAAGAATGAAAGGCACAACGTGTGACGACAAAAAAAAAAAGAAGGAGAAAGATAAATTCAACTAATTTAGACTTGAGCTATAGTGTGTACATTAATTCATATTTGTTTCTGGTTAAAATAGTTTTTTAGTCCTATACTTGACACAAATTTCTAATTTAGTCTCCATATTTTAAAAAATTATAAATAAGTTTTTATACAAATTTAGTTTCAATTTAGTTTCATTCATTACTTTTGATCTTAACATTATTTAATATATTTGCAATCTAGCTAATCGATCTAACATGGTTTTATATATACTTTACCATTTTAATTATTTTGCTCTTTAAATCAAAACTTATACTTTCATAACATATTAAAATACATTGTATATTTGAAATGGGTGAAGTATTACTAGATATTTAACTCCACAATTTATAACCACGTGAATCCACCTCAAATATATTCATTTAAAGGCAACTTTTGCTTCAACCTACTCTACCCCACCAATACATACTTCAAACTACAATCAAACTTTAAGCTTTAAACTCCATAGATTATGCAAAAGTAAAAACTTAGCACCACCATTATCGTAATGCAGCTTGATAACAATGTTATCATCTTGTACTTGTATACTAATTTTCTCATCTTTATAAGATTATTTTACTGTTTGTTAATTGTCTCCACTGCACGATCAAAAAATGATTCATCCACCCATTGAAAAACAACCACATCTCCATTCTTCCTACACGAACAAAATAAAACAAACATGAAAAATCTATAATAGAACAAGATGAAAAGATTATATTAAAACAAAATGAAAACACGATAAAACCATAAAAAAATAAAATGAAAGTACTAACCCGACAACTTACTTTAAAATTTGAACACCTACAAAATCTTCTTCTTGAATTTTGAGGAGTCTCATATGTGTAAATCTTCACCTGACCTCCACAATCTTAGAATAACACTATATTTCTCTTCCTTGAAGTAAAAATGCTTAATACAATAGTCTCCATTTTTACTCTTTTGCAAGCAAAAGAAGGAAGACTGGCATAGAAGGCACGATTTACACAATTTAATTTAAAAATTTTTTATTAGCATATTGTTTTAGCGATTTAATTATTTATACGTTGCATTTATTTTACATATTGACAATGTTCATAAACGATATTAAGATTGAAAGTAATAACAAAAACTAAATTAAGATTAAACTTATGTACAAAGATTTATTTATAATTTTTTAATATATATATAAATTAAATTACAAATTCATGTCAGAGGATTAAAAAAGTATTTAAACCTTGTTTTCTCCTAATTCTACTAAAGATTGTTATATATAAATTAAAGTAAAAAAATGTTAGCATAAAACTATAATTGAGATCATAAGTAGTTCGAATATTAATTTTAGTTTAAATTTTAGTAGTTTATATATTTAACTCTTATTTACAAATTCATGACTTTGTAAACATTTTAATATAATTAAGATGTATTTTATATACTTTTGGAAACAAAACATGGAACAATACAATGAATGGGTGGTTAATCTTGAAAACTACAATTGTGTACGGACGTATAATTTTCGTGGTTTTTAAGGTAGAATATTTTCTGGCTCCTTAAAAATTTGACCACCTTTCAGTTGATGTGATCGATTTTATTTTTAAATTTGAGTCTTTAAATTATTTTAGCATGTCAATTGAAATCAATTTCGTATATAACTATCAAAACATAGAAATTGTTGAATACGTGTACATATATATGAGCTTATACGAAAAATTGGTATACCATCAAGAACTAGTCCTGATTCATGTCTTGTTTTTGTATCTGAAATTAGATTCAGTTGAGGTTTATATTGCTTTGAATATCCATTATAAATACTAAATAATGATTTAATCTAGCAACTCTTTAGTAGAATAAATAATAAAACTGCTCTATTAATCATAGGTTGAGTATGGAATTAGCTCTAACACAAGTAACACTATTTATAGATGGGCCATTTATCGCAGGCTTAATCTTCTGGTAACTTTTAAAAGGCCCATATGGGTATTTTGTTTTTGGTATTTTTATACTTTTGGTCAATACCCATATTTGAGTCACTTTCTTTGAAATAAACGTTGGGTGGGCCAAGAAGTATTTGGGGTGCTTGCTCTTTCATACGTCCGTTTCTTCAATGTTGATTACTTAGTTTTAAAATGTTGTCTTGACCCAGAAAACGATGTAGTCAAGTTCAAAAAATGTAGATTATGTAAAAAAAATAATGAATCAGATAAATAACAATGAACACTCTTTCTCCATTTAAAAATTATTGAAAACAATATTCAGTTTTTCAATTAATGTAGTATAGTACAAAGAATGCATACAATTCTCCAAAGTTCGATTTTTCAAACAGAACTACGTCATTTTTTTAAAATTTTATCAAGGTATCTTATCTTTTATTTAACATATTCTTTATAAAACATTACTAATAGAATATGAGTCTAATAAGGTGTTGTTTCTGAATAAACAAATGAAAGGCCAACAATAATGTTAAATCCGAGACGCACGAAGACTATAGACAATCATATAGGATGTCAATAATGCTAAACTACCTTTCTGTTCAACCATACCAACACACAGTGTTTAACAATCAAACTATGCTGATCACCAATTAATTAGTAATTCACAATCAACTTTATATATAAATAAAAGACTAGTGGCTGAGAAATAATTGAGACCCATATATAATTTCACTTCAAAGAACAACTAAAATTTATGGGGTATTTGGTTTTTCATCATTAAGAATCTCTAAAGCTATAATTTAGACAAAAAGAATAGATATAAGAGACAAACATTTATTCTGAATAGAGAAAAGAAAAAGCATGGTGATGGTAATTAATTAATTGCGAATGGAGTAGACGTCTAGTTATAGCAGCTGTACAATCCTTACACGACAGAGAGACGTGAAATCGTGAATTTTGTGATTGACTGATAATATAATGAAAATGGTGGTGCCATAATAACACGCCAACCCCAGACAGAATGTGACTTTGCAGCTGACACTTGCATGCATGCGGCAATCAAGAAGGGCCGTTCAGTGGACAAATTATTATTAGGATAATCTTTGCTGTACACTCTTTTTTAGTGTAAAAGATAAGAAGATATATATATATATATATACACACACATTATGTAAAAGTTATTTTTATTTTTATTTTATATTTTATATTTGTAACTAATTTAAAAAATTGTTATACATATTTTATTTTTACAGAATGTTAACCGTTAAAAAATATTCTAATAATTTTTATATACATTTTATTCAATACAATGATAAAATATTAGTTAAATCTATTAAATTAAAAAAATCCATCTTACCATATATATAATATATCATACTTTTATCCAACATATGTCTTATGTATATTTATAAAATGTTTGACATAAAATTAAAATATATTGTTAATTAGATATTTACAAATTAAATTTAATAAATATTATCAAAACAATATTCATCAAAGTTATATGAATAAAATTAAAGATAATAAAATTTATAAATACTAGTTTAGTATAAAAAGTTCATTAATTATGTAAAAAATTTGCGATGTTTTTTTTTTTCATTTATCATGAACACACATATTATCTTTTGTATTTTTTAATAAATATGTTATACATATTGAAAAATTAGTATGCTTAATTTATATATTTAATGAAACTAAAAATAAATAATGTTTGCTTGTCTAGTAATTATTTTAATATAAGATAAGTATTGTCTAATTTTCTCGGTTATTTTTTGGAGTATTTGTTTTTAATGATTTATGATGAAAATAAACCCCATCATTCTTCACGTAAAGTTGTCAAAGCCATTCAATGACTCAGTCAAGTGATGCATACATTCTTACTTTTGGTTCTAAGTTGATCATTCACTGTCTCCCAAATAAATTGTGGGCCAAACCTATTCGTTACATGGAGTCAAGAAATTAAGATATTAAAACCCTCCACAGTTTATGCATTGCCATTAAGGAGCCGCATTGTTCGTTACTTGGAAAATCCCCGTTATTCATAACTAATCATCCGACAAGATTTTACCATTTAAAATCTGTTTTACTTAGTGGGCATATTCGTTAGATGCACTGAGAGTTGATCCACGTATTCTGTCACCTTAATAAGATGCGAGTACATACCATGGTTTTGTGTACCGAATATTATTTCAGATAAAAAACAATTAAGCTTATCAAATTAATCTAGTTAATCATGGCCAAAAAGAAAAAAAAAATTGACTTCCATAACATATTTTAAGCATCATCATGAAAAGACTAGCATTATTTTACTTTTAGCAAAAGCAACTCGAACGGGATTGGTTTCAATTAATTTTACTAATGTTATCGTACATTGCTGTTATAAAAGAGAACTCATCAATTATTTGTTTTATGCGTACTTTATGAAAGCTTAGATGGCCTCCTACTACTTCCTCTTGTTTGTTCTTGTCGCTTCTACTGCACTTTCGAAAGCAGATGCCAAAAGGAAATTATCTTCAGACTTCTACTCCAGGAGCTGCCCCGAACTGTTGCCTATAGTGAAAAAAGGAGTCATTAAAGCCATTAAAAATGAAACTCGCATAGGAGCTTCCTTACTTCGATTGCATTTCCACGACTGCTTTGTTAATGTGAGTGAGTAAATACATTAATTTGGCTTCAATTTATAGCACGTTTGGTTCAAGTTTGAACGAGTATAAACTTACGTTTACTTCAATGCTATTACTGGAATACACGTTTAAAGATTTTTCCACGTGTTTTCAAACACTAACTTAATCTTCTGCTTTACTTAATTTGGCTGTACTTAACACAATGACCAGGGCTGCGATGCATCAATATTGTTGGATGATACAAGCAATTTCATAGGAGAGAAAACGGCAGCAGCTAACAATAATTCAGCTAGAGGATTCGACGTGATTGATGACATAAAAGCCAAGGTGGAGAAAGCATGCCCTAGGGTTGTGTCCTGTGCTGATATTCTTGCTCTGGCTGCTCGAGACTCTGTTGTTTATGTAATATCTAATCCCAATAGTATTAATATCATAACCATTAAAAAGGCTTGAATCTTAAAGGAGCTAATATTTGTTTTGATGGGGAAATGCTTGTTGAAATTTACAGTTAGGAGGGCCTTCGTGGAAAGTAGGCTTGGGGAGAAGGGATTCTACCACAGCTAGCAGAGCTGATGCCAATAACTCCATACCTGCACCCTTTCTCAATTTAACCGCTCTAAAAGCTAATTTCGCTAACCAGGGACTCTCTGTGAAGAATTTAGTGGCTCTTTCAGGTACTAGGTATTAAACACATTAGATGACGTGTACCAAATCTCACCCAAATCAGGTACAAAATAAATGTTTTGTCAAGAATGTTTCTAGGATGTTTTAGATTAAAATTGGACGAGAGAAATTACGAGTGTTAATTAAGAGGGTTGTTCTACCTATTTACTTTGTTCAAAAGCTTTGCTTAGAAGAAGAGTTTGGCATGCTATACCCAAGAAATTTTTCAATTTTCAACTCACTCGGGTCTCTTTAATAACAGGTGGGCATACCATTGGCCTTGCTAGATGTGTACAATTCCGAGCACACATCTACAATGATTCCAACATTGATACCTCCTTTGCAAAGTCCCTACAAAGCAAATGCCCAAGAAGTGGAAATGACAATCTACTAGAACCCCTAGATCGTCAAACTCCAACCCACTTCGATAATCTATACTTCAAGAATTTACTGGATAAAAAGGGACTTCTCCATTCCGACCAAGAGTTGTTCAATGGCGGTTCCACCGATAAGCTGGTGAAGAAATACGCTAATAATACAGCTGCATTCTTTAAAGCCTTTGCCAAGGGCATGGTCAGCATGAGCAGGATCAAGCCACTCACAGGAAGCGAGGGCCAGATCAGAATCAATTGCAGAAAAGTCAATTAAACATTAGTGAGTGATATGGGTGCATACTTATATATTTTATCCATCTTTCTTCCAAAATATATATTTTATCCATCTTTCTTCCAAAATAATGTATTCTCCCGCTGCAAATCGAACTTGTTTATCATGAATAAACTGTGTCGTCTTATATGTCTAAGCACATAGCTTCTCATCATCCATCCCTGTAGTATATGCCATCAACACAAACTGCAAGATATATCTCATCTACACGAGATCATAAAAAAGCCACGTTAATTACAAATATTATCATGAACTTTTCCCAAGTCAATTAACTTATTAGTGAAATTATCAGGTTAAACTTTTCCTTTGATTCAACCTATTCATTAGATCATGAGCTTCCATTCTAACATTTTTATATCAGTGAGCCAAGTTGCATCATGGTATTCACTATGATATCACAAGTTTCCAGCTATACTACCAACCAAAAGAACATCAAAGGACTCAAGCTATATAGCCTATATATCCCAACGCATTCTTAGTCCAACTCATCAACAGATTCAACGTCCTCCTCTACCAGTTTAAATTCATCAATCTCTTTAAAGTAGGCCCTCTGTTTTTCGATAAAATCTTGCAGCTGAACATCCTTGGATACCTCTTGTTTGTAAGACACAACACGCTGCTTCTGAAAACTCGCAAATATGATCAAAGCTTTGAAAAATAAGAACCACATAGAATTTAAGGTTCATGTCAATTACCCTAATAAGTAAACACATCCTCAACACGGACAAAATTTCAGAATAGATTAAGCACTTTTTGTTAAGTAACCAAATCAACGTCAACAAAATTTATGTACCTTCCTTGAAGGAACTATTAACGTCTTAGCCTTAGACAGATCCAAACTTCTAACACCATCATTTTTCTCCCTGTTTTGCACGACGAGAAACAAAGATGACAAAAAGGAAATGTACGGTAGAATTTTAGCAAAAAAAAAATAAAAAACAATAAAAGTGATTATTAAACATTTGAACTTGATTCCATCAATCATTGTAGAATTAAACTTAATATGACTTAGAACAGAACGATAGAAGAGAATTACCGAATATTAGAGATCTTTGGATTGGCCCGTGCCTTCTTTTTATTCTTCTTCTTTTCATTCAAAGTATGTAATCGGCTGCAGAGTACAGAAATTGGCTCAGAAACATGAAGGCCAAAGGTACCTGACATGAAATCAAAGCATGGAAATCAAACTCTCATTAAATTAATTTTCGAAAGTAAAAACAATTATCATTAATAGTATAGTATTTTTAAGTTCGAATTAGTCTTGGCGTGCCCAAAATAAATCGACGAACGTGTAAATGATTCTACGAAGCAAGAATTAAAATGTGAAGTACCGCATCTGGTGACAGATTTGTTGAATGCGGGAGAAGACGAAGATGGAAGGGGATTGAATTTGGTAGGGTTAGGATTTGTGCGATCAGAAAGAGGCTTTCGTCTTGGCTCAGCAGCATTAGCGTTCTTCGTCATCTCCAACTCTCATGCGTTAAGTGTATCAATCAATCACTCACACTTCCCATGCCTTCTCTTTTCTCTATGGCGGGAAATTTCAGTTGCAAAATTGTTATAGCTGCTAAAATGGGTTTTTTTCTGCATGTTATTTAAAAAATTTATAAAAAATATAAAATTTAAAAACTTCGATTGCAATTTTTGGTACAGGCACAGATTCAAAGATGAAACAGTTAAAAATTATAAAGTATGAAAAATTGTTAATAACTGATTTTTAAAAAATACTTAAAAATAAAAAATCATTAACAATTTTTTTTAAAAAAAAAATAAAAAATCATCCATGAAAGTTTTCTAACTATTGAAAAATCAAAATTGTCATTTGATGGAGAAATAAAGCTAACTTTATTATATTATAAGTAAGGATTAAAGGTAACAGAGTTTAGGTTCAGTAGTTTGACAAAGTTAAAATTTTGATAGGGTCTCAAGTAATAACATATTGATAAAAGTTTAAGACTTACAAATTTCAATACAAGATTAAAAAAAAAGTAATCATTCAAAAGGTGCGGTCATAGTAGACGATAGTGGTGGAGGAATAACTATGTTCAAAGATAAAAAGTCATTAAAATTTTTCACAAAAGAAAGGCGTTGAAAAAGTTGCAATATTTAAATATTTAATTGATATATAAGATTCAAGATATTATTTTCCTTCTCGTACTAGATGGTGATAATTTTAATAGGCCATTTATTATTCTTTTTGCTTCGATACTTGTATATGATCCTAAGTACGAGAAAGAAAGAAAAAAATCTTCTGAAAAAATTGAAGAGTTTTTAGAGTAATGCTTGCACAGATTTATAAGTAAAAGTGCCTCTAATAGTTTTTCATATCAGTTATGAACATCTATGCTGTCACAATTAAATTTATTGCTCTTTACTTACATAGCTGATTTTCTTTTAATTGTATTTAATTATTTTATGTAATTTTTTAAATGATAAAAGAAATTAGTCAAATGATCATTGTCTACAGTAAACTTAAAGTTTAGGAAAAAGAGGCATTAGTATTTATTTTGTTTTAAATTTCAATCCTTATTAAAATAAATAGACAAATCTTTAAATTAAATAATAATAATGAGTCGATCCCCCTTATCTTAATTAAAGGTTTTAAAAAAATTCAATGCCCAACATAAAGATTCACATAATCTCATGTCAAGAAAAAATAAAAATAAAAATAAAAAGCAGTTACATATGTGAAGTAACTAATTACTTAATTTATTTTGGTAGAATAGGAGAAAGTTAAGGATTATTCTATTACTTTTTTTCACTAGTATCAATATTCCTTACTTGTTTATTCTTTTTAAATAGATTATTTGGCATGGATTGTTGGGTGCGGTGAAGACATAAGCGGTTTCATGCACCCTCTGAATCAGGACCAGAAATCAAAGAAAAATAAAATCCGTTGGCTCGCTGTACTAACCACATGACAGAAGACAGAGTAAGTAAGTAAAGCAACGCAATAGATGGACTGACAGCAAAACCAGCGTAAGTGAGCCTCTAGTTTAACCTCTTCCAACGTTCCAACCTCCAACAAAACACATACAAATCCAGGGGCCAACCCCACCTTTTAAAAAAGGCACAAATTTCAACATCAACCTCACCCACCCATCTATAAATATTCACCCCTTTATCTTCTTTCCCTTCACTACCAACTTCTCAAAAGCTTCAACACACTTTCAAGTTTAAGAATAATAATAAGAAGAAGACCGACACAACATGGAGGCAGTTCAGACGTGGGTCTCAGAGCACAAGCTAACCAGCATTGGTAAGTTTTATGTACTTAACATGCAACACAATTCTATATTAGATTTGAAGTTGGTGATCAAATTCTAAGAAATGAATCTTGAATTTCGTTACAGGGGCACTATGGGCCTCTGGAATTGGAGCATCACTCGTGGCTTATACGCGCACTAAGTCTCCATTGAAGCCTAGTCTCAGGCTTATCCATGCTAGGTACCTTTCTCACGTAACTTAATCACCATATTTTAGTTTGAACAACAAAAGCAACATGCTTCAATACATTTTGTAATTGTGTGATGAAAGGGTGGTTTTGGTACTTTGGCTTGCAGGATGCACGCACAGGCGCTAACTTTAGCAGTGTTGTCCGGTGCAGCTGCTTATCACTACTATGAGAATCGCGCTGATCAACCAAAACCATTCGCTGATGGATCTGCTCCCAATGTCACCCAGCTGGTTGAATGGCAACTCCACTGTCCTTTCTAAATTCAAAGTGAAGCTATTGGGGTCATGTTATCATGATGACCAGTGGTTAATTTCTATAATCTAACTATTTCTTTTGCCTACCAATTAAGAATATTGTTGTCTATTTTTATGTATGATCAGACACCAGAACGAGGGGGAGTAGCTATTGCTATGCAATATATATTCTCTCTGTGTTCTGAGGGAAGACTTCTAAATTATATAATGTATATATACAAGTTTCATTTTCTGAGAATTTGAGTGTTGATCTACTCATAACTACTCGATATTATAAATGGAAGTTTCAGCTTGAGTTGCATTATCCCATATAAAACCCCCTTGGGAAAATCCTCATGTATTTTATATCCAAAGGATCCTGCTATTGACTAACAAATATTTACATGATTAAAGAATCATAAATTAATGAAATATTTTTATTATAAATAGAAGTGAAAGTACATTAGTAACATTAAATATCACATTTTTTCATAAAGTTTTTCTTTTTTAAATTCTTATAACACTAATTAGTCATTTCCATAAATTATAAATCTTGCACGTAAAATAAGTGGATTCACACCTTAATTATATTGTTTTATACTAGTATAAGGAATTTTATGTTATGCGAGTAAAATAAATCTAGAATTATTAATTAACAATTACCGACTCAATTGGGATGCAATATAGATGGTGGAGAAGGTGGTGAACTAAGCCCATATAACAAAATTCAAACCACCGATTCACTAAAAAGTTTTTTTATTGTCATTGGAAGAAGGCAAATGTGAGAATTTACTAAACTCAATTTAAATCAAAATCACAATGTTTATTACGTCCTGTTAGCTTCCACCGTTGAACTAACTGCAAATAACCTTTAAAGGTTAAAAATGTACCTACGAATTAGGTTCACCCAAGTTGATTGATTTGAAAAAAGTGATGGAACTCGCACCAATATTTCACTGTTCACAGTTGGGTCTATGTTTCTGAACGTGCCTTTTGTGGGCAATCTACCACCCACCCCCCAAAATAAAAGGCTTACCGGCCATCAAAACAAAAATAAAACCAAAAAATGAAAAAAGGTTACCAAATTTCCACAAAAAGAAATATGTGAACTACCAAAATCCATAGCCGATAAAACATGTTATTCGGTCTATTTCGGACTAGCCACTACCTTTTTAGGTAAAAAAAAATTAATTTAATTTAAGCTCATAAAACTTATGTTTAAAATTGATAATTTTTTTCAGAGTTTATACAAGTTTGCAGACATAGGGGCTGATCAAATTTAATTTGAACTCAAATTTTAAATTTTTTAATTTGACAAAAAATATTGTTAAAATTTTTTTCGTTTTCAACCTTCATTGATATTCCGAAATATTAGTTTTTCCATTTAACGAGTGGGGGTACATGCTTTCGAGAATTATGGCACTTTATTAGTAATTAATTATAATTGTTTTAGCCTTTGGTGTGATTAGATAATATATAACTTTTTGCAATTAAGCAAATAAGCCTTCTGTTAAATATGTTGTTTATGTATCCAAATCTGAAGGACAGGGACTGACTATACTACGGAATATACAAAATTAGCACGTGCAAATTTACTTGTTAAGTAATCATTTCATGTTCACACGTGCCTTTTAACATCCAAATATAAATAGATCACCCATTTGAGGGCGTGTGTAAAGGAAATAATATATTTAAAATGTCAACACTCGAATGTTAGAATGCTTCCTAAGAAAGGAGTGATTTACAAATCAAATCATTTCTTCTTCAGCAAAAAATGACATTAAACAAATTTAATTAATATATAACAGAGAAATTTAGTTAATAATGAAAAATATATTGAAAAAAACCATGTCAGAAAATATATTAGTATCTTTCCTCTGTTCTATATAACATAATGTAGGTCTGTCCTTAATTATATAGGTACGGACAACAACAATTTTAGACGGCTTATGGAATGTGATTAATGATGTTGATCTCGTTTTAGAATCAGTGCTAAGCATGAAGCTAATAACAATGAGTCGGTGGCCAGTTTCTTGTCTAATTTGTAGTTGATGTTAGTTCATTAACCCTTTGTGATGTTATGATTGGCCAATTAATGATGCTGCCAAATGTTCATTGCAGGTTAGGCTATGAACTGTCCAGGCTGGCATTAAAATACATTATTTCTATTATTGATATTAAATCAAACTTAATATTAATAATTAATTATGATTACAGCTTTCTAGGAACTACAAGAAGGAAATGAAAAATACAAAAGTGGTTAGAGAGATGGACTTTGCTTTGCTCATTTTTGCTGTTGTGTGGTTGGAAAGTCTTCTCCTTCCTAACTGCTTGATTCTTTTTGTTAAGCACTTTACTAAACACTACTCTAAAGAGATAGCCTACCAAACCAGCAACTTCCTAATTTTACAGTAACCAACATCTATGAAATTTCATGTTAGCTGATTTATGTGTTCAATAATAAATATTAATTAATATTTTAAAAGTACTGATTAAAAATTAAAAATATATAATAAATACATCTTATTTTATCATTTTTATTGAAGTTTAACATAATTTTTTTAACCAATATTATAAAGACATTGATTACTAATGTCCTGTAAAATAATCTAGGAATGAAAGGGATTGGATATCTACATATATTTATGAGGTTACATCAGGCCTACTATTCTTTTTGAATTATAAAATATGGTTGTTATGAATAAGGGATAATGATGTATCCCTGCTAAATTAATTGACATCACACATGAATTAATCATTTATGATAGGGTCCAAGCAGCATATTATATAAAGAATGAAGGTAGATGGCAACTATTTAAATATAGGGAGCTCCGAAGAAGAAAACATTTCCTTCATCTCCCTCTTCATCTTTCTGTAATTTGACAAAACAGAGGAGGGAAACTAAGACATGGATTGTTGTGTCTGCACAACTATGCCATTAATATTAAGGCCTCCCAGGAACACGATATGTGGGTCGTGCTATGAAGGAGTTAGGAGCATAATCAACATGATGAATAGTGTCGACAGTGAGAAAGCAAAAGCAATCGCTAATCCAAACGGTTCTCCAGTTTCACGGCGAAATTCGAGTAAGGCAAGCTCTAATTCATTTCATAATTTATATGGTTGATTATAAAAAAACTGCAGAAGCATATGTCTCTCATATATAGTTAAATGATGACTTCATTAAATTTAGTAACTATATAGTTTACATAAACCTGTGTGTCCCCTTTAGTTATTAACCTTTCATGTCTGATATTAGTGTTGTAAAACTTAAATTAGGAAGTTTATTTTTGTTATTTGGTATTCGTATAGTAGTATTAATGGTTTTAGGCATGAGTGGCATAACCAAGAAATATGGGTGACAAACCTATTTAATAGGCATCATGATTTATTTTTTGGCATTTGAAGAGGCAAACATTTTGCCTATAAATACTTGTAACAATTCATTTGAAAAGATGCAGAAAACAGAGAGAGATTAAAGAGAACAAAGTGCTGCCAACTTTTATTTTTGCCTTCTTGTTGCCAACAATTAGTAATTGGTCATTTTGTTCTACAACCCTACAACAAAACTCGTTGATCATTGTGGTTGTGATGTCCTATTAGCATTTCCATTTAGCTTATTAGCTTGAGAATTGACTCTGCCATAGTAGCTGCTAAACAGCCTTGTATAAATTCAATACGTAGTATCTGTTTAAAATAGTTTATCTAAATCTTATCAAAATAATTTTTTTCAAATTATTTTTACAAGTTTCATGATCAAATTTATGGTATAAACTCTCGTGTAAAATAAAATAAAATTAACAAGCTCTTGGTTAAATTATTTATCACCCATGCATCATGCATGCTACTAATTTGATGAGAACCCTTAACAATCTTGACAAGGACACAACAAAGGTAGTTGACCCCATCAATTAAAGAAAACGTTGATTGATTGTGTAATCAAAATCAAATGGATAATCATGAATAATTTAGATTATTTTTCCGCCTCAGACACTTGATGATTGTATAAGATGGTGTACGGAGCAGATAGACCAGTTTAATCAACAAAAAGAAGACTTGGCTTTCCTCAGAGGCTTTATTACTGCCTTCAAAACACAGATTCATACGGATATATTGATCACCCCAGGAAGGCAAGGTCCACCTATACCTGCACATAAGTCCGTTTTGGTAAGTTATTATTATTTAACAATCATGTATATTACTTTTAGATAAAAGTTATTAGATGTATAATTGTAATATGTTATTATGTTAAAGGCGGCAAGATCAGAAATATTTAAGAACATGCTAGAGTGTGATGAATGCAAAGCTCCACCAAATAACACCATAACTATACCCGATTTGAACCATGAAGAACTAGAGTCTCTATTGGAGTTTCTCTATAGTGGGACATTGGGTGCGGAAAAATTGGAGAAACATGTCTACGCCCTGTCACAAGCAGCTGATAAGTATGTGATTCCACACTTGCTGAAACAGTGTGAACGATATCTGCTAAGTTCACTAAGCATTTCTAATGCCTTTGAGACACTGGAAATTGCGGACACTTGTTCCAACCACAACTTGAAGGAGACAACCTTTAATTTCTTAGTTAAAAACATTGAACACATGGTGTCATCTCCTAAATTTGAAGCTTTTGTGCATAGGAGTCCACATTTAACTGTGCAACTAGTTACAAGGGCATTTGTCAACGGAGCCAAATAATCAAATTCTCTCTCTCAAGTTCAAGAGCCACCAATATTTTCTTTTTCAATTTAATGAATGTATTTATCAATTTAATAAAAGCTGAAGAAGCAGTAATTTTTATACATTTATATACTATTTTTTTTTTATTTTTTTTTTCATCACATTATGTCATTCTTAATTTTTTTTCTTTTTTCTTCTTATTTTTTGTTAAGTGTATATTTATTTATATTAATAATTACTTTTCATATAATTCATATATTTATTTAGTTTTGTCTTTGTTGTTATTTTTATTAGAATTTTCATATGGACTCGATTCAATAAAAAAAAGTGTTTGGACTACAAATTTAAAAAATATTTTTATTTAAAATTTCTAAAGGAGTTTTAGATTGAATTTTATTTCTGTATATAGTCTTTAAATTGTTACTAATTCATCAATATTATATTTTATATCTCAATAACCTTAATTAAAAAATAAAATATCAATTAAAAAAAATTTGTTGACAGTAAAACGACGTTGTTATTTAAAAGAGAGAAAGACATTTATTTTTCATTTAAAAAGAAATAAATTAGACAGGTTACTTACTAAAAAGTTTTTTTTTACTGTGTTTGTAAATTAGAACTATTATTGATATTATTATTATTTAGAAATCGTATTGTTATTTGCTCTTATATGAGAGTTATTGAACGTTGAAATTTACTATGAGACCCTTATTACTTCAATCTTTACATTATAAAAGGACACAAGATGTTGATTTTTTAATTTTAATATTAACGTTCATTTTTTTGCATTTTAATTAACTACGTCATTATATTCAGATTTTTTTGTTATATAATATTATATTATGCAATAATTATTTATAAAATAAATAGCATATAATATATTAACATATATGTATGAATAGCGCATCACAGCTATTAGGGCTGGAGTTTGGAAACACGATGTAAAAGGCAAGAATATTCCTTATATTTTCATTAATTTGATATTTTTACTCAATCAGTTTGAACTATATTACATATATAATATAAGATAAATGTTATTAGTTTCCTAAATAAGAGTATTACTTAAAAAATAAAAAATACACACACACACACAAATGTATAAGTGTATTAATAATATATATATATATATATATATATATATATATTGGTAATTAGTTTTTCTAAAGTATTAATTAAAAAATATTTTATATTTTTAATTAATTTTTTTTTGAAAGAGTGTATTAATTATCCTTAATATAAAAATAGGTACATCATAGCCAACATTTAGCTTTGGAAGAATAACTGCTAATTAACACTTGAGTTATAGTTGTTAGTGTCTTAAGTTTGATTTCGAATTATAAAAGCTAACCAACTATTTAATTAAAAAAAGTCAATAACACACTTTTTATTACACTATTAATTAAAATTTAAATTTTATTAAAAAATTTAATAAATTAATAATTATGTTTCATATATTTATTATTTTAAATAAATTTTAATTAAAAACTAAAATATGGTTAAAAATTCTTAACCCTTTTTTCTAAAAATTATTACCCATTCATCCTAATCTAAAACCGATAATTACGCATGGTGGGTTCAAACTGGCCAATGTATTTATGTAATTTTCAATTAAAAATTTATTTCATTAACTCATAGAAAAAAAAGTTTAAATTAAATAAAAATAAGAATTTTAACTAAAAACAACATAAAAATACTTAAAAATTTACAATTAACATAATTTTTTGTAATCTTATTCTTATATTATTGAAATTAAATTGCTTTGGATTTTACTAGGAGCGCCTTCACAGCATGACCAAATATCCCCTAGAACTGAAAATCTGGGAATGGGTATGAAACATTGAAACCAGCTGTGAGGCATAGTTGGAGAGAGCAAAATAATAAACATAATCTTATCTATAATCTATAAAGTTTGTAGAGAAACGGTTTGTTCTATTTTTTCCCCTTTAAGAAAACATTAGAACAGTTTATAAAATAATATTCCTTGATAAAGCATACAATTTGGGTGTCAGATTTGAAGGACACAATAAATCTACAAACGGAGGACAAGGATTATGTCAGGAACTTTGTTGCTGGATTTACCATTTAGTGAACAATTCCCACTGGCATATTAGTCAGTACTGCCAACGATGGGCCACCGATTCCTGCACAAAATGCTGTATTGACATGATCGCTCTACCCTGTAATATTGCATGTGATCCCCTCTCTGCGGATTATTATGTGTGCAAATTTTATTATAAACAATCGCCAGCTAATTTTTTTATGAATAGTAAGTAATTTATCACTTATTTTAAGTGATTCATTTATCCATTGTAAATTATTTTATTATTTATATAAACACATTTTTAAAGATAAGTGCATGTCTATAGTAAACTCATTATAACCTTGCGTTGATTCGAGACTTACGATAATTTCTATCAAACTAATAATTATTTGATAAGCACCAAAAAAAAAAAAAAAAAAACACAGACATCTCGACATATTTTGTCTGTGCAAATATTATTTATGAATTCTTACTGCTGTAAACGGTGAAAAAAACGTAAACAACTATTTATATATATATATATATATTGATCTTAATGAATTTAATTTAAAGCTTTCCTCCTTTATTAATATATAAGAAATATGTTCAGTAAACTCCATTTATACATAGCTTAAAAGAACAAAAAATACAAATGATATGATACGATATATATATATATATATATATATATATATGTATATATATAAAGATTAAAAGATATTAAATAAGTAATAATTATGTTGGGGTGTTTATTTATAATTATGTTAAGGAACTAAAAGCCCCTCTACTATTTTTCACACATTTTTTAGTATCCCGATGACAATTTTCTTCACTAAACCCAAAAGATATACTTTTTGTGTTAATATTTTTACAGGTTCGGTTGGTTGATTGCCATGTATATGTACAGAACATTTTGCTGAAGAAAGGTGCATCATCCAAGCGCTCCTGAGGTCATGTGATGGCTTGATTGGCTTCATTTCATAATTAAGCGTTATTCTCTCTGTTTTTATGTTTATTTATCATTAAGTGTTGGACATGGGTTAAGAAAGCTTATTAATATCCCTATTTTTATTAAGATCTTATTTGAAGCCATTAAAACTGGTTCTATTCGTGGTTTTGGTAAACATGTGTCAACTTTGGGCATGTGCTTGCTGCTTCGTCTCGTCACTTCTTTGTTATAGTTTGATAATACTCCATTTTATCCCTCAAAAGTGGGGATTTCATTTTCTTCTTGTTTTTGTAAGGTGCCGTTTCACGTTTTACACGTATCACTTGATCGTATACATTCAAATATTCAATCGTAGTCTTCGCAAGAAAATTTTGCTTCCTAGGGAAACACGTGAACACGATTTGAAATAAAATATTTCTAAAGTAATGAGATTCTATCATAATTGCCCATCCAAATGAAAACATTTTTTTTTGAACTGGTCAAAAAAGAAAGGTTCCGTTTATGCATCTAGATATTTGATATATGTCGGCTTCATGTATAAATTTGGTCAATTGTCATAGAAGCTCGATTGCCTTGATCAATAAAACTGCCAGTTAGGCTTAATTAAAGATGGAAAATGCGTAAATGAAAAAAATGGACATAGTTATATTTATAAGAAGGCAAACATTTTTGTTACTGATTTACTTTTGATCAGTATAACTTTCGCTCCAATTCTTTATTGCTTGTCCCATTGCCTGTTTCACAGCTTGAGCATCAATACGCTCTTCATTCTACAAAGGTTACAACATTATTTCGTCATTCTTTTGCATGAAAATATAGAGAACAAGACAATATAAAGATTATTAATATTTAATTTACTGCAAAATCTAACTAGCTTCTTATCATAACAATCAATTAATTAACTAAATCAAAGATCCTATAGACTGTAGGGTACGTTATGACTCAACATTATGCAAACATTTCAATGCACAGCAACATGGCCCCTCTTGCCGTTTTCTCCAAAAGGCTGAGCGAGAAAGAGAAAGAAGAGGAATGTCTTATATACAAGGACACGCATGTGACCTCCAAAAATATGGAATAATGAGAGGGAAAAGAGAGACACTGAATAATATGCATATTGAACTAGAAAGCATTTATAATAGAAATTTATGCTTACAATATTGTGTCTTACTTCTCCTCCAACAGCTTGAAATCGAAAAGTGTCCGAACAAGTAACCCTAGCTTCAAGCACATTAAGACCCATCTCTTCAAAGGTCTCCAATATGGAAACAAGCAGGCCCGGGCAGCTCTTTGTTGAAAAAACATTTATAAGAAAACCCTTTTCTAGGGTTTCTACTGTAACCTGTTTATGTCCATCCACAAAATGCAATATTCCAGTCAAATTTTTTTTTCAGATTAGCAAGACCTTGGAAACTTGACCTACAGATATATTAGAATTAATTAATTACAGGATAAATTGAGATTATGCCGTTAAACTTTAGTAATAAAGAAAATATACCATAGGAAAAGAATTTTGGTCATTTGAAGTTTGTGCATTGGCTATGTCTTGATTCAGTCGTTCTACTTTTTGCTTTAGTTCTTCGATATACTTTGATGCATCAATTATGATCGAGGTTTTGTTTAGCTGCCACCAACCAATAGATGCACAAGAACCATATTAGATAATTTATCATCTCAAAAAAAGCACCAACGGATTAATATATATGTGTATGCAGGAAAATATATCGATAACAATAACATGTAGGAATAGGCGTATAAATGATGTATTAAATGAAGCAGAATTAATATTGCCAAAAAAAAAATTCAATAATATATTTAATAATCTTCATTTTAATTAGTTTGTGTTTCATTTTTCTACCCAGATATTTGTATGATATATTATTATATATACATAGAAATCAAACATTCGAGAAGATATATAGATAATTAACATGAACTAGGCCGTGGAAGAATGAATAACAATCATAGAGAAAAATCAAAAGAAACAAAAAATATAAGAAAACAATGCAGGGAATTACAGCATGAGAGTTGGTAATAGAACGAAGAAGTTGAAGCTTCTCATGCAGTGCAGCTCTCTTTTGCTCTCTAGAAACCATGGTGTGCTCTCTTTTTTCCTCTCTACTTCTGTGATCGTCCGAGCCTGGCTTTCTTTTTTCTGTGATGCTCAAATTTCTTTGACTTGAAGTATGCTGATCTCTATGATCATTAATTTAAAAGAGGGATGAGCTCTCAAATCTATGTGACGTTCTGCTAGGAATCCCACATGATTGTCTCAGTTTCTTCACATAGAAATTACTGCATAGATTCTCAATGAACTTACACAAATACCCTTTTTCTATATAAATATTTTAGAATTGGATTTATTGACATGGATGCAAGTTATATTGACTAGAGTGATATAAATGAGTCAAATATATAAGAAGAGAATTTATGAATCATATTCAACTTTAGACCCTTGTAAGTTTAATGACATCCTTGAATTAGTTTAGTTTAATTATACTTTTAAGCATAAGAATTGTTGTATTTATATATTTAAAAATGACTTATAGAGAAAATTGGAATGTGTGGCATAATTAAGGTGTGGGTTGGGGAGAATGATGTGGTGGTGAGTGAGAAAAATGGGCATAGAAAGAAGTGAATGGGTCCAAACAGTCCTCACGGGGGGTTTTTTGGGGTATCCTCTCGCGCGGTCTCTCTACTATGAGCAGCGTACAGCAATGAAACTTTGTCCTTTTATTCCTTCTCTCTCCACACGTGCCGGAAACCCTTCTTATCATATCAGACATTAAAATTTAAAACCACCTTCATTTCATACTATTCAATATTTCAATTCCAATTCAGTTGGATTCCTTCCTTATATACATTACTTTTTTAATGAATGATTCAAGATGTGTATTAAAAATTTGTGTATAATAATTCTTATTAAAAATTATAAAATTTAATATATTTATAAATTAAATAATAAATATTATAATTTTTATCATGCGTTTTTTTTAAAAATGTTTAAATTACCTTTAAACTTAATTTTAAACATTTAAAAGTGATAAAAAAAACTTATTAAGAAAGTAAATAGTTATTACATTAAAAAATATTTTTATTATATTTTATACACTTTATTTAATTTTTTATTTAAATGTTATATATATATAAATAAATATATTTACTAATTTATACAAAGTTAGAAATATGCCATACTTCTATTAATTTCTTTTGGATGAAATTTTGACTTAAAAGGATTTCGTTTGAACAAATAAAAAATTTAAAAACCAATATACAAATAATTAAAATTAAAAACATAAAATTTATGTATAAATTAAAGTATAGAGATTTAAAAATAACTAAATAATATTTATATTATTTTAAATTTATGTTTGCATTGATTATTTTATATAAATATTCATATTATTAATTTGATTATAAATAAAAATTATTTTTAAAAAAATAATAAATATTTTAAAATGACAATAAATTTAAATGATAACAAAAAATTCAATTATCAACTAATTTTTTTAATTGAAAAAATACATGTTCAATAAAATACACGTTTTAATTTTTAAAATATATAATTTACATTAATATATACAGATATTTTAATAAAATTAAACAACTTAAATCAATGATATCAAAATGAACTTTAAATCAAATCAAGACTTAATTATTTAACTGAATTAATTATTTTTTATATTAAATTTCAGACTTGTTGGTCGGCTGATCATTCATTACCATTAAATGATACTATTCGCGTACTGTTTCAGCAAAAAGGTAGATCGTCGTCTTCCATTATTTAGTGTCATAGGTAATTATTTTCTATTGTTAAAATATTTTGCTAATTATTATATTAAAAGTATTAATTAATAATTAATAAACAAATTTTTAATCATGTTAAATATGTGTATTATACGTGAAAGAATCCGCTATCAAGCATACCCAAATCTTATTATATGTGCATTTAGTTAATTGAGCAACCTAAACATATATAACAGGAATTCCATGGTGAAGAAGGAAAACACATTTACCTTGGTTGAAAAACAAAACAACATTCCTAACTCGCTACTGTGTTGTAGGTTTTGAAACGAATGGAGTGGAGGGAAAGGCGTGGAAAATGACAAATTATATGCCTATGCTACAATCATTTCTAAATTAATCGTTTTCACTTTTCCTCCTTACAAACTAAGCTAACAAAAGTGCATGATTTTCATGAAATAACTCTAAACTATCTTTCTTGAAGCCAATATTTAGAAATGGATCAGATATATATGCATGCAAGCTTGTATAATGACAGGGATAAAGATATTGTTGAATAAACTTAAATGTCGATTTTAATTGGTTTTAATTCAGCAGTTTTTGTTAGAATAAAATGTCAAGAATCAGCAGTTATGTTTTTGATAAATGATTATAATGAGTTTTGATTGTAGTTTATAGCTATTAATAGAATTTAAGTTTTTTATTTTATAAATAGATCATTGTATTATTTGACAATAAGTGTGAGAAATATACAAACAATCTTTTCTCTCCTATCGGTTTTCAATTCTACAATTTGGTATCAGAGCCTATGGCGAGTGTGACCAATAATGTGCCACTGCCTCAACTAACGAAGGTAAACTATGAGAATTGGAGCATTCAAATGAAAGCTCTTCTTGGGTCTCAAGATGGTTAGGAGGTGGTAGAAGAAGGTTTCAAAGAACCGGAAACTACCACGGGATATTCGGCAACTCAACACAAGGCGTTGAAAGAGACGCGATCGAAAGATAAGGCAGCTTTGTACTTATTGTTTCGAGCTGTTGATGAGTCAGGCTTTGAGAAGATTGCGAATGCAACAACTTCAAAAGAAGCGTGGGACATTTTGGCGAATGTGTACAAAGGAGCTGACCGGGTTAAACAAGTCCGCCTTCAAACTTTTCGTGGTGAGTTGGAAAGCATGAAGATGAAAGAGTCGAAAGGGGTCTCTGACTACATCACGCGTGTTCAAACCGTGGTGAACCAACTCAACCGAAACGAAGAAGTTTTAACTGATGCACGAGTTGTGGAGAAGATTTTGAGGTCATTAACTAACAGTTTTGAGAATGTCGTATGTGCTATAGAAGAGTCAAAAGACCTATCAATGCTTACGATTGACGAGCTCGCTGGTTCTCTCGAGGCACACGAACAACGTAAGAAGAAGAAGAAGGAGGAGATACTTGAACAAGCACTTCAAACCAAGGCGTCAATCAAAGACGAGAAGGCACTCTATTCTCAAAACATTCGAGGTAGAGGACGTGGCCGTGGAAGTCGAGGAAATGGTCGCGGTGGTAGAAGTCGTGGTCAAGAAGAATATTATGCGGAGAAAGAACATTCAAACCAGCAAAATTGGCGTGGAAGAGGACGTGGTCGTTGGAGAGGCGGTCGATCCAATTATTCCAACATCGAGTGCTACAAGTGTGGCAAATATGGTCACTATGCGAAGGATTGCAACTCCGATAAGTGTTACAATTGTGGCAAGGTGGGGCATTTTGCGAAAGAATGTCGGGTCGAGAAAAAGGTGGAAGAGACAACCAATTTAGTCACGGAAGATGTGGAAGCAAAAAAAGGTTTTCTCTTGATGGCACACAACGAAGTCAACACCAATAACAACACGGTGTGGTACCTTGACAGGGGCGCAAGCAATATGTGCGGGCACAAGCACCTATTCAAAGAGATACAAAAGGTTAAAACTGGACATGTGTCATTTGGAGATGCGTCGAAGGTTGAAGTCAAAGGCCAAGGTACGGTTTGTTATTTACAAAAGGATAGCTTGGTTGGGTTAATCCAAGATGTATATTACGTACCAGATCTCAAGAGCAACATTTTGAGTATGGGGCAACTCATTGAGAAAGGTTATTCGGTATTTATGAAAGACCGGATATTACACTTGAAAGATAAACACGGGCATTTGGTTGCTCGAGTTGAAATGGGGAGAAATCGTATGTTTAAGCTGAATTTAACAAGTTTTCGAGAAAAATGTCTGCGAGTAAACGTAGAAGACAAGGCTTTGTTGTGGCATCTCCGTTTTGGTCACCTACATCATGGTGGTCTAAACAAGTTGGCAAAGAAGAACATGGTGCACGGGCTACCGGACATGGACTATGAGAACAAATTTTGTGAAAAATGTGTGCTCAGCAAGCATGCGAGAACTTCATTTCAAAAGAAGGCAAAATATCGTGCTAAGGAACCTCTCGAATTGATTCATACCGACATATGTGGATTAATCACTCCTGAATCTTTTAGCGGTAAGAGATATTTTATTTCTTTTATTGATGATTTCTCACGAAAAACTTGGGTTTATTTTCTGAAAGAAAAATCTGTGGCATTCGAGATGTTCAAAAAGTTTAAAGTGGTGGTGGAAAAAGCAATCGGTAGACACATCAAATCGATACGATCCGATAGAGGTAGCGAGTATACTTCAACAGCTTTCATGGAGTATTGTGAGGTGCAAGGCATAAGGCGATTTCTAACCGCACCATACTCTCTCCAACAAAACGGTGTGGCCGAGAGGAAGAACTGGACTGTTCTTTATATGGTTCGGTCAATGCTTAAGAGCAAGAAGATGCCGAAGGAATTTTGGGCAGAAACCGTGCAATGCGCTATCTATGTGCAAAATCGGTGTCCACGATGATCAAACACCACAAGAGGCATGGAGTGGACAAAAACCAACAGTTTCTCATCTCAAAGCATTTGGTAGTGTGGCCTATGCACACATGCCGAATCAGCGAAGAACGAAGCTCGAAGACAAAAGCAAAAGGTATGTTTTTATTGGGTATGACAACAAAACAAAAGGATACAAGCTACTAGACCCAATAAGCAAGCAGGTTGTGGTGAGTCGTGATGTACAATTTAATGAAGCAAGTGAGTGGGATTGGAGTAACTCAATGGAGGTTATCAATGAAGATGGAGAATCATCAACCGCTATGCCAACAATCACACCGACAAATCCTGAAACTACCAGTGATGAAGATGAACCACAACAACCCAGAATGCGAAGTTTGCAAGATTTGTATGATTCGACAAATGAGGTACACATTGTATGTCTTTTGGCAGATTCCGAGAATATAAGCTTTGAAGAGGCGGTGCAAGACAAGAAATGGCAAATTGCCATGGACGAGGAGATTAGAGCAATTGGCCGCAACAACACATGGGAGTTACCGAAAGGAAGTCAGCCCATTGGTGTGAAGTAGGTGTTCAAGAGAAAAATGAATGTTCAAGGCGAGATAGAACGATACAAAGCGCGACTTGTTGCAAAAGGATACAAGCAAAAGGAGGGAATTGACTATGATGAGGTATTTGCTCCTGTTATAAGAATGGAGACAATCCGATTGCTCATTTCACAAGCAGCTCAATTCAATTGGCCGATAATCCAAATGAATGTCAAGTCGGCATTCTTGAATGGAGTGCTTAAAGAAGAAATCTACATCGAACAACCACCCGGGTACATGAAAAGAGGAGAAGAGAAGAAGGTGCTGAAATTGAAGAAGGCACTTTACGGGTTGAAGCAAGCACCGCGGGCATGGAATTCTCGCATTGATACATACTTCAAGGAGAACGGGTTTGAACAATGTCCCTATGAACATGCCCTTTACGTGAAGAAGATTGGAGGTAATATGTTATTTGTTGCTCTTTATGTTGATGACCTCATTTTTATGGGGAACAATGGTAAAATGATACAAGAGTTTAAGAGCACAATGGCACTGGAATTCGAGATGACAGATTTGGGCTTGATGAAGCTTTTCCTTGGTCTGGAGGTAAGACAAGAAGAGACGGGGATTTTTGTGTCATAGGAAACATATGCAAAGGAGATTTTGAAAAAATACAAGATGACACATTGCAATCCTGTATCAACACCAATGGAACCAGGTGCAAAACTCTCTAAATTCGATGGAGGAGAAAGAGTTGATGCGAGCAAATATCGAAGTTTGGTGGAAAGTCTTCGCTATCTCACATGCACCAGACCAGACCTTTTGTTAAGTGTTGGCATTGTAAGTCGGTTCATGGAGGAGCCAGTTTATTCACATTAGAAGGCGTTGAAGCGGATTCTAAGGTATATCCAAGGAACGGTATCACTAGGGTTATTCTATTCGAAAGCGGAAGATTACAAGTTAATTGGGTACTCTGATAGTGATTGGTGCAGAGACTTAGACGATCAGAAAAGTACGTCAGGGTATGTGTTCTTTATGAGTAACACAGCTTTTACTTGGCTTTCAAAGAAGCAACCAATCATGACGCTCTCAACATGTGAAGCTGAATATGTGGCAGCATCTGGGTGTGTATGTCATGCAATATGGCTTAGAAATCTGTTGGACAAATTGGAGCAACAACAAATTGATGCGACTGTGATACGAGTTGACAATAAATCAGCAATTGAGTTGCCAAAGAACCCAGTGAATCATGAGAGAAGCAAACACATTGACATTCGCTTTCATTTCATTCGAGATATGTGAAGGAAGGAAATGTGGAATTAGTGCACGTGGCAAGTCGAGATCAAGTCGCAGATATTTTCACGAAACCACTACCAACGGTACTTTTTGATAATTGCAAGAAATTGATTGGCATGAAAGATGTCAGAAGCATTTAAGTTTACGAGGGAGTTTTGTTGAATAAACTTAAATGTCAATTTTAATTAGTTTTAATTCAGCAGTTTTTGTTAGAATAAAAGGTCAAGAGTCAGCAGTTATGTTTTTGATAAATGATTATAATGAGTTTTGATTGTAGTTTATAGCTATTAATAGAATTTAAATTTTTTATTTTATAAATAGATCATTATATGATTTGACAAAAAATGTGAAAAATATACAAACAATCTTTTCTCTCTTATCGGTTTTCAATTCTACAGATACGATACTTGTATATGTATTTAGAACTGTTGCTTGCAGTATTGTCACCATTCCAGAAGGACAAATCACGTACCCACCTCTATTCACATGTGTGCCCGTTAATCATCACAACAAAACAATATCCCCCATACATATATCCTGCTCCTACCTTGTCTCTTCCCTTCCATAAAAGTGTTTCTTGCTCTGAACTCTAAAGAGTACTCTTTTAGATCCCATAATGCTCGTCTATGTCTTCCCTGTCATCCTCAATTTCCACCTCCACCTCGACCTCAATGCTTTCTTGGACCCTTATACGTGGACGCTAGTGCTTTCTAGCCACCTTTGGTTTATTGCTTCCATACTTTCTGGCCTTTTTGAATTAACCCATTTCAAAGAATTATTTGTTTTTTATAAATTCTTTTCGTTTACAGAACTATTAAGAATATAAACTAAAATAAACATGTGATGTGATGTGTGTGTGTTCGCTCTTTCCCGTGATTCATCTTTTGAAGGATATTTATATTTTTATTGAATAACACCTAAAATTAAGAGAGTTTTTTTTTGTCTTACCCATAAACTTTTAAAAAAAGGGGATATTTTATGCTCTTTTTAACAAATGATTATAATTAAAAGATATATATATATATATACACACACATGACATATAATATTCTCATAATCTTTAAGGTATCATAGAAATTATTAAAATTAAAAGAAATTTTAAGATTAAAAATAAAAAACATCGATTGGAACATCTTCATGTTTTAATTTATTAGTTAATTTATTTAAATGATAAGAAAGTTTGTTTTTTACTTAATAAAGTTTCTTGTTTGAGTTGTATACGAATAAAGAAATTAACTGTTATGAGAGTTTTCATGCATCTTAAGTGATCCACCGGTTCAACTTGAATTATTCGGGATTGAAATTGATTTGTAATATTTTGTTTTGGTTTAAAATTTTTTAAAATTATATTTTAAAATAAATTTAAAAAATGTTTTTAAAAAAAATAAAAATTATGTTAACGAATATTTTTTTTACTTTAAAAAAATTATTTTTAAAAATAAAAATAAATGAGCTCTTAGATATTTTATAATATCTTATTTGTGTGCCTATTGTAGGACTGAATTAAGCATCAATTTGGTTGAGACTTGAGGCCCAAGAAGAGATTATGGGCTATCAAGCCCAAACCTCCTTCTGAGTCTAGGCCTACCATCCCTTTAATTTCAAAGCCGGGTTTCTACCCGACCCGGATAACATCTCGGATCCGGATCCAGCGGGGTGCATCGACGTTCCGTTCTTGAGCAGGTTTTGATGAAAATTTTGTGAGCTGAATGAACAATGCGCGCCCTAGCAGCTCAACTTTCGAATGTAAAGTTCTGTGCTCAATTTTAATTCTTATTCTACGATTAACTAATCATTTACAAATTCAATTCATAGTTGAAGTTTATGTTTGTTTTCTGGGTAGTGAGTATCGATTAGCTAATTCTACTTTTTTCATAATTCTTTTAATTTTGATTTTCATTTACCACCTTTGCAGTATTTATGCAGAAGAAGAGTTGGGGTCAATCTGCGATCTCATAATTTTTCATCATATAATGGCAAAGGTATCTCCTTCTCTTTTCTATCGGTACTTAGAGAAAAAATCGTCGGAAATTGTGATAAATTGGTTGGGGTATGAAATCGTTTTGTTGAGAATGAGAAAGCACTGAAATTACATGAATAATCTATTGTAAACCAAAATTAAAAAAGAATTTTGTGCTTGTAGCTCTAGTACTAAACAGTGAGTACTTAATGCTGATTTTAAGGGATTTTTGGTATTATTAGGTCATTTTACCAAAATCTGGAACTGAGAAATGCAAAGAAAAAGGAGTTTTTTTTTTTTTCATTCAATTTTTGGTTCATTGTCTGAACTCTGCAATTGTGTTGTTGCACGACTTCACTTGTGACTCTTGATCTTCAGAGGAACTATCAATAGAGGAAGAAGCTGAGAGAAAAGTTGGGTGGCTATTGAAGACGATATTTTTTGCGACTGCAGCCGCAGCAGGATACCATTTCTTTCCTTATATGGGTATTGGTCATCCAAATATAAGCAATTTTTCTGCAACAATTTTCAACTTGGAAAGCCTTCGTTTGCTTTTGGTAGTTCAAGCTTGACAGTTTTGCTAATGCAAATTTCAGGAGATAATTTGATGCAACAGTCCGTTTCACTTTTGCGTGTCAAGGATCCGTTGTTTAAACGGATGGGAGCTTCTAGATTGGCTCGTTTTGCAGTTGATGGTAATTTTTATGATACATATATCTTTATGTCATGAATTGCTTGTTGTTAATATGTTATGACCTATGCTTCTTTGGAATGTTACATGTATTGAAAGTTGAAACACTTCATGGTTTATTAGTCATTTGTATAGCATGGTAGCTGTGTTTCACAAGAGATTCTTATTCTTGCTTGTGACAAGCATATTTTCATCATCCTTGTGCTTTACCCAAGTGATATTTAGTATTAGTCTCAGCTTGTTCATGAGATTACAAAATTCTGCCTGAAGGGGAGAGTTGATGGGAGACTTTGCTCTTGTACTGATCATGAAATAGTTACTGATATTTTAATTGAGCGAAAAGAATAAGTTGAATAGTCTTATGGGTTATAATCTTTTCATGACTAAGCATAGATACTGCAGTGATGCACAACGGAGTTCTGTTGTGTAACAGGCAAATTCCCTCGATACAATTTAGCTAGTTTGTACATTAGCTATTTACTCATTTATCTAGTTTTCAATGTATAGATATCTTGTGAAACTGATTAAGTATAAAACATGGTGATATATTACTTTCTAAAATATTCTGTACCTGCATAAGTTGTTTATATTCAGAATTTCTTACCTTCCTTTTGCTAACAAGATGAAAGGAGGATGAAGATAGTTGAGATGGGTGGAGCCAAAGAACTCTTAAATATGTTAAGCACAGCAAAAGATGACCGCACACGGAAAGCGGCATTGCATGCTCTCTCTGCATTGTCAAACTCAGGTGGATCTTTAAATTCTTATTTTTAAATATTTTTATTTGTCATTTTATGCCTACTACTTACCAGGTTTATTTTCATAGTAGATTTTTTATATATACTTATAATTATGTTAGTGGAGAGGTAGATTGTTGAGGCCATAGTACCTTTGTTGTGGTCCTAACTAGTAAACCGGAAATGTCTAACCATTTACCAAGTTTTTGTTCATTTAGTTGTATAATATTCCAGCTGGAAATAAACTTTATGAGCAAAGCATGATAAGAAGCTTAGAAGACTTGAATATGTTTCTAGTTTGTCATCCTTGTTCAATAGATATGGTCTAGTAAAGATGAAATGGAATATAAATGGTTTGTCTTGAGACACTACATGTGTAAGAGCTTCTATGTATTTTATACGACAATTATGCCTGATTCTTTCCCTATCAATATATTGATTATTAAGAATCCAGTTCAAATAATGTTACGAGGTTGGAAAATATGCAACAGTACAACCGAAATTGTACTGGTAGTACTAGTTTTTTTTCCTTTTCTTTTGATTGAGATAAAATACTCTGTTGTTGTATAGATACAGCTCTTGCATCCTTGCATCATGCTGGGGCCATTTCAATCATTAGGTCTGCACCAAATTCACTTGAGGATGCAGAAGTTGAGAAATTCAAGTTAAGCTTGATGAAAAGGTTCCAAGATCTGAGATATGATGTGTCGTCGTGACTTTTACTTGAGGTGTTTGCCTTTTCTTGTTTTTGGTTGGTTTGGTGAATGAAATATCATCATAGAGAGAGAGTAAGCTAGCAATGAAAGCATTTTTGAAGAAGACTAGAAATGACTCTGTATCTTTTGACTAAATCTAGTAGAAGACTATAGTTCTATTATCATTTTGTATTTTTCACTTGTCAAGTGCAATTTGAGGCTCACTGTTATGCCAATCGTAATAAAATGGAAAATTTTTATGTGCCCGTAAATTAATTTTTGAAATGTATATGTAATTAGAAGTTAAAATACTACAATGAACTAGTATTGAAGTTGCAGGTAATTGGTAACGGTAGTTGTGTATTTGGTTTATCTTTACTAGACTAGACCCTTGTTTGGACCGCATAGAATATGTGATTGATCATACAATTTCATTACTGAATGTATGTCATTGCTAGTAAAACATAAGCTTCATCTTAAGACTTAGTATAGTTTAAGTTGTTATTTAGATATGTCTTTAACTCAACCATATCTCATCAGGGTTATCGTTTTTTTAAGGGCTAGCTGGCTTCTTATGCATTTTATTATGGTCATGTACCTTTTTTTCAGTTGATGTTAGACTGTCCTAAGATAATATTTTATAGGAACATCTCTTTAAAATTCAACTTGTATATGTTCAATTAAAGAATTAACTTCCTCTAGAATCTTGTTTTGCAATGGAGTCAATCTCTCTCATATGCGGAAACTCGGTTGGAGATGAACAAGAAAGAAATAAACAACATATACACACGTTCTCTTTTCAACCTCTCATTCTGTTTTTCTTTTTCCTGTTGGGTTCCCAACCTTTCATTCTCTCAATTCACTCGTTTTGGAAATATATATTATGAATTTATCCCAAATCTTTGGAACCTGCCAGCCAAGTGATTTGGGCCACACACATCAACAAATACCAAGAAATCTTGATACACTCCTGACAAATTTTAAGTTTAGTTTATTTTGTACATAAAAATATTGAACCTAAACAAAAATGATATACAATCTAATATAGTTTGATTTTAATATATTATCAAAATCAATCAAGTTCGAACATGATAAGATCCAAATCACAAAAGATCGATTTGGATTGGATCCGTTATTCAATTCATTTATTTATTTTTATATATCTTTTATTTTTAAAATTTTATGACTTTTAATCTGGATTAAATAGAAGTGACTTAGGTGAGATCGAATGTTGAATTAAGTTTGTGGAGAACAAAAATATAGAGGGAAAACGTTCATCAGAGGAGGTGAAATTGTAAAAAAAAAAAAAGAAAAAGAAGGCAATTTATCATCAGAGAAAGAAAAAGAAAGAAGACCCGACTGCAAAATAAGTAGAATGAGAATAGATAGAAGTCATAATTCACTGTTCACTCAAATTATGGTAAGATTAAGGGAACAGTTAGTTTTTATATGGGATAGATATTGTAGGTATGATTCAATTTTAATAACAAAATTTAAAAAAAAAATGCATTTATCAATTTTTTTTATTAATTCATTTTTAGCAGTTTAAAAATAATTATTTCAATGTTTGAACACAAGGAATGGACCCTGTATCAGAAATTTCTAGCCACAACCATTAAGGCTTCGGAATTTTCTCTCTCTCTGTTTACGAGAGAAAGGTAGGGAAACCAAAGCATTGGCCATTCTTGGAATTATTCCAAATTTCTAATGTCATATCTTCAGTGCTTACATCACTAGATAGCTGTTTTTAACTTTTTGAAATATGATACATTGACACAATACACATTTTACATTACCAGCAAGCTATCACATGCACTATTAATTCCACACATTTAAAACTTTTATATTTTCCATGAAGTTTCCTTGCATGTCAAGTCATTACGCTCCAAAAATTATTAGTTTTGGATAAGTTTACATATGCACAACCTGCCTCATTTCATGACGATGACACGGCACTGAGTAGATAATGAAAATGACGATACAATTCATACATCGTTTAAAAAGATGAATTACGTGCCAAATGCTAGGAATATTATATTTCCCACACCATTCCAAACTACAAATATTAAATTGACTCTCACAAACGATCAATATTGAGATCCTTGCACGGCACAATCATTTAAAATATGTCCCAAACTTTCCTAACCACCCATTAATTGGATATATGGATTTCATTTCTTTAATATTTGGTATTTTACATATTAATGTTGCTCAAGATATATGCATTCTACAACAAACAAAGCATCCAAAAACACCAAAGCAACACGAGCCCACAACAAATAAATGCGCTTGTAACTCTCTCTCGAGTACCCCTCTCCACAAATTAATAAAGAAAACCAACTTTATGACTTGCTACTAAAAGCATTAAATATGTTGGTGGAAATGGCTATAACACTTGTCACCACAGCTAGTATAATCATAATCAGTGCTATAATTTTGTCCCTTCTCGTTGATATACCATGAGCATCCCTTTCATTAGAAACAGAGAGAATTAAGAGCCAGATTCATATAGTCATTTAATGTTAAAGAACTTAATTCATAGTTAATAAGATTGTGGGAGATAGATTACCTTAAAACAATGCAGCCAGGGAAAATGAAGGCAAGGCACACTGCAGATGTTGATCCCAGAAACTGAAAGAAGTACCAAATGTCTGGGATTGTAATAGCAGCAAGGTAAGAGAAGACTAGCAGCACCAAAGAGAGGATCACAAATCTTTTGTTGTCTGTGGCTAGCAGAGGCTTCTTGGGGAAGAGAACTTCATCTATGTTGGCTCTCAAAGAGAAGTTCACGAGGGGGAACACCAGCATGATGTGGAGTGCATAACTTACACGGACCAAACTATTGAACAAGGAACCAACCACGGAATCATCACTCTGGTCAAAATTGATGAGAATGTCTGATTGAGTTGAATCCCCAAATAACAGGTAACCAAATAGACCTATTGTAAGGTAGATAACAGCACAAAGCAATAATGCTAATCGAACAGCTGTTGTCATGTCGGATGGCTTGCCAAGCTCAAACCCAATGGGATGCACTGCAAGTATGATCAATCATCAGCACAAAAATTTGCTTGGGATGCCCTCAAAAAATGAGCAAAGCCACTTCCCACCAACGAATGCATGCTTCGAAATGAGCTGGGAAGTATGTGAACGTGAATTTAAAGTAAAAACCACAGCTAGTAACGATATAGTAAATGTGAATTTATGATTATTTATAGTATGTTTGGATTTGCATTCAAAATTATGTAGATCTATATTTACTTTAACGTTGTTACTTATAGTTTCTGTGCTGTATCCACATCTATCGTATTTTCAACTTGTTTCCAAGCACACTTAAATATGATTCTAAACACACTAAAAAGCTAAGTACCATTAAAATGAAATGTGAAAGCCGTGACAACAACAGGGACAGTAGTGAACAGATCAAAGAAGGAGGTTTGGTAGTCAAACTGAGGAAACAATCTAGGAGTTTGTGTTTTTCCTTGCACCAGAGCAGCGATAGCCAAGCCACAACATATGCCAACAAAAGCCACTGCAAGAAGAGTTGACACTGCAGAACTGTACTTCAAGGACTCTAGCAATTCCAAAACAGCATAACACCAAAATGAAGAGCGTCATTCATGTGTCTTCATGCTATTGAAACTATTCAATTCCAAATTCAAGAAAGCATGTTAGTATGTAGTTGACACTGACCTACACGTTTGTACAAGACCAATGGAAGCATAACAAAGACCAAGGTGAAGAGCAAAGCAATTTCCCGGGAATTCCACCACTGAATTCCAAACCACTGTTGCAAAATGCCCAGATGCACTTCATCTCCATCATGCTTTCCGGAGAGCACATCCGCTGCAAGTTCCATTGCATCAAATTAAAATAAAACACAAATATTTAAAAAAAAAAACTTTAATTTTAAGTAAATAATAGTAATAAGAATTTTCTAAAAAATATTCATAATACATTATAATTTTAATGTAATAACTTTTTTTTTGATAAAATTTTATTATTTTGAATGCTTAAAACTAAAGCATTAAAAAAAGCCTCTCTATTTATATCAAAAGAAAAAAAATGGAGAAATGAACCAAGCTTTACTGATTACTGCAAAAATTCACCAATCAAACTAGGTTGGCATGAAATCCTAATTGAAAAATCCATAATTAGCATAACTACCCAGAAAAATAAAAAAAAATCAACACATTTCTTCATTTTTGCTATTTTCTTTTTTATGATTTGAATAGAAGGAAGAAAAACAGGAAAGAAGATTCGTTACCAATGATAATAAGGTAGAGAATTAAACCCCCAACGTTGGTGATTATGACACAGATTTGCGCAGCTAGCGCTCCCGGTGGCCCGAACGCTTCCCTCATGACGCCGGCGTACGTCGTCGTTTCGCCGGTGTGAGTAAACCGCATGAGGAAGTCAACGGAAACTTCGGCAAGCACCGCCACTACGAGAATCATGGCTATAGCGGGAAACACACCGAGAACCTTCATGATCGCCGGGATTGACATGATTCCGGCGCCGATTATGCTGGTCGCCACATTGACCACGGCGCCGGGGACAGACGCTGGCGTTGCCGGTGCTCTGGATTCCGGCAAGAGGGGGACGTGGATTCCGGCTGCCGGAGACATGCCGGCGGTGAAGTTGGGGGAATCGGAGATATAGCGGTGGCGGTGCTACTAAATTTGCGTGGTCCTTGCATAAATTCAACGTTATTTATAAACGATGAATGCGGATGGATTTGGCTGCCCAAAATTTATAGGAAGCTTTAAATAAAATAACACTTTTTAAAGAATTAAAAGTAATTTTTTTATTAAAAATAATATTAGTATATTTTTTAGCACAATTTTTAATAAATACACATTTTTAATTTAGTATCCGGATGTTGATAGACTTTTGTGATACTTAAAAAGACGCTGAGAAGAGTTTATAAAAAATTATCATTTAAATAAAATATTTAAATAACATAAATTTTATAATAAATAAAAATATAAAACAATCAATAATTCATACATCTGAAAAGAGTTTTTTTTTTAAAATACATCATTAAATTGAATGATTAATAGAATGGACATTAATTTTTGTAAAGTATTGACGAATAATTGTAGTCAAATATTATAATTATATATATATTTTTTTTAATAATGCTTTGACACGTTTTTAATACGAAGTAAAATATACACGAACTTTATTGAGTTATGTTTATTTTACTTTTTGTTTAATAGTTTTTATATGAATTTCATTTCATATTAAAAATATATGTTACAAAGTATTTTATTATTATTAAATAATAGTAGGAATAATTGAAATTCATTTAATATTAATATTGAGAAATTGGATAAAATATATTCATTTCATTTTATTAATATTTTATAATAGGGGGAATAATTGAGGCTACTCAATTACCAAATTGCACCTGACAAGACAATTACATCAAGATAAGAAGACAGAAAAAGTTGTGTGTTATTTTCATTTGGTTGTGTTTGGCTAAAGGTTTTACATAATTAATATCGATTATGATCATGATCATGATCACAAATATTATACTTAAATGTCTCGTAATTTCTAAATATATGTCTAGTTTTTGACGTTTTGTGACTAGGCCATGTTTCTGGGAGCTTCAAGTGCAGAGTGGGTTACCTAAGTACACCAAATAAGTGGTGTACACAAGTATTCCCCCGTGTTCATGTTTCAATCTATTAATCATAATTATGCTTATTTCATTAATTATAACTTTCGTGTTATCGTGATTTTAGAGCATGTTTAAATGCAATTTCTAAGCAATATCAAAGTAAAAGTTATTGTCAATTTATAGCTTTTTGTGCAATTTTTGTATATGAAGTTTTGGAAGAATTAGGGTTTGTTTGATTTAGTTTTGATTTTTAATTTTAAAAATTAGATTTTAAAACAATTTTATAAAGCTGTTTTTAAAAAAATAAAATAAAATAAATTTTGTTTGATAACTTAGTTTTTAAAACCAGTTTTAGTTAGACTTTTGTTAGTTTTAGAAAGAAAAACAGAAAAATAAAAACAAAAATAATAGCAATTCTGTTTTTCAGTTTTAAAAACTGAAAGCAAATATTAATTTTCAAAAATAATTTTTAAAACTTACATTAACAAGCAATTTCTTTTATTTTTTAATTTTAAAAACTAAAAACTATTTAAAAAGAGAAAACAAGTGTTTTTTCGCCTTCTCAAAAATATGCCTAAGTAATTTTTTGTCATATATAATTATCTTTCAACCAATTATTAGAGGTGATTTGTAGTTCTTGTGTCACTAATTTAGATTTCCATTGGGACTACAATGTTAGGAAGAAAGCAATGTAGTCCAAGAAACCAAAGCCCAAAGTGAGCCCAGATTAAAGCCCAAACAGAAACCGTAAGCAGCCCACGACCGAATGAGGAAATAATTTTCGAAAAAAGAAAAAAAAAAAGAGAAATTAGTTTCTCTCTCGGCTGAAATCTCTTTACGCTGCTTTCTTTGTTTCCATTTGCGGTTGGACTTTGTCGTCGAAAGAGCGTAATATCTGTTTCTCTTTGGTCTTTGGCTTATGAATTTTGTTGTTGTTGGTTCAACACAGTGAATTGATTCATCATTTCCTTGCGATCGGAGGGAAATGGCCGATCAGTTATCGAAGGCTGAGGATTTCGAGAGGAAAGCTGAGAAGAAGCTCAGCGGTTGGGGCTTGTTTGGCTCCAAATACGAAGATGCTGCCGATCTCTTCGATAAAGCCGCCAACTCCTTCAAGCTCGCTAAATCATGTTTTCTATCTTTCTCTCTACTTTTTAAATCATATTTCATTTTCGTTTCTCCATAAAATGTCAATTAACTGAGTTAATTATTATTGTTGTTGCTGCTGTTGTTCTCTTCTGCTAATGTTTTCAATTTCATTCCTTTTTTAAAAAAAATTATAATTTTTACCGGAATCGGTGAGTGCTGATTTAGGTGACCAATTTCCGATTCGAAATGCATAACTGCTGTTTGTTTTCGTTCCAATCAATTGTAGTATAATTTTAGTCTGATTTTACAAGGAAAAGAAAAGGAAGTGATTTTTTTTTTATCAGTTGGTTGCATATAAATTTGAATTGTGGAGTTTTGTGAAATTTAGTGATATTTATTATTATCAATTTAGATTTGGGGATATTTCCGATGAAAAAAGTGGTTGATACTCTACTCAACAGATTATCCATTATCTCTGTTGATTACTGATCGATCTATTTTTGTTAAAATGTTGCCAACTTTAAAATTGAGAATGGAATAGTTCAGTATGTGGTTCATGATTGGATCTATGTGGCATTTTAGGGGACAGAGCGGGATCGACATACCTAAAGTTGGCAAATTGTCATTTGAAGGTAACACTTGAGATTGAGTTTTTGAGATGCGGTCTATCCGGCGGAATCTCTTTTGCGTCCTTTAGTTTTCTTTTGAGCCTCCACTGACATTGTAGCATTCTGTTTCTAGTTGGAAAGCAAGCATGAAGCTGCCCAGGCTTATGTTGACGCTGCTCATTGCTATAAAAAAACTCTTATAAATGGTGCGTATGTAAGAGGTTAATGTTCCATGCTCAGAATTCTTTGTGAGTTTAGTCCCTATTTTTCATTTATTTTTGGTCCCTGCCATCAGATACTGTTTTTACTTATTTGGGTTTTAGTTCCTTAGGTTTTTGTTCATCAAAATCCTTTTTTTCATGAAGGTGGTCCCTGTAGTTCAACTCATTAAGCTATTGGTTCTTGATGTTGATGGACTAAAATCTTAATGGTATGAAACTACAGGGACCTATTCCCTAGAAAAAAAAAATTATGGGGACCAAGACTCAAATGAGTGTAAACTACAATGATCAAAATTTACCTTAAACATGTCTATTGGCATGGATCTTTTGCTGTGCACTTCAATTGAAAACTACAGATGCTGGGAATTCATAGGTCTTCCTTATTTTCCTTCTTTTATCTTTGGGTGCCTGACATATTCTTTCTCGTTTACTAATTCTGCTCTTAATTCTGCCCTAGCAGTCATGCATCAAGGCCAATTCCTTTTAGCCTTAATATTTCTCTGCATTGGTTTTAACGAACATCATATCCAACAATTGCAGCCCTTTTGCATGAACAAATGATTTTAAGAAACCTTTCTATTACCTCATGGTTTAATCTTTCCATCTGTCTAAATAAAAAACTGGGCTTTGCATATGCTGCGGATGACTTACTTTTATCTTGATTTGTTTAAGTAGGATATTGAAATTAATTTTTGCAGGCATAAGTTGTTTACATCTGAGTTCCATCTGACTGTTTTCTTTTTTGGTTGTTTATATGCCATCTTTTTTGAATTGTTATATGCTGACTATTATTAGATAGAAACTCATGATTGTATCCTGAAACAGGAATTAATTATAAAGCAGTCTACCTTGGATTAGTATGTCATCACTTGCATTATTATGAAGACAATTAAAATTATCTTTTCTCTTTTTGAATACAGAGGCTGTATCTTGCTTAAACAATGCTGTAGATCTTTTCTGTGACATTGGAAGACTCTCTATGGCTGCTAGATATCTAAAGGTATATTACTATATCTTTAGATTTTGTTTCAGTATGAATATTTAAATTAATGGCTTGGGTATTGATCTGTTTGGTATATTAATATTTAAATGCATATCAGTTTTGGCATGTTGCTATCTGTTGTCTTGGGCATCATCTTAATTTATTTCCTTGCTGTCCCAGCTTCTGGATATTGGGGTAATTGAATGCATTGAAGGATATGATGTTACCATTAACATGTTTTAACTGGGCTTTACTATTTTACACACAGGAAATTGCTGAACTATACGAGTCTGAACAGAATATTGAGCAGGCTGCTGTTTACTATGAAAAATCAGCTGATTTTTTTCAAAATGAAGAAGTGACAACTTCTGCGAACCAATGCAAACAAAAAGTTGCCCAATTTTCTGCTCAGCTAGAACAGTGAGATTTTCTGCTTTCTCCATATTTTATCTCTTTTTATTATCGTGATGACTTGATTAATACTTACGCAACATGGATCAATTCTTTAGTTACTAATTTCTTCTGGGAGTTTTCTTTCTGGCCTTCCTTTTGTTCAGTATATAATCTTAATGGAAATCTATCATGTTTCTTTCTGCAATCCATATTATGTTGACTTGTGTACATGGTGTAAACAAAAGTCAGTCCATTGCTTCATTTGGTCAGAATCATATATATTCATGTGTATGATTTGTTCTTGTTAGAGCAGGAACAGCTAAAGAACTCCATATTCTAATTTGTGAAGGAAGGAACTTTATCAGAGCGTTCTTGTTATGGTACATCGAGTGCTAACAATTTCTATGTTATGATAACCCTTCAGATATCAGAAGTCGATTGAGATTTATGAAGAAATAGCTCGCCAATCTCTCAACAGTAATTTGCTGAAATACGGAGTTAAAGGACACCTGCTTAATGCTGGCATTTGCCAACTCTGTAAAGGGGATGTTGTTGCTATAACCAATGCATTAGAAAGATATCAGGTTTATGATTTCTCCGTAATTCACATTTTTAGACTGGTCATCTTACTAGTTGCTCAATTCTTTGAGTATGCATTGTTTTGCAGGAATTAGATCCAACATTTTCAGGAACACGTGAATATAGATTATTGGCGGTAGGTCACTAGTTTTTTAATTTCATTATTAATTTTTTATGACCAAGTCAATTGGATCAGAATATTTCGATTTTGAAGTAGCTGCCTCTTGTGTCAATTTTATTCAATTTCGGTATTTTTTTTCACAACATTGTAATTATTTTGTTGGCTGATTCTTTATTCATACATTTGCTAGATGAGATACTGACTTATTTTTTCCTGGTCGGTAGGATGTTGCTGCTGCAATTGATGAAGAAGATGTTGGAAAGTTTACTGATGTGGTCAAGGAATTTGATAGCATGACCCCTCTCGTAAGCTCCAAAAATTGTAAAACATGATTGTTGTTAACAAAATATGTCCAATTTAGTTTTTATCCACATTTATTGAGCCGAATAAACATAACCTTTAATTACTGAATTTTCTTTTTTGTAGCAATAAACATAACCTTCCATATGTAGCATTAGTGTCTGTTGCTCATCAACGTTATGCAATTTCTTGTGCAGGATTCCTGGAAGACGACACTTCTTTTGAGGGTGAAGGAAAAACTGAAAGCCAAAGAACTTGAGGAAGATGATCTTACTTGAATTGCACCAAGCATTCTGGTGGTTTGGACTTCATGTTTGATTATTTTCATTGTACTATGCGTGTCTGTCCAGTTGTTCATCGCACACATCTACTTACGGAGTTTACTTGCGTTGGTTTCAATTGGATTGGTCTGACTGAATTCGAGAAATGAGTTTTAAATGAGGTTGCTTGAGTCTGATATTATCTACATTGTGTATTGAATTACTGATTACTTGTTACGCCTGGTTTATGCTAACCTGTTAGCAATACTAATGCCTGTTATTTCATGCCGATAATTCCTAAAGAGAAGGGAAAAAAGGGACTAACCATCACAATTCATATTATAGCGATTTTGTAACGCTATACAATAAAACATTACATGTCATGCTTGTTTGTTAAAAATTGAACAACTTGTCAAATTAAATAGAAAAAATAAAGGAGAAAAAAACATTTTTTTAAAATCCACATTTGTTCAAACTCTACCAATAAGTTTTGAAAGCCCAAATGATCTTTTCTTAAGGCATATCAGACACACACTATACCTATAATACTCGTTAGTGAGGGCAAGAAATGAAAACACAATTGAACGTTAGAAAGAGCCCAACTCTATCAGTAAAGTCAATCGCTTTCTAATTTCCCTTCTCTTCTTTTTACCAGTACCCGACAATGCATCGTGAGTGTTCTACTTTCTTTCCGACTACTTTTTGTAAGGGAAAGATTCAAACACAAAATGCATAATACCGTGCAGCATTTTTTTACTTTTCCGCTCGATTATCTAATCATCGTATTCTTTCTTCAACCTCAATACAACAAATCATGGGCTTTTTTCAACAAAAATACTATTTTTAATAAAATATTATTAATTTAATTAATATGCTTTTTATTATTTTCTCTTGTATAATGATTCACTTAATAAAAGTATGATTTTGTGAATCATAATAAACTAACTACGCGAAGAAAAGCGTGACACGAGACTCAAACAAGGAAATAAAAGAGATGGGCTTTGACAAATTATATTTGTTGTTTTTACTTTTCTTCTTCTTTCTTAGTGGTTTCTTCATTCTTTTCGAACCCACAAAATGAATTTGCAATATTTTCAATGCTTCCTTCACTTTTTCTTTTTGCTGGCAGGTGGCAACAGGTAAGCAGCAGTCATATTTGGACGTTGAAAAGACAATGTTAGTCCAACGTTCATGTTTGACTGTGTTCTTATCTGGTGCGCCAACCATTCTAGGAGCCATTCTCGTTTTTTCGTTTTACTTCAACTTTAGAATTTAGATTTGATTTCTTGTTTGTGAATTTTATCAAATTTAAATAAATTACCTTTAAGGAAATCATTTGCATTCAGATGCCTTCCTCGTGATGAATCAGCTGATGGTATGTCTTACTCTACTTACATGAACTCTTGCGTGCACCTTTAGCTCTTTTTTTTCATCTTATGCCATGAAAATTTGATGTTATTTCTGGGTTTTCCGCGACTTTATTTGGTTGTTCGTCATGCATTTGTTGTATTATTAGAATTATAATTTTGGTTTTCATTTTTCAGTTAGCTTTAAATTTGTTTTTTTTTTTTTTATCAATGTTAAGTGTATAAGAATGTGTTTACTCAATTTACTGGGTCTCCATCACATATCTCAAGTAAAAATATCTTTGTCGTGATTTTGTTTTTGCTTGGATACCTTCCTCAGAGCTCATGGATTTGAAATCTTAGCATAGTTTTCCCTGTTATGTCTTCGCAGTGAGTGTTGTATACCTATACCATGGATGATTCCTTTCTGATTTGATTGAGAAAGCTCAGAGTTTTATATCAGAATGGTTTCAGTTGAGAATGGAATTGGGAATCCCAAAGATGAAATTGAGGAATCTAATGGGAGTAAAGTGAAGGAGTTTGCTTCTATAGACGTATCAACTACTCAAAGAACATTTCTGAGCAGTGAAGATCCTCAAAGAAAGCTTGAAGGCACCTCGAGTTCTTTTCCTTATAAATTTGGTTCTGCATCTCCCAAATTCAAGTGGCTTGCTACTGAGAGAGACCAGGTTTCACAATCTGTGCCTCCTCCTCGTTCAAAAAGCCTAAGAGCACGTTTTAGTAGCATATTTACTCAGAAACTTGAATTGGATTCTGTCAAGAAGATGTGCATTGAATGGATTAGAAACCCAATGAACATGGCCCTTTTTGTGTGGATCACGTGTGTTGCTATTTCGGGTGCAATTCTGTTCTTTGTCATGACAGGCATGTTAAACAATGTTCTACCAAGAAAGTCTCAGAGAAATGCATGGTTTGAAGTAAACAACCAAATACTCAATGCACTATTTACACTAATGTGCTTGTACCAACACCCAAAAAGGTGCTACCACCTTGTTCTTCTGTGCAGATGGAGACCAAATGACATCTCTAGACTTAGAAAGGCATACTGCAAGAATGGAACTTACAAGCCCCATGAGTGGGCTCATATGATAGTAGTGATCATTCTTCTTCATCTTAACTGTTTTGCTCAATATGCCCTCTGTGGTCTAAACTTGGGGTATACAAGGTCTGAGAGGCCTGCCATTGGAGTTGGAATATGTATATCTTTTGCAATTTCTGCTCCTGCAATTGCTGGCTTGTACACCGTTCTTAGCCCACTTGGGAGGGACTATGATTGTAAGATAGATGAAGAAGCACAGGTTCAAATCACTGCTTCTCAAAAACAAGAGCAGCTGAGAGAGCAACCATTTGAGAAGAAATATTTATTTGCATCCAAGGATCAACAAAGGATTGTGGAAAATAAACCAAAGTGGAGTGGAGGAATACTTGACATTTGGAAAGATATTTCTTTGGCATATCTCTCACTTTTCTGCACTTTTTGTGTATTTGGGTGGAACATGGATAGACTTGGCTTTGGAAACATGTATGTTCACATTGCCACTTTTATGCTCTTTTGTATGGCGCCTTTCTGGATTTTCATATTGGCTTCAGTTAATATTGATGATGACAATGTAAGGCAGGCTCTAGTAGCTGTTGGAATCATTCTTTGTTTTCTTGGTTTACTATATGGTGGCTTTTGGAGGATCCAAATGAGAAAGAGGTTCAATTTACCTTCCTATGACTTCTGTTTTGGCAAACCTTCAGTTTCTGATTGCACACTTTGGCTATGCTGTTGCTGGTGCTCACTTGCTCAAGAAGCACGAACCGTGAATAACTATGATCTTGTAGAAGATAAATTCTCTAGGGAAGAAATTGATACTAGTGACCAACTATCAATTTCACCTTTGGCTAGAGAAAATGTTGTATCAACCAAATCTGGCACAGGTTCTCCTCTGGGTAGCAATGCTTTCCCTTGTATGATGAAAACATCTAGTCCTCCAAATTCAACCAATGTCTTGAAGGGATGTTGCAGTGTAAAAGAAGAGAATTGTGAAATCGGTAAAGATGGAATAATGAACCCACCAACTCTGTCACTAATACAAAGAGAAGCTCCTTAGTCCCTTGAAGGAAAAGGAGGAAAAGGTTCTATCTTACACATTATTTGAGATGATCCATTTCATTTTTAGTGCATTCAGAACATCCCAAGTCATGGTTTTGCTCTCAAGTCTCTCAAGTCATATTTTCTGTTGAGTAACTGCTTCTAACTCAAATTCCTTTGTTGAAAATCATGAAATACACGTAATTCAACATATATGAAATGATTGTAGAGTTTTACAATTCTAACCTGTGTTCCAACTTGCCTTTAGCGAGTAACTTATTGATTGAGATTTGATTTAATTCCGCTGCTAATCTTATGAATGTGGCAGTTTAAAATATTAATGGTTGTGAATATGCAACGGCTAGTTCAATCCAAAGATACAACGCTCTCCACTTTCAGTGAAGTTTGGTTTTGAGACTCACTAAAAAATTAAGGAAATTTAGAGTATTAATAGGACAGAACTTAGGTAAAGTAATATAGGTACTGTTATTCTTCAATTGAAATTAGAATTTTACTTTTTATAATAAAAATTAACATTAAATATCAGCACATCGTTATTAAAAATTGACACATATTGTTGAGGTAAAACTCTTATTCTAATTAAAAAACGACACCAGTAATAACAGTACCTATAATACTCTACTTAATCTGTCTATGTTAATACAGCCAAAGGTATGAGGGAAAAACAAGTTAATTTTCAGCGAACTCAAGCTTCGTTCTCAGGCCTTTTTTATTCCGAATTTAAGAAAGGTTGGAAATGTTAGAATAAGGCCCAATAATTGTTCTAACATGAAAATTGGTAGTTCTGCACCAAGCAACCCAAGTCCTTCTCTATGCAGGGTCGCGTAACGCAACAATAGCCCAAGATCCAGAGCTCGTTTATTTTATTTTTTTAAAAATAAAATTAGTTTAAAATATAATTTTAAAAAATTTAAAATAAAAACCGAAACAAATAAGTCCTTTATCATTTTCTTATGATATAAAGGTTATCACTTTTTGTAAATTTTTTTACTTGCTCTCTTCTTTTACATAATTTTAAAAAAATAAATTTTACAAGTAATTATAAATCATTTATAAATTAAATTTCAGAGAAAAAATTAACTTTATTTCAAAATTAATTTTTTTAAATATTTAATATATTATGTAATCAAGGAAGATGTATTGGTTTAGGATTTCATAGAATTTTAAAAAAAAAATTTAAATAAGAAAGTCTGTTGGTATTTATCAAGATTTTTTATGTCACTTAAAAATAATTTAGTAGTATTTAATCTGAATTTTTAAGATTTTTTAAAAAGATCATTGATATTCATTTGAGACTTTTTACAAGTTAAAAACAATCAATTAATATTAAAAAATATAAAGCTTTCAAAAGATTGTTGTATTAAAGAGATTTTGAAAGACTTTTTAATAATATTTATAAATACTAAATTCATAAAATAATATCATCTTAACTTATTATATTTTAGAGAATTATTTGAAGTGACTTTTCAAGTGCTTACAAAAATTTTAGGTGAGTTTTTCATCTTTTTTTTCTATGATCCCGTCTCTTCTATTTTTTTTTCTCTGCTAATAATACTGCATTACTACTCATTTATAATATTGTACTACTGTTCCTATTCTATTATCCTATTTTGTGAAAATGTAAATGACAGTATCATTACCGATTAATAAAAATTAAAATTTTGAGCTTATTATTCAAATCCAGAAATAAAAGTTAAAAGACGCTAATACTTAGAGAACTAGTATAATTATAGATATGTGGGTTATATTACGGAGAATTATTATTATTATTATTATTTATTCAGACATTATTATTTTTTATTATTTTTGTCTTTAACTTTTTTAAATTTAAATGTATAAATTTTTTTTTGAATTCTTTATGTCAAAAATCAACGAAATTCTGCAAAGTTTACAAAGTCCTACAAAATCTATTAAATTCCTGACTTAAAAATATTGCAGAATCCATTAAAATCTTAATTTTAAAGCCTTGTAAAATTTTACAAAATCTTAAAAATCATAAAAATTTTACAAAGTCTTCTAAAATTCACATAACTTTTTTCAACCGAAAAAATTATTTAAAATATTAATCTAATACACCTCTTTAAATTCTAATTGTTTACACAATTTTTATAAATTGTATTAATTAAATTATATATCATAAAGTTGACCGACCAAAATATCTAATCTTACTTAAATTAAAAAATCTTAAAATTTTATCTTCCAGTCTTAATCTTATAATTTTTAATTTTAAAAAAATATCAATCATTTATTAGTTTTTATCACAATAGTTAACAGAGCTGTTTTCTGCATTAAGATTAATATGTTGGATTGACGCGAAAAAGATAAAACTTTTGTATCTTTGTGGTCTCGAGTCAATGCCATTCCACTACCACCAAATGACACAATTCCAAGTTCTCTTTTACCAACGTAAGTGGAATGCAAAGAGATCAAATGAGTTTTTTTAATGAAAAATTATTATTACATATCTCTAAACAACATTAAAAAAATGAAATCAAAACATAGGCACACAAAAAAGAGGGTGGCTATGTTGTCTTCACATGTATTTGCAATGGTCTTCGCGGGTCTCTTCAAACCAATCACGAGAGATAGCAACGTTGGATGAAGTGGGAGAAAAAACAGCTAAACCATAGCCATTAACATTGTTTTTATTATCATTTTTTATGCATATTAATGTCTGTGTGCTTATATCAGCACCACTCTATTTCTTCCCAGTGATACTAAGTGCTATGAGCTCCACCTTTTTCAACACTTACAAAAGCTTCTTCAGATATTTATTGTTGAACCAAACAAATTCAAGCAAAAAAACATATTATATTTTGTTATTTTTTAATTCATTGATACTAAGTGCTTATATCCATGGTAGTAATTAATTTTATAAAACTTTTAATTCATTGAAAACCTTCTAAAATATTATAAGACAATATAAAAATATTAACCTTGAATATAAACAACTAATAATGATTATTTTTATTAAAAAATATTTATTATATTGTTATAATTTTAATATCATAAATATTTTTAAAAATAAAATTAACATTTTTAGACTTTTAAATTAAGTATTGAGATTAATAAAAAAATATTAAACATAATATACTTACGTAATTTCATCAGTATACAAAATAAAAATAAAAATTTTACAATATTTATAATTTTGTTAAAAAAAAAAATAAATATAAATAATATTAATAATACACTCTCTATCATACTTATCACTATTACTTAAAATTTATTAAATTAAAATTGTAATGAATTAAAATATTTTTTATGCTCTAAACTTGTTTTTAATAAAATGTTATGCTTAAAAAAATTTAAAATTTATTAAAGATTATAAATATGACGTAATATATACTCTTTTTTATTTTTAAGTTAATATTTTTAAAATTTTAACAAATAATAAAAAATATATTTTAAAAAATATCGCAATAAATATATGCTTGAAAAGCATAAGAAGCACTTCCATGAGTGAAGAGCATGTTTTTGGGTATGCGAGAGTTGAGAGTTTCCTTCTGGGGAAGTTCTTATTTGGTGCATTCACATCCATCGCAACCCGACATCATACACATACTGATAAAATTGTACAGTCCACACCACCATCATCGTCATCATCACACACTGTATCGTCAATTTGTTAAAATACGAAGATAAATGTTAGATGATACTGTAAAACTAGATAATAAGCCATGCCATAAAAAGTTTAACTATTTACTACATATAAAACCAAATGATACACTTTTTTAGTTTATGTATTCAAAAGTGAACGAAATATCTGTCAATTTAGTCTGTTCTTGTATGAATGTCACTGTGTTTTACCTCTAATTGCTTACGTTATATGTTGACTACCGAGTAATACAAAATTATACTATGATTCCTCTGTTTTGCCCTTAATGTGTCTGAAACCTGAGTTTTCAAGGTATTACTGTTAAACTAATATTAATCTGTAGAGTTGTTTATTCCGTAACGTGTTCGTAGGATGGGTAGGAAGAGTTTATCTTTGTCTTTATTTTAGTATAAAGTTAACACATTTGTTCATTTACATTTGCATCTTACATAAATCATAATTTAATAATTAAAAAAAACCAAGTGTTCATCTTGTAATTTCATTTTCATGCAGCCATTTTAAACATCGTAATTTTTATTTAATTTTTGTAAATATCATAATTTGTTTGAAAGATAAAAACCTTAGTTAAGCTTCGAATCGTAGTCGGTGCCGTCCGTTGAATCCAAGAAATAATACACGGAAGTGCTTACCGACTAATTGTTTTGCACCTCTCGTTTGCTCTGTTTCTTCAACTCTCTGTTTTTAACCAAAGTAAAGTACCCTAACACACCATTCATATTTGCTATGAACTTAAAACTTTATTTTAAATAAAATTAAACATGAAATCAAATATTAAAATATGTATTTTAAGGTTTTTTTAAGATTTTCTTTTTCATTTATAAAATTCTATCTGTGAATTTTTTTATTTAAATGTCATATTAAAAATAGATAATGTATATATACACTTGTCATAAAAGCAGATAATAAAATATTTAAAATTCAAAAAGACCAAATGAATTAATCTCTTATCTGTCTTAGAACACTTACAATTTCGTATATTTTAGAATTATAATTGATATTTAGAAACGGCAAGTTAAAAGTTAAAATGTTAACTAAAGTTCTTGATTCATCTATCCTTAATTTAAAAGCTCTGTTAAATTTAGTTTTTAGAAGGATTTATACTTGAAAAAAGAAACATATGGAACTTACATAATTTAATAAATTCACTTAAATTGAGTATAATAATTAAAAAATACAGTTAATTAATATGTTAGAACATACCAACTAAGAATATTAGTAAAAAAAATAATATATATATACTCTTGACAAGTCTAAATTTCTGAATTTCAAACAAAGTAACACATGAACCTTACCTTGAGGTTAAGGCAAACCCAAACCTCGTTTTCATATTGGTATTTTGCACCAACCAAGCAAATTAAGCTAAACGAGTTAGCGTAAGAAAGTAATCCAAAAACAAGATACACCCTTTATCACATTTATACCCACCACCACTTATCACTTATAATTTTCATTATTCAATTATTACTTAGTTCAATTGGATTATATAAATTTATTGTTATTTTAAGGTAATTGGTTATAGTTTTTATATTAAATTGATATTTATAACTTTTAAAATAATTTTAAATACATACTGTAATTAAAATTTATTGTTAAAAGTTAATATACACTATTAAATAACAACATTAAAAAATATTTACAATATTGAACTTTTAACTTTTATTTTTTTAAACTTCTCACACGCATCAGTATCACCAAAAACCACAGCTCAGTGCGAAGTCAAAAAAGTAGGCCTGACCGTCGTTTCGTTCTCCCTGTCATTTTCTTCTGGACACGGATGATATCCTGTTCCCAACTTCATCCATTTCTTTCAACACCACCAATCAATAATCACCACGTCATCAACAAAAAAGGATCCAAATAGAACCGGCCTCACCAAATCAGCACATTGCGGTGTGAACTTCCTATAAAACCCCCTTCGGTTGCCTTCAAAGACTCATACCTCAATAGAAGGCATTGTTTGGTTAATCGCAAATTCGAATCTCGAATCGCTTAGCTCTACGGAAAACTCCTTCTCGAACTGGCTAACTCTCAGGGAAGTGTTGAGGACGCTGATTCCAGCAATCGGAAGCTGGTGCTAGCACTGTATGACGCCTTAAACTCTCGAGACTCCGACGCCGTCGTCAAAATCGTCGCCGCCGACCTCGAGTGGTGGTTCCACGGTCCACCTTCTCACCAATTTTTGATGCGCATGCTCACCGGCGATTCCACCGTCGCCGACGACAATTTCCGATTCGTTCCGCAATCAATTGCCTCCTTCGGCTCCATCGTCATCGTCGAAGGCTGCGACACTGCACGCGCCATTTCCTGGGTTCACGCTTGGACCGTCACGGATGGGATAATTACTCAAATCAGGGAGTACTTCAACACATCCCTCACTGTCACACGCATCGCCGGCACCGACGAGATCGTTCCGGTCAGTTCCGGCACCGGCCGTTTGCCCTGCGTTTGGGAGAGCAGCGTCTCCGGTCGGGTCGGGAAATCCGTGCCCGGTTTGGTCTTAGCAATATAAAAATTAAAATTAAATAAAAAATTAGGACGCGGTCACGTGTTCCCGTTACTAGAATAATAAATAAGGGTTTGGACACGTGGCGGTCGCTGGGTCGTTCAGCTTCAAGGGGCATTAATTGATATTGGTGTTCCCGCGAGGTCGGAGAGATGTGAGACCCTTTTGTTATTGGTTTGGTGTTTGATTTTGTGATTTGTTTTTCATTTCGCTGGTTTGTTTGGTTTGATTTCGTTTGTTTGGAGTGTTGTGGGAACCATTATGGGTGTATCCAGGTGGTTGAATCCTTCTTGTGGGTTTGTAATTTGGTATTTTGATGATGCAATAAGAGTATCTATGAATCTTTGTTTTAAGAGCTGTGTTGTTATGCTAAATTCTATTACTCTATTAAGTAATTTGATTTCTCGTTTCATTATGCTAATTGTGAAACCGATTATTTATCTGGGTTTCTGTATTTGAAATTATCTCTGTTCTGATTAACTTTTAAAAAATGATGTTAGAGAAGTATGTGAAATGATCTGATGAGTATTTTTGGCCTTTTATTTAGTATAAGTGAGGTTTGCAAACATTAGAATTTCATCTTTTTACTGATTTTTTCAGAATTGAAGAATTTAAGTCAAAATGTCAAAAGTTTATATTGTTTTGTAAAGATTATTAATTGAATACATAAAACAATGTTTGTGAGGGACCGTTACATACTCATGTCTTTTTCTGTGTTTCTTTCTGTTTGAGATGACAAAATTGAAGTGGAAGAATGGAGATTTTGTTGAAGTGACAGGTTCACTTCACTGATAATCTTTTTATATGCAATCTAATAATATAATTAAAATATTTTAATTCATGATTATAATACACAGTGGAGTTATTGAAAGGTTAAATGATAAACAAAAGCAATTATGATGAAATAATGAGAATAATGCTTTGCTTATTGATTTAAAAAAATTAAAATCAATTAACAGAAAAGGTCAGTGGCGTCTTTAAACTTTTTGGGAGTGGTAGGGCTAAGATCCTTCGGGAAAATTCCAAAGGAGTTGCGATTGAAAGAAGAATTAAGAAAGGGAAAGATGAAATAGTTGGCTAGTTGCTACTATTTTGATGTGACGTAGCACTTTACATATGCGCGTCGCTCACTTCATTGATAAGCCTCAGTTTTGGCCTTTCGGGGCATGCTTCATAAACGATACCTTTCGCATTAACTTTTCAGCAAGTTGCATTTATATTTAATCAACTTTCATAAAGTTTCCCTTTCATATTTTATACAATATTATATTATTACATAAATTAAAAACTATATAAAATATCAAGTAAAAATTTATTAAATATAAAAAAATGTGATTAAAACTATTTAATATCAAACCAAACTATTTTTAAACTATTAAATTAATTAATTAATTAATTAAATTAATAAAAAATTATACTATTATAATTATATTTGATAAAATGAGTAAAAATTTAAAAGCTTGTAGTTATAACAATGAAATTTTAACTGTGTAATAAATAAATTATTTTTTAAATATAAAATAAAAAATATTAATAACTAATTTTTGAAAATTAAAACTACTTTAGATAAATTTAAATAAATAAATTTTTAAAATTTATAAATTTCATTCATTTTATATTTATTAAATAACTTTACGACTTCAAATTATTTTTATAATTTAAATTTATTTTTATTTTTATTTTTAAACAAAGATTAAAACTAGATTTAACAGCAAAGATCTTTACATGTGAGTATAATTTAAGCTAAAACGTTATTGATTTATTATAGAATATCTAAGCATCAACTCGCTAACAATCTTAAATTATGATTTAATCAATTTAAAGGATTAAATAACTTATTTGGGCAAATGGAATAAAAATGTAACAATTATTTTAGAGTGATGGGACAATAAAGATGTAAGATATATAATAATAGAGTTGAGTTAGTTTTGATGAAAAATATTGAGTGTTACGAATAGATTTTAAAAAAGAATTTTATTAACTTCAGCTTATATGATTAAATTTAAGTATTTATAAATAAATTTTTTTATAAAAAAATATAATTATTATATTAAAATTATAAAAATATAATAAATATTTTTTAAAATAAATTTTTATTATTATTAATTATTTATTCTCAACATGGTCAGAGATTAACAAAATACTTAAAAAAAAAAAAAGGAGGACGCGTGGAATTAGGAGGCACAGCTCATGAAAAGCTGGAACCTGAAGGAAGGTCCACCAACTACTGGCCACTGTGTCATAGGCGAATACAACTAAACTTTAATAATGTCTCATTCAATAGTAAGATGATTCGCCATTTACTCATTTTCCTTTTGCCACGTCAGAATCAGCCTCTGCCATTTCTTTTTCTTCTCCCACCCATTTGCCAGGTCAGGAGTTGTAAACAACTGTTTAATGTTCATTCATTTGTTTTATGTTTTACAAACATGTTTCGAGCAAAAGAGGATCTCCATGTCAAGTCCCAACACTTCCGGCCAGATAATTGATAAGGGCATCCCATCATTTTTATTATTTTCTCTTCCAAATTTGTCAAGATCAAATTATTATAAGCCACAAAATTTTCTCTCACATATTTAATGCAGCAGTGTTTGTTTGTCGAAGAGAATTTAAGGTTAATTTTTTTTTATAATAATTTTAGTGTAAAAAAATCCATTCTTCTTAGATTCAAGTAGATATCACTGTAATAAAATTTTGTAAAAATATATAACAAAAATGCTTTCTTTTAACATCTCTGGCCAAAATAAATAACAGAACTGTGTTCTTACACCATCTTTTTGCATGTGTCCACAAATCCAACAATAGTTATTCATTGAATTTGAACTAAAACAGGGAGACAAAAACAATTCACCATCTCTGATGGATTAGTTCACAGATCCAAGACACGAGTTATTCAATGGAATTGGGTTCAGACAGATAGAACGACACAAACAATAGACGATCACACCAGACATGGGTGTTTTTATTTTTCTCTCTTCACAATATCCAGTGGAGTCCACACCAGACACCGACCAATACAAGGAGATAAGAAGATAAACAGTTCATCCTGGTTATTCCAACTAAAAACAATAGACGATCCAAACCTTAACAAATAAAAATTAATAATGTTATGTTATTGCCCTTTTGGGATCTCCGATAAAATAATATCTAGTTGTTAAATCATAGCTATAGGGCTAAAGTACGCACCCAAAATCATAAGATGACCTAATTACCATGGTTTTCATGGTAGATAAACCAATCTTTATCCATTTGATAATTCTAAAGAATTATTAAACTATCTAATTAAAGTGTATTGATATATAGGAGAGAGATGTTATCACGTTTAGTGGGGATAAGACCTTAAATATCACAAAAATGTCTTCTTAGTTTTCGATATGTGATTCGCCTTTTCCTTCCTCCTTTTTCAAGTCTGACTGAAATTTTTAATATCGTTTTCAGCTACAGAATAGAATAAATCCAATATATTAATAGAATAGAAAGGACATTATGTCGAAGTAGTTATCTTTTGATGATGATAACATTGGCATCTTGGAGAATATCGCATAAAAATAATTTTATTATTCTCTTTACAGGAGTTCCCCTTAACTTGGATTATTATGATTATCGCATAATTGGATCCAAATTTGATTTCCTTTTTAATATGTTCCCCCTTTTCGCAAGAAGGTGGTGGTGCTTTTGCCCAGGTCTGATCAATTACACAGTTTAAGGAATATTTCATCAATGGATTCCACTTACAAACCTGAAGGGTCTTATCAATATTAATTATTTATTATGCCATATATTAATATGATATGTCAGCTATGCGAGAAATCATATTAAATTATAACTTAACCATGTAAGTTAACTTGAGAGAATGGTTTAATAGAACCAGCTTCAACCATGCTGATGACACCATTGTGCAACCACGACTCAATTTTAAGTTAATTGATATCTACGCTTAAGAACACTAAACGTAACCCAGTTGCCAAATGTTTATTTTACATAATTGAGGGAAGTTTTGCTATTTCACGTCTTGATCAATTCTATTCTTGCGACAAGTCATTTCCTTTTATTTTTTTCCCATGTCATTGTCGAGATTTTTCCACAACCTTTACTTTTCTCAAGCTTAATTATGGGATAAGTGAGAAAAGTCTATTCATATCATAATCCATAAACCCCACTTGACTCATATAAATTTTTAAGCCTTTTTTGCGTACTTATCGGAAATTCATATACGAGTCCAACGTTTGTTGTTTATATTAGAACAGAAATTTTGTATTTACAAGTAATACATTTTATTATTTCATAGGATTAATACCATTTTCTAAACCCCAACAACAAAAAAGGAAGTTGATGTTTCCGTATGAAAACTGTATGGAAAAAGAAAGACAAATTCAAAATGAATTTAAATGGGTCTTTCAATTTCAATTTTGAATCGTGGAAGTAAACTTCAATTTTTTTTTAACAAAAAAATGTGAATTATTACTCCTAATGACATAAAATGGCAGTACTATTATATATGTCATAAACATAATCCTAGTGGGTTATAAATTATAGTTTCTATCTAACTCGTCAATAGCTAAGAACAGATAAGATTCTGAAATGGCATCATATCGGAATCTTATTCCTTGTTAGACATGATGACAAGGAGCAGGTGTATGATAGTGGGAAATCAACAAATTCTTAGTTAGCTCTTTTTTTAAAAGGAAAAAAAATAATGGCACGAGGTGGAATCAATTAGAATGTGAGAAAAGAATCCATCAACGTGCTCTTTTTTTTCAGAACATTCGTAGATCAGTTGGAATGTGAGAATATTCTTTAAATTAGTCAGTGGGTGCTCAAAGCAATGGCAATGGCCTAAAATGGGTTTTTCTTTTTCTTTTTTATCATAGAAATGTTTGTAATAAGTACTTTATGGAATCCTTACAAGATTTATTGTGAAACCTATATTTATAATTTATTTTACTTGAGCTTATTTACTGGGCAAAACGAAAAACAGGAATTCATTTAATATATTTAAGATAATTTTAAATTGATTTTATCAAAATTTGAAAATAGATAAAAAAAAATGGAGATAAAGTCCTTAAACATGAACATTTGGTACATTAAATACACTTCTTTTAAGTCTGTAAAGATATAAAATTAACATTGAATTGATAGCCCTAACTTGAAGTTGTTAAAAAGCATATGTTATGCATAATGTTTGGTCAATAATTGGCTTTCTCATCTCTCAAAAGCCAGAGACTGTTCTATCTACTCTGCAGCATCAACATAACATGTCGGTGCATAGCTTGCAAGCTATAAGGGGTTTGGTATCACTGTCACCACTATCTGCTGTCAATTTTGAAGCGACCGTATCCAGATTTTTAGTTAAAATCTCGATACTTGTTTTTTAAGGATGATTTACACTTACAAAGAAAAGAAATTGTTAAAAAGTGTCTGCTTAAAGAGTAAAATTGTTTTATTTTTTATTAAACAATATAAAAATGTACTCATTTTATAATTTTTAATGCATTCTAAGGTAATATTTTATAAAATTCTAATGCATTCTATTTTAAACAAATATATTTAAATTTTATAAATTTTGAAGATTAAAAATATAAAATGATGAACTATCATTGATATGATAATATATTAGTAATTTCTTACACCTTTAAATTCCCTCCTCCCAAACAAGTCTAAGGTGTGGTGCTACGGCAGGAAAAAAACAAAGGTAATTATTCTTTTAGCTTGCTGCATTTAAATTTGTGCAGTTTTAGTAGGGAGGCCAAGTCACCATTTGGGCCTTACCCGAGCAAGGATTCAAGGAGTGGATGCTACAGAAGTTCCAAAATGGGCTTTTCATGATCCATATAATGAGAAAAAGATGGTCCTTTTTCTATGAAATGGGCTTGTAATAGCGTCATCATCTAAGAATTTTGATTCTGTCATACTCTATAGGAAACCATAGATCCTATTTTTGAATGTGTTTTTACTCAAAATTTATTGCATTATTATGTATTGACTTGGGTTACTTTGATTTGCTCCCTTCAAGATTAGCTGATTGAAAACATTGCTTCCCCTTAGCAAAGGAGAAAAATAGAGATATTTTTCTTCCGCATGCCTCATTCTTATATTCAGTGATGCATGCAATTTAGAGGTGTAGAAATTTATTAATTTTTCAAAAAATGAAAGCAAAAATCTTCCTTAAGTTTGTGGGCAAGTAACTAGAGATTCAAATTCCGTTAAAAACTAATTGGAAAAGATCTGACTCTTGAAATAATTATTTTTTTATTTAAAAATAATAAATTCAACATTAATGATTAAAATTTTCGTCCAAATTGAGGCATTGAAATTCTTGCAGTGGATCCAAATCCTACATTATACATACATACATACACTTAGTTCTAAGTTCTTCAAGTTGCATAACTGATAATAGACATGTGATCTTTGTCTTCGGTACAGCATCCACTAATAACAAAAAAAAGAAAAAAGAAAAAAGAAGAATAAGAAGAAAAAACCACAAAAAATCTCAACTTTCAAAAGCAGCATCATTTTCTCTCTGCGTGGGATAAGGATTTGATGGGAAAATCTCTTGAATCTGCGGCGAGATTGCACCATCTCTCGCGGATCGTTTCATCTACGAAACCCCATAAGCCGAAAGGAACACAATCCAGAATTCCGAACCGGGTTGCCACCCCTCGAACCGTGAACCCGGATAGTGTTAAGGTTGAATCTCTGAAAAAAATGGAAGCTTTGGAAGTGGAGCAATGTCGCACACCCTTGTCCAAGGTTGTCGCCGATTGCGCCAAACGGTGGTTTCAGGACACGCTTAAGGAGGCTAAGGCTGGTGATAGTTCCATGCAGGTTTTGGTTGCTCAAATGTATTGCTCTGGCTATGGTGTTCCAAAGGATCCTCAAAAGGTCTTTTTTTTTCCTTCTTGTTTATTTAATTTTTTTATTTATTTGAATAATTAGTTGCATAATTGGACTCGCTTTTGTAAAGGGTATAGTCAATTAGTCATATATGTTTGCATATATTTCTGTTGAGTTGTCAACATTTGGTGATAAAATTATGTGATTTTGTTCACTCCTTGTTGGGAATGAAACTTAGATTGAAACATTGAGTGCAGGGAAGTTGGGGAATTTTGTACAGGTTTTTTTTTTTTTTTTTTTTTTGTAATTTGAAATCACTTTTCTTATGTTGTTTGTTAAAATAAAAATATGCATGAATTCAATTGGCTGTTTTGAATTTTTAGTTATAGTCCTAGTTTCCTGTCTTTTTTCTTATTTTTCGTTATTTGCATTGGTTGATAGGGCAGTTAATGCTTCTGAACCTTGCTAATTTGAATCTGTATAATTGGTATGCTGTTGCCTGCTGGTGAACTTGTGGTTACTGATTATACTGCTACCAACTTTGTTTATAGGGACATGCTTGGATTAGTAAAGCTTCAAGAAGTCGAAATTCAGTTTGGAGAGTATGCGGTAAACATCCAGGTAAGCTCTATATTTTGTTGATTTAGTAAATTGTGGTTTTATATGTAATGATTTATCTCTATTTTGTTGACATGCAGGTTACAATGCAAGTGATTCAGATTCATGTGACCAGGAGAACAAACAACGAAGATAGATTTTTCCCTTAATTTGCAAGTATAGCTCGTTTTATTTTTCTCCCTTTTCTAAGAGATTGAATTTCAATTCTATAATGTAGTGTATGTTAACTTATTAGTTTTTATTTATTATAACATCCAAAACATAAGTCAAACCATGTAGCTGACAATTATTCTACAGGAGTGTCACTTATTTTAAATGTAGTAGTTGTGTTGTTCATTTTCATGAAGGTGTCATAATATAATAACATAAAACTTCAAGAGCATGCCTTTTTGTATTGCTTATTTATTTTGCCTAGATGAGTATTGTTTTCTTTCCTCATAAACCTGCAAGTTGATGTCTAATTTACAATGCTCCAATTGTTGACCACCCTGCATTTAGGCTTATGAGAGTAACTCTAATACTAAGACTCTCATCTACTCGCCTCAATTCTCTAGGTGATGATAGCTACAACTACAAATGTTATTTCCTGATTTTGATACTAACTAGCATCTAGTTTGCTATCCAATTGTGGCAATTTGTATGATAAGCTGCCTGAAACTAAATGTGTGTTTAGTTCAGCTCATTTTGAAGAGATATCTGTTTCTTTATCAACTTCCTAAGAGAGCACAAACTGGGTTTGTGGTTAGGAAGGATGGCTGTAGTGTATAAAATGCCCTGATAAGTAAGACTTGCAAAAATGATTGCAGCATTGCAAGCACAAATTGAAATGATATTGAAATCTAAAGTGTGTCTATTGCCATTTTTATTTAAGAATTTTGTCTAAAACACTCTTTTTGTTCACTTATAACTATGTTAATAGTATGGGTTAGACAAAAATCACTTAAATATAGACACTCCCTGAAATGTTTATTAGCCGCATAGAATATGAAAGATGTTGATTGAGGAATTTACCTCATGACATATAATTGCTTGTGATAACAAATGCATAATCACTTTTTGGGTTAGGTTGGAAAAATAGAAATCGTACATGCCAATTCATCATGATTGTTTACCATCAGGACCTACTAATGGGAACTCTAGTTGTGGTATTGCCTTTGGGCAGCATTCTCCTAATTTGCCTATATCTCTTGTGAAGCAAGGAGCACTTTGGAAGAAGATTTTTCTCCTAACATAAGATTCTTCATCTTTGTAGTGACCTGTTTGGCTCAACGACTTGGTACTCCTTCCGATTTTATGATATACAGGCTGATTTTATATTTCTGGCGCACATACATTGACCCTATGTTACCTTGATACGGGTAACATAGGATAGATTATGTTACCAAAATGAAAAATTCAATATCTAATAGAAATGTCATTCTTATTTGTAAGGCGTGCATTTCAAATTTTTTTTCCTTTGGGCAAGGAAGAGCGGGTTTTATGTTGAAAATTTGGAGAATTACCTATGTAACATTTAGTTATGTACCCTAACATGTTCTACAACATTTGAATAGAGAATGGATATGAACATGATACCGGAGAAGAATTCATATTAATCATTAAATTACTTCTTCTATTTTTATTTATTTATTTACATGTCTTCTTAGAAGTTTATGAAAAAGAAATAATTGTGGAAGTTATATTAAGTAATATATATATTGGTTGCATTCCTCTATATGTGCATTATCCTTCAAAGTAAATATATAAAAAGGGAAACCGATAAGACAAGCTAATTTGAATAAAAGAAAATTCATGATACAATTTTTGCAAGGAAAGTGATGAATATGGCACCATGCGCTTTAGCCACTGAAAAATACATTATTCTTGTAATCACGCATGAATGTGATGGTTTTAGATAAACATTTCTTCACTAATTTTCCGTTTGTATTAACTAGTACCTATTTATTAGAAAATGTGACAGTATATAATTTTAACAATCATTAATTACTTAACCAATATTCTCTGCGTATTAATTAACATTTGCCTAAATTTTCTTTTACATCTCCATAAGTTCTGTTCACTAGTTTTGAGGCAAACCATCATGATTGCCGACCTCACTTTCGAATAAGTGGAATCCAGACACTCCCAAACCTTAAATTGGGGACAAAGTTTCAACTTTTCTTTCTTCCATAATTCACGTCAAGAATCCAATTCCGTCTTCTTCACTTTATTTTATTTATAATTATAAAATCATAAATATTTGCTCCATTTGTTTCACGCGGTTCTAAAAATCATTAGAACCACCCTTCTCTTCCTTTTTCCTCTCTCTCTCTCTCTCACACACACACACACACATAGATCATACCATCAATCAGAATGGCAAATGTAAGAGCCAACCACAAACCCACTTAGCCGATACTAATTTCATCTTTTTGTTTTCAGCTATTCGACTCAGAAGTTTCTTGTTGCATGTCATCAGGTTGTGGAAGTTAAAGTCGGTTTGCACTGTGATGATTGTATCAAGAAAATCCTTAAAGCCATCAAGAAAATTGAAGGTTGTTAATTTTCCCAACACCAACAAAATCATTGCTTTTTATGTTTATATAAAAGGGCATTTAGAAGAATTTAAAGGTTGTTTACAAAAAGAGTTTATGATATTTCAATAAATTTATGTTATTTTTGGTTTATTTTAATAACTTTTACGGTTAAATTTTGTCATAAATTTTAGCAGAAAATAATTTATCGAATAAGTGTTTAATTAAATTATGTATCTATTCTTTGTGCAACACTTTACAATCACAATTTCTTTGGATTGGTTGCAGATATTGAAACGTATAACGTGGATACAGAGTTGAACAAGGTGATCGTTACGGGCAAAGTCACGAAAGAAGAAGTGATAAGAGTTCTTCAAAAGATTGGAAAGAATGCAACTGCTTGGGAAGATGCTTAAAACAATAAGTGAAGTTTAGTTTAGGGTAGCATAATAGTTTACATTTTCACTAAAACATTTATATTTGTACCCTAATATTTGATAATCATTAATAGTTTAATTATATCTACCTCAGTTTTGTAAGTTTTTTTCTTTATTTAACTTAAAAAATTCTGGGTTAGGGGAACCTTTGGATCTGGATGAGATTAGCCCTGATGAAGATTTCATTTCATTTAATGCAAAATTCAGCTTATTGGTGTAAAAATGAAAGAAGCAACAAGTTAAACACCATCGGCACCACAAAAATGAAAATGGGTGTTAAAAGAAGGTTAGAAAGGGTCGATTTAATAGCAAAAACTTTTTTTTTTGTTTTCGATATTTTAAAAGACCTCTCCAAAATAATGTTAATTATTAATATTTTTTGCTTAAAAATAAAAATGTTATTAATTGACTCGATAACAATCCATGTTGTTTTGTGGCATGAATATTTTAAAAAATAAAATAAAATAAATAAAATAGTGTTTATGATCAATAATATTTGAATAAAAATTAAATAAATTGACTTTATATCAATTAAAATAGAAATATTAAATAAAAGTAATTATAATAATTTAGTTATTGATTTTACATCTTAAAAAAACCTCAAAAATAAACTTCAAATAAACTAATAATAGTTTTAATTAAATTTTTAAAGAATTTTATTTTAAACATAGATATAAGTTAGACTGCCCTAGACTAGAGTCAATCTTTGACACTTATCTAGAATTTGGTTCGAACTTTGAACAATGGACTTGAGACAGTGAATCATGATCCATGACCATGCTATATATGCTGCAAACAAATGTTACATTGTTTACACGTCATTTATGTCTCAATCTCATCCTCATCGATCCCCGACTCAGATAATGTAGCTAAAGTAAGCAAATAAGAGACAGACATTGACAATATTAACCACAATCCAATGCATTTCCATGGCAATGGCATTTCAATTTACATAGTTTTGTGGATTTGCTAAAAGGTCTCTACTTAATATCATTTTGTATCATCCAAACCAAAGTTGTACAAATATGGATTCCCCTATATCACAAAAAGAGTGAATGGTTACTATAACCACCTTACTTGAAGGCTAACCGTTAAATATGTTAAAACCAAAATACAAGCCCAACCTCTTATTTTATTGTCTAGACTTGAAGGCTTTCGAGCACTGTTATGTTACCCTTTTCATCTTCTTTTCTTCAAGAAAAAATTAATATCAACATTAATAAACCAAGTTTTATTTTCCCCTTGCATGCATATGGAGCCAGGAAATGGAAACCTGACATTGGTATGCCAAGATCCCCATGGTTATGGTCACAATGATATATGGCACCTTGGCAACCCACTCGATTCCCCCACTTGTCTTCTCCTTGTGCAGGTGGCTTTGATTACCGTAGTCACACAGTTCATAGACATTTGTTTAAAGCCACTCGGACAATCTTCCCTTGTTTCTCAGATTCTTGTAAGCTTTCTCTTAAAAGTGATATATTTTCCATGATCATCATGCATGCATTTTAACCGAAACACTTAACATGTAACAAAAAATTACAAAAAAAATTGAAACATATTTGAGGGTCTAAATTAAAACTAATGTTAAATATAAGGCATGGTTTTGTGTTTCATGCTAATAAGTAGAATAGAAAGCTGATTGCTTTATTACATTTATATGCTTGCTACAGCAATTAGTATTAACAAATGATGGATGGTAACAGGGTGGAGTGGTATTTGGGCCATCAGTTATTGGGAAGCAAAAGATGCTGGCGAACATCTTATTCCCTGCAAGGGGTGTTGTAGTGCTTGATACAGTTGCATCGTTTGGCCTCATGTTCTTCTTCTTCATATGGTGTGTTAAAATGGATCTTGCCACACTGTTGAGGACAGAAAAGCATGCTATCGTTATTGGTTTTTCTGTATTCTCATTTACATTGGTAATACCTACTGGGGTGTCCTTTTTGATGAGGAAATATGTTGCGATGAACAAGACCCTCTCACATGCACTACCCTTTGTAGCTTTCTCACAAACCTTAACTGTGTTTATCAGCATTGCAGTCCTCTTGACAGATCTCAAAATCCTCAACACTGACATAGGACGTTTAACAATGTCAGCAGCAATGTTTGCTGATATTATTGGCTTTATTTCGACAGTGATCATGTTTTCCATATTGCAGAATAAGAGTGGTAGCATGCTGACACTAACATGGATCATTCTATCTATAGTTGCACTCTTACTTGTTATTTTATTTGTCATGAGGCCGCTAATACTTTGGATCGTAAAGCGCTCAGGTGGTGATTCTGTTAATGAATTTTGTGTTGTTTGCATCTTTGTCTTTGTTATGATAGCTGGACTTCTCAGTGAATTAATTGGGCAACATTTTGCTATGGGACCTATAATTTTAGGCCTGGCTGTTCCAGAAGGGCCACCTTTAGGCACAACTTTGGTTAGGAAAATGGAGACAATCTGTTTAGCATTTCTTTATCCAATATACCTTGCTGTTAATGGATTGCAAACAGATATCTTCAGAATTGATGCAAGATCTGCGTGGATTGTGAGTGTCGTAGTGATGTTGGCTTTCATTGTGAAGATTGGTGCTGTGATGTTGCCAGGATATTATTCCAATGTATCCTTGAAAGAATCTTGTGTGATTGGACTTCTTCTAAATGGAAGAGGTATAGCTGAGCTTACTATGTACAATATGTGGAAGGGAAGCAAGGTATGAATGTGAGACCAAGACTAGTGAATTCAATTTCAAAGCATCATATGCAAGTGCATGTTCATTGATTAACTAATAATATAAAATCTCTTCTATTCTCTATGGCAGCTACTATCCGATCAAGAGTTCTCTTTGATGGTGGTCCAAATTTTAGTAATAAATGTTATCATAACACCACTCATAAAATTGTTATATGATCCTTCAGAACAGTATCATACTGGAAGAAGATGTTCAATTCAACACACTAGGAGAGATTCTGAGCTTAGAATCATGGTTTGCATTTACAACAATGAAAACATACCCACAATCCTCAACCTCTTGGAAGCATCCTATGCAAGTAGAGAGAGCACGGTTGCAGTTATAGCACTAGTCCTAGTAGAGCTTCTTGGAAGAGCTAGGCCTATTCTTGTTGCTCACCAACCCCATGATACACTTCGCTCAATGTCATGCAATTCAAATCACATTGACAATGCTTTGAGGCAATATGCACAGCAAAATGAAGGCCTTGTATCAGTTCAGTCTTTCACTTCAATCTCCAACTTTGACACAAAATATGATGACATTTGCCGAATATCACTTGATAGAAGAGCCAACATTTTGATCTTGCCTTTCCACAAGAGGTGGGAAATTGATGGAAGTGTTGAGGTAACACAAAGGTCTATCCAAATCATGAATGTTAAAGTCCTTGAAAGGGCACCATGTTCAGTGGGAATTCTAGTTGATAGGGGTATATTGAGTGGTTCTCCATCACTCTTAATGGCTAAAGCAACATTCTATGTTGCTGTGTTGTTCATCGGGGGTGCTGATGATGCTGAGGCACTAGCATATGGTACTAGGATGGCTAGGCATGAATGTGTGAGTGTAACAGTGGTTAGGTTCCTTCTATTTGGTGAGGAGAACTCTAAAGACAGAAAACGTGATAGTGATCTTATTGATGAATATAGATACTATAATGCTGGAAATCGTAGGTTTGAAGTCATTGATGAAGTGGTGAAAGATGGTATAGAGATGTCAACATGTATAAGAAGATTTATAGATTATTTTGATCTCGTGATGGTGGGTAGGGAGCATCAAGATTGTGCTATGCTTCAAGGACATGACCAATGGAGTGAGTGTCCAGAGTTAGGGGTCATTGGGGACATGCTAGCTTCACAAGATTTTGTGACTAAGGCATCAGTGTTGGTGGTGCAACAACAGAGAATAAGAGGGAGATTTGTGAAACAATCACTGAATGCAATGCCAAATCAAAGAGATCAATTGGTACATGATTTTCCAATTGATGAAACATCAAGACCCTCGTGTACTATTTCAGTGGACAGATGTGAGAAAATGTAGATCCTTATGTTAGTGCAAATTTTTTTATTATGATCATTCTTTAATTTCCGTCTACCCAATTTTTTTTTATTAATACGTAATTTATACACATCACGGTTTTTCATTTAAAAGTAGAAAGTGACTTTCTACAAAGCATTAAAATCAATGGAAAGGAAAAATGACGACATGGTTAAAACATTTAGTTTTGAATCAGAGAATAAACCACTCAATGGACGGTGCAAACTACCCTAAATGAGGGTGCAAAAATGTAGATTTTACTCATACGTGAATAAACCATATTTGGTTATGCATGCTAATTATGCACTTTCATTATCTCTCCTACTTACCTTTTTGCATAATATCACTGTGTCATAAGTGGGCTAAAAATATGATCTATTTTTTTTAGTTAATTCTTGAAATAAGTTAGACATAACTCCCTCAATGCCCGCAAAATAAATTGAAAAAAAAAGAAGAAAATAAAGATAAAATCAACTGTAGAATTGGTTCAACAAGCCAAATTTTGGATTAAGCAAGGATCATGCAAGGCCATACTTGGACGGCAAGTACTAGAACTTCTGGTAAAGCAAGCAATCATATCTTATAAAGTAACAAAATCATTGGCTCTATGAAGCAACACGCTGTTTTTTTCTAACTTTAACGCATAGAATTGATTAAGAGTTAAGTTTAAATATTTAAAAGCAGTAAATTTTAATTAAAAAATATATTTATTATACTGAAACTACAACAAGTTTTAAGAGAAAGTTAGATTTAAGGGCAAAGCAATCAACTTAGTTAGGAAACTTGCTTACACGTGACCGTAAAAAATCGAATAAGCTCTATAACACACGTGTTTCGATCTTTATAAAGTTAAATAAACTTTTTAAAATAACGCACTTATTCTGTTTACCCTCGTCACTTTCATGCATTTGGCTTTTAAAAAAAGTTTGAGATGCGCATCACTTTTGATTCAGCTTCCAGAAGAAGTTAAGATCAAGAAAATATCGTAACATTTATCTAACACAAAGGACAGAATTGAAATAAACAAAATGAAGAAATATGGTAAAATTAGTCTCTTAAAGCCACAACATTAGTCATATTGACCAATAAAAATAGTAAAATTTAATCACAGGTACTTTCTTTTCTTTAAACACAATTCTGTTTAAATTAATTAAAATAAAATAAAATTCTTCCTCTAAATATTTAATCTAATTATATTTTTTGTGACTGAAACTTAAAATCATATATTAAACTGTAATAATACCAATGAATTAATCCAGTTCTCTGCAGTTGATAACAGTTTTTTTAAGTGGGTGTTCGAATTTGTATTTAAATTAATACAACTTTGTGTTTGACTTAACACTATTAATTATAATGTATAGTTTGAATTTACGTTTATAAATTTTTCAACGTGTTTTGGAGTACACGTTAGATAAACAGGCCTCGTTGCCTCCGCCTTAAATTAGTGGTAGTGATCCTCTCGTACATGTGTTTTCCTGAGTCTATCATATTGGATTATGAGAATTTCGTCTTCATCTTCATCTTCCCAAAGCCTCAAAATTGGCATAGTTGGGTTTGGCACTTTTGGCCAATTTCTGGCAAAGACAATGATAAAACAAGGCCACACTCTAACAGCAACTTCTCGAACAGATTACTCTGATCTTTGTCTCCAAATGGGTATACATTTTTTCAGGTAAAACTTGCATGCATGCTTATATATGCAGATGTACCCATTTATGATTTACCTCACTTTTCACAAATATACAACAATTTCATGTTGCAGGGATGTCAGCACATTCCTAGCCTCAGACATGGATGTCATACTTTTATGCACATCCATCATGTCACTGTCCGAGGTTGTCAGGTCAATGCCACTCACTTGCCTGAAGCAGCCAACACTCTTTGTTGATGTTCTTTCAGTCAAAGAGCACCCAAGAAATCTTCTACTACTAGTGCGCTTTACATCCACTACAATTCTTTTGTTTACACTTTCATTCGGATAATTAGGGTGTGTTTAGAAACATAGCTAGTTAACTGCTTATTAAATTTTTATTACACGAGTTTATACCATATATTTGATTATAAAAGTTCTTGGAAAAAGTAAAGAAGAGCTTATAATTATGATAAGTTATACTAAAGAGCTTATTGAAATAAGCTGAAAAGAAATAAGTTATTTTTACAAATTTTTTGTAAGTCCTTAAATAAGGCCTTAATCTAGATACGTTTTGCCATGTTTCGTGTATTGCTAAGATGTTGCCAGAGGAGGCAGATATACTCTGCACGCACCCAATGTTTGGACCAGTGAGTGGCAAGAATGGATGGAGAGATCTGACTTTCATGTATGACAAAGTTCGAATTCGAGATGAAGCTACTTGCACTAATTTCCTCCATATTTTTTCTAGTGAGGTAAGTTAATAGCGTTGCTAAATACCCATCAACGATGAAAAGCTTTTCTTTTGCATTGTTCCAGATAGTTGTGCCAATCATGAAGAAAGAAACAAAGGGTGGAAGCCAAGGGCTTAACTTTAGGCGTTGAGTTTGCATAAGACTATCACTTCAACGGTTTTTTTTAAGTAACTCGAGTTAATAATTCATTCTAGGGGGACTAATGAAGTTAAGAAATATTGGATATTGTATTAGTTTTTATAGACAAAATCTCATTAGTTCGAGGTTATTTATCTCATGAGGTGATAACTTAGACCAATCACCCTTTAATGAGTTATGTTCTAAAAATCATAGTTTAAACAGGTTCTTCATAAGTTTGGACCATTATTTCTTGGTTTACAAAGAAAGGACGAAAATCAATTTTAAAGTGAATGTTCTACATCTATGATTTATCCAATGTAGATATCTATTTTGCAATGTTCTGTATTACGCAGGGTTGCAAGATGGTACAAATGTCCTGTGAGGAGCATGACAAAGCAGCTGCAAAGAGCCAATTTATCACACACACAGTAGGAAGGTATGCAACTTTCGACATATCTAATCGACCATAGGAAAAAACTAATATAAATACTCACTTGATGCAACTTTCGGTTGTTTCCTTATCAGGACATTGGCAGAAATGGACATTAAATCTACACCTATTGACACCAAGGGCTTTCAGGCACTTGTTCAAGTGGTAAAAGTTATAAATATTTCCCCTGCTTCTTCCAAAACCTTTCCTTTCTTCATTTTATCCATCCTTAGTCATAATATAATTGATGTGCTTTCATGTAACATATCAAAAATTACTCGCAGAAGGAAACCATGGTGGGAAATAGTTTTGATCTGTATATTGGATTATTCGTGCATAACAGATTCGCCAGACAAGAGGTATGAACTGCCAGAAAAATTCTGATTTCCAAAAAGATGTAACAGGATTTATTTATGCCCCTTGTTGAAACATTAAACCAAGTAACTCGTGAATTATGAAAAATATGCAGCTGGAAAACCTCGAACATGCCTTGTCCAAAGTGAAAAAAATGCTGATTCAAAGGATGAATGAAGAGCAGGGTCAAGAAAACAGAACTGAAAGTTGATGCATAAATTTTATGATGAAGATGTATTCACAACTATCATATATCCTCTTGTAGTCCCTGCCATATAATTCAATCTCATCCCTGTTTTCTTGTTAGTTACCCAAATGAAATTGAGCCCCCAAACCGAAAAGACTGGTATACGTTCAATTACTTGCAATAAAAATGTTCCGAGTTCACAGCATATACTCGGTAATTTTATAAGTTAAAACAGATATTTACTCGCCATTTAACTCCAGTTGGTTTCACGTAAATATTCCCTTAATTTTTAACCAAAATCTTAATCCCCACCATTCCGAATAAATAAATCAGAACCCTGAGCTGTTATCCTCTGGGATCATGACATGAGCCTTTCGCCAATCAATGGTATCTACAGGGCATGTATTCCCCTGTGATTATAGGGAAATAATCACTAACCAAAGGTTTCTACAAAGCTTTTTTGTACGTACCACTTTAAAAAGAAGCATTTTTAGTTCTTCGTTTCAGCTCCGTAAGCGTACGACAATGCTACCCAGAGTAGCTTCAAGAAATTGGATCCCCGTTTGTTCATTTTTAACACAAAACCAAACACACACTTACCAAGAGATGTATCCCTTTAGCCAATAGTAGTAAATAACTAATATCATTAGGTTCGGTTTGAGACACCCCATATTTATTCCAATTTATATAAAAAAATATTGCATTCACCACTCTGGGAAGTGGGAAAATATCAAAAAGTATACAATTGAACAGTGGAAGGAGTTGTAAACCTATTCCTTTGTGCCTATTTTACCAGCTTTTCAAGAATAATACAAATTACAAAAAAATCTTGCACGGTATTTTTTCCTCATTTATTTTGTACGTCATCAACGTTGGCTTCTTCTGTTTCGTTGCATAAAATAGCAGTGTGATTTGGGGAATCTGATGTTGGTGACTCTGTCTTTCTAACTTGTAGGCCAGTAAAGCGTGCTAGGTCAATCCATTGCTGCAGCAATTCACAAAAAAAACCAAAATTAAAAAATCCAACTCAAATTTAGAAATTTACGTACAGAAGAAAAATACACATCAAATTAAATTATACTCCATTGGTTTCAAAATAATTGCCACACCAGCTTCTAAATTGTTACAAATAATGTCACTTTTGAAAAACCAAGACATTACGTTTATCCTAGTCTTTTGGTGTTACACTAAGTAAAATAGCATAAATGGTTTGAGAGGATGATATAGTCAGATGAGCTTATATTTCCTTGAAATTGAGAACATTTAATGACTTTATCAATATCACTACAAAACATTAAACAACTATTTTGAACTGAAGCAGTATATTGTGATATGTTCAAATGCCAACTAGTTTCCCTAAGACACTTGTTAAAGGATTCAAGAATAGTAGGTATTAAACGAGAAGTAATGCAGTACATGTTGTACTCTTCATTAAAAACTTTATTTATTCCTCAACAAGCACATTAGAGTACTCGTTACCAGGATCCTTGTAACAATAAGACACATATTACAAATCCGTCACGAAACTTCAGTCATGATTTACTGTTTATGCACTAAAGCAAGTGCTGAAACAGTTGTAACTCCCTAAAACACATTTCCATGTGAACACTAGAATGTGAAATTAGCCACTTCAAGAAAGATACAGGAAAAGTCACTTGGATTTTGAGAAGAATTACGGTTTCCAATCATAAATAAATGTAATCGGCTTACTGATGAGATTGTGAACATTGAGCACTGTGAAAATGAACAAAAGCAGAAAGAAGATTTAAAAAAAAAAATTCTGACCTGGGTTCCCCAATAGGAATTGATTGTCCGTGCTACAAAAGATAGCATATTTACAAGAAATGTTTGGGAAGAAAACTGTTCAGAAATCCGATGCTCCACTATCCCAGCAATTATCTGATGAACAAAAATATTTTGTAATTTCTGTAATACATAAGGACAGTTGCAGACTTTAAATGGATGCAAATTTATGGTACTACAATTTGGTATAATGAAAGATATGGACACGGAACAAGCAAATTCAATTTTCAAAAAGAATAATTCTCATAATTATTCAGAGAGTGCAGATGAAGTAGTAGAAAGGAGAAAATTACAAAATCAGACAAAATAGGTATTGTTGAACAGAGCTTTTTTTTTTTCACAATTTTTTTTTACAATTTTTAGTGCTATCAAGTGTTTACTAACATAGTATTTGGTTCGATGAGAATGGAGAAAAGAGATTTTTATAATACGTTTTTTTGGTTCAAGAGTTTGGGGGGGAGGAAAGGGAATGGAAGAGCAGAGCAAGATTCCTCCTCTATCAATTTAGGATTCCCTCCACAATTGGGGAGATTTGGAGGGAACAAAAGTTTGCACTAGTTGAGCTTAATTATCCTTAATTTAATGATTTTATTTGTCTATTATGAGAATGTAATAATAAATTATTTTATTTTTCCTCTTATCTTCTATGAATCAAATAAGGTGTCCCTTTCCACCCTTTCTTGAACTAAGCCGTAAAGGATTTTATGTTGCAAGGAGATAATAAAACATGACATTACAATACAATATTTCCCATTTTCCCATTATTAAGACAGGTGGTCAAGTCCTACTTTCAGAAAGTCAGCATACTCAAATTTCTAAATTGCATTTTTCTGTCCTGCTTCAATAATCATATATCGGAAAAAATTCTAGAAATCACATCAACAATTGAAATTTGAAACATAACCCATCAAAGTGACGAACTATTGAAATTTGAAACATGTTGCATTTCTCTATATACCTGATAACGGAGATTTGCAGATATTCCAAGAAAGGATGCATATATAACTGCTGTTTTGATTATTGGGGACCTTATAATCCGTTGTTCAGTGGCAACTGCTGGATTAAGGAATTTACGAATTGCATACAGAGAATTTGATGAAGCCACAGCTCCTATGCTTGAAATAAATCCAACACTAGCAAGTTTTAGCCCACCGAATACAACTGATGCAATTCTATGATTGAGATTCCAGTTTGTCCCTGCTGGATTCTTTTGAAATGCATTATCTGGAATGGAGCCAAGAAGACCCATCAGAGAACCAAGGTTGTCAGGTGCATTCATCTCATCGGCATATGAAAGAAATGACAAAGTTGGTGCAGGAAGCCACACTGTAAAGAAATCAACAACTGATCCTCTGACAGTGTCTGTAATAACATAGTCGAGCTCTTGAAAAAAATTTTCTTTCCTCTTTTCATACTGTGCCAATAGTGTAGTCGTAATTGATATAGCTTCTTCTATGGCTAATCTATGCAAGAATTTGGGATCAGCCAACAATCTTTCCCTGAATCCCTGTATCAAAAAGAACCAGATGGAGATGTAGGAAAATGAGAGGAAGAAAGTAATGAAATTATCTCATGATTAAAATCAGAGTAAAAGGGTTTCATTTTAAAACAAAAATTTTACCTGGAAACGGTGTGTGAGTTCTGAAATCAGAGGATACTGCTCCAGATCAAAGAAGTTTTGCAATACCTCTGGTGATACTAAACCAAGATCAATTCCTTTTTGAAGATCCTGAAATCAAAAGGAAAATATTATCCATGTCCACATCCAATACCGGCATACACTATCCTGTTCAAAGTATGATCACTTAAAAAGAGTCAACAGATGCATAGAAAAAAGAACTAGAAACACACCGACTACCTACTCATCAAATGCAAGTGCGCAACTAATGTAAACTTGGTATCATTACTGATTGCTTATTTATACTTCCTAAAATATCGGGGCCTATGTATGCCAAATTATAGAATAGAGGTATTTGGTTTTAATGAGAAAAAAAAAAAACAGAAATAAAAACTTCATTATCATAATTCAGTCTGAAAGTTTTGAAGTCCTTAAATAATATATTGTTGCAATAAATTTGACCTCAAAAGGAATATGCATCTAAAGGGAAAGAACGATATCAAGAAAGCATTGTGAAATTGTAAATATTCTATTTAAATCCCCCATAACAGTAGGTTTAGCTGCATAATTCGTCTCAATAAATAAATACCAAACAGAGATATCAATTAAAGGGATAGGACCTACTTGAATAATCTTACAAAACAAAATAATGATTTAAAGAACTTTGTTTCAAAGATACTTAAAATAATCAGAAATCAGATTATTTTATTTTTTTTGTAGATTTTGATTTTTTCCAAAAGCAAAACTAAATACATAAAAAATTTATTGATTCTTTTCACCAAAAAAAGTTGAAACAAATGGACTCTGAATGCTTATAGAATACCAGTCATATTGGATACAAAGAAAATAATTCAAAAGGTATATGTGACATCAGGTAACGTGCAAAATCTCTCAAGTTTGTATCATCAAAATGGTCAACCAAATTATTGAATGTAATGGTCTGCTGACCTGTGGGAGGGCATCTCGCCTCCGTCCAGCAGCATTCATAACACGAGCAATCTCAGCACGGTCAAAGCAATTTCTACTACAGGGTCTGGCAGCAGAATACCACAAAAAATCAGCGACAGGAACTTCTCCCTCTCTGCGAATGAATTGTCTTTCAGGGTCAAGTAATACAACTGCTTGGTTTCTCTTTTGTATTTTTTGTGAAACTCTTGCCACCAGTCCAGTTCCTCTAGATCCATATGTAACATGGCTTGCTCCAGTCACAACTATTAACATATCAGAGGCCCCTCCATCCAGTACATTCTGTAAGATGATCTGGGACATTGAATACTCATCAACTACTTTAGCTTGTGCAGAAAGATATGAGCTTGGACCAAAAGGAATGGACAGATTTTGAGTACTATCAACTGAAGGTCTACGTGACATAGAAGTAAAGCCTGATATGAAGCCTGAGCCAGCTGGAGGTGCATATAGTTTACGTTCAGCCTTTGTAAGCCCACGAATTCCTTCTGCTTGGACAGTTCTTAAGATCTGTTGATGAAAAAATGTTCAATTCTTGATTATCATTTATATGTGTGTTGAGTCTCTGAGCTAGTGATACCAGAACTGAGCCTAATCCTACTAAGTTGAGTTCTACATGGATCAATTGAAACCATTCGGCTACATTAAAAATCAAAATTTCAATTAAACATCTAATGCAAGCTCTATTAAATGCTCCCAAAGTCTTCTCAGGTTGTCATCTACCCTTTCAACAGGTTATCTCCTCCCCTTCTCACTTCATGATATGACCAAACAACCTGAGGCAAGTTTCCATAACTTTATCCTCAGTTTTTTTTAACTTTTGTTTAATTTGGAAACCTTGAGGATTATGAGATCATTTCTAATTCAGGGCATGTCTTTTCTAAATTAGGTTTCTAGTCATGATGTAGTTAAAATCCTAAAGGGCACTTTTTACTGCACCTACCTTTTGTACCCGTTTTAAGTCAATTTGGCATGTAACATTAAGTATCTACTACAGTACATTTTTCCCTTGCTCCTAACTAGCACAACAAGAGGCATCAGAGGCAAAACGGAAATGGGTTTGGCTGAAAATTTAAGCATACCTTCAGTGGAGTACCACAAGCAACAAGACGAATTCCATTTTCACGACAGTAGCTCAGAATAGGTTCATACTCCTGCCATCTTTCAGGCGGCCAGTGTAATGTATAAGACTTCAAGGTGTCTCCATCTATCCTGCAATCAAGGTCAAGTTTTAGTACAAGTAATGCAGAATCATGGGAAGCAATCTGACCACACAAAAAAGACAGAGATTAACAGAAAAGCAGTAAGCCAGGAAAAAACAAGAGCGACAGAAATTTGTTGCGAACAAAATGTTCTGTTTTATAATTGACAATTGAATTTCTAGTTCTTAATTTAGGTAACACGAATTTTCTGCATAACAAAAACGGGCATAGCAAACACCAGTAATTAGGCCATTTTGAAGGCCTATGAAGCACAGGTCTAACTCTAAGACTTGCTATTCATTTTACATGGAAACACATTAAGAATCACATAGCTTTCAGCCCGCAATTGCTATAATCCAATACCAACAGCAAATCACTTTCAATTTACAAGTTCACAATCAAGTCCATGTATGCCGACTTCATTTATATTGTTGATGATGTCGTTCAACAATTTTCCGTTGAAAACGAATTCTAAGATGCAAGCATTAATCAAAGTTTGGCAAATTCAGAAGCGTTACTTCTTATCCATATACTGATTGAGCGGTTCCTGAAGATTAGTGGGAAATGCTTCAAGAGCCAAAGACAATCGCTTCTCCTTCTCCAAACAGCGTCTATGCAAATTCTTCACAATCTCAAGCTCCAATTCCTTATCATCTCGAACCGGAACTTGTTCTGCTTCTCCCAAATAAACCACTCGCGAATTCATCAACTTCTCCCAGACTTTCCCTTTCTCTTTCCCTATGGCCAACGGTTCCCCTATCACCGTCGCGTCGTAAATCCTCGACGTTATCACTTCTCCCTCCGCCTCCTCTATCTTCTTCTGCTCCTCCACTTTCGGCGCCGTCGATTCCACCACCTTCTCCTCCGCCCTCGCCGTCGCCGCCGCCGAGAGCAGAATCGACGCGCCCGCGGCCAGAAATGGCGCCATCAACACGCCTCGCCGGTTGCTTCGAACTCGAGTCTCGACGCGTTCGCCGTCGGGAGCTTCAGGTTTCGAAGCCGCCACAACGCGATTCGAGTGACGGACGGACAGGTCGAGGCGGCGGCGTTTAGTAGTCCAGACGCGCCGGAATTGGTTGCCGGCGGCGTCATGACGTGTCTCGAATGTCGCAACACGTGTGGCAGTGGCGGGGCGAAGGAAAGGCACGTGCGGAGGGTAAGTGTTGAAAGAAGCCCGAGTGTGTGGCTTCATTTCACTTCAAGTCATGAACGCAGTGTCAGCTAAACTTTCTCACTTCACTTTTCATTCCGCGACACTAACATGGATTCGATTATTTTCAGCCTTATTTACAAGATTACAACAATGCATGATGATTATTTTTCCTTTTTCATACCATAAAATCCAAATTTACAAAAATTTCGTTTTTTTCGTGGTCACATTAAATTCGTGTTTTAGAGAGAAAGCCTCAAATTTGGACGTCGACGTGAACCATCCATGTCCATAAGGATACGTGTGTCACATACCCTCCACTTGTTTTGGAATTTTCTTAAGATAAAATTTATCTGAGTCAGATGTGAGTCAGGTCTGAAATATACACGACTTGCTGTCTAGAACAAAAAGCTTTATCAAATGAAAGTCTTCTTAAAATCTACTTAATTTTATAATCTAATTATCTCCCATTTTATATAGGTCTCGTTTTTTATGAGTAAAAGTTTACGATAAACTAATAACTTAAAGAACTTTATGTCAATGATAAAATTTAACCGAGCGTCGTAGCGCACAGTTTTTATACTTCAAAATATGGTTAAATCTCTTGTGAGCTATTTTTCTTACATGCTTATTTATTGACTTATAAATATTTTCTGTTTTTTACTTACTAGCATTTATAAAATTTCAAAGTTTGATTTATTTTTTCTCAATTAACACCTTATATATAAAATTACCCTATATGTTGTCTTACATATAAAATGATAATTAAAGTTCTGAATATTTAAAGTAATGATTGTTCAACATATAAAATTTTACAACAACAAACGATAAAACAACTCTATTCTTTAATATCGTTTTATGTATTTTGGTCGCGCAACAATACTTGAATAATTAGAATAAACATTTTTTATATTAATATAAGACTGGAAGAGGCTAAATTACTAAATTGATTTTAATTTTAATTGGAAAATGACTGCAAAATTGAGAGATTGATTATAATTATTACTTTTGTATAAAAATAGAATAGACGAGGCGGTAAAAAACCAAAGCTGATAAAATTAAATTGAATAATATTTTTTCTTAAAATCAAATCGAATAAAATAAAAACAGAAATTTAACATATAGACTCTCTACATCCCGATGATTTCACACGATGGCTAGTTGGCACATAGGATTTCTGTAATATATAATTTTATTGTTGGGCTATTTCAATTGGTATGTCGCGAAGTTATTGTTTCGCCTTGGATACTGCGTGTCTTCCATCAACAACCATCTCAACTACCCTAGTCAACCACCATGTTGAAAACAGGCTTCGACTTTTGTATGAAATAGTCTGGATTTCTTTCTTGCCATAATTATTACTGATGATGTGCATTGTTTATACAATGATAAAATGCAGGCAGAGATGCTTAGTTTTGCCCCCTTTAGACGGGACGATATACATGAAAAAGAATGTGTGTGAAAAAGAAATGTACACGAAAAAAGTGTACCGAATAAGAATATCAAAATTGAAATCGAAAAGCATCCCATTTACAAATGCATCATTAATAATGTTCTACACGTAAATTTTATTTCTCCTCTAATTCTCCAAAGGCAGGACAGACGGATTTCCAAAAGCCCTCTTGTTCTATACGAGAATTGTTCCTTACTTTCTCATGGTTTGCGTAAAACAAAATCCATCACAATCTGCCCTTACCATTAATAAGCAATGATTGGAAACTGGCAGTGCTATAAATCCGTTGACAAGTAGTGATTAGATAAGAAATTTGTTGGGAATACAACATTTCCATATATTCTACCACCGCAGTGCCTCTATTTCTGGTCCCAAATCTTGAAAACAAGTTTTATACTTATTTTTTGGGGGAAAAAATAAAAAAAGCAAGCAATCAAACTCCAGCAACTGAGATCAGTAGGTTCAGTGTACGTAAAGCCTTTGGTTTGCGTACATTTACTACGATACATAATTACTAATAAGGTAGTCTTAGAATAGCTTATCCAATACAATATAAGCAATTGGTGTACAAAGTATGATTTTCATCACGTAATCCCTTTACCCAATATGTAGTCACAAATAATTATTTGAAACCTATTAAAAACTTTTGCCAATATGCCTACAGCTCCCCAATAAATAAATGCCGCGTGATTAATCAACAGGAAAAGGCTAGCTCACTTGACGTCATGAAATGACGGCAAGACGGCAATAAGAGGGTCTCCATAACCAACAGGCTCTGTAAATCACAAATAAAATATGGTAAGAAATTCATCACAGTCCTCCCCAAACTCATGATAGCAGAACCAAAATAAACAAATAAATGTCGCCAAGTTCCGCGAAAGCAGATCAAAATGTATATAAAATTCAACATCCCAATTGTTCAATGTAATAAATAAAAAGTTTATGTAGTGAGTGCAACATATGTATGGATCCTAGATTCTTAGAGCTTTTGAAACATTTTCTATTTTTATTTGTTATTTTCACTCATTACAAAATGTCAAATTGTTTTTCACTTTGTTTCCTATTTTAAAATATGGATTTTGTTAAACTCAAATCTTAGGGATAATAATAAGTAGCTAATAATAGTAAAATTTTATCAGAAAAAAAAAATATTTATTATATTTTTATAACTTTAATACAATAATTGTATATTATTTTCATAAAAATTTTCTATTTGTAGATGCTTAAACTTAATCCTAAGGTTTGAGATTAACAAAACCTTTAAAATATTTGTATACTAACATTTTATTGGTGTAACGAGGAGTAGCAAGTGTACAGAGATGTTAATGGTTACCACTTGCTAGTAATTTGCTTCTTCCTTGGAATTAAGCTTCAGAACACTTAAAATAAAGAGTACTAGAATCTAGATGTCATATCATTTTAGACATATTTTATTATTGCTGGCTTCAAATTTGAATGAAGACTGCACGCACAACACCCCTCCCCCCCCCCCCCCCCCTCGTATCAACAAATCCAGGATTTTGTATAATAGAAAGGTCATAGACATTATTACCTCCATCGTCAACAAGTAGCTTCAACACTTCTCCAGCCACATCAGCCTGCAAGATTTAAAAAAAATTAAACCAGTCAGAAGTAGAAATTTAGGAAGGTACCGCCCGCAATTACAGAAACAGCCAGATCACCTTAACAGGAAGTCCAGTGCCAAACTGATCCAAATACCCTATGACTTGGCTTTCTTTGATAACATCACCCTATGAATGTTAACAAAAATAGTTGAGGGGTATGTAGTAATGCTAGAATTCAATCAAGAAATGAAGATATTGAAAAACATTTGTAGTCAGTTCAGTGAAAGTGAGGTCCGCAAACAACTTGATGCAGCAAATGTACGAAAATAAATAAATTAATAACTACACTGGTACAAAAATATAGGTCAACCAATATTTGAGTACCAAAGAGTATTTAATTTGTATTTATAGACTCAAGAGAAATGATCCATCGATTTGGAAGAAATAGCTATTGTGTGTTACTAAAAACACAGAAAATACAGAGCAGATTACAGCAGCTAAAAGAAGACCACTAGTCATGTTCACTGTCCCTTCGTGACCCCGGGATTGTAATCAGTTTAAAAAACTGATGACAGTCATACTATTACACAGGACCAAGTTCCTCATTAGGAGCCTAATTTCTCACCCAAAAGCTAATTAACAGAATGGACAATTCTCTTCTCTTTCCAAGACAAGCCTTTGTTCTGACTAACCCAATTTCTATCTGCTGGCTTGGTCTAACAGTATATTCGCAGATGAGTATATAACATATTTCTATTTGGTAGAATGTATTGATATTATGTCCCAATTACCAGCAAACACAGAGAAACTAATATTACAATTAGCAGCTTTTGTTGATGTAGCAAAACCAAATATAAAAAAAGAAATGGAAATCAGCAAAACTGAAAATTTATATGTAAAGTTCAATTTAAAAGAAAACGGACCATCCTTTTTGTGGTCATAACCTAGGTCACTTTGGATTTGTTATCAATTGCACATCTAAACTAGGCTGAAACTATCATATAAGCTGCAGAATAATAGAAAAATATTCATCTATATCATATAAGCTGAAACTATCATTCTTAGTTATTATCACTTTTTTATTTTTGTATCAGAATCCAGGGTTGTTCATTAAATATTTAAATTTATTTCAAAAGCCAACACATGCAAGTTAACAAGGTCAGCTCAGGACACTAGGCTGACAAGCTAGCAGGTTGACAGACTACAACTATCATATCTGCAGTATTACATGGGGCAGCTTGCAATGCTAGCAGTTGATCCCTAAACCATAAATATTTAGTTTGGGCACTGCAGAATCTTAGTGAACAACAAGCACATACATACCAAAATCCAATGGTGGAGTCCACAATGAGAAGCCACATGGAGGAAGTATCGAGTAAATTATGTCTATCTAGGTCACAAAAGGATGATAACTTAAAAACACCATGGAAGAGGATGGATATTGACAACTATATCACACATACCTCTTTACAGATAGGAGGTTGCTTCTTCCCTTTCACTGTTCTACCTCTTCGGAATAAGCCAACCTAATGAGGGAGAAACAAACGACAGGTGATTGCAAACTCTACATAGCTCAAATTACAGATAATTAGTGAAAGCAGAACTTAAAACAATTTTGATGGAAGACATACTGTGGGAGATGATACTAAGACATAGTTATTGGTACCGGAAGCCTCCAATGCTGCCAATTTTGATGACCTCTCTTTTGGAAGATTTGCAAATGGGTTGGTCTTTTCTGGTGATGATTTTGGTGGCGATGGTTGTAGGCTACCAGATGCTGATTCATCCATAGGTTTACTTGGAATAGGTGGTGGTGTAGTTGGTGAAATGTTGGACAAAGGAGCATTTGTTGCTCCAATGTTTCGCTTAATATGCATTTCAAAGTCTCCAACCTATCACAATATAAGTCAAATAAGGTCATGAACAAGGTCATCCTGCTTAAAGAACATTTCTTCTGATGAAGCATACAGAAATTACAGGTTTGAAGTTAAATCAAAGTTAGTAGGTACAGTGTTGTATAAAAAACAAAGCTGATACAATTTTTTTATGATTGAATTTTAAGAACAAGAAAAAAAAAATGATATATTAAGGGATAGGACAATAGGCACAAAAGCACCACATTCTCAAGCTTGAAATACAATGTGTTAGTGCTACATTCTGATAAAGGCAATATTACTGTAACATCATTTTCTATAAGTCTATGACATGTTACATAAATTAAGTTTATTGCTTTGATTAAGTTTCAACACAGTATATTACAGCGCTAAAGAGATATCCAGCCACTAATATGTGTGTGAATTGCAGAACAACAAACCATATAACCTCATAATTTTCAAAACACACTCAAGTTTCTTTCGTCCTTGTTATTATATTTAAAGTACTGCACTTCAAATTTTACAAAAGCAGTAAACAATAGACAAGAAGATCACCTTTACTTTCAGTTCAGCAATTTCAGTCTCATCACAGACCTCTAATACCAAAGCCTGATCATATGCAATCCAGACATAAATAGCGCTTTATCAGTTTCACATTTAAACATGGCTGTTAAGGAATGCAGTTATGCAGTCTGGGACAAAAGCCAGCAATCATAAGTAAAAAATACTGTGTATTTGCTTCTTCTAATAGCTAGTATAAAGCATTTTAATTCATGAGCATACTATTAATAATTCCACTAAAATACCAGTTGTCAGTTATAAGAAATATGATATTGCAGGTAAATAAAAGGAAAGGATAGTTATAGACCTCAAATCCATTAGGAAAAGTAGCACTCTGCAAAGGCTTTTTCTCCAATGACCCTTTTATAGCACTATCTGAAGAAGCTGCAACATCATAAATAACTCTCAGGTCAAGGAATAAGAATGCTAAGGATAAATTATTAAAAGGAAGCTTTTCTCATAACTGTAACAAAATTATAGCATATAACCTTCAAAGAGACACTCTCAATTGGGATAATAATATTTAGCAACAGAGGTAGAATACTTTCCAGTATTACATATATAAGTAAAAAACATAATACTTGCAACTGATTAATGTATCTCAAACGAAAGAGAATAAATATGAGTGTAAGACTTATCTCAATAAAACAATTGCCATAAAAAACAAAGGCATAACTAAATAATTCATTTCACAATCAAAATTACCGACCATCAGACTTGGTTGTGTTGATAGCTTCAGCTGTTTTAGCACATGACACTATTGTGTTCTTCCCCTTCATGTGAGAATTAATGTGCTTCTCGCCATTTGCCAAATGCTGAATGAAAAGTCTACTTTTAGAGTTCCATCTGACATTATGGATGGGAACTACAGCAAGCTTCTCAAGGGAGGGTCGCATATGGGACATAGTTCCTACGGGATCTGGAAGCCAAGAGTCATGATTAAGCAACTGGTTGCAATGGTAAAATTGACTCTTTAAAAATATTAACATTGAAGTATTAAAAAATAATGTATTATGACTATTGACCGTTAACCTGTATAGTATTAAGAATCTTTAACAAATATTACAGAATAATTTATTATGAAGCTTGACCCTTTAAGTCAACCTGAAAAACATTAAGAATCGTTACCTAAAGACTTAAACCTATTTCAATAAGCCAGGGAAAAAGAGAATCCTTTGGTTATTTGTTAAAACATCAAGGAATACGTTCAATTGACTTCATGGAAAATGTTATGCTTGTAATTCTGGTAAATAACTGACACTAAGCATTACCATAAAATAACTTTCCCACTGTTACACCAGTTTTATGTTGAATTTGGAGTTGTTCCTCAACGCTTTAGTCTTTTTTTCAAACAGAGTAGAGTAATTAAGCTTCGAATCTTACAAAGGTTTACGCAAATCTTAAAATAGCAAAACCAGAAACTCCATCATAAGCATTTAATTCAAAACGAACACGAAGTTTCATATAACTAATGACATTTCGAGAAAAAAAAAAAAAGCATAGAACGCACAACCACGAAATGTTTCAAACACTGTCACAAATCTAACATAGCGAGCTTCTTCAGTTAATTCTCTTTCTAGCTCGAAAATCACAACTTATCCCAGCCGTTACATCTTGATTCCATAGAACAAGTTCGCAAAAATAAATAAATATGTTCTCAAGTCTCAATCATTTTCATTCTCTCCCTCACATATCGCATAAATTAAATCAAACAAAACAGAAATGCAACACAGCGAGATCAAAAATCGCGAACACACGAAGAAGCAGAGATCGCAATCGGCGAAATGCATTCATAACAAAAATGCAGAGAGAGAAAGAGAGAGAGAGAGAGAGAGATACAGTGAAAGGATCGAATGGCAGCGGAGGAGTCCATGGGAGAGAGTGAGAGAATGGAAATGGAATGAGAGAGAAAAACAACGGAGAAGAGGAACTAATAGATAGAGAAGAGATGTTTGTTATCAGAGATATAAGCAAAAGAGAAAACCGAGAAGAGTTGCAGTGTCTCTTTGAGATTTCCGCCCCTCTCTTCGTTCCAATCTATGAGTTTATTCCCGCTAACATGCGCCGGGTTGTAACTACATCTGTCTTTCTCGTCTTACGTGGACCCTCCTCTCGCTGAAGGTAGGTACAGTCAATTTAAATAAAAGGTTTTTTTATTTGTATGTAAGAGAAAATTAATAATTAATTTTTTATTAAAATTATAATATTTAATAAATATATTTTTAATAAAACATTATTATGTATAAGTTTTTATCATGTGTTCTTAAATATTTATTAAAAAAATTATTATTATAAGTTTATTCTTAAATATTTGATAAATTCTTTTTAATATTTCTTAAATGAAATTTATTCATCAGATAGTTTAAATAAACAAAAAAATTTAAGTTTATAAAAAAAATATCTTAAATTTTATTCTTACCATATTTTAAAAAATATAACATTAATTTTTAAAAAAATATATAAATAATATACTATGAACCTATAATAATAAGATATTTTTGGTCTCGCTATCTCAAAAGAGTTTAAACATAATTATAAATTAATTAAATATTTATATAATATATTGATAAATAAGGACATAACTAAAAGAATATTAATGCATTTTAATTTTTTTAAAAATTCTGAGACAAATTAAAATCGCCATAATAATAGATAACATGATATGAGATAGATGTTAAGGGTGTTCATGTAATAAGTATATCTTTATTTTTATATTGTCTGAAATTTTAATAAGATTCATTATTTGAATCCAAACTTAATTCTATTAAAAATTGATCATGTATCAAACAGTACTAAGTTAATTTAACGATATTAATTTTAACATTATATTTAGTTAAATTATAAAACTATTAAAAAATTAAACTAAAATTAAGATATATTTTGTGTATATATTTCAAAGTAATTAATATAAATAAAATATTATATTATATAAAATATTATTCATTAAATTAAGAAGTGTATAATATTTGTGTATAAAATATAAAAGAATATAAAATAGTAAGTTAGATCTAGAAAACAAAAAATAGAATTCCAATTCATCCTCAAAATAAGTATAGTTTTAAACAACAAATCATAAACGCTCCTAATATGTTTGTATTGAAGTATATATATATACACGTTTTAGTTAATTAACTTATTTTAATGTACTTTTTGATTTTTTTTATAAAATGTTTATTATAAAATAAAATGATTGTTTATTACATTGATTTCATCACTACCATATATTAGTTTTAATCATAAGAACATTGTAAATTTGTCTATGTAAATGTTTATTTGTAACGTAAATAAATTTCAAATAAAATAAAAATATAATAATTTACTAGTTTTTGGTCATACCATATCGTATACAGTCCACCGAAGATGGCATTAGATTATAAGGGGTGATTCATCTCGATCTGTTACGTAAATGTCACCAGGTTATATGTGTGGCAATAACAATCTCAATCAAAGTTCCCTTATACATCTCTGAAGTCTTAAAGATTCAGATTAAAATGCAACTTTAATTATTGGGCTATTCTCTTGAGAACGTCTAAATACATTTACTGGGAAATTTAATTTTGATTTACCTAGGATTCATGCCGGACTTTATTTAAAATATTTTTTAATAATGTATTATTACATTATTAAAAACTAACTATTACAACCAAATTGCATATATTTTTTATTTTATATCAAGTGTAGGTTGTTCTACTGAAGTGATTGAATCCCTTTAAGCAAGTGATTTTAGGTTTTATATCCTAAAATTTATCTATAATATCATATAATTAAGAAGATTTCTAACTTTGTTTCCCTACGAATTTTAAGGGATAATTCAAAAATAACTTCGAGAGAAATTTTTACTTTGGTGCCAAGAGATTAGCCTCCCACCTTACGAGTGAGAAGATATTTTAAAAAACTAAAAAATATTTTATTTATTAATTCATAAAAAAGTATTTTATTGACTATTATGATATATTTAATAAACACTGAAATTTTTATTTTGAAATTAACAATTAATTATATATGTTCGCGACAGCTTATCCTAAATATTATGTTCACAAGGATGCTATAATAATAGGATAAAGCACGTTATATTCCTGATAGTATACCAAAAATATTTAAAATAAAAAATAAAAATCCATTTCGTGATTTTTACATCTTCAAAAAATTAGCATCAGAGTTTTAGTTAAAAACATTCCTAATCCACACGAAAATTTAACAGCACTTTTTCAAATATATTTCTAATACATTTTATATTAGTAGGTGAAATTCATGCAAGTAATACATAATAATTCAAGGTCTATACTTTATTTAATAAGATCCACGTGCAGTCTATTCTACAATAAAACATATGTATACGCGAAAAGTATTGTTAAGAATAGTATGATGACAATAATAATCCCATTTTCTAAGTAATCACTGAAATAATATATGTGGAAATAAAATCTAGACATCCTAAATTATAATTAAGAAATTAATTACCTGGCTTAAATATTAATTTGCACATCACTCTTATGCTAAGGCTAAGCAACATTGAGATGAACTATTTCTCGAAACTCCAACCTCCTAGTTTCATTGTAGAACGTTATGTGTTTGTTAGGCCAATATGTTAACCATATCCAACCTCTAATCTCCCATTCCATTGTTTTCCCAATTGCTCCTTTGTCCACTTTCCACCACACACTCTCTCCATATTCATCACCTGCAAAAATAACCCCTCCTTGTCTAGTGAAAGGTCGATAAGCACTAGAATATCGGTTTTTGAACCATGACTTTGGGTTAAGCAGTGCAAACTTTGAAGGCTTTGATGAGAAAACTTCTTTGCCATCCATGCTATCATGAAGAAACCAATTCAAATTTGCACTATAACCATAAACGGATTCCTCGAATTTCCATGGCTTCAAACTCACGGTTGTGGATTCTCCAGCTGTTACCTTAAGTCCTATGGGATTGGATGGCTCAAGTGAAGCTTCTATGCTCTTGTCAACACCAATTTCTTTTCTCGGGTTCTCTGAGGATTTGCCAACTGATAGACTCAACACTTGGTTTTGGATAGTGGGTGTAAGTTGTAAAGATATTCTAGATGGAAAATGTTTTTCAGTTGCACCAGCCCCACGTTCTCTCAGGAGGGAGTCATTCACCAATTTGATAACATCACACCTGTCCACAAAGAATGTAATTAAATTAAACATTGAATTAAAGTAGACATAATGACGAAGAGAAAAAAGAAGTAAATCAATTCAACATATATAATGAAATTTATTGCTAGAATATATAAAGATGAACGTGATTCTTAATAAAATCTTGTTTTTAATTAGATCGCAAAAGTAAAAGGAATGATATTATTTTTCTTTTGTAATATAAAATTTAACTAATTCCACATGTTTCAAATATGAATAAACGATATTGAAACCATTTGAATTTGAGTTTAAATTTAATAGATCTATCAAAGAAAGAACAGTTTAGAGAAAAAAAAAATCACCACCTTATAAATAATTCAAGGCGATGTACCAAAGATTATACAAATGATAGTACTTTCTTTCCCCCTAAACTTATAATAACAACATGGGCAAAAGCTAATGAACAACTAATTTATTAGCTTTGTTAAGATGCTTATTTAATTATGGGCCATACGTATCTCTTAATTGGGTATTACTATTTGTGATTACCTTATGTTGTCAATGTTGACCATGATTTCAACCCACTTTTCTTTTATTAAGACTTTGTAATTGAATTGAAGGACACTTTCAAGTTGGTGATATTTGAGAGAGAATTGAAGTCTCTCACTAGCTGAATGGGGTTTGGAATTCTCCACATCCATGGCTATGACAGGACAATAAGACTGCACTTTCCATAACCCAAAAGTTGAGAATGCATAAGAAAATAGAGGACAAGGTGTTCTGAATGTGTGGCTATGTGATTCAAGTTCCCCAATCCAATTAGTAATTGCAAGGTTCACAGAACGCATCCACTGCTCTTCCAAGTTGGAACCCAAGAGTTTCATAAGCGAAGTTGATGCTTGTCTTGATTGAAAACTTGTCAAGTGGTCTTTTAAATTAACAACATATCCTGAACGAAGATCTGAAGGAACTTCATATATGCAAACTAGGAATAAAAGGGTGAAAAAAGAAAGGTTGAAAAGGTCTGTAAGATTAGAAATTGAATCAAGTTTTGGACATCTGATGAAGGGGTTAATCTTGATGGAGCCATAATGAAGGATGGCTTGAATGAAATTAACCAAGAGATTGAAAAGGGTTTCTTCATCTATTAACTTGATGGTTTTAGATCTAGGCTTGAATGGTTTTGAGGTCCAAAGATGGATAGGAGTATTGAAGTCAGAAATAATGACAAAAGAGAGTTTTGTGGAATGATGGCTTTTGGATAGGGTAATATCAAGACATGGTTGGGATGGGGTTGAAGAACATACGTTTAAGGACATGGAACTTGTTTCCCATTCTGAGATTGGTGGTAGGTTCTGAATCCAGTAAAACACATCTGGAAAGTTGCAAGCCATGGATCGTACCAATTTAACTCTCTCTCTATCTCGCTCTCTCTCTCTCTCTCTCTCTCTCTCTCTCTCTCTCTATTTCTGGTGAAGTCAGGTGGGGCTTCACATATTTGTAGGCTCTTCCATAATAGTTATGCAAAGCTAATACTCTAGCTAGTGGGGGAAGAAAAGTTAAAAAGAATGCAAATGATTATTACTAAAACGTTTTTGTTAAACACTCGAGAAATATTGGTAGTATTAGTAGTATATATGTACGTAATATTGCATATGATAATAATATATATATATATATATATATATATATATATATATATTATATACTGTTTTTTTATTAAAAAATTATAATGTAATTTAAAAAAAATACTATTATTATCATATACTTTTTAATTAAGAAATTTTACTCACACATCAAAATATGAATTTATAGTGCTTTTTAATTAATTATAGTGAATGCAAATGAATTATTTAGCAAAATAGGCTCGATTAATCCACAGGACAGTTCATTAGTTATCTTAGTAAATATGTATGATTCCATAGTAATTAAATTATACGTATAATTTGTATCTGTGTGTATAATTTGTCACAGGCATATTTTTGTCAGTAAAAGGACCTTAGATTCGTTTTTATACATGCAATATGTATATGAAAATTGTAGTTAAGGTAGTGACAAATAAGATAGTTTGTTGCAGATGGAGATTCGTGTGCGATCAAATGTTTGTTATTATTAGCGATAGCTGGTAAGTTGCTCATTGTGTCTGCATTACCTTTTGTTCGCATGTTTATTGGCACTGAGAGTGACGACCATACCGAGAATTGAAAGATAGATCAGGATAGCGATGACCAATTGAGAAAAACACTTTACATAACCAATTGATTTAGAAAAATAACAATTTATACCGATAGACAGTAGACCATTAGATAAAGATAATCAACTGTACATGGACATAATTGTAAAGCTATTAAGATTGGATTTGTGATGAATTTGAGTAATATGTATAGAACAAGAAAAGAAAAAGAGAAAAATTTGTACTTTGTTTACTCTTTTTAAGTACTAGTAATATCCATCGTTCAATTCATATCGCACCTTTATTTCTTTGCATAAATCCTTCTACTATTGAGAATAGAAGTACTACATTAATAAACGACAAATATTAATAATAATAATAACAACTGGCTAATTAAATATAGTTGACTGTCCAAACAAATCTGTGTATTTCTTCCAATAGTGAGATGTATTCAACCATGGATTATAACAATTAAAAAAAAAAAACAATATTTAGAATCCGTTAGTTTACTTGATAAACAGAATTATGTAAATGGATATTTTTGTTTTAGAAAAATTTATTTGAAATGTTTATTTTAACATTGTTAAAAAGCATGAGAATAAATTTGTATACATAAAAAGTTCTTTTATGTTTGATTGGAAAAAAATAAAGAAGAAAAAATTAATTAAATTCTTTTATTTAGTTTAAAAATAATGAAAAGAAGAGAAGGCGAGAAATTTTAGTTAATCTTTCATCTTTTGATTAAATAATTAAAAGAAAAACTAAAATATATCTCTCTTTTGTTTTTTCCTAGAAGTTGGGAGTTTAAACTCTTCTTTGTCACACGTCTTTACTTTTACGATTACCTTACTAAATTTGTAGTTAATAACGTGTTTAAAAATATTTGATAATCTTTTTCAAAGAAATTTTTGTCAATATAGGTTTCAAATTTTATTTTTAAGAGGAAGTTGAGTTTTTGATAAGAACAAAATAAGGTGAATAAGTTTATTTAAGATAAACTAAGCAAGTTCGGGTTACGTGCAAGGTTTCCCAATCATGCATAAATATATACATATAGCAATTTATATTGGCCTATGCCCTTGCACAAGAAAATATTAAAAATTTAAAAAGATGACTTTAGAAAGATTTACATTCTCCAAAATGGATGGCACACATTTTAAATAATAATTATTTGTTGAAAAATATCTTGGAAGGAATTACCTATGTATAAACTATATTATAACATCCTTTAGAAAAACTAATCTAATTTTATATACCATTAATACCATTTATTTATTTAATAATAAAATTTTAAATTATTAAACAATTTTAATTATTATGGTCATAAAAATTCTATTTTAATTATTGTTGTTCTTATTAAGGATATACTCATTCACTTTCTTGTTATTAAGGTCTCTGTCTCTATCTTTTCTTGTATTTATGTTCTGCTAGATATTCCTGATAAAATTTCAAACTTTCTTTTATCTGGGATGTGAGCAGGTATCTGCAATGGCATTCTAACAATTAAATAAGTATTCAGTATAAAACAATAAATGTTATTTAATATTTTATACTAAACTCTCTTATTTATCTCTCTTATTTTTCTTTTATAAACATCATATTGTGTTGATGGGCTTGACAAGTCAATCTTAAATTAACTATCTAATAATTTAGATAATTAATCTTTTTTTTATGGTTACTTAATCTAATCATAATGTTAATTTATTTTAAGGTGACTAAAGGATTTATTGATACCCTTCATTCTAAAACAAGACCAAAGAAGTTGTTAACACTTCTCATCTAAGAGTGAAACTAAAGGAATGATTGATACTCATCATTCTAGTACAGAGTCGAATAAGTTGTTGGTACCCTTCATTCTAGAATAAAATCGAATGAGTACTTAATTTTTTTTAGTTTTTGAAGTTACCAAATAAGACTTTATCTAATACAATTGTATTAACATGTTATTAGATAAAATGTAAAATTGTATACTGAAAATCTATCAATTTTACTTATATATGTAAAATGACCACTAATTTTTGTATTGCACGCATTACCTGTGAATTAAGTTTTCTGGTAGACATGAAACTTAACCCCACAGCATTGAGTGTCACATCTGAGAATATAAGATAATTAGCATTGTTCTTTTTATGGAAAAAGACGCAAACAAAAGACATGGATGCTTATGAGACCATGCAAACATGTTGTGGACCAATAGCTGAGTACCATGTAACAGGATTATCACTATTCTTCTCACATTTTGGGACCGCTATGATATCAATTGCGACTACACTACCAACTCTTAGTGTACCAACTATTTTCTTTTTTATATTTCACTTTTCATATATATCATTTTTATTCGTGCACACCCATAAAATTACACACTCATGTGAGGGTATATATTTTCTAAGAGATCATAAAATCAATAAATGATATAGTACGATAGAAAATAGAAAAAATGAATGAATATTAACATTTTAAAAATATTTTTAAATTATTTTCTTATATAAAAAACGGCTCCATTTAAATTTCCTTTTTTATTAAAAATTTTCCCCATAATTTGTCTTTCAAGTGGCTCTGAACCAAGTTAGCTCCATTCTCACCACGTGACACTTTAGTCGTAGCATGGAAAGTGCAGGTAGGTTCATGACAGTCACCATCTCGGGGCAATTCAGTAATAAAAAAATAGAAATAATACATAGTTTTTTAATGTATATTTGAAAACATATATTAAAAAGTTAATAATAATTTTATTAAAAATAAATTTATTTATCATCTTAAAATTATAAAAAATAATTAATATATTATTTTTATAATAAACTTGAGAAGTAATTTTAGCTTGTGTGGAAGGGAATGGACCTACAAAATGTAATGAAGAAGAAATAGCCGTTGGAGTGTGGAGGGGCGCGGGTCGGCAATTAAAGAAGATGGGTGGAACGCGCCATCATCTTAACCCTGCCCTGCCCTGCCAACTAAATAAACAAACAACAAAATTATTAGGCACTTTTTTTATATGAAAAAATAATACTTCAAAAAATTTATAAAAGTATGAGAATTTTTCAAAATTTGTCAGTGATGTTTTCTTAAGTAATTTTTATGACATTTTATAAATTAATATTTTATGTTTTTTAAATGAAAAATAATAATAATTATTAATTTTGTATTAATATATAGTAAATTTAGTAGTTTGATTAAAAAAGATGTAAATACTTTTTAATATACAAAATATAAAAGAATTATAATTATCAATTTAAAGATAATATACAATGTCTTTTTAAATTTACATTAACCAGTAATTTTTTTAATTTTTTTAAAATTATTATTGATAAATTTTGATTTTTTATAATTTTTTTAAAAGTTACTTTTGATAATTTTTAAAAATTCATTTTTTGTTGTTGTTATTGTATTGTAATTTAATTTTGATTTTTAAAAATTTAATTAATATTAATGATATTGTGCGATTTATGTAATTGTAGTTGTATCAAAATAAAATTCTAATTTAAATTCAACAACCATGCAAGCATTAATTATGTTGCTAACTTCAGTTTTGTTGATAAAAAATGAAGTAATGTGGTATTTACAAGGAAAACTAGCCGTTATTGTAAGAGTCTATTCTCTCTCTCACGCTCTTACAAGTCTCAAACCCCGCGCGCACTTACACAACTTCACGTGCTTCTTCTCAGTTTCCCTCTCTCTCCTTACTACAAAAACCATCCTTCAACTGTTCCTCTCATCATATACAAAGAGAGAACCAAATATTCTTATTGCAATTATATTCACTATGGTATTGAAGAAAAACAATCTCACTTCAAAATGCTTCCACCACGACCCTTGTCACATTTTGCAATCACATTGCCCCCATATTTCTGATAAGAAGAAAGAAAGATGGAAAATTCCACCCAAGACAGACAGCCCATGTTGTTTTTCCAGGTTGTTTCTCTTCTGTCTCCACTGTCTGTGGATTCTTCTGCTTTCCAACAGTGTGAAGCCAGTTTTGGGTGATGATGAGCGTTGGGATGGAGTGGTTGTGACAGAATCAAATTTCTTAGCACTTCAAGCATTTAAGCAAGAGTTGGTCGATCCCAAAGGCTTCTTGCGGAGCTGGAATGACTCTGGCTATGCAGCTTGTTCAGGAGGTTGGGTTGGTATCAAGTGTGCTCAGGGACAAGTTATTGTGATTCAGCTTCCATGGAAGGGGTTGAGTGGGCATATCACAGATAGGATTGGTCAACTTCAAGGTCTTAGAAAGCTTAGTCTTCATGATAACCAAATTGGTGGTTCAATCCCTTCATCTTTGGGACTTCTTCCCAATCTTAGAGGGGTTCAGTTATTCAACAATAGGTTAACAGGTTCCATCCCTCCTTCCTTAGGTTACTGCCCTTTGCTTCAGTCTCTTGATCTCAGTAACAATTTGCTCACTGGAACAATCCCTTATAGCCTTGCCAATTCCTCTAAGCTTTTTTGGCTTAACTTGAGTTTTAATTCCTTCTCTGGTCCTATACCAGCTAGCCTAACTCACTCAGTTTCTCTCACATTCCTTTCTCTTCAACACAATAATCTCACTGGCTCCATTCCTAACTCATGGGGTGGTAGCCTAAAAAATGGCTTCTCTCGGCTTCAAAGTTTGATCCTTGATCACAACTTTTTCACTGGAAATATTCCTGCTTCTTTGGGCAGCTTAAGGGAACTTAGTGAGATTTCCCTTGGTCATAACCAGTTTAGTGGAGCTATACCAAATGAAATAGGAACCCTTTCAAGGCTTAGGTCACTAGACATTTCTAATAATGCCTTGAATGGGAGCTTGCCTGCTACACTCTCTAATTTGTCCTCACTTACACTGCTGAATGCAGTGAACAACCTCCTTGACAATCAAATCCCAGAAACTTTAGGTAGATTAAGTAATCTTTCTGTTCTGATTTTGAGCAGAAACCAATTTACTGGTCACATTCCTTCAAGTATTGCACATATTTCCACGCTCAGGCAGCTTGATTTGTCACTGAATAACCTCAGCGGAGAAATTCCTGTCTCCTTTGAAAATGTAAGTAGTCTTAATTTCTTCAATGTTTCTTATAATAACCTCTCAGGTGCTGTTCCCACTCTACTTGCCAAGAAGTTCAACTCAAGCTCATTTGTGGGAAATATTCAACTATGTGGATATAGCCCTTCAATCCCATGCCATTCTCCAGCTCCATCAGAAGGAGTCCTTGCTCCACCTCCTGAAGTGTCAAAACACCACCATCATAAGAAGCTAAGTACCAAAGACATAATTCTCATATTAGCAGGAGCTCTTCTCATAGTCCTGATTGCACTATGTTGCATTCTGCTCTTCTGCCTGATGAAAAAAAGAGCAAGATCAAAGGAGGAGAATGGCCGGGCCACAGGGAGAGGTGCCACAATGAGGAGGGAAAAAGGAGTCCCTCCTGTTGCTGAGGGTGAGGTTGAAGCAGGTGGGGAAGCTGGAGGGAAACTGGTACATTTTGATGGATCAATGGCTTTTACAGCTGATGATCTCTTGTGTGCAACAGCTGAGATAATGGGAAAAAGCACCTATGGAACTGTGTATAAGGCTACATTGGAGGATGGAAGTCAAGTTGCTGTCAAGAGATTGAGGGAAAAGATCACTAAAAGTCAGAGAGAATTTGAATCAGAAGTTAGTGTTCTAGGGAAAATTAGACACCCAAATCTTTTGGCTCTAAGGACTTATTACTTGGGACCCAAAGGAGAAAAGCTTCTTGTTTTCGATTACATGCCTAAAGGAAGTCTTGCTTCTTTCCTACATGGTAAGTGCAATAACATTAAAAGCAAACTTTTTATTAAGGTAAATCTCTAATTTTAATTGGTAAACAACACTAACAGCACTTGAAGAACAACATATAAGTTATGTCCTTTGCTTTATTGATAGAGCTTATCTATAAGTTGAAGTAATTATTTCCATTTTGATGCAGCTCGTGGAACTGAAACAACCATAGATTGGACAACAAGGATGAAAATAGCACAGGACATGGCTCGTGGGTTGTTTTACCTTCATTCCCAAGAGAACATTATACATGGGAACCTTACATCAAGCAATGTGTTGCTTGATGAGAACACAAATGCTAAAATTGGAGATTTTGGTCTTTCTAGGTTGATGACACCTGCTGTTAACTCTAACGTGATAGCTACTGCTGGTGCATTGGGATACCGTGCACCTGAGCTCTCAAAGCTTAAGAAAGCCAACACAAAAACTGATATCTACAGTTTTGGAGTTATCTTGTTAGAACTCCTAACGAGGAAATCACCTGGGGTGTCTATGAATGGAGTAGATTTACCTCAGTGGGTTGCTTCTATTGTCAAAGAGGAGTGGACAAATGAGGTTTTTGATGCTGATTTGATGAGAGATGCATCAACAGTTGGTGATGAGTTGCTGAACACATTGAAGTTGGCTTTGCACTGTGTTGATCCTTCTCCATCAGCACGGCCAGATATTCAACAAGTGCTTCAGCAGCTAGAAGAGATTAGACCAGAGAGATCAGTCACAGCCAGTTCTGGCGATGATTCTAACGCCATATAGGACAATTTTTTTATCATTTTTCATTTGTTTTTGGTGCCAAACGTGGTAGGTCTATATTCTATTATTCTTTCATTCTTAAATTGATTTTGCCCGTGTGAATGCTTGAGTTTGTACATACTGAATAGTAGTATACTGCAATAAGGTGGCTTCCCTCTCCCCAAAAGTGCGTCTATTTATGGTTCAGAACAGTTATAATTCTGCATAATGCATTTGTGAAGCAGGGTCTCCTATTATTTTTCTACAAAACTTTCACATATGATATTCTCTACAACAATGGCTCTGTACATTTCAACAAATTTTACATAATTTTTATTGGATAGAAGTATAAAATTGAACTGATGTGAACAATACCAATCACATCTTTGATAAATGAACGACTGATTAAGGAGCCATAAAGTTGGAACTTGCTTCAAAAATAGCTCCAACTTCAAAATTCACTCAATAAAAAGCTACTATGTAAAATACTTGGAAATAAACTACAAAACTGAGCAAGCATACACTAGACCTTATACTCATCAACAATAGAAATTGGTATTTGTTGCAAGGTATTCGTATAGTTGTTCATCCTGCAACATAGAGAAAATATTAAACTTATCAACAACAGAAAATGGTTCTGTTCAAAATCACAGATTAATGACAGGTACAGATATACATAAGAAAATCTGTCATTATTAAAGTTTCCTTTGTAGATTAATAAACAAGTCTAAAAAATGCTATGCATATGCTTGATTGTTTTGGTATTTAACTCTATTATCTGTTTTGATTAATTAGTTGCAGTTTGCCACATTTCTCATGTCAGCTATGCCACATTTAATCAAGTTAAGGATTATTCTGCAAACTGAAGATGGTGAAAAGAAATCTACCATGAAATCAAGCATAACAGTCAAACAAGTAAATATGAATAGACACAATAAAGTTTAATGGTCTTTGATCATCCCATGAGACAATAATCTTTCGGATACTGCTGGGAGTAGAAGGTTGGTATTTGAGTAAAATATTATGATATTAATTTTTTATTTCATAAATCTTGCTCGAGAACAAAAATGTTATGAGACTTCAAAAAGGAGAATTTTTAAGCTTTATCCAATGAAAAGAAAAAAATCCCACAAATGAGAGCGATACTTGAAGAGGAATGCAATTTTTCATCCACTGCCTACATTATGAACAACCTAGTATCAACGAAAACCACATAAAGAACGCATTAAGATAAAGAAGAACAAAATCCTACGTTGCAAGCGTATGAATCTGAATGCTTGATACGATGACTTGCATATATGTAATATTAAATATTTTATAATAATGTAATTTCCTGATAATTTATTATCATTGTTTTTAAATTCTTTTGCGTTAAAGTTTAGCGCAATTCATCTTTTCTCTCTGAGATACTCATACTTTCTGTATACCGTATAGGAATACATAGATAAGGCATCAAATCATCAAACAGTTCTATGACTACATTGGCTTTCACACAAGCTGTCTAGTTCAATATAAAATGGTAGAGAATCCTAGGTGCGCACTGCGTTCCGTATAATTAATCTTTGGTGTGTTGTAAAGGAATATTTGAGATCAAATCATTTCTAACATGACAATTGCAAGCAGGTACATGTCAACTCTGCACTGCACTTGACTAGTTCAAGTTTGATTTTTGGCTTGGCATTATGCATAAAAGAATATAATGCTGGTATTTATTCTTATTATCAATGAGTGTCTTAAGGTAATCAATATGCTGGCAACTAATTAGCATGATGGACCCCGAACATTTTTGTTGCTCTCAATTCTAAAAAATTAGCATATTCCATAGAAAAAGGAAAAAAAAAAAAAAAACTTAACAGGTGGAGTTTTATTTGTCATGCAATTGATCAAACTTCTAATAGCTAGCTTAGAAATGATTGTCCAAATTTATAAGGAGTATTCTAATGATATTCTTAGCCGATATAAAACATGTTTACACCCACTCATGTCATGTCAATAAACATTTGATGAGTGAAGTTTGCCAAACTAGACATCTGCATTCAACATTTAAATCAAATAGACTCTAATAGTACATAAAAAATTTGGGCTTAATTCACTTTCAAAAGTTAACTTAGTGGAGGAATATTGCCTAAGTCATAAAATAAGTATTCTACTCATTCCTAACCGACATGAGACATCTTAACAGTTAATAGGCCTGATTTTTCACTTTATTGTTTTAGGTACTGGTTTCAATTATATTTTTTTCTGTTCAATATTTTATGTACGACTCAGCTAGAAGGCAAGGGCATTATCCGTCTCTATTAAAAGATATTGTGATTCACAGTTGAAACAAACAGCATTACTTGCATAATTTCTAACTAATGTTGTCATTAGTTGTAGATAATGTTGATTATAACGGCTTAAAGCCTTAAAGCAGAACCATAGTTTAAGGAAGCTGTGTGATCTGTGTTCACTCCCAAGTCCTAAAGTACATCCTCTGCTATGCTGTTGCAAATAAGACAGAGACTTGAATCTAACATGATTGCTTAATTTTGCATTGCTGGGAGACTATCATTCTACTGAATTAATGTTGTGTTGTTTAACAATAATAATAAAATTATGCAACTTCTCGAGCTATATCTTCTCTTCTTTAACAATGGTGCACGTTGCTATAGATGCCTTCAATGTTTCATAACATTAATTGACTTATAATATCTGTTCACCTTAGTTTAATTTCTTACCACACCTTAGGCATCAAAAGTTGCATAAACGCATTCAAATTATAATAGATGGTCCCAAGTAACCAAATTTCAATTTAATTTTTATTAGGAAAATTGCTGTTTAGTTTAATTATTAGGTGTATATACGGAAAAGAAAACAAATAAAAAGAGAAGCAGCACAAGGTGTAATATGTAATAACATGACAAGAGATAAAAGTACTAAACATATAGGTATGAATATGCATTGTTGCTCATAAAATATGCATAACAAAAGTTTATACAGCATTATAGTGACTTTCGACCTCATACAGTCATACTCACTGGTCCACAAACTCTATTGAACTTGTAAAGACTAAAGAACATGTGAAGACTATCTACAAAACTCACTATGGAAGCCCATAAAATGGTGCATGCACATCAAAAGTAATACAGCATAATAGCATTGAAGAAAAAACATAAAAATACAGCATTATAGCGACTTTCGACCTCTCTCACTCACTCCTGGACTCACATGCTTAATGAAACCCATTATGGTTTCATAAGGGTAACATGCTTTTTACAAAAAGAAATGAAGCATATCATTGAGCGTGATCTTTAAGAAGGCCCCATTTTAGAAACACAAGAACATGATCCATTTGTCTTCAATTTCTTTTGCTAAACACATATAAGAAGTTTCTACCCACTTATAACTAACCTTGAAAATGAAATCCTGTGAATAACATTCTCAAAGAAGACGAAATACAATAATAAACAATTTTTAGAACATTTGCAACATAATAAAATTTTTTGTTAAAAATTACATAATTTAACACATTAATACATAATAAATTTTCAATTTATATTTATTATTCATTGAATTTTTATTATGTAATGTTATATAGATAAAAAAAATGATATAATTGAGCATGGGAATTAACTTACAAAAATTGTTTCATTTTAACACGTAAGTTCAAGGACCAATTGACGTAGTTCTCTATCTCTTTATCTTGAAAAACAGTTAAATTTTATGAAAAAAGATTGGTTTATGCTGTTTTGTCAATTTTGTGTCACCCTTTTATATAATTTCCACATCATTGCTAGCGACTTATGATGTAGTTCATCTTTTTGCCTTTCTTAAGATATGAGAAAGTCAGTAACAAACTCTACCAACTTTGTCTAATGTAGTGTCATAATTTGTTGTTCACCTATCAAATCTCAATTTGGTTTCTGAATGTATTTTTATATTAATCTCTGACACACTAATCCTATGTTTGACATGCTTTCGTTCTCACTGTCTTAACGGTTTTCGGACAACCAAACAGTGTCTTGGCTTGATGTTGTTATCAACTCAGTTGTAGCGATCAATCAATCCTTTATTCCAATTTTACACGAAAGATTCGGGCAAGACCTTACATAGGTAGGGGCGAGATAACTAACCATTAGAGGAAGCATTACCTCATTCCTTGGGATTTAAGATTCATAAAATCTTTGTATACATGTAAAATTAGAGACCTAAAAGTGTTTTTTTATATATATTTGAAGTTTGTATGTATAAAAAATAAGTTAGACATAGAAAAAAATTATATCTAATATTATATATTATGTTAAATTTTAGTAATTTAAATAATCAAACTGTTTAAAGTTTAAAAATTTATTTAAATCACTTTGTCTCTTATACAATTTTTTCTTTCAATTCAAAATTATAATTGTTTAAGGTTATGAATTTAATAGCTTTATTTTTATAAAAATTATTTTTTTAATTTCTTTCTATCTCCATAATAATAATCTAAGAGTTAAATGAAAAATTATTAAAATTATAATTTGATTAACTTTAATTCTTAAGAATCTAAAAGTAATATTTTCTATTAAAAATATTTATCATATTGAATATATATAATATTTTATTTTAAAATAAAATTTATTATTTAAATATTTAAATTAAATTTAATAACTAAAGTTAATAAATAAGTAATTAATAATACCTATATATATATATAATAAATTTTTATTATTCAAATATAAAAATACATTTTAATTTATATACTCTGTGAATTCATAGTAGTACTTGGACCCTAAATTGTAGACTAGTCCACGCTTTTCCGTGTTTTCCCACTTTAATTGAAAAGGAGATTTCCGATGTCAAAGGAGTGATCGGTAGAAGATCCGCGCACTCTCGAGGGTCCATCACCATTAAAAAGGATGAGTACTTATATTTCATCCTTATTCATAAGGATTCATTTATCAAAATTAATAAAAACAATTATATATTTTAAATTTATATTATATTTTAAAAATATTGACACGATTAAATAATTAAATTGATGATATATATGTATATTAAACTAATAAATAAATTTATAAATAATATGTAATGACAAAATTAATAATCAATATATACTATAATTTAAATAAAATTAATAATTATTTTTATATAAATAAAACTAAAAATATACTGATTTGAAGTGCTAGATATGTATTATGTATTAAGAAATAAATTTTAGTAAGTAGAAATATAAATATTTAAAAAAATTTAACCAATTAAATATAATTCAAATGCAAGATTTTAAATTATAAGAAATAAATATATAATTATAACAACGATAAAGTCATTCGAATGACTTTTCAACAAATTGAAAGAGAAGTATAGGTATATATATATAAGTAGAAAAAGAGGGGGGAAAAGGGGTTTTATGAAAGAGAAAATATTATTTCAAATGAAAGTAGAGAGAAATTTAGAAATATATAAGGAAAGGGTTAAAAATAAATACTTCAACCACATAATTAAATTAATAAATTAATAATCAAATTATATATTTTATATAAAAATCATGTGTGTATATAAATAAACTTTCAAAGAGTTTTTAGGAGGGGAGCTCGAGTCCATCCTTGTCCTCTCTAATATATATATTTTTAAAATTTTTGTATTTAATATTGTTCCTTTTAAAATTTGGAAAAAAAATTATTATAAACAATTGGATATCATCAATCTTTTTTTGTTTTTGACTATTTGATCTTACACCATAACACTGGTCTCTTTTTCCTGGCATTTTTTTGGCCTTTCCTCCTTTAGTTGAAACATTAATTAACAAGGCAATAGAATTTTCATAGAAAAACAATTTTCGTCAAAAACCAAATAAAAAGTAACAAAATACAACCTGTGAATAGCAAGCGTTTAATAACTTGTTTGTGACAATCCTATTCTTTTGAATTGATACACTTTTTATTTTATTTTATTTTTGCATTTGAGTGATCGAATGTCGGAAAAAGATAATCATCATCGCTAGTATTAATCTACTTTTCATTTGAGTAAGTGAATTGCTTAGCATTCGAAAAAAACAACAATTGAAGGGAATCAATAGACCAATAACAGATCATTAGGAAACCAAATCCTCATACACAAATGTCAAACATTAGAAAAACACAGGAAGTTGTGACATTATAGGGGCACATGTGGCAGTGTGGTGACCTAAATGTTCGTCAAAATGAAGTGTCACTTGTACAGCCAAGTACGTATCTTTGAGCATGACATTCTTATGCGTGTAATTATATGCTGATCTCATTCATTAGCAAAATTAAAGTATATATATATATGTTGGGTGACAGGTCACCTAATTTAATACGTTACCTAGCTATATTATTTTTCATAAGTATCTCTAACTAAATTCTTGTTGGATGCAATCAAATCAATTTAGTTATTATATTTGCTGCACACCTTATGAGAGTCTACACTTCTTAAATCAACCAAAATTATTAGCCTAAATATCCTGGTTTACGCATCATTCAATAACTAGTTTGTTTTACCAGTTGGAAAGAGAAGACTGGTGAGGAACACCCAACTTATCATGAGAGCTAGAGCTTGACAACAAGCAGCATTTAACCTTAAAATAGGTTAATGCTAATATTAAAGAAATAAATAAATTTGTAAGGCAAGTTGTGTGTATATATATATATATTGAACAAAATTAAAGGTGCTGTGTACAGAGTTTCATATATTTCTAACGCGGATTACTTTTTCATAAAAAACGATCATTAGAGGACTAAAAGAAAAAAGTGCTTTTCTTTTTAATCAGCAAAGAGAATAAATACTATTAAGCACTTTAATTACCAGAATCGCCAAAGTAAGGAAAAAGTCAAATTGGACTAAGGCAAAAGCTACCCTATTTTCTTAATTAAAATATGACCCTCTTTTCCAAAAATCAAAATTTCTTAGATGAAAAGAAAGTGCGTTTGTTTGACGGCTTGCACTAATTTATATGTAGTTTTATGCTGGTAATTTTCAAGCATTTAAGGCTGATGGTATTTCTTATTGGAGAGCTTGACTTGCAAAGTGAAGAGTTAATAAAGTTAACATCTTTGTCCCTTGCATGTTGTCTTGGTCCTTTTGGAATTTTATACTTTTGCTAAAAAGGTATAACATTTGCTAGAAATGGAATGGAGTATAAGAAAGTGGGTGAAAAAAAGGTAGAGATAAATTAATTAATCTTGTTAGATGCCTCGTGAATGCGAGTTAGAACAAATAGGATCAGAAGATTAATTAAAACCCGTCTTATTAGCTGAACAAAGTCTCAACATATAATAATGCTTAATTAGTTAAAATTCAACCTCTAACTGATGACTTCTTAAGTAAGCATTCATGAACTTAATTAACTAGCGGGTGCAACAACTATTATGGGGTTTGAACCAAGTTTCCCATAGAGTATGACCTCAACGAAATTAACCTAATATGTGCCAACCACAAACGACTTTATCTCTTTCTCTCTCCCCTATAAAAGCACTCTCTCCTCCTCTTACTTGCATTGCAACCTCAACCTACAGCATTCACACTAAGTGTTTCATACTCACTAAAAGATGGAGCCTACAAAGACCATTCTCAACAATGCTAAGTACTCCTCCATCTTCCTAGCCATCTTTCTTCTCTTAGCTTCAGCATTGTCTTCAGCAAATGCCAATATTCATAAGCATGAGTTTGTTGTACGTTCTCTCACCCTCTTTCTCTTTCCTTTTCTATTTTGGGGCCTAATTTCTTGATTTTTATTCTCTTTCGTTAGATAATAATTACCTAACTGGTTGTAATGGAATAGATTCAAGCAACTCCAGTGAAGAGGCTGTGCAAAACCCACAATACAATCACGGTGAATGGACAATACCCGGGCCCAACGTTGGAAATCAGCAATGGAGACACTTTGGTCGTCAAAGTCACTAACAAAGCTCGTTACAACGTGACCATTCATTGGTATAAAATCAAGCTACATTTTAATTTCATTATAGAAAATAACACATTCAACTTAATTACCACGAGTTATAGAAGACACCCTATTCCCTAGTCAAAAATATTTTTCTCATAGTATATTCTTCTATTATTCCCTACACACCGTTTTATATTAAAATGGAGAAAAATTTTCTCCCTTTATCATAAAAGGACCACATAAAGAATAGTGTAAAGAACCAGATGACCTGGATTTTTTTTAATATTTTAATCTTTACTTTTCTCACTTTACTTTTTCATATATTTATTATATTTAAACAAGCTAAAAAGAAGTTAAATTTTTGAATAAAAATAAGATGTAATTAAAATTTTAAAATAAAATAATAATATTATATTAATATATTTTTTATATTTTTAATTCTATTATTATTAATATTTAATTATTATATTATTATATTAAATATTATATTATAATTTTTTATTTATAATAAATAAAAATTAGTTAAATATGAATTATATTTTATTCAAAACTAAAACTTTATAAAAAATAATAAAAAAGTAAAATAAAAAATTTAATATACAATATATATATATATATATATATATAAAAGACTACATAACAAATAATATAAATAATATATATAATTTTAAATAAATTATATATAATAATATTTTTTTAATTTGTTATATATTTCTATTTTTTTAGTATAAATTTTTTTGGATACGATATTTATAAAAAAAAATTATGGTACAATCTATTTTAATTTTATTTCTAATTATTAGTTTTTATCTTCAAAGTAAGGGAGGTTAATTCCAGTATCAGAAACCAAAACTTATTTCTCTACTCCATGTAAATTTTTTTCTCTAAATAGAGATAGATTTGCAATTCGATTTATAAATTTAATGACAAATTTATCTTTAAATTTAATAACAATTTTGTTCTAAAGTTGAATGAATTTTCTGCCTCAGTTTTTCTTTTCAAACATGTCTATAGTTAATAATTTTTTAAAAGAAAATTATAACTATTTTATGTACTTTTTCATATAAATCATTTTATATCACGCAAAATTATCATAATTTATAATCATAAAAATATTAAAATAAAAGTATTCAAGTCATTATTATAACATAAAATGTAACATTTCAAGTGTATCACATACATTATAAAATTCAAAATACATTTACAAATATAAAAGTTATCAGTAGTTACAATTTAAGGAATAAGACTATTATATCATTCAAATCTTTATCACATGACTTTTATTTCGATCTTCTAGAATTATTTATTTTAACTACAGACGGAACTAGAGATAAGACAAATATTTTTTTTCTCAATTTTAGCTACAAATATATCTTTTACTTTAGTTGAATATTAGATATAGAATAAATTTGAACAACTGAATTATGTATCTAAATTTTTCCTCTTATTATATTTTGCATTATCTAAAGTTTCTTATACTATGTCTTTAGGCATGGCATTCGACAAATGAGAACAGGATGGGCAGATGGTCCAGAATTTGTGACACAATGCCCTATTCGTCCTGGAAAAAGTTACACCTACCGATTCACAGTTCAAGGACAAGAAGGCACACTTTGGTGGCACGCTCATAGTTCATGGTTAAGAGCCACAGTTTACGGTGCTTTAATCATTCGTCCCAGAGAAGGAGAAACCTATCCTTTTCCCAAGCCAAAGCGCGAGACACCCATTCTTCTTGGTAATCATCCATGTTTACCTGTGCATAATTTGTAACAGTACCATTGATTAAACCATGTGATTGTGATCCATGGAATAATACTAATTCTTTTTTAAGACAAAGATTATGTATATTTATGATGACGACGAATTAATAAACGGTGAAAGTTGTTACGATGATTCAGGAGAATGGTGGGACGCAAACCCCATCGATGTTGTGAGGCAAGCCACACGATCTGGAGCAGCTCCAAACGTGTCTGATGCATACACTATCAATGGTCAACCTGGTGACCTTTACAAGTGCTCTACCAAAGGTTTGATTCCTTCTTAGTTTTGATCATTACATTAATTCAACATGTCACATGTCTTGTTTAATCTATCAGTTTTAGGAAATGACACACAGTACCAAATTATTAAAGATGTCAATTATTTATGAAACAAGTAAACAACAGGGTTGGTTCTTTGGTACAGCCTCTATATGATTATAGATGGGCCTGGTTTTCTTCTTTTCAAAGACAAAAGTATTTTTAAAATAAAATTTACCGTTTAAAAATTGTAACGTTACACATTAATTGTTTTAAATAATTTGACACTTTTTTTTTTGGCATAAATTAGAAAATAGCCTTCCATATTTTTAAAAAATAATCATTTTCTAACAACTTAAAAAGAAAACTCATCTGATTAAAACGTCTGAAAAGGAATTAAGAGCTTTTCTATTTATACTTTTGAACCGTTTCTGATGATTTTATGCAACCGACAAGTTTGCCCGCAAGTCAATGATAATGTAGCACTAAGCAAGAGGAGTAAAAAAAGGAGTTTTAAAAAGTTAAAAAGTTTTCTTTTATTTCATTAAATTCTCTCATTCAATTTTTTTATTAACAATTATAAATTTATAATGACTTTTTATAAGTCAAAAAATCAAATATTTATCCTGAATATTAAAAAAATACTAACTAATATCTCAAAACATTGGTTAAAAATTTACAATTTTTTTTATTAAAACATGTTATTAATATATATTTTTCAACATACTTAACATACATTACAAGCTAATCAAATTTCAAATACGACAAATAGTCAACATGACTCTTTGACTCTACCGTACTATGATATCTTCGTGAACATGACTTTGTTTTTTTGTCTGAAATCAAACTTGGCAATGCAGGCACCACCGTTGTTCCAACACATTCCGGCGAGACCAACCTCTTAAGAGTCATCAACTCCGCACTCAACCAACCTCTCTTCTTCACAATCGCAAAACACAAACTCACAGTGGTCGGTGCCGATGCTTCCTACGTTAAACCCTTTACCACCAAAGTCCTCATGCTGGGTCCCGGCCAAACCACCGACGTCTTAGTCACCGCCGACCAAACACCTTCCCGTTACTACATGGCGGCGCGTGCATACCAATCAGCTCAAAATGCACCGTTTGACAACACCACCACCACCGCCATTCTTCAATACAAATCGCACCATTCCAAAGCGAACCGTTCTAAAGCATTCATGCCCTCTCTCCCTGCTTACAATGACACTAACATCGTCACTGCTTTCAGTAGAAGCTTCCGAAGCCCAAGAAAAGTTGAAGTTCCCACTGAAATTGATGAGAGCTTCTTCTTCACCGTTGGCTTAGGACTCAACAAGTGTCCACCGAACTTCAGTGCAAGGAGATGCCAAGGACCCAATGGAACGAGGTTCACTGCGAGCATGAACAACGTGTCATTTGTTCTTCCCAACAAAGTTTCCATCTTGCAGGCTCATTATCAGGGAATTCCCGGAGTGTTCACCACTGATTTTCCGGCGAAGCCGCCAGTGAAGTTCAATTTCACCGGCAACGTGAGCCGTTCTCTGTGGCAACCTGCTCCCGGGACTAAAGCGCACAAGTTGAAGTTCGGGTCGAGGGTGCAGATCGTTTTGCAGGACACGAGCATTGTCACTCCTGAGAACCACCCTATTCACCTTCATGGCTATGATTTCTACATTGTTGCAGAAGGGTTTGGAAATTTCGACCCTAAGAAGGATAAATCCAAGTTTAACCTTGTTGATCCACCTCTCAGGAACACTGTGGCAGTGCCTGTTAATGGATGGGCTGTTATTCGATTTGTTGCTGATAACCCAGGTAACTAACTAATTAATTAATTATCGATTGTTTTCTAAGAACATATGTTAAGAAAATAAAAAATAATAAATTCTAATTAAAAATTGTAATATTTAATATTGTTTGTATATAAAATTTTGTAACAGCTTATTATTTTTAATAAAAGTTTATCCATTATATGCTTTTAGACATACGTAAAAAAAATTAATCGATTGTATATTTTTAATTTTGATTTGTATTATATATCTCATTTTTGAAAAGAGAAACAGGGAATGATTTGATGTTTGGTGACATTATTGTAGGTGCGTGGCTTATGCATTGTCACTTGGATGTTCACATCACGTGGGGTTTGGCCACGGTGTTATTGGTAGAGAACGGAGTTGGGAAATTGCAATCCATAGAGTCCCCTCCATTGGATCTGCCTCTTTGTTAGGATCATTTCAAAATAAGCATCCGACCAAGAATCAGGATCTTAAATTTTTCTTAGTTTGGATTTTGGAAGTTAATTGATTGATGTTTCCCTGCATTTGGGGTCTTTTTTTTCCTTTCTTAGTTTGGTTTTTTCGCTCTGTTTCATTGTTTTTTATATAGAGATAAATCGGGTTTACAATTTAGGAGAGATGGTGACATGGTTTCAACACACATACCATCTCAATAGTGTTCATACGCCCGACTTCAAATTGATGTTACTCGTTTCCCAAGGTTCATGTTAGAAATTAACGGATTGCAAGTTTTGAACATATATATGCCGTCTCATTCAAGTTTATTGTTAATTTTTTAATTATGGGATGATATTTTTAAATTGGAGAAATTCAAGGATATAAAATAGGCACGGGTGATTTGTGTTCCTATTGCCTAATAGGGATACAAAAGCATCCAATCGATGGAATTCTCTCAACTAAGAGGGGAAATATGCATTAACAATTCAATAATACATCAATTAATGGGTTACATAACAAAACCAAAAACTCTCCTAGAAGATTAATGGTAGAAAGGGCCAGAGCCAGCTTCCTTGTCTAAAAGTTTTACCCTCTTTTCACAACATTGCATCACCAAAACTGGAACCTTCCCATTACAAAACTCATTGGACACCAACAGATCTCCAAAAATTCCTAACTGATCCGCATTGTCCATGAAATTCGTCATCTCTTCATCCGTCAAATCCCCAATGCAATGTCTCTTTCCCACCATCACAAGGTCATAGTCATTTTCCAAGCGACGAATCGCTTCCAACACCCGTATGCTATCCTCCACCACAATCTCATGACAAGACACACTATCACTATTAGTAATGTTCTTGGCCTTGAATTCATCTATTAAACTTTCATCACACACGATCTCTACCCTTTCCTCTTCATTATCCGCAAACCTATCTATAAAAGACCCTGAATTGTTGCTAGGCACAAACCGAAATAACGATACACGCGTGTTGGGGCGCTCTAACATTCGAATTCCCAATGCCAATGCTTCTCTGTCATCCGTTCCACCAATGAAGAAGATACCCACATGAAAACATAGCTTGGAGCTAATCATACCAAGCATCGAGGATCTATCTACCAATATCCCGACTGTACACTTTGCACTAGCTAGAAAGCTAGTGTTGAGTTCCCGAATGACCGTGGCAGTGTGGCTACCAATACTTTGATCATTTTGGTGAAATGGGATAATAAGGAAATGCACTGAGCTATCCTCGGCGAGGTTACAAACAGCCTCGTGCATGCTATTGAGGGGGGCCACATTTACGTATGAAAGAATGGTTACGGGTCCACTTGAGTTGTGGGAGTAGTTCTCAAAGGCACGTAGAATGTGGTTGGTGTTAGGGTAATTGGTAGAGAGGGCTTTTCTGTTGTGCTTGTTCATGGGAAGGAGAATGGGTGTGCTTTTCCCCAAGAGCTCAATGAGATGGATCACGTAGACACTTATAGGGCTTCGTGTTGTTGGGTTGCATGCCTCTATCAACGCAATCATGCTATGAACATTTCCATCGTTGTGTAAACAAGAAACAATGTTAAACTCCGATGTTTCAGGAATGTTTTGGATTGTTCTCACGCGCCCTTCATTTATGGTTGCCGTTTTCAACACTCGCGGACGATGCTTGTACAATGATTTGATCATAGGTATGCAAATTGCTGTCGTCATCACCACATACAACACCATTTGACTGAATATTTCTGCATGAATGACCTACAAAAGGAAATTAGTAGGTAACTAATTGGCCTCAATCTCTCATAAAATTAGAAATAATAAAATAAAATATCACATATGTTACAAAAATAAAAAATATCGATGTAAGTTTAGAATCATAATTTTGTAATTAACAGATATAATTTTTTATTTATAATCACTTAACATTAATTAATCATATAATGAGATAATTATTTGATATAAATTAAAATATTATTAAATAATATATAAACTTATTCATATATTATATATTAAATAATAAAATCTTTCTTTTTTATTATTCTTTTCTTCCTACTTTAAACAAAAGATAGGAAAACATAAAGAGATCATATATTACCCCGAGTTTGCTCATTCTGTTGAAAAATATCAATTCGATTACGCCCTTGATGCTCAATAGGAGACCAAGCACCAAGCCATGTTTGGGCTTAATTTTATACGTGGGAGAAATAAGCACACATGCAAACACCTTTACCATGAATCCCACAAATAGGATAGCTTGAAATACTCCAACCACCTTCCAATTGTTTTGAATTCCATTCAAATCTGTCTTCAAGCCTAAATACAAGACGAAGAAAGGCATGAGAAGTTCCGAGATGATTATTTCGCTTCTCTCTATAACTGTGGTCGCCAAGGGGGGCCCATTGGGCAAAACCAAACCATAAATGGTAGGTCCTACGATGAAATATATCCCAAAAATGTCACTAATAGCTGCCATAGCTAGGGCTCCCAGAAGAACCAAAACAACGTATGCTTCTTTCATTGGTTTCCCTGGTGGTGTTCTCTGAATAATAATCTTCACCACCGGTCTTATAACAAAAATACACAAGAAAGCGTATCCCAAGACAGCAACCAAAATTATAACCGTAAAGTGCAGGTCCCCGCCTGAGTTGAACTGAAATCCCATCGTAACCCATTGCAACATTTCACTAACCAACGCTGAAGACAAAGCAATTTGCCCTATTTCCGTAGCTATAAGGTTCAGTTCTACCAACGCTTCAGATACAGCAGCGAAACTGCTTACGGTGAAGATGTTTGGGAAGTCAATCATTGTCGTGTTTACTCTGTCATAGGGTGTATACAAAGAAAATAGAATCACTGTAACGAAAAATGAAGCCAAGAAAGGAAATACCCCAAATCTCCAACAACGTTTTGCTGCTCTTAATGTCGTCGCCACATCCATCTTAAGAGTAATCATGAATATAGAATATGTAATGCCTATTTTCGACAACGCCATTAAAACCGCAGCTTGTTTTAGCGGAAATAGAGTCCCCATTACGGCTTCATACCGTCCAAAACATGTTGGTCCCAACAGAATGCCGGCCTGAAAATTTTCAGTGCTAATCAAATTCTCTATCAACATAACCATCTGTACATGCATTTATAAATGGATGTTTTTAATCTGCTTGCACATGATAGAAAATTATTTAATAACATTAATATCTGTAATTATTAATAAAAACTCGTTACATTGTACATGTTTTCTAAATCATACATGCGTGAAATGTTACATGTATGATTTAGAAAAACTTATGTATATCAAACAACATCGGATGTAAAATGATGGCTGCAATTAATATCAAACATTGAACAATAGTAATTAAATTAAAATTAGGTTGAGATAGAAAAAGAAGCGTACCATGACGGAGCAGAGGAATTTGGGTGTTTTTATAGGCCTGAGGATGTATTGAAGTGTTCGAGTGATTACACCGACCATAATGAGTTGGAACAATGTGACAGGAATCACAAAATCGAATGGATTATCCCCAACCCAAATGCCTAAAGATCCTACAGTTCTATCGTTCTTGATACAAACTTGGAATCCATCGCTAGAGTCATTAAAGACAGTGACGACAGAGAGGGGTACTTCTTCGCTCATTATATTGCATGAATAAGCAAGTACCCAACCAATAAGAGAGAGAACAGGTTGAGTAGACGGAACAAAATCAAACATATGCATTATGCTTCAATTAAATTGGCACATAAAATAGTTATATTTACATTCTGGCATGAAAGTTTTAGCCATATATGAGCTGTGTGAATGGGATGGTAGTTATTACAACAGGGTCAAAAATCAAAGATGGTAATGAGTTGGAGTTTCTATATTTGGCGACAGAGAAGACATGTACGATACATAGTTGATGCTATTACTGAACTAAGGCCAGTGTGTAACTGCAAAACCAAAGATAATGAATCTCAATTAAAAGTGTCAAAAGGTATAATTTTAAACAACAAAGCCATATATATCACACAACTATAGGGTTTGTACAAATTGTTCGATGACAGGTGTAATTAACGAGAAAAAATAGGTATAGCTAACCACCACATACGGAGATGATCGATTGATGCAGGATGACGAATATCATACACCTTTCTCTTACATCTTTTTTTAGTTTATTTTTTTTCCTTTTATAAACTTTTTTTTTTATCACGTTACTTATTTATTTATTTATTACTTCCTATACCTAAAAAAAAAAGAGTTATACATATATAAACTCATGATCTTCCATCTATATTAATGAACCACATGACAAAGCGGAGCTGCAAGAATCTCTTTTTTGTATGAGAAAGGATTTCATGCACAATCAGAATCGCATACAATTCGGAAAATTTTTCACAAACTAAGTAGCATTTGAACAACAATAGGTAAGTGCTAATTAGTACGTTGTGAAAATTGGTTTGAAATTTAAATATTTTTGATTTTTTATTAAAAGTGTTATCAATAAATTTTTACTGTAATTTTTAATATAACTTATTATAATTTTTATTAAAAAATATTTATTGATTCTTTGAACAATAAATACAAAAGAATTGAAGATTTAGTGAATTAATAAGATTTTTTTATTAAAAAATATAAATCAAAATATGCAAATACATGCATTTAAAATTTTGTGTTGAAAAATCTAAAAAATTAATTTAATTGATATAAGAGTGTTTATTAGAAATATCTAATTGAGTTTAATATCTATCAGAAAATATAATGATTATTTTAAAATTTTAAGAAATTAAAAATCTCTTTGATTCATTAATTAAGAAAAAAATATTGATTTATTGCATGAAACAAAATGAAGATGAGTCATAATTACGTGCAAAAGAAATTTCTTACAAAAATTATCATACTTTTAATAAATAGAATTTATAATTGCAAAATAAGAATAAACTTATAATTGGAAAATATGATTATATTTTTTTTGTATAAAATGTGATTTATTTCATTATTAAATAGTAAATTTAAAATTAGGAAACTATTTCACTGACATCATGTTCATTTGTTAAATTGTAAGTTCAATTTTAATGCATTGTAACATAATTTTAATATTAGTTATTGTAAAAATTAACTAAATTTTTGTTGATATAAAAGTTTATAATTGAAAGATAATGTAAAACTTGTACATAGTCAGTGTATTTAAATTAATTTTTATAATATATGTTTAGGTACAAAAGAAGCAATGTAACTTTTAAGAATTAAAAAAAATTACAAATGTTTTTATTTATGAATGAAGACTCAAATTTACAGTATAGGGGTAAGTAATTTGATACATCATTTTATGTGTACAAATTTCATTAATATAATATACAAGTATATAAAAATAAAAACTATTTAATTATCTTTAACATTTTGTAAGCATTGTCATAAATAATATATAATTCTAATTTAATGTTTGAATCGATAAATTATTTTTATAGGAATTAAATTATATTTAATTTCTACAGAAATATAAATGAGTAAAACTTGTCCTCAGATATGCAACAAACGTTGTCCTATAATTTAAATAACGACAAAAAATTATAATGTACCAAATTTACTTATTTAATAAACTTAATTGTTGTAAGTTTTCTACATTAGTTATCTATAAATATTTTGATGCCATAGTTTATAAATATTTATTATCGATGCAAAAAATTAAGAATTGATTTTAAAATTTAACAAAAAATTAAAAATAATTTTGATTCATTAATTACGAAGAAAAAAATACTAACTTGAGGCATGATAATGTATTTAATTTTAATACATTATCGATATAAATAATTTTAGACTATTGACTAACTAAAATATATACTTAATAGAATTTTACAATTAATTATTATAATATTTTAATAATTTTTATTAATATGTTAAATAAAAATTAAATGATAATATAAAAAATTACTATTAATCTATGTAATTAAATACTACAACAAAATATAAGAGCATGTTTATATAAGAAGAAAATTATGTGCAGAAATTATTTTACACTTCAATAAATAGATTTTAAATTTATAATATAAACGTATTTATAATGAAAAAAATTATTTTATTTTATTCATCAATTTAAAAGTTAAAGAAAAACAAAGGTAAAAATTTTTAAATAAAAAAATTAACCGAGTTGTTTGTATACAATAGGAGAAAGTACTCACTAGTAGAGATAGAAATAGGTCAGGACCGTTTAACAAGAGCTTATAGTCTAATCTTTTTAAAGCCTAACTCGACTTAACCTATTTAATTAATAAGCTTAATTTAAACTTTTTAAAAAATTTAATTAATTAAATAGGACAGGATTAATCTTAAGAAAAAGATCATTAGGCCTATTAGTAACTTCTGAAAGTATTTTTAAAAAATATTTGTAATCACTATTTTTAAAGTATTTTTATTCTAATAATATTTTTCTTTATTTTGAAGGTTAATGAATAACATGAAGAGATTTTCTTAAAAATCTGATGACATATTTGTTGTTTCTCATTTACTATGAAAAAAACATTGTTATTTTTACATTTTAGATTTTGTTTACTGTATTTGCTAATTTTAGGTCTAAATAGTTATATTATATTTGTTGATTTAATGTGTAGGACTTTATACTATTAAATTTGTTTAATAATATATAAATTGAAGTTTATTTTATTGTATTTTTTTTATGTGTAGTGATTTACTTATTTAAATTAAATATGTGATTTGAAAGTGATAAATAAGAATATATAATTTTAGTATCCATATTTAAGGTGTTGAATCATTATTTTTAATAGTTTAATTAGTATAAATCTTATGACTTCTAAAAGGACATATCTATTTAATTGATTTAATAGTCTATTTATAAAGAACTTTGATAATATATTAAATGTCTCAATATAAAGTAAGCTATTAAAAAGTTAACAGGCCAAATTAAAATTTTAAAAAAGTCATGTTAAGCTTACCTATAACAAGTAATAAGTTATATTTAAGCTTAAAAATTATTAAACAAGTTAGACCTATTTATTTAAAGTCTAATCTAACCTATTTCCATCTTTACTCACTAGTTATAATTTTTATTGAATAGTTTAAATAAAATTAACAATTGAATTAGAGGATTTTTAATGTATACATTATATTTATGACATTTTAGATTAATTTAAAATTATTTTAAAACTTGCTATGCCTATTAAAATTAATATAATATATATTTTTTAAATGAAAAAGATCAAACTACATTGATATCAATTATCATAACTTTTTTACTATTTAATAAATTTGTTAGACATTTTATTTCAATATTAATCGTTAAATTAAAAATTCTTATCATATAAATGGTGTCTACAAAATTTTAGATTAATATAAAATTATTAAATACTTTATTTTTATATATTAAAATTAACACAATATTTATTTTTAAAATATATAAAAATAAAAATTATTAACTATATTCCTAAAATTATTCAATTTTAACAAAATTCAATATATACAATCGAAATAATATATAATTAATTAAACCGTTGAGAAAAAATATTTTTTTTAATATAAAGTTATTAAAGTATAAAAATTAGTATGACTTACATTAATATAATTTAATATGTTTTTATTTTTAAAATATATAGTATATAAACAAATTAATGAATTATCTTGTACTTTTTATTATTTTTTTTATAGATTTTGATATATAAGTAATATATAATTATATTTTAAAGTATAAATAAATTAATGGTTGGTCTAGTTTAAAGTCTAAATGTTAAATTTTGACACATTATATCAAATTAAAGGTATATTTTAAAGGTTTAAATCTTGATATAGTTTAATTTAAGGATATATACTCACATAAATATTACGAGCCTTGTTAGTTTATTGGCATCAGTCAATTACTTTATTAATTTTGACAATCAATTAATAAGTGATTATAATTTAAGTACGATATATATATATATATATATATATTACTTAAAATTATTAATCAAATTATAAGAGGAATTTTGCTTGTAAAATTATTTTCTCCGGTTGCCAGAAACATAAGAAGGAAAAAAGGAGCATGGGATAATAGATAAAGTTGTATTTCATTCTAAATTATTGTTCATTTGCTTCCCATTGATTAATATTAGTCTCGTTGTTATATATTATTTATATTTATTTTTTGGATACAGATATTTTAAAAATACATCCTAAATATAAAAAATTATTTACTTCAATACAATGGATATATAGCTTTGCCAACGGTAGTTTTCTCTTTCTTATGCGTTATGTTATTTGTTCTGTTATTTAAATGATTAAATATTAATATCATTATGTTATGTATAATTATTTTAATTTTCTCTATTTATACATTTGCAAAATATACTTAAAAAAATGGCAACTTGAATAGTTCCCATAATTGTTCATAAAATAATTTCTTAATAACATCTCACTAAAGAGGCAACTTGGCAATGCCAATCAAAACTCTTGCCCGTTCTATTACCTAAGATTATTATGAACAAATCCACAAATGTACAAACATTTATTTATCAACCAATGAACTTTTTTGAGAGGCATTAATCGAACCTAAACTATCAAGCTTACTACTACTTACCCTCTCCCCTCCACATTGTATAACTAAAACCGGAATCACCCCAATACAAAACTCCGTTGAAGACAACATATCCCCAACTATTCCCAATGACTCAGCATTCTCTATGAAATTTGCCATTTCCTCGTCCTTCAAAGATTCAATACTATGGCGCCTACCCACCGTGACGAGGTCGTAGTTTCCTTCTAAACGATGGATTGCATCCAACACCTCTACTCCATCCTCAACCGTAATCTCGTACCATGTAAGGTTACAATGTCTATAATTCATGCTCTTGAACTCATCAACTAACCCCTCGTCCAACATGATATCTGTTTCTTCCGCTTCTTGTTCTTCTCTTGTAACTAATTCCGTACTACCCAATTGTCTCTTGTTCATCACTATAAACCTGAACAATGTCACCCTCGTATTGTGTCTCTCCGACATTCGAATACCCAACGCAAGTGCTTCTCTGTCATCTGCTCCACCTATGAAAAAAATGCCCACGTGGAAAAACATGCTGGGCTCGTTGCTCGCGCCAAACCGCGAGTACCTGTCCACGAGTATTCCCAACGTGCACGGCGCATGTGCTTGAAACCTAGCATTCATTTTGTGGACGGAGGATGACACGTGCCCATCGAGGTCAACGTTGTCGTTTTCATGAAAGGGGATGACAATGAATGGTACCATCTTGTCTTGAGCGAGGCTGCATACTGCATCATGCATGCTCTTGTAAGGTGCCACGTTGATGTAGGGAAGAACAGTGACTGGCCCAGTTGAATTGCTGGAGTAGTTTTCAAAGGCACGCATGATGTGATTGGTGTTGGGATAATTAACTGATAAGAATCTTTTGTTTTCTTTGTAATTTATGGGAAGAAGAATAGATGAACTTTTCCCAAAGAGTTCGATTAGGTGTACCACGTAGGCACATACGGGGCTCTCTGGCACTGGATTGCAAACTTCTAACAAGGATGTGATGCCCCGAACGTTTCCTTCGTTGTGTACACAACAAACAATGCGAAACTCTCTGATTCTAGAAGTGCTTTGGATCGTTAGCTGCCCTCCATATAAAATTTCTGAATGTAGTAATCGCGGGCAATTCTTATACAACAATTTAGCTGAGGGTGAGACAATAGCAGCTGTAACCACAACACAGAACACCAAGTGACTGAACATTTCATCGTCCAACAACTGCAGAAGGTATAACATAAATTTTATTTCACTTATTGTCATCAATGAAAAAGGGTTAATAATAATTCATTCTCTAATATATATATTATGAAAATGTTGCTTGTATTATTAGTAATGGACACCTAAAAATATCTTTTCGATATCTGAGTGTATTTTTTACATGCATTTATAATAAAAAAAAAAGTGATAATAATAATAATAATAATAATAATAATATAGTATCACATACTGTCCTAAATTTCAATGATTCAAATAATAATATTATTAATTTTTTTATCAAATTTTATTATTATATTAAAATTAGAGTGCGACCTCTATCAAAAATTAAGAGAAAGAGTGATTAAGATTTTTTAGACAAAGAAATTATTGAAACATGCTCATTCTCTCAACTTATTTTGAATGGAATTCACACTCAATTTCTAATAACAACTATAAAATAATAAGTGAGACCAAACGTTAATTTGTGCATCTCAATAAAATGGAGTTAATAATAAGATAAGAGAAACTAACCTGGAGTTTCCTTAGTCTACAGAAACATATAAGCTCAGTTATACCCTTGGCATTCATAATGACGCCAAGCACCATGCCTTTTTTGGGCCTAATGTTGTATGTTAGACAAACCAGCGCACACGCAATCATCTTGACTATGTTTCCTGCAAGAAAGATACCCTGCAAAGTAAGAAACACTCGCCAATCCCGGATCACTATGGCCAAATTTGTGTTCATGCCTACGTATATGAAGAAGAAAGGTAGCAAAAACTCGTTCACAATAATTTCACTCTTCTCCATTATTGTTGTGCCCAGAGGGGGTCCACTAGGTATAACCAAACCAAAAATCAAGGGTCCCAAAAGAAATGTTATGCCAATCACGTCACCCAAACCAGCCATAAATAGAACCCCCAGAAGTATGAACACAAGGTAAACTTCTTTCACTGGTTGCCCAACTGGGGTTTTCTTAGCAATGAAAGTCATCGTTGGTCGCAAAATGAAAAAGCTGAAAAGTATGAACAACCCGAGGAAGCAGAAATATAATATTGAACCATCAAGATTTTTTTCCACTAGGGCACCATTGACCACTACTAAACACCATAGTATGCTGTCGTTGATCATGGAGGAAGAGAGAGCGATCTGGCCAAGATCTGTGGCTATAAGGTTGAGTTCAATCAATGCGTCAGAGACAACAGGGTAATTGCTCAATGACATAGTGAGACTCAATGAGGAGCGAGCAACTTTTACTTTGTAAGGAGAGAAGTTTGCGGGATTGTAATAGTGGTTTACGAGTGTTGATATCACCGCAACTGAAATGAGGAGGGGGAATACTCCAAGTCGCCAAGTTCTTCTCGCTGCTTTCATGGTCAACATTACGTCCATTTTTAATGCAATGAAGAACAGAAAATATACACACCCCACTAAGGCCCCCAAGATTAAAAACTGCCCCTGTTTTGCTGGAAATAGTGTCTCCCAATAGGTTTTGTTGTGCCCCAAAAATGATGGGCCCAAAACGATCCCACTCTGCACATTTTCACCAAACATGAAGTTAATGCATGTATAGAAATATTAAAGAAATAATATTACTAATTTATTAAAAATATATTTATTATACTTTCAACGTTAACACAATGAATGCAATTTTTAATGAAAATTTATTCTTTAAAATACTTAAACTCGGTATTAAAAGTTTAAATTAATAAAATTCTAAAAAAACGTTAATATTTGATTATTAAGATTGAATTTAATAAATTAAAGATAATAAAAATTTATTAAAAGTATTTATTATTAGGATTTTAAATTTAATCCTAAAAATTAATATTAACAAGTTTAAATACACAACTACTTATTTTACTCAAGTGAGAAATTTAAAAGATGAGGTATCATTCATATAAATTTAATCGTGAACAAACATGTATTAATTAAGGGGTGTGAAGAGAGAGAAAGATTTACTTTTATATATTTGTATAAAAATATTTATTTTTTATTAACCAAAGAAGAAAATAGGATAAAAAAAACGTGTTAAAACTTAATTAAGGACTCATGAGTCATGAACAAGATTGTACCCCATTCATGCAATTCAAGGGAATTTATTGAAACTTGAAATTTACCAGAACGTTGGAGATGAATTTGGGTGTTCTTAGGGGCCTGAGGAGATAGTAAAACGCTCGAGAGACTACGATGAAGATGAAAAGTTGGCACAACGTTACAGGAAGCACAAAATTGAATGGACGTTCGCCATAGAAAACGCCAAAAGAGCCCACTCTTCTCTCTTCTTGAACACAAACGTTCACCTGCCCAAGGGAATTATAAGAAATTGAGACGGTTCCATTGCCTCGTATACTCTCCATTATCTATCTCTATATGCAACTAATTTTTTGGCCCTTGATTGATATTTCACCCCGTGTTTGTGTCATATTTGCATACGGCAACACAAACACAAACCCATGGAGAAAGAAAAGCCTAATCAACTATAGCAGGCAGTGATTTCAAGAACATGTCAAAAGCAAAGAAATGGAGAGATTGGAGGGGGAGGAGGGGCTCTTAAAATCTTGAGATTTCGAATCAATACATCCGTGAACCCTAGTAATTAGCTATAATAGCCATGCTTGATATTTTTGTCAATGCATGAGTTGTTGGTACGTATAATATCATGGCAACGGGGACACTAAACTAATATAGCCACTCATCCTACCAAATAGAAACAATTATATCAAAGGAACAAAGAAGAGATGGTGGTCAATATTCCAACTACAGACCTGTAGCAAGCAGAATAAGCTATACTTGTCCAAATTATTTTTGAAAAAAAAAAATTATTAATAGGGTTTCTTTCTTTATCTTCTATTATTGAATAAATCTAAATTTAAAGGGTGCTATTTTGGCAGAATATAATGCCTAAATATGGATTGAGAAAATATGGGTAAAAGTAGAATAACACTAAAATTATTCTCATACGAAGTCAACAGTTGAAAGTAACTAAATTAAAGATGTGCTGACAATCAACAGTCAAACAATGTCAAATTTGACCTAGCTAATTTAATTATTTTAAATTATAATTGTCTATAAGCAATAATTCCTCTGAGGCAATTCCAAATTGAGTACTAAACTTTTTCTTTTTGTCTGAGAAATTAATGTGCGGTTCCCATCAACATGAAATTGTACAAAATTTGACAAGTTATATATTGTCCATCACCTAAAAAAAAGGTATTTCTACCTTAATAGAACATATTTTCAGATATAACAGTCATTAGCAACTCCTTACTGTACATCAATGGCCCGATGCTTTCTTCAATCAACAAAATGTCAAAATTAATGTTCAAGAAGGTGTATCGTGCACTAATGTTTAACTTTCAATTTAATTACATTTTTGTGGTAAGAGTTTTTTTGGGGGTTAAATATATTTATACGTTTAACTATATTTTATAGTAGACTTCATATTTATATATATAAAAAGTTATCAATGTTATAATCTTATATATGTAAGGTTCTTGTATTTAAAATTTAAAAACATTTTTATAATATTTTTAAAATATATTAATTTAAAAATAAATAAAAAATGTTAATAACATATTCTCTAATACATTAATTAACAAATTCAATAACTTTTAACAAATAAAAGAGAATGTGTTAAAAAAGTATGTTAGATAGTACATTTTTAGCACTCTTTTTTAAAATTTTAAATGTGAGCTCATTTTGTATTTTCTTATACAAATTGTTTTATTTTACTACATCTTAATAACCAATATTTGTTGGAGAATCTGTAAAAATTTTAGCAAGTAAAAGGTGTATTTTTATATTTTTTTCCATTTGTTAACAAGTGCTCCCGTGGTGTCTCTTAATATAGACATGTAATGCAAAATATTTTAATGTAAAACTTATTTTTTATAAGAATTATCTCTTTACTTAGAATTTGAAAACATTCATTTGTTTCTAAATATTTTTAAAAATTTTGAAAAGAAGAAGAAGAGAGAGACTGATCTAGAACTCTAAATTATCGATCTGATATGACAACTATGTATTTGGTTTCATATTTTCATATTATGAGTACTTTATAAGTTATTCAGTGCTTCTGATAAGTAAAACACACGTTTAAGATAATATAATACCAATCTAAATACACTCTAAATATCCTTTGTAGCTTTTAAAAAATAATAAATGGTCAAACATGATAAAAAAAAAATACTAATTATATTTGTTATAGGTATAAATTTTTCTTTAAATGGGTTATGGTGTTAATTATTAATAAATGTATCGATAAAAAGAAAACCATTTTCACGAAATAATCATGGTAACGATTTTTGCTTATATGAACCTTGAAATTTTTTACATGAATATAATTTAATTAAAATATGATTGGTTGGGTATTTTGTAGGCAAACATATTAATATTTAAATTACAAAAGCAAATATAAACATTTCGTAAACAAATATATATTTTATATGAAATTATATTAATTATCTAAATCAAATGGCTAAATATTGATGTCATACGTAGGCATGAAAAACTTTAAAATGATGTGGTTTTATTTTACTGATAAGGATAAATATTTACACAACACAATTTTTTAAATGAAGATATAAATTGAATTTTAATGCAATGTAAATATAAGTAGCTATAATTTTTAAATTATAATAAAAATTAATAAATCGCGCTGATATAAAAATTTCGTTCAAGTTGTTTGCATTACCAGAGAATTTTAATTTAATTCTATTTCCTAATTTTAAATTTATTGTAATATTTAATAAGTTGTGTAAGTTTATTTGAATTCAATTAGAATGTACTTACAGTGTAAATTACATTATCATCTAATGATTGACTTGTTAATCTACAAATAAGAAACTGTTTTCAAAGTTTTGGGGATTCTGATTCATTATGAGTAATATTGATCGGCGGCGACTCATCTGAAAATTGAATAATGTATTTCCATTTTGAAAACTTGTATATACGGAGGACATCTATTATTGTCTTTGTTACATACTTAGCATTTTTTATATTTTCAAATATTCATTACTTTTTTTTAAAATTTTAGTACTTTTATAATTTTCTTGCATTAAACTTTTGGTTCTCATCTCAAATAACAACTATATATACTCTCAATTTTATTTTTAAAATTTATTGTAATTAACTATGTATATTTTTCCTTATGATTTTTTATTTTTATATATTTTTATTTAAATAAAAATCTCTTATAGTCTTTGATAATTTCTATATATTACCATATGAGGTAGAAGCTTCTACAAACCAAACGCCATTGCAAGTTGGCAAATTGAATTAGACATATCCAACTTGATACAGGCTCCAACTGCCGGTGATCAGATGGCATATAATATAATAATATATATATATATATATATATATATATATAATAAACATGCATAAACAATTATGTTTGTGTCATGTGTGTCATCTTGGCTACTATATAATTATATGATATATAATAAGTGATTGTTAACATTACAATAGTTTTTTTTTTTTTTCTATACAGTACTATACCATGTATATATACCATGTATCTGGTGTTGCTGCATGCTTCTATCGTTATATTCCATTATTATATATTGTGCTGGGTAATTACTTAACCAAGCCAAGAGAATATATTTATAAATGAGATTCCTCGAATTGATCATAGCTTGATTAGTCTTAAAATGCCAGTATAAATAATTCAACATCAAATATCAAGACAAGACGATATCGTAAAATAAAAAAATTATCTTTTGAACAATTCAACGAAAAAATCCAAAGTAAAACGTTTAATTCCTTTCAAAATAATAACATTATCCCTCATGTTCAATTTGCATTAGTTTTAATTTTCATAATTTTTAAAAAAAAGTCTTTATTACTATTTATTAATTATAATATAAATTTAAATGTCTCATTAAATGATAACTATCGTGATGCGATTCACATTATTATAAAATTATTATTATTTTGAAAATTTTAAAATTTATGAGAATTAAATTTAAGTTTAATTATATTTATAGAGACAAAAATATTTATTTCTAGAATGGAATAAATGAGGTACTAATTTAGGCATTATCGGAAGTGTAGTTCTTAATCATCACAGGTTGTTTTATTTGCTTTCTATTATGCTTTATTTTAATTTTTATAGGGTATGAGGAAAATGTGAGAGATTAATTATTACGTAATAAAGGAAAAAGAAAAAGAAAAAGAAAAAGAAAATAAAGTTGGTGAGGGTGGAAAAGTTACGAAAGGACGAAAAAATCAAAGTTCATGAGAAGGAATCATTGAAAAGCTGTAATAGTTAAAACCAAACCAACGGCTAATGAGTTAAACACCTAAAATTATTGCTAACCAAAAAATTTTAACTTTTGATAAATGAAAGAAAAATGTAGGTTAAATTTATTTGACTAGTATTATATTTAACATTATCTAAATTTATTTATTAAACGAATTAGCTCAAAATTTTTAAAGGCCTGTTAATTAACTGAAATAAAGATTTTAAATCATTAAATAAGTATTTATATATGGTAACCTTATAATTATATTATGTTTTACTAAACCATTGTATTTTCATAATTAAATATTATAATTATTCAAATCATTAAATAAAGCGCTGTGTTTGTTCCTAAACAGGACAGTAAGATGAAACGCACGGTGGTTATCAGTGACTCACGCACCGTTGTATTTTTATGTTTTGGCGGTATTGACCAGAGAGAAGCGTAAAAAAAATGGTTAAATATGCTTTTCACTTTCAAATATATTACATTTTAATTTTTGTTGAAATATTTTTTATCTTAAACTTTTTAACATTATGATTTTGATTTTTTTTAACTAACGTGACTTTACAAATAAAAAGATACGTAATGATATATAATAACATTTGAGTTAATAATAATACTATTTAGAAGTGATTAGTGATCAAAATTAACAATTTTTTAAAATATAAGGATTTAAACAAATAATAATGATATTGTATAAATCAAAATTCCCTTTCGTATTTTAAGAGATAAAAATATATTTAATTAGAAAATTTAAAAATTGCTTTTGTCTTTCCAAAGCTTCATAATTTATTCATTTTTTTATTGGGGGGGGATTTCTAATTAGGACTTTAGATTGTCTTTTTTGATTGAGACAGACAGAATTTATTTATTTTTTGGGTTACATTAGACAAACATATTTGATAATGCCATTACGTAGCATGTATATCGATTTTATTCAATATGTTATTCTATCTATATTATTATTATTATTATTATTATTATTATGTATAATCAATGGAATTTACGTTAATTCAGAGGCAAGCATCTGCATGCCTTTCGGTTTAAGAATATTAAGAAAATGCAGATGAATTTATTAAAAACAGACAAAGACATGGGAGAGCGAGGAAGAAGATAACACCACCCATTCTTTTAAAATTCTGTTTTGCATAAATATATTAAGGAAAGTAAAGCACTATTAAAATCCTAGAAAATAATAATTTTATTAACTTTAAATTTTAGAGTTTAGTTTATAATTGAGCAATTAAAAGTAATAACATTTTATTAAAAAATTCACATTTTTTACATTAAACTCATACAATATAATAACTACTTTTTTAAATAAATTCTTACTATTAAAATAAAGCAAAAGACTATCCAAATTCCAAAAAAGAACAATGGTAACGTACATTCCTTTCTTTCTATCTAATGCATTATACAGGGGAATATAAAATGTCAGGTTATGTAAAATAATTGAATATTTTTTAAAATTTATTAATTAAAAGTATATTTTGGATAATTTTTTTGGTTAATGTATAAATACAAATTTGAAAAATAAAAAACATGGAAGACTGACATAAGAAGTTGAAAGAAAAATATATGAGGAAAAACCAATGGTTAGAATTATTGTATCAGAATACAGATTGTGATGAGTTTGACTCCTGCAAAATGATTTTATTGATTGTGAAAAATTTAATAAAAATTGATGTCAGAAAAAGCGTATATTTATATTAAGATATTGTTAGTTTAAAGAGTGCGGTGAGATTGAATTAAAAGGGAAGGAAGTTGGCAAATAAAATAATAGGAATAAAGAAAAGGTAAAATTGATAAAGCCAAGTCCAAACACAATAGAAATGCAAGTTGATGATCCACTTGCAAACCCTGCCTGCGTAAGCTCCATTGCAAGAGATCAATAACAACAATCTCTTCACCCCACAACCCCATTTCTCTGTCTACTCATTCAAATCAGTCTCATCTCCAAAAGCAAGAAAAGAACAAGAAAAGAGAGAGAGCAAGAAAATAGAATACCCCTTCAACAACAACAAAACTAATGCAACTTGTACTACAAAAATATTTACACAACCCTCTCTACTAACTAACCCTTCAACTTATTATTATGCCTTGCCGTCTCACACACCTTCCTCAACTTCATATTAATATATATGCTTTTGCATATTCAGCATCAACAATTCACACACACACTCATATCACATATATAGAGAGAGAGATTGCTAGAGAGAAGCAAAGAGACATTTTTTCGGGGTTTTATTTTTATATATATAAAAATAATGCCTTCTTCTCTTCAGCTTGAGAGGTTCAATCCTACAACCGATGCCGCCACCACCGCCATCTTTAACTGCCCAAAGCAGCCTCAAACGCCGCCTCCCACTGCGGCGCGTCGTCTAGTGGTATCTCTCTCTTCCGGCAGAGGAATCGCAGTGCCGGACACAGTGGCACGCCACCACGCGCACGTGGCGGGGCCAAACCAGTGCTGCTCCGTCGTGACGCAACCCATTAACGCCCCCGTTTCCGCTGTGTGGCCGTTTGTAAGGCGCTTCGACTACCCGCAGGGCTATAAGAACTTCGTGAAGAGCTGTCACGTCATCACTGGCGACGGCATTCATGTCGGTGCCGTCCGCGAGGTCCGAGTTGTGTCCGGTCTCCCCGCCGAGTCGAGCACGGAGCGATTGGAGATTCTCGACGACGAGCGCCACGTCATCAGCTTTAGCGTCGTCGGCGGTGACCACCGGCTGAACAATTACCGGTCGGTGACGACCCTTCACGCTAACGGTAACGGAAACGGAACACTTGTCATCGAGTCATACGTCGTTGACGTGCCGCAAGGTAACACAAAGGAGGAAACTTGCGTGTTCGTCGACACAATCGTACGCTGTAATTTGCAGTCTTTGGCTCAGATCGCTGAGAATAGGACTTGAAATTGTGAAAATTCTGCACAACACTTTTAACCATAATTTCTCTCTCAACTCTTTTCTTTTTTTTATAAAATTAAAATGGTTGTGTCTTCCGGATTTTTGTTTCGAATATGGGTTTGGATCTTGGATCTTGGATCTTGGATCATGGATCATGTTGCGGCATGGACTTAGATATGCAAGCCCATATTGGGAATGGGTAGCTCTGTAGAGTTTTTCGGATGGCAATGGTTGAATATTATTATTATGATATGTATATGCATATATATGATCAAAAGATGTTGTTCATCTACTCTCTCTCTTTTTTCCTCATTGATTCTACCGAGCTTTCTGATCGTGGATTGCCGACGCTCTATGAATTTGCGACTTGGATTCATGTTGATAATTGTGATTATGTTTTTAGATCTCTTTATTTTTTGGGACAAAAGAAAGAAATGTTTAATGTTAGATAATTAATAAGCCGATAAGGTCATATTTTATTTTATATTTTTTTTTAAATTTTATTTGAAAAATGGGGACGAGAGCTAAACACTTGACTACCAGCATTTCATAGATTGATTTCTTTTAGTTTTGTTTTTGTGTTATTGATGTGTTCATATACGATGGAGCATGGATCCTTGCAATGAAAATTTTTACTTCATCGAGTGATGCAAAAAGTCTAGTTGTCTCTTCAATTGATGTTATATTTTTTACTTTTTTAGTAAAATAAATTGATATTTTAATGCTTGTGCTAGTATCTCGTGATCAATTCACAGAAGAGAATCTGAGTGTTTACACTCTCATGAATTATCTTTTGATGATCACAAGGGAAAACCTTTGAGCTTATCTTAAACTAGATCCTACTAATTAGGTATAATATGCATTCAGGGAAATATAGTAAAAGTTAGTTTATTATTGTCTCTCCTTAGGTATACATTAAACATTGTTTATCATATAAATCATGTTCCAGAAAGGTGTTTGCGAAGGATTGGCTAACCTATCTATTATCTCGTGTAAATAAAAAAAACGTTTTATCTTTCTCTTTAATGTTAATGTTCCCATGCAAATTAATCAATAAAAGATAAAGTTGTATGAACAATATATGGGGAAAAAAAATCTATAGGAAGTACTGTAGACAAACGAGCTTGTCTTGGTAGAAATAAAAGAGAGTAAGGATATAATAACTGCCTCTAATGTAAATGTTGTCTTATAATCATACCCCCATAGTATAAAAATTTAATGAGAGTATTCAAACTTCTACTAACAATATACAATATGAAGAATATTGGTAATATAATATTTTTAATATACTGTTTATTATTGTGTAAATTTATGTAAATTTTACTAAGTAAACTAATGGTTGCTAACCAGTTAAGATGTTGATTAATAAATAATAAATTCTTATTAAAATTTAAGTTAAAATGTATATGTTTTTTACAATGATTAATAAATTTAACCAGTAGTTTAAGTATTTTCTTTAAATTAATAACATGGGTACACACATTCTCATCTAATGATAATAATAATAATAAATTAGCATATTGAAAAGAGTATATTATAGAAAAATTATCATAAAATAAAACATCTAAAAGAAAATATTTTTTAAAGGGAAGTACTATGTATGGGCACTTGAACGACTATAGATCGGTCTACCAACCTTTAAAATTGATAAAAATAAAAGATAAAGTTTGTAAAATACTACTACTTACCTCCTCATGTCATTCCATCAATGGCTGAGGAATTTGAGCATTCCTACCCAAAGAATGTGTTTTGATTTATGACAGGTCAATTAGCCAACCACAGTAAGAATATATACATTAAAAGGAAAAATACTTCAATGAATGTAAATGCTATATATAACATTGATGTCGTATGCATTTTGGTTTAAAATGAATATTGTGATGTTTAGCTATTTCATTTATTCAAGAGGGACTTAAAAGAACATCCATACATTTTAATTGCACAATTTAATTAATTTGAGGGATGATTATTAGTTTATATTATTATTATAACCAAGACAAGAAGTCCAATTAGGAAGCAATATTTGATCACACACACATAATTATATTAGCAATTTGATACTTTTATTATTCTCCATTTGGCGTGATTGTTCATCATCATCTTCTAGATCATTTTTTTTTTACTATAGTTCCAAACCAAATCCATCGTCAAAATCTGCATATATACCCGCCGGATAAATCGCTTTAAAGTTTGAATAATTATTAATTATTTTCCAATATGATTGAGCATGTTGAAAGAAAACTCATGTGTTTTTTTTAATCTATGAAATCTTTTTAATTTTCAATTAGAGATCAATGTTTATCACAATTTGTTAAGTTGCTACTTCACGTGTTTTGAAAAGCTGCCTGATATGTGCTTCAATGTTTGTGGTCTAAAGCAGTCAAAGTTTTACGGAGACTGTGTGCCTCAAAGTTTGAATTTCACTATTCGGAAATGGGAAAGGGGAGGACAACCATGTAAATTACTTGAATTTAGCTAATTAAATTTAATCATTTTGCCAATAAAAAACTCATGTAAAATAAATATACTTTAAAGGTAAATAAATAAATAAAAGGACACACACGATAAGAATATTTCTCATTTTAAAAATATAAAAATTATAAATATAAATTGTACAAGATTAAAAAATAACAAGCAATTATATAGCATCTATTTTTTTATTCGTTGTTATTCAAATAAGACCTATTGATCTATATTCATTATTTACATCTCTTCTTATAAAAAAAAATATATTGTTCACATATCTTACAATAATCAAAAAGTAATGTTTCTTTAGTACTTTTTATTTAAGTTAAAGAGTGTTATAATTTTGGCCAATAAAAAATAAATATCTTTTATAATATTTAATTCCTCTAAAGTATTGGACTATGGTTTAAAGAATAAAATATACTTATAATTATTAATTAAAAATCAACGATTTAACTGCACTTTATATATAATCTAAAATATGCTCATCACTTTAAAGAAATTAAACCAATCTTTACTTGTTTATTTGATAAATTTTTAAATTTAAAGATGTATTTTTCTTCCTAAATATATGCATATTAACATATATTTGCGTCATAGTTAACACAAAATGCAAGCCACACGCAACTAGCTAGCAATGTTATATATTCAGTAATTTAATTACCCCAAAGTTAAAACGAAAAAAGATCGAGTTACATTGTGTTTGTCTTCCTTCAAAACTAAATTAGCAATTAGCCAAAGAATGATCAACTTTAATTATGGTTTTATCTTTTCAGAGGGTGGAAATCAATGTGCAACAGTGGCCACCGGTTTTTACAAGTTGCTCTTTTTTTTCCCCTTTTCGTATTGAAATTTACAAGTTGCCTGAAGCTTCTATTAATTTTGTGGGCCCTAAACAGTACTTATGTACGTATTGGTTAAGAAAGGATAACACAGAAACCTAATAATGGAAAAGAATATTAAAAAAAAAAAAAGAGCTTTCTCATAGAGACATGCACGTATTCTATGTATGGACCACCGTATTACATTAACAACAGATATATCATATTTAATTTATATTTATGGATTAGGACGTCATTTTAAAATTATTTTTGTAGAATAATCAACATATGAAAACTGCAACTTGGCAAGGAGGAACTCAACTTGTTGGCCAAACAATATGCCAAGTTGTGATTCTTTGCCATGGCTAATATTCTCTCTCTTTATGCTTTCATTTGATATATATATATATATATACACAAATGTGAGTTGTGTGGGTTGGAAGAGATTGCAAGTTGGCATGCAAGTGGGTGACATTTACTCATTTTAATTACCTTTTTTGCTCATACAGTAATGTTAGTTGGAAGAACTGTGTCCCATCAGTCATTTACTTATTTTACTAACACAAGACTCTTTAAAATACCAATAATTTCCTCTCTTTGTAAATCGAGTATGCTCTATTCCATTTACTCATCAAAAGATTCCCCTTTTGGTTTTCACCCTTCCTTGTCTACCTTTTTTACTGTGATATTCGATTTGAGAGAATTGGTAAGAGGGTCAGATTAAATGCTTATTTTTCTAGGGTCAAAAGTTGTAGTTTTTTTTTTTATATAAAATTATTGATTTCACTTCAACTACATTACTCACAACTAACATGTTCCACTTATTGTTCATGTCTTTTCAAAAACTAAACCTTAGTGCAATTTGACTTCGAGCCACCTAACTTTGCCAAGGTATAAATTGTCGGCCTACTATAAAATCATGATCAGAGGAGAATCCTTCATATGATATTGTAAGTACATGCGTAAGTTTTAGGTTAATTTTTTTATTTGACCTAAAAATAAACATAAAACGTATATGTGACCTAATCATGTGAAATCTTTGGACCCCTTTTCAGCACTTAAAAAATAATCTGTATCTTTATCACAATCAAATATGTCATCTTAATATATAATACTACTAGCCCAAAGCCGGTATCCATAAGTTTTAATTAGGGCACAACTCTTTCTACTTCAATCAATAAGTTGATTTCACAATTTGATTAACTTCAAATACTCAAACCCTAAACATTTTCTCTCAACTTAGATAAGAGCGACATTGTATCTCTACAAGCATATATAGAGCTTCCCTTTGTGGGAGTTCTCAGTCACGTGGGATTTTTTCTTTGTCTTTTATATAATGATTTCTTTTTCTCTTTTTGTTTGTGAGATTTTTACTTATATATGGTGAGTTTTTGTCTCTTTTTGTTGAGAGTTTTTCTTCTCAATCTTTTTTTTCCTATTTTTTTTATCTCTTCTTTTACCATTTATCTTATATTCATCTTTCTTTAACTACATTTAGCTCTTCTCTTTTTTGCATTCAAATTATTAGAATTATCTTCAGATTTGTGCAAATCTATAAGGGAAAAAAAAAAAAAAGCTACCTTCAAGCAAGGCTAATCTGGAAGGAAGAAAAAAAAGAAGAGAGAAACTTAATTACTTCTTGTGGTTAGGTTTATTATGTTGGAAAGTGGGAGATTAATTGTTAATGTTATTGTATTTTGTGATTGAAAGATTGCTAAATTATGTTTATTATTTAACATGCATGCTTGATCTTTTATTATGTATTCATTGTGCATTGTTCTCTTTGATTGTAATCATTAAACTGTCTTAATTATGAATATTTGACTAAAAAAAAATCTAACTTCGTATGCTTAATTCCTGTAATATATATGATCCCAACCCACTACCTACTAGTCGTTAATGTGCAAGTCAATACATAGTAGACCATCTTTATCTTCAATATCTTACGGTCAAACTATTCAAATTCAATTTGTTAGTGAGTTAATTTTTTTTTAACTAACAAAATACAATTAAGTATGATAAGTTTGAATGTGTATGTTTGATCTACAAAAAACGATATTTACATGGGTTTCAATTTCTATTATCTTCCTTCTTCTTCGTCTTTTTCTTATTATTTTTACTTCATCTTAAAGTATTAAATGTCTACTAATTAAATATTAATGTATAAATAAAATTTAAAATAATTTATGAAAATACTTAATAAACTAAAGAAAGTAATGAAAATATAAAGAATTTAAATAAATTAAATTTTATGTTTTTAAATAAAATAAATAATTAAAATTAAAGTTTTGAATTTAGGACACCTTTTTAAATTTAGATATTTTAAATTTAAATTATTTGACTTGACTCTATCTTACACCCTACGTTAGCTTTCTAGTTATATATCTAGAAATTAATAGATTAATAATATTATTTGTACACCTAAATATATACACATACACCTTTCACTTTACCTATAAAATAAATAAATAATTTACACGCACGCACACTTCGTTTTGTAAGAAATGGATTAAGTACATAAAGTGTAATTTTTAATATTGAAAGAGAGGCTAATATAACTTGAGCTTCTTTTAATGACATATCTATAATAAAAGGTAAAGGTAGTTAATAGAACGCATATGCATAAATAGATGGTCAATATTTTGAAATGATATATATGGGTGCCATATCTTGGATTATTCTAATAGAAGATATTGGGCCTAAAAGACATCCGTGACAATTTTCATGCGGACATATTTAATTGGACTGGGCCTTGTGTTCTTTTTATTGAAATGAACTTGGTTGAGCAATACCCCAAAAAAATGATAGAAAGGTTCGTGAGTACATTCTGAATTAGACGTTAGAAAGAAACTCCTATAGAGAACTCCAATGTAATTACTAATTTCTCAGGAGTTGTATAAAGTTATGCACTTAAAAATGAAATTCCGAAATAGTCTTCATTTTCTTGGCGTATTAAAAAACATTTGTACCTGATTTGCAGTAAATTTCTTAATTGAATTCTTTTGAGGGTGTGTTTTTTGTTGCAGTAACTTTGTTCTTACTTCACATAATATATATATATATAATGTTTTATCAAACTTTTCTCTGTTCTATTTGATTTCGCAATTACAAAAGCTAAAACAGAAAGTAAGATACCAGTTCAATTCAATACATGTGTCATCACCATGCTAGTGTACACAAGTAGCAAAATTTGGAAGTTAGCATTCCAATTACAGGGTAAAAATAATCAATTCAATTTTCTCATATACATTCTCTTCCTTCTTTGATGTTAACTACCATTGTACACAAATGCTCTTTCCTTTCCTTCATTCTTCCCTTTTTACCATTTCATATATTGCTTTCTAACAAACCCAAATATTATATCCCCCCATTTACAATTTTTCATGCCATTGACCCAAGAGGAGGAGGATCTCATCAATTTAGATGCACTTTCATGGATAAAATAATTTTGCAAATAGAAGCTCATTCCAAGTATCCTGAAGTCCAGGTAAACACCAATGCACACAATCAGCATAGCTAGCAGGATTAGCTATTTGCTCTGGAGTCAATGGACTCCATTGCTTCTTGTAGATTGAAGTGTGTGCATCTTTGCGGTAGCTAGAAAGTTGGGTAATGTTGAGAAATGTTATGGGCACTTTGGATTTATTAAACACTTCTTCAATTACTTGCATTATGCTTTTCAGAGAGTCAGAGCCCCAGTATGTGGGATCATCAATTGGAGTTGTTTCATTGTAGCAATTTCCTTCTGATTCACCTCCCCATTCTATGCTCCTGCCATATATATACTTGAACTGTATGAGCCATAACATTTTTACAATTCCATATACCAAACTTGTTAAAGAAATTATACTCTTTTTGGAATAAAATAATTGAAGCTAAGGTACATATCTCACTCTAAACATTAGGAACTTTAGAATATAACCATCAACCTGTCACACACTATTATATATATGTGTGTGAGTTATACTCACTTTGCATGAGAAGGTGACATGCTAGTAAAGAAGACTCTTGTCTTGTTGGGGTCCATGTTCTGCTGCACCCATCTAACCATACTTTTCATGGCCATTCGATAGGCCTCTTCTGTTGATAGCTCAACAATCTCTTTCACTTCATCATTAAAAGATCCTAGCCTGAAAATTTGAGGAGACATTAGGAATTACTTTGCAATGACAGAGGCAAAATGAGAGGAAGGGAAGTAAGTAACTTTTTGAAGAACATACAAGATCTTCATCTTGGAGCCAGTTATCCACCAAAGATAGGTGTTGAATACCACAATGTCTGCACCTTTCCAATAACGACCATGCTTATTGATTGAACCCTTTCTCACAATTCTATCAGATACCCTATGGATGACAGCATTATCGGAGTTTGATTCGAGAAGAAAAGGTGCCCAATAGAACTCAATTGTAGCATTGTATTCCTAATTAAATACAGAAAAATAAACAACGAGAAAAAAAAAGATGGACATGATAATGTAGCTAAAACTATAAGTTGTGAATTATGCATAAGCTAATAGTAAGAGTACACCTACCTTGGCAGTGAAGACAGTGAGTGAATCAAAGGTTTCCATTGATTTGGCATGTTCAGGAATAAGTCCATGGAGAAGACATATCAAAGAGACATATTGACCACGGTTGAGGGAGTCTCCAATAAACATCATCCTCTTCCCTCGGAGCATTTCCAACATCAAACTGGCATTGAATCTGTGCATTGGTAAAGGAGTGTGTTACATTTGGCTTAAATTAATGAATCTGTAACCACTTTGAGCTTTGTTTAGTAGATTGAGTTAAGCTGTAAAGTGTAAATCATAAATTTGTGACAAATAATTTATTTAATTTTCTCATCAGGCATGTAATAAGAAATTCACATCCTAATTTGGCCACGTTTATTTGACAAAGCTAAGGTATGATCAAACTAACAGCATTGCTTCTAGAAGAAATCTGGCACTCTAAAATGCTATTATCATATTGAATTTTAATCTAAGAGAATTGATTCATTTCTTGCATCAAGGACCTGTATTTGTAAAGAAAATTAATACAGTAAATTTTAATCTTTAAAATTTCTCATTGGAAACTCTTAGTCTTTCCAATTAACGAGCACATAAAGCAATTAATTTTCTTCTTGTCTCTCCTTTTCTTTCTCACTTTAACAGGAAAGTAGGTATGTCTGATTACACTTCGACTTTATTGTCCAATTTGAAGGGCCATAAATAGAGAAGATCCATTATTATCATTAGGACTAAATAGCTATTTGATCCTCTCTCTCATCTGGCATCCACTCGTTTGTGGTAATGACAGTACTTATGGATTAGATTCTTAAACATACTTTTAAATTCGAAGACCCTACCAATTAAATCAATCTAACCAACCCCTAGAAACACCAGGAGTTTCAAGCTCAAGTAAATACTCATTGATTCAGTCCATTAAGAAGGTAACCTAGCCATAACCAAGGATAGAGAGTATTAATCATCTGTTTCAAAATTGCAATAATAATAAACCCGAAACCAAGTCCAATATATGAGCTCAAAAACTCAAATTTGACATAAATTAAACTAAAAATAATCACAAAAATCAAATTAGTACAAACTCAACGTTTCTCACCTGGGCATACTCAATTACAAATATGTATATAGGTCCCACCAAGGGAAAACAATCACATAATGTTCTACCAAACAAAATCCACATAGTGTTGGATTCCACCATCATGCATGGCTTGATACAAAATTGTTGGGGACAACCATTCAATTGTGATTCAATCCATGGTGAGTTTTGACATATAATTTACTTGACTACAACATTCATAGTGTCCAACCACCTCCATGTCACACGTGGCTGCCATATGTCGGAAACCAGACCAATAACTCCACTACGACCCACCGACAACTTGGACCCGTAAAAAAAGCAAAAATCCTTACCCACAAATCACGTAAATCCAAATAAAAATAAATAGCCAAAACTTAAACTCCAATGTCATAAATATTTTTGGTATTATTTTTCGGAATAAAACTTAATCTAAGTGCCCGTTAAGTTTTAACTCGCTAATTAAGACGAAATCAACATTAAAAATTAAGACGAAACTTTAAATTATTGAAATATAACTCCAATCTAAATTAAAGAAAACACCGAAGTAAAGCAGCTATGGTTGCTTAAGTTATTTTCTAAAAGAAAAAGGAAAAACTGAAGCGCTTACGTGGGAAGATCGCAACCGTGAGGCTGCCACCGCCACCGTTGATAATCCTTATCGGGTCGCCCGTGTTCTTGACAAGTCAACTGTGGCTGTATGTACGGACACTCCGATTCCTCGTACAGTGGCCAAGTCAACCCGTCGCGTACCCACCTTCCGTTGAACACGTCACACCCTTTTTCTTCCTCCGGTTTTTTCATCACCGTGTTGCTTTTCTCCGATGAGACCACCCCTTTAATAACAAAGAGTTCAATTGAGAACCCAAAAACAGAATTGAACAAAGAAAGAAACTTGATTCAATGGGGTGAGTCAACTCACCGGGTGTGTCATCGTTGGAGTGGAGTTGAAGGTGTGAGCGGAATATGAAGAGAAAGTCATGGCCGTAGAGGATGGCAACAAAGAGAATGAAAGCTAAGAGGGTGAAGAGGTAAGGAGAAAAGCGAGGTTTGGCTCTGAGAAGAGAAGGAGAAGAAGAAGATGGTTTCATCATTTGCATGCATGGACCCAACCTTAGTTGTGGCGTGTTCTTGCTTTCTTTTATGTTTCAAGTATTTCACTCATTTTGCAACCTAACATATAATTCTGATTTTTAAAATCAAAAGTAGAAGCTAAGGTGAGTTGAAGCTATCAATGTGAAGCTTTTTTGTCAAAGCCAAGCATTCACGTGTCCAATTAGTAATTAACATTCCACATATAAATTATGTATACATGCGTATAAAAGAAAAGAAACAAAAATGAAAATAACGTTTTATTACTTCATTTATATGTTATTTTATTATTATTAAATATATTTTCAAGGTTAAATTAATGTTGTGGGGAGTTGAAATGTTGCTTGGCTTCACAGCTAAGGGTAAAAGAGAAATTACAAATAATAATCTTTCCCTGTTCAAATAGGATAAACGTTACATCGAATAAACGAAAAGGTATCAACAAGTATATATGGCCATTTTCTTTTTCCTTTTGAGTAATAAATAAGGTTTTGGACTTTAGGTGGATGGTGATTAGGTGTTAGGTAACGTTGCATTTGGAATTTACATGCTTTGTTGCTCTTAATTCTCACAAAAACACAACCTTATCGTATTACTATTATGAAGCTGTAGCAGTGCTACGCTAGCTGGACATTCAGATAATGTTCAAATCATGGGCTGATAAAAACAAGTAAATTAACGATAGTATCTTCGACTAGAGAATCGAAGCTCCTTATTATGATGCAAGTTGTACGCATTTGATGAATGATTCCAGGTTGCATACATTATTTTATTTTACTATATTTACAATACTACAAACGAATTTGGTTGGGAAGTAGTCCATGGTAGTTGGATTTTGTAAAATATATATTAGTAGCTATAATGCATTGACCTTTTTGGTCGAGCTAACTTCAATAATTTTGCATTCACAGAGTGTTTCATGTGGTTTTAAATAAGGACCCTTTGCTATAGTTTTTGTATCAAATGGCAGATGAACGATGTTATCAAAGCGTCTAAGATTGATGTTAATATTATCAAAAGTCGTCTATAAATGTACTTCTTTTCCTTTTATAACAGACAGAGAAGCTATAATATTCAAGCTGAAATATTAAAATTTAGAATCTTTAGTAATTTAAATATTTTGTCGCTATAATAACCTTTTGAAAATTTAATGTTACCAAATTAGTCTTTTAACAATTAAAATAAAGTACTAAGTGATGAATCCAAATATAACTTAGTAGACAAGTGAGAAATCAATGTCATGGGGTTATAATAATGGCTTCATGTGGCTATTGAAACTAGCAGGCTCAATGCTCAACCAATCATGCTAAGTGTCTTGGTCCACAAAATTAGGGAGCATGAAATTGTCTTAGCAGATTTGAGTTAGGCCCATCTCTTAGTGGACCTTTTAATTGAAAACGACAAATTACTGGGTTGACACATGTTATCCTGTTTTTCTGATGGCAAAGGTTCATCACCTTTTCGCCACATTACTCCTTTTCTTTTAAACGCAATGGTTTGTACTTCGCAGCCTTTTGGTGGCCACAGCACTTTTAATTGAAAATCAATCCTAAATTTTAAGTGCTGTGGGTGTGTGTGTGTGAATTTCATTTATTTATTTAAGTGAATTAAATTTTAAAGTTAACTTAATTCCTTTATAGAAGTTAATTTTTTTTTATCAAATTTTTCTTTGAATACTTTTATTAACTTAATATTTAATATTTTTTAGAAAGTGAGATAAAATGATAATAAAACATATTTTTACATTTATAAAGATGTTGATATTAAAGATGAAATATGGTGAAAATGGGGAATTCTTTTAAAGAAAAGTTATGATCACTTATGATGAAAATAAGACGAAATTTTTCCATTTTTTACAATAGGTGCTGAAGACAAACATAAAGCAGTGCTGCAAAACTCAGAATTACATAAATCTGCAAGGGATAAATAGGATGGGATTTGGCTCAAGACAAAAGAATTCAGCTTGCCATTTAAGTTGATATTTACTAATGACTACTGTAGATATATTCTCGGCTTTCGTTGGCAAAAAACTAAGGGCATAAAAACACACTCAAACCATATTAAATTAAGTAGAACCGCAAGAATGATAAAGCAGGGAAAAAGATGGGAACAGAAAAAAAAAACGAGAATGAATTAATTGTCAAAGGAACAAGGTCAAGTTACAATTTCATTCAATCATCTGATTATCAACTAAAGAATGTCAACAAAAATTGTTGGATTAGCTTCGTTATAATCCCTTTTTTAACTTAAGAATCACGCAAGCCTTTTTCTTTTTTTGGTTTTATGATATTTTTTTTTCTCCTTCCTCCTCCTCTTCCCCCTTTTCTTTCAGAGACCGAAAAAAGAATGTGAAATATTAAATTCGTGGAGGGACTGTAAGAACAAGAATCACAGGTTTCTGCGGAATGTTCCATATCAAGGAAGCTCAGGGCTGATCAGAGAGCACCTGAAAAATGGCTTTTCTGCATTTGTCTGCAGCATGTTTACCTCATATCTGAGATTATCCGTAATGAATTTACCAGATAAATCAAAAATCAAAAATATAATCTCAGAAGTTCACAGGGGAATAGGAGCTCCGGTAACCTTGGGATGGTCCCTTAAACTTTCTCACCAAAGATGCACACACACTCTGCAAAGACAAAGTGAACAGCAATGTTCATATAATGAATGCAAGTCCCAACCTCACTGTACATACAATTGAGCTAAAGTTTTAAAATTCATTTTATCTTTCTCCACAGCCAGATTGGAAAAACTAAAATTGAACCATTAATGTAGAATACCTGTGTTCTCCTAGGCAAGCTGACCCAGAAGTCCAAGTTAGGGATAACCTGAAAACAGGGTCAATGAAAGAAGATTTCAATCCCAAATGCAGTGAAGTTCCACAGAAGGTGGCTTTAGAGATCTCAAAAAGTGGCTGTGAAGGATTGACATGGTATAACATTTTAAAACATCATACACCATTTTTGGAACAGTATGAGTGGGTGGAATACAATTAATAAGCAACTTCCGCCATAAGAAAAGAAGGGACACCATAATTCGGGTTTCCGCATGAGAAGCCGCAAATTTTACCAATGACAGTTAAGTTACCCATACATAAATGGCAACAATTGAAATCCACAATGAACTGCAGACAGAAGGTTTACATTGCAATGTTATTCAAATGGCCTCAAAGATAACGACCAACCCAATAGAAAAAGACCAGGAATAACTGAAAAAGGTTTTTGATTTATCTTTTCACTTTCTAATCAGAGCAAGAATAAGGAAACAATCATGGAATAGCCAACTCACACGACCTACATGAAACACATAAAAAAGGTTTAAACTTTAAATATATTTTGGTCCCTGAAAAGCACGCGCTGTTATAGTTTAATGTAGAGAGTAAAATCAAATAAAATTTAAATAGGAACAAAAACAAATCATATTTTTTTAGGTTAAAAACATATCTAAGCCTAAATAAAAATACACCTACCAGGAAACAAGAATAAAAGAAAAGTAAACAAGGAGGAGGACAGGTGAGAACATACATCTATACCACGAATCCCAAGGAAGAAAAATCGATAAACTATACCAGCCAGCAGATATGCAGCAAAAAGGCATAAAACACTGAAATGAGATAAGATGAAACAACTATTAGTAATTTAGCCAAATGACAGCGCCTTGTAATAATTAAAAAGTCCCAGACAAGATAGTAAATTCCTTACATGATTAGTAAGGTGACAAACCACCCCCACCCTCCCCCATGAACATTTACGATCATGGCACAACCAGATGGATGCTTTAGCTCTGTTACCTGCTTGCAAAACAAGATTACAACAAACAGTAAATAATTATTGTCTTTGGTTTTAAATTCATATCACCTTCATATTGCCCCTTTGTTTTCAACTTTCACCCAGCCATCATTCTTATTCTCAAGTTTCATTAGATGTAAATAAGTGTAGGGGATTAAGAGATTGAACACCTAAGAAAAAGACTCGTTATCTTAATTAGATCTAAGAGCTGGTTAGTTTAGCTTAGTGCTGCAATTTTGTCAAAGCCATAAATCTTCCTGCCATCTATATGCAACATCTAAAGATTAAGAAAATGCACTTTGGACTGGTAAGGACTTTAATCTTTTAATTTCACAATCAAAATTCCAATCAACATGAATACAGAGATCAACATGAGTACAGAACAATAAATGCCTTCACATAGTTGAGAGACATCAGACATGGCAGTTGGTGAGGAAAATAGCAGTAAAAAGAAAAATGCAAGAAAAACATTCTTTATTACTCTTTCAAATGGTAAATTAATTCACAGAAGAGAGAGAGAGAGAGAGAGAGAGACTAGGAGGATGCTGGCAAGATAAACTAATATGATAATAGTAAATAAAAGAAAGCCAAGATCAAATATATCACATTAACTAAGAATGTGGACAATAATATTACAATAATATCATTTGATATTATCATGAAGCATCTACAAGTAAGCAAGACTAATAGGAAAATCCAAAAAATTCAATCATGTTCCTCGCTGATTCAAGGGTCCCCATTCTGCATTTCCTAGATTTTCAGCAATTGTCAATGGATTTCAATTCTAAGTTAACAACTTAAATAATATGTACAGCATAAGGACACAAAAGAACTATGATAGGATGTCAGAAACCTACATCAAACAAAAGCAAATAATATGCAAGGAAGCAATAAAATACGTCCCAACATAAAACACTCACATAATCACAGGCCCCTGATCTCTCCAGAGTGTGCGGTCCCTGTGAGCAGAAAAGATTGATAACAAAACTTTCTAATCAGTATTAGGTCCATAATTTATGTTTTAATCAATTAAAAAACTTCAAAAAAAAGAAAAGAAGCAGCAAGAAACCTACTTGTACTCCATTTAAATTGCAAAGCACAGACACAGCCAGTGAACAGTTGTACTTGAGGCCACTGCTAGACATTTTAATAATGACACCAGTGTGGGGATTTTTCTTATCTGCCATTGGAATAGAATTACAGTCACATATTTATTCTAGTTAAGTTCATAATTAGAAGCATCATTCAAAATCACTTGAACCAAATAGTGCATAACAACATATTAAACACAAAACAAGAGCATAAATGAAGCACCAAAACTTAACAAGAGAAAACCACGGTTTGAAAATACGAAAACAGATAGGAAAATTGAGCTTACCAATGACATCAATATCTATTTTGGGGCCATGTCCAATGGCTGTGCACACATGATAACCTGCATTTATCATTTTGTTAGAAGATGTGGATTCCCTGCTGCTTAAAATTTCGTGGAGAAATACACAATAATTGACTTCAATTGGATATAGTTTATTTATCAAAAGTTTCAAATGGTTGGACAAAGCAGAGATATAACTCCAAGATCGATTATCTTGACCTACAACCTTGCCCAATAGATGAGGAAGGGGTCGTATTATTTAGAACCTAAAATTAACTCTAATAGAGAACATAGTTTGTACAATGTAAAGCTGCTGTACTAATAATTTCACTAATTACAAGCTGAACCAAAGTTAATAATGAAAAGATCTTTTGTAGTTCATGTATAAACACATTTTTTTTCAGATGTTTCAATCATTCAACGAGAAAGTGCAAGAAGGGACATATGTGTCTGTGTACAAGAAAATGAACTAATAATAAAAAGCACCAACATGAGAGAATATAGGTTCTTCATATGCCAAAAGCAACAAACAAAAAATGATAAACAAATGAAACAAGAAGACAATATGCAAAAATATTATTAGCAACAAAACTTGCAGAAATGGAAAGGTCTATTAAGTCTTTTCTTTTTCAGTAAATTTAATTAGCTACTCAGAACCAGCTCAGTCATGCCATCGAGTAATATAAACTGCTTTTAAAGAAAATTAAAGCATTTTCAGACAACCTAAATTGGGTGATGTGAAAGTAGAATCTGTATTTTACAGTAAAAGAGAAGTAGAGATACTTGGAGCAGGTTCTGCCAGCAACAGAGACTAGAAGCAAAAAATAATCTGAAACATGTTTTTACTTAATGAAGATCTTCAAAAAATGCTTCTAAACAATGAAATTAATACTAAAAGTCAAACAGGCACTAATTATATGATTGAGTAACTGTCTATGTTATATACAATGTACAACACAACAACTGAACAAAGTAAAGTATTCAGTTGAATCAGTTCTATCACTGCTACCGTGGGCATAAAGCAGTAGAATAGAACTAGACATAATTTACATACAGAAGCAAGTAAATGGGAGAAAACAGAGGCGTGAGGAATTCTACCTCCAATGTTGTTTGCCACAAGTGCATTGCATTCCATCCCACAACGGTTGGGTCCTCCACAATCCTTGAATACAATAAGAGAATCAAATAAGCACAAAATTTGATACAATTATGGAAAAATAAATTTGTTTTTGAGATAAGAAATAATAAATTATTAAATACATTCCATTATTTTCAGATCTTACATGAAATAACCTTTGAACAGCCTTAAAATCCTACCCAAAGTGGCAACGCCTGTCCCTGCTGCTATCTAGCACTGATATGTGCTAACCTTTCCTCTCAACATTTTGACATAGCATCACTTTTATGTGAACAGTGACCATTAGGTACTAGCCTAGACCAACTGATTGCTAACTTGTTAGTAAATTAAACTATATATAGTTTCCAATCAGCTTCATCTTTTGGAACATTTATAATACATTTTACATTGTGATGCCAACCCATGCTTGAGTATAAGGTAACTAATCTTATAATTTATTCTTCCATATTCATAAAACTGTACAAGTTTTCTGTTATTTGTTGTTTGGCTTCTTGGTCTAAGAATGTGAGAGGAAGTACGAAAGCATTAGAGCTTCATATATACATTGGGTTTATTTCCTATGAGATCAGATCTCTGAAATGATTTTTTAACAAGGCATGACCATAAATCACATTAATTATGATTATTAATGTCACTCAATCAACATAGAGAAAAAGCTTTACAGAAAAATATACGCATTTACCCAGCAGTCAGCACATGTTGGAGGGTCATGATTGAAAAGCATTCCATCGCATAGCTGCTCAAACAACCAATGCACAAAATTCATTTATAGATTGACTTGGCACAAACTTTAAACTACATTAGGACTATCATTGCTTATAAAAATATATGCTGCGTTTTGCAAGTCCATCTATTTGTAGCCAGACAAACTAAAGTGCAACCTTTACCTTGCATAGTTAGATTTATAACAAACACATATTCAGTCATTGAAGGACCAAAATGAAGCAAGGTTCTTTACAGAATACAGAGTTAGTGTGCCAAAGTGCCAAACAAATGTCTAAAATTGATGACAATGACAACAGACAGCTAAAAATATTACTAATTAATGGAAACAGTACTAGCAAGAAACCAACGAAATAAGTGAGACCTGATGGGGCCAACCTGAAACCAAAGGGTAGTGCCGTTTACTGCCACTTTGTAAAATCTACAAGCACAGAAATAAATACAAAAATGAAATCTTCAGTCAAAACCATAGAATTGCCACAAACTAATTATATTTACAACAACAAAGTCTTATCCCACTAAGGATGCGTCTGGAACCACTGTTTAATTAACTACTTATTCAATAAGCTCTTTCTATATGATGACTTATCCAATAAATTTGACCATAACGCTTCTCTTACTTCTTAGTTTATGCTGAAAAGAGCTTATATAGCTCAATTTGAATAAACTTATACAAAAGTACGTATAGAAAAAGAAAATAAGCAAATAAAACAAATTAAAATAATCTTATGCTCTTTTGTTTTTCAGAAACTTTCTCAATTAACTTCTCCAAAACATGAGATGCATAAGTTAATTTTAACTTACGAAAAATATTGTATTTATTTTATCTCCTTGTTTTCTTCTATTACTAAAGAGAAAACTTACTCAAACCAAATCTATATAAAAGAAAAAAACCTTCCTGAAATAAGGTGAAAATAGCCTATAGGAGTATTTCCAAAAGCTTTTTATAATCTCTTTCAAACTCAACCTAAGTATAGATCATATAATGCCAATAGAGTCATTCTAAAACCAAAATTTCAGAGATATATAAAGACAGTGAAATCCTTTTTCAAAATAGTGACATAAGGACCAACAACACCAGAGTCCAAACACTGACCGTAAAATTCCATTCCCTAAACAACAAAATTCTAGAACCTTCGAAACACTGAGCACGTTGCAGTTATAACTAAATCAGGAAACTCGAATAAAAAAAGATAATCAAATTGACCAAAATAAAAATATGCTAATAGAGAAAAGTTAATGAAAAAGGGAAACGACGTCGAATCAAGGGACAGAAGTAGAGAAAGAGGGTGCACCCGTCTTCGCTGAGGATGCCATGAGGGAAGTTGGGAATGGGAGAAGAGAGAGTGTAATTGTAAAGCTTGTTTGAGTCGAGAAAAGAGAATCGGCAAGTGGAAGTGGCGGTGGCCGTGGCGGAGGTGAGAGAGACGAGTAGGTGAAAGAGCGTGATGAGAGTGAGCATTGTGAATGTTGCAGAGCGAACACAAAACCCCAATTGAATTACTTAATTACTCTTTCATTTCATTGTTTCTTCCTCTACTGAGATGAGATGTGGAAGCAGCAGCAACAAATGGGGGAAACATCTTCGTGGGGACCACGTGTACGGTTTATTTAACTCTCTTCTTCCTAATTTTATTTAATTTCCTTAATCCACCTCCGTTTTGCCTCACAACCATGTCCTCATGAAGTTTAATTATTTTATTTGGGGGAAATTAATCATTTAAATTATTTTTTTAATTGTTTTTGAAAATAAAACAAAAAAGCACGAATTTTTGTTTAGTTAAATATGTTAAAAAATAATCTTATGTTAATAAAAAGTAATATTAAAAAATTATTTTTTAGATTTAATTTAATTTAATTTAATTTATTATTGTTTTTATTATCTCCTAGGTTCTTCTATTAGAGCGAGAAGTGTGATGCATTTTTGTCTTTAAAACGTTGCTATATTTTAAGTGACTTTTCTGTTAGTGTTAGTTAAAGTAGTTAAATTAAAACCTATCATGATTGGTTTTTTATTATATCATTTATTTTACAAGTGTTAAATTTAATACATTAATTATGTAAAGATGATAAAAATAATAATAAGTTCGGACGTTAAAAACTATAACATAACATTTTAGTGTATTATGTCATAACTATATATTTTTCTATTTTATTTTCATTTATAATTATAATTCAATGTTATCTTGGTTAAAAGAGATAACTTTTTTTTTCCTCACATATTTTAACTTTTAAATAATAATATTTGGCAATTAAAGAGCGAGGAAGGGTATTCCGCGTAATTTCAATAACTCGCGAGAATTACCTTATACAAAGAACGAGAAAAGAAGGAAATTGCGCAAAAGCAACACACACACACACTAAACGGTGAAGTGCCGCGCAGCCAGAAGCAATGGATTCCGATTTCCCCAACAGAGCGTTGACGAACACGCGCTTTTCCGAGCTGAACCCGCCACTCTCCGACGGGGTTCTCCAGGCCCTATCAAACTCCGGTTTCGACTTCTGCACACCGGTTCAAGCCGCCACAATCCCTTTACTTTGCAGCTTCAAGGACGTCGCCGTCGACGCCGCCACCGGTTCTGGAAAAACCCTAGCGTTTGTTGTTCCACTTGTTGAGATTCTTCGACGCTCCTCTTCTCGTCCCAAGCCTCATCAGGTTCCTTCATGTTCTCTTTTGTTGAGCAGTGAATGTAGTTTGCTATTCGAATTTTAAATTATGCGCATCCCTTAAATTCGAACAAGGTTGATTCAAGGCTTAATGATTTCACCTTTTAAAATATTAAAATTACTTTATCGTATTTTTTTTAGTACTAAAAAATGTATTATAATAAAATAATCCTTTTTTCAGTTGTTGTTGATTCTGAGAGAAAAAATTATGGAAAATTTGGAATGGATTACTGGATTGTAGTTATTGATGTGTTAATTCCAATTTGTTGATGTGTTAATCACAATGTATAAAAGGAAAAATTATTGGGCTAAAATTGTATGTATCATTTTTTTAAGGTACTAGGAATAATTATATCACCTACAAGGGAGTTATCATCCCAAATATATCATGTTGCACAACCTTTCATCTCGACGTTAGTGAATATTAAGTCCATGCTCCTTGTTGGTGGAGTAGAAGTAAAAGCAGACATGAAGAAAATAGAGGAGGAAGGAGCAAACATATTGATTGGCACGCCTGGTCGGCTATATGACATAATGAATCGGATGGATGTCTTGGAATTTAAAAGCCTTGAGGTATGTGTTTCACTCTTAACTTTCATGGATGATTTGATGTTGTTTATATACATAGGATGCGAAGATTTACTATAGGAAGAACGTTTGAGACTAGTTTGGTTCTGTTAACAAAATTTTTAATCGATGCTGCTGCATCCTGCTATAGGATCCTTGATCCTCTATGTTATGTATGCATTAGCAGAGACCACAGGTTCATTACCTCACGCTGCAATGTTGATCTAAGTGCAGTTTGAAAATTTTGCCAAATAAAATGATTTGATGTATTTTTTCATCACTGTAGTCAGTTGACATTTTTGTGATTACGCATGCAGATTTTGATTCTTGATGAGGCTGATAGACTCTTAGATATGGGATTCCAGAAGCAAATAACTGCTATTATATCCCACTTGCCTAAGCTTCGTAGAACTGGTCTATTTTCTGCTACTCAAACTGAGGCTGTTGAAGAGCTTTCTAAGGCAGGATTGAGGAACCCTGTAAGGGTTGAGGTTCGAGCAGAAACAAAATCAGAGAATGGTCCTGCGGCATCAAAACAACTAGAATCTTCTAAGACACCTTCAGGACTTCACATTGAGGTAAAACTTATGAGGCATTCTAGCATGCTGCAGATTAGATGTAACTTTGCTATCCAATGATTTCATTTTGTCATCTGAGTAGTGGAACTGGAATCATTTCAATAATTTTTTTTGGTAATTTAGCAGTGTTCTCTGGCTGGCATTCTTACTAGAATCCATACAATATGTTTCATATACTGCTAATAGATGCATAATACAGTTTATGTTTACCCTTTGCTTATCTTCATCCTGTTCTTTTCCTTTTGAGTTTGCAGTACTTGGAATGCGACGCAGATAAGAAGCCATCACAGCTGGTAGATATCCTTATTAAGAACCGCTCAAGAAAAATTATAATGTGAGATACACATTGATAATCAAATATGTGATTTGTGCAGTAGATTAATAGTTTATCATACTCAAAACATCATTTCTACTCAAATGCAGATATTTCATGACTTGTGCTTGCGTTGATTATTGGGGAGTTGTCCTTCCTTGCCTTCCTGTTTTGAAAGGTTTCTCCTTGATCCCCCTACATGGAAAGATGAAGCAGGTATATCTTTTCAATAATGAAGCATATATTCTGTACATCAGGATTGTTTTTTCTTATTTCCTGTTATTACTGTCAATTTCTTATTATTGCTATACTTGGTTGATTATTCATTTGTTTATTTTAACATACAGTCTGCCAGGGAGAAAGCACTAGCTTCATTTACATCCCTTTCAAGTGGCATTCTTCTATGTACGGATGTTGCAGCACGTGGACTCGACATACCGGGTGTAGATTGTATAGTGCAGGTAGTTCTCTGACCTTTTAGATGCTACTGTCCATTGTTTATTGTGTTTCATATTCTCTCTCTCTCTCCTGGTTCAAGTAAGTTCTATACGTTGTGGCTCAAATGTTTTCTTGTGCAGTATGATCCTCCTCAAGATCCAAATGTTTTCATACATAGAGTAGGTCGAACTGCTCGGCTGGGTAAACAAGGACATGCTGTTGTCTTCTTATTACCAAAGGTTTGGTCACAAGTATATTTATGCTGTAATGCTTTTGATAATCTACATAGGATTCTTTAAGTTTGTTCATTTTCTGGCAATGTAATGTATATAAATGTGTAGGAGGAGGCTTATGTAGAATTCCTGCACATAAGAAGAGTTCCTCTTCAAGAGAGAAGATGCTCTGATGATTCATCTGATGTTGTTCCTCAGGTTTGCTCCAGCCTTTACTATTCTTGTTATTTGTATAAACACAACAGGAAGACCCCTTTGTTATGATTTTTAATGGGGTTAGTAATAGTCATTAGATCTCTGTGAGCTAATTAATCATTTGTTCTAATAGAGTGAACAGAATGATTAGTGGAAATAAATTCCTGATACAATATACCAAAGCCCTGATTGCTACTTAGGATGATGCTGATACTGCTCATTCACTCTTGAAATTTGTTTTTGATTGATTGTTTTTGTAAACATGCTTATGCAGTCCGATCTTATCACTGCAAATTGTTTATCAAAATATTTTTTTTTTTCCAGTCTTCTGATAACAATACTATTAATCAAACTTGCTTCAGATTCGCTCTGCTGCAAAAAAAGATCGTGATGTCATGGAGAAGGGAGTCAAGGCTTTTGTTTCTTACATCCGTGCTTATAAAGAGCATCACTGCTCTTATATTTTTAGGTAAATAATTTTTACATATAATGTTGCATGCACTCTATAATGAAATATCAACATTATCAAACTAATCGTTCTTGTTCCCACCCTAACATACAGGTGGAAAGAACTTGAAATTGGCAAATTGGCCACGGGATATGGCTTATTGCAACTTCCTTCAATGCCAGAGGTAAAACATCACTCACTTTCCACTGATGGATTTGAACCAGTTGAAGATATCAATCTGGGGGACATTAAGTACAGGTAAAACTATTTTCATAGGATAACATTTCTCCCAAAAGCTCAAACAGTTAGATGAGTTTATGAATGGTTTTATGTTTAACATCATGGGAGCCCTTTGGGTTTAACCTTGTGCTGAAATTTATCTTTTTTCTGAACAATGAAGGTGGCATGGATCAAACTCCTGGCCACTTGGTCAGTAAACTCTGATATCATGTCAAGAACCTTATTTCCCCAAAAGTCAAGCTGTTTGGTTACTTAAAACTTATGAATGGTTTACTTCTAATATGCATCAATTGTACCAATGTTATTGAAGGAAAAGCTAATATAGCTTACATCTGTGTTATTTTTTTTTTATGGTCGTACTTTTAAGGGGCAGCAATCAAATAAGTTAACAAGTACCTTAACATGGTTTGTTTGATTTGAAGCTCACTAATGTTGAGGACTCTAGTTGGAACAATATAAAAGCTCAATAGTTTTGGCGTGAGCTAGATATAATAATGTATGACACTTATTTTATTTTATAAAATCATAATGTAATATAAATTTAATTGTATAATTTAGTTTAATATTTTCAATTATAATTCAAATTGAGCCTGAGCTTGAGTTTGAAATTTAAAATAGAGTTGGAGCTTGAGTTTGTTTTTTCAAGTTTATCTCTAATTTTTAATTGAATTATAGGTGGAAAGTCATTTTAAGCGACTCTTGAAGAGGGGAGGTATTTGGAAACCGATATTTTGTTTTATTAATTCTATGTTGATCTTGATTAAGGGATTATTTGATGCCCCTTTTCATGATATTAGAATGAAGGAAATAAAGCTCTTGCCACCTAAGACAATTGAGTTTAATATGAATGTCCTGGATTCATATCCAGTGTTTTTCTATGGTCCTAAATTTTCTTCTCCTTTTGCTCTTAGAAACCCATGCTGATGGCTTACAACTTCATTATATAGGGATAAATCACGAGAGAAACAAAGGAAGAAGAACCTGCAAGCAAAGAAAGAAGCCAAAGAGAAAGAGCCGAAACCTCAAAAACTAAGCAAAACCCAAAATGCACCTACTGTCATGCGGAAGAAAACAGCTCGACAGAGACGTGCTCAGCAGACAATTGAAGATGAGGAAGAGTTGATGCAAGAATACCGCCTGTTGAAGAAATTGAAAAAAGGAACCATAGATGAGAATGAATATGCCAAGTTGACGGGCACTGAGGAATTACTTTGAAAATAAAGTTTTCATGCCTGATTATGCTGTTCTGGATATCATGGTTGGTGTTGTAAAAGGGTTCAGTAATGAATGACAATTCCAAAAACCACAAATTTGGCCAGTAAATTATGGCATCCTTGTGACATGGTTCAATTGAAATTATTTGAAAGATCAAAGATAAATGCATCTCTCACTAGTAATGGAGTTTGAAGAGTCCTGCGGTTCGATTTCCATTTGGTTGGTGCTAAAGACCTTATAGGACTTCGACAATGAACTGAATGACATTTAGAGATTGCTATGCATGGAAAGTGAAGACGGCGCAGAGATTTGTGGAAAGGTACAATTTGTTAGATGAAAGAAAAAGAGCCTTTTATCTGAATCAAGTTTTTGCCCCATTATTCTTTGTTTAAAGATACATTGATCATGTGATCTTGTTTAGTTGTTTGTAACATCAATAAAGTCATATATCAAAGAATTTTGCAGTATACTCATCACATAATGTTAATATATTAAGAGGGGAAAGCCATTTTTTTTCGCACCCTTGAAGTTCTGTCCTTTAAAGCGATGAATGAATTAACTTTTGATTGGATGTTTTCTTCAATGGAAAGAACTTTTTCTACCTTTGAAGCAAGATTACAAGTCATTAAGGAGGCTAAGCCAGCAAAGCTGAGAGGCAAATTTTAACTGCAAGGTTCAAAACAATTGAGTGACAAAGTGACCAACCACTTAAAGATTCATTCAAACTTCAAAGTAACACCATAAGTATCTCTCCACTAATTAAAAATAGAACGCCATACTATTTCCTATGGAGCTTCTCCCCCAGTAGGCGGGTAAATCTGCACTGCCTAAATCACTTGGATGGGAATCAAAGTAAAGTACCACGGCCGTGGCCCCACTAAGATAGCACCATCGTATTCAGTAGCATGAGATTACTTGGAAGGTGGGAATAGGTAAATACTATCCAGCATTATCATTTGAAGATCCTTAATAAATTAAATCTTCTCTCCAAGTGACGTGCTTTAAGTGAATAACAACAATCTTTAAGTTTGATTTTCACTTCTACTCCAACATTTGATATCAGATATCGGAACTCAAAAGAAACTCTCTTAAGCTTGTCGTACTCGAGAGAGTTATATGCATTATCTCACGTTTGGTGGGGGCATAGCAGAGTATGTACTGGGCACTGCACGGCAACTTGCCACCTATCATGAAAATAAATAGTTTTTTGGTTATATATTTTACTCATGTGAACTGGGCATTAAAAAAAAAAACAAAGTTTCATGAGAACGATATTTTTCTTTATAAGATGGGACGTTTTAGAAGAAAAAGAAATATTCTACAATATTTAACTTTTTAGTGATGTATTAAATTTTTTTTACCTAAAATATTCTTTAAATAATTTTTTAGATTTTATTAATTGTTGTACAGTAATAACTCTTAATAATAGTAAGTAAAAGTTTTCAATATATAGTAATATGGGTATAATAGGATGTTAGAAATGAAAATAAGAAAATTAATTATATTTCTTAATTTATGTGAAAAAACTTTAAATGACACAGAGAATAGAGAGAGTATATATATAAAATACTTTTAATATCTGTAAATTTATATATTTTGGATTCATAAATATAAATAATTGAAATCTTTGAATTACGATACCAATCAATAAAATAATAGTGATTGGTCGAAATACTGCCAAACTGGAGTTTCGAATTATTATGTGCAAAACGTTTGTTTGATTAATTAATAGAATGCTTATTATCAACTTATTTATGAAGACTTTCTTTTCACTATATCAATTTTTTTTAAAAATTATTTTAACATAAATTAATCAAAAACATTATATTTGAGAATAAAACATTTTAAGGAAATATTTTTAAAAATTGTAAAACATTTTAACCAAATAAGCTAATTTTTAAGCCACAATAACTTGAACCTTAATAAGTTGTAAACTTCAATGGACAATTCCTGCATTGTTATTCGTTGGAAGTTTATAACTCAAACCCAAACATTACAATTGCCAACTTCATTATTATTTCTTGAAATATTTTGAAATAATTAGTAAGGGTACAATAATATTTTTCTTTCACCAGTTAAGCTGTGTAAAAAAAATGGAACATTTTCCTGTCGTGTAGAACGGGATTTACGTCGTACTTTGCAAAAGCAGCATCACCAACGTTCTCATGTGTAGTGAATGGTCAAGAAGAGTTGGTATGGGATGATTCCTCAGCTTCTTCGAGCCTATATAAATCGCCTATTCTTAATCAATATCCGTAACATTCTACGTTTTTTCATCGTAGCAATTGAAAGTTTCTACCTTTTTGTCACCATGTCCAACCCCAAATCAGAGTCAGAGTCTCAACCCTCTGCTTCAGAAGCTGCACCCTTCGATCCCACACAACCCTCGATACCCATTTCTTATCCAATGAAAACCCTTGAGGAACTCGAGTCTCGCTCCTACTTCGAGTCCTTTCACTACCCTTTCAACAAAGCTTCGGTTCCCATTGTTCCCAATGCTTCTTCGTTACCCAATAGGCGAAGATTGCTAGTGTGTCATGATATGGCTGGGGGTTACTTGGATGATAAGTGGATTCAAGGTGGCACAAACCCTCATGCTTATGCAATTTGGCATTGGCATTTGATCGATGTTTTTGTCTACTTTTCCCACACCCTTGTTACTCTTCCTCCTCCTTGCTGGATTAACACTGCTCATCGCCATGGTGTTAAGGTACTTGATTGATTCAACAATTTTTTTATTTTTATTTTTTCGCTTTTAACTTAGTTTTCATGATCATTTTTGAATGAGTGGTGTTGTTGTAGACTCGGGTTCGTGGTGACAGTGTTTCTACGTTAAATTTTATGATACGTAAATGTTTCTAGTTTTAAGTTGGCTTTTTGTTTTGATAGTGAAGTCGAGTCTATGGTGATATCACTCCTTTTGAGTTTGCTAAGGTTGAGATGATTTTGCATGACCGTTATTGTTGAATTTTCTTGGAATGGTTATTTTTATTCAAGGTGAGTTTTTAGATGATTGTTATCGTGGCTGAGTTGCTTCACTGGCCTTTATTTTGCTAGTTATTTTATAGTCAGAATTTTCTTTAAAGAGGTAATTTTGTTTTGTGGGGAGGGTTGGAATTTCCTGCTTTAGGCTGCTTATGTACGTTTTCAATCTGAATGGTTTTCTTTATGTTTTGCATGGATTTTCAGTGAATGAGGTCAGGCAAACTAAATAGTTTGACATAAATATTAATGTTTTAATTTTGTGGCCATATGAAAGTTTGGTTGATAATATAACCACGGCTTTAAATTTTAAATTTTGACAAACTATCTCTTCTTTGCTTTACTAACAATCAGTTTCTAAGGTCATTGGTATGCTTAAAAACTGTTGGCTTTGTAACTGAATCTTTTATAGGAGCTCGGTTCATTTTAGTTTGTTTCTCACTTGGAGATGTTTCTGACATTATTTATTGTTCATGCTTTACCCAGAACAAATATATTCTTCTTTGGTTGTACTTGATCCTTTAATATATCAGGTGTTGGGGACTTTCATCACCGAATGGGATGAGGGAAGGGCTGCCTGTGATACACTGCTTTCAACAAAGGAATCTGCACAAATGTACGCAGAACATCTGGCAGAGCTCGCTGTTGATTTAGGCTTTGATGGGTGGCTAGTAAATAATTCGTTATCTCTGTGTGCTGATTAGATTTATATTCATGTAATTAAATTTTATATTATCTAAATAAGTTGAAACATTATTTCCATTCACATCTTTTTATGAGCAATAAGTCACCTTCCCAAACAGTGCATCAGGTGCTCCACGTCCACATATACAAGTTTGCAAAATCTACAGTTTTTATAAGAGAAATCATTGGGAATATTATGAATGGCTTCACAACCATGCAACATTTAAACATTTTCAAAACCAAATCATATTAGGTGCATTATGAATAATTATGCTAAACCAATCATTAACTATTTTTCTTGTACTCTACAACATTGCATGTATCATATTCTTGTCATTTTTTTGAAACTAGTCATATTTGATTGCAGATAAATATGGAGGTAAATTTGAATCCAGGGCAAATTTCTAATTTGAAAGAGTTTGTATACCATTTATCATTAACAATGCATTCTTCTCTGTCTGGATCATTAGTGATATGGTGAGTATTAGAAGATTAGCCAACAACTTTTTTATTGCAGTGGTTGATGCCAAAAGTTGAATATGATGTTTCTTGGTCATGTAGGTATGACAGTGTTACAGTCGATGGTAAACTGAAGTGGCAAGATCAACTAAACAAGCATAATAAGCCATTCTTTGATATATGTGATGGAATATTTGTAAACTATACATGGAAGGTATTGCTTATCTTCCCCTGGTATGGTTCTGCCAGCCACACTGATGTTTCACCAATTTCCATTTCCCTTAATTTTATTATGTTAGTGTAGGAAGACTATCCAAGGCTCTCTGCTGCTGTTGCCAGTGATCGGAAGTATGATGTATACATGGGAATTGATGTATTTGGGAGGAACACATATGGTGGTGGGCAATGGAATGTATGTGCTTTGTGATAGATACACACTTTTTTTGTATAGCAATTTATTAGATGTCTGCTATCCCAACTTGAAAAATGTTTGAATTTTTTTTCTTGAGTTGAACATAAATCAGAAACTGATTTTGGCCTATTGGACCTCTATATTTCTTAGTGAACATGCTTATGTAATCATTTAATGGACATCATGTATGAACTGCATGTTTTATTTCACTTTAAGGCCCAAAAATATAACAGGAACTAAATTGTTTTTCATTTTGGCTGCTTGGCTACAAAATACATCCTGTATTATTTGCGTTCAAGTTCATTAAGAGGGTTAATAGTTGTACTTAAATATGGTTTTTATAGCATTCTATACATTGGTTTCATTTTGTATATTTCAGAATTGATTGTGAATGTTTTTTAACGTTATAAGTTATAACTGCCTTCAGAGAAGTTTGTTATTACATGTATGTAGCATCCATTCCCACAGTGAAGCTGCCAATTTGCCTGAAACTAAATATCAGTGTTACCAAAAAGATAATAGTCACTTACTTTTGTTTCATTGTGCGTTGTATTTAAAATCTATTTATGAAAACAATTGCCTGTTGTAGTTTCTTTATGAAATTTAGGATGCCTAATAGTTTCAGAGTAGTGTAGTATATGACTGGTAAAGTGACTAACATTTCTGAATGTTATTTCCTTTTGTTTGGTAATTATCTCAGTGTTGGTCCTACTGCTTTATTTATTCTGTTATGCATGTCTCAGGCAAATGTTGCTCTTGATTTACTGAGAAAGAATGACATCTCTGCTGCAATATTTGCTCCTGGATGGGTCTATGAGACAAAACAAGCCCCTGATTTTGAGACTGCTCAAAATAGGTAATTTAGCTATCTCTTTTGAAACACCAAAAATTGAAATTTTGCTATCATATGGTTAGCTAAGTTAATGCATAGCAATATATTGAAAAACAAAATTATAATGCTGGAAGTGACCAACATTGTAAAATAAACTTGGAGATGGCACAGAAGCTGGGGGTGAAAGATAGAAATGATGAACACAATCCATCTCTACAATTTAAAATATCTATTAGCAGGAATCTTTTTAAAGAAAAGAGGATGAATATAAATTATAATTGCCCCAAATTTAATTATTTTTAGTCCTACTAATCTTATTGCCACATAAATTCTAAGAATCTTTCATGCGTGTTCAAGGTTTCTTTTTATGCTAATGATGAGATCAAACCTTAAATTTCTTACTTATGCATACCAGCATCATTGCCATGCACTCAATATTGCAGTTGGTGGGGTCTTGTGGAAAATTCATGGGGAGTGCTGCAAAAAAGTCCTGGAGTACTACCATTCTACACAAATTTTGATCAGGTAATCTCCCCTTTTATAGTTTTTCATCCCTTTTTTTTTAACCTTAATGATTTTTTTTTCATTGTGCATTTGGCAACTTCTGGTCTGAGTACAACTTTGAAGATACTTTTTCCACATTTAATTCAACAGGAGTTATTCTTAATTTAATTGCAGTGAAAGTGGTTCTAACCTATAAAGAATTATTTGAGTGCCAAGGGGCAAACAGTGGGTGGGCTGAAAAATTTTATGTCCTAAAAGATGGAACTTCCTTTATCAAATTTTAGTTCAGTGCTCATCAAACTGGCAAGGAAATGAACAATACAAAATATAGCACTGAACTTCCATTAAAGAAATAATTTGTGGCATGTTTGCTCAAAAGCCTAACAAAGACTTTGGCAGCTATATTCTACTACCCACAGTAAATAACCTAAGCAATTTCCCTTTTGAGCATTCTCACTTAAATTTAAATACTTATGTATTCTATCTTTGAAATATTGACATTCTTTCAAAATATATCTTCTTTTTGTTTCTTTCAGGGACGTGGTTATCATATTTCAGTTCATGGTGACAATGTATCAGAGGCCACTTGGAACAATATTTCTTGCCAAGGCTTTCAGGTAAGCACCCAATAATCATTCTTTCTTATTGTTGGCTCAACTATTTACCATATAGATGGACTTCGATAGATGACCTGGAGAATATTATATGCCCCCTTCTTCTGAATTCTTAGTTTGTCACTGGTAAGATTATGGGCTAATTTTTAAGTAACATCATTATAGTAACTGGAAAACCAAGTTCAGTTTAATACTATGAATTTTTTATACTGGTTTAAGAGTTCTATTATAGTCTGACTAAAATATTTGTGTGCAGCCACTCCTTGAGTTTGCTGATCCTACAAATTCTATTCAAGTTCTTGTAGAGTAAGTGATGCCATACATTTAATATTTAAAATGTTTCTGCAACTGGGAAGTGCAAACAGAATGTGCGTGTCACATATTTGCCTGCATTCAAAGTAATATTCTCTACAATAGCATTTGACTAAATTGAACAAATCATGTGTATGTATGTTTGCAGAAAATTCATCATAATTTTTCTATTGAATTAATAAGATTTCTTATGTATATTTAGTTTTCTACAAGACTAAAACCTTAACTCTATTGAATGTCTCTTTTCTTTTCTATTGTTCCATTTTAACATGAAATATTTAATGACTTGGATCTAAAGTATTTGTTGTCTTGCTTGCAAATTGCAGCTTGAAGGAAACATCATATAGTGGAGGGGGGAACGTTACATTCAAAGGGTCTCTTGGAGAGCAAAATTACATTGAGAAGAAAATCTTTCAAGGACAGCTTCTTTTGAGCAAGTTGCCCATCCACTTTATTTATTCTGTAAGCTATAACTTTCTTTATCATAATTGCTGAAAAAAGAACATTATCAATCTGTAAGCTATAAGGTTTTGGGTTGGGAATTTGGAACAGACTAATTTTGGATGAGTGAAGAAGTCCCTAGTATTTTAGCACCTCATATGCCCCCCAACAAATCAATGGTATAATGCACATTTAGTCAAGTTCCCTGAAATGTTTTCGTGGTATCTCTATCTGAACCCTCTTTCTCACACGTGAAGTCAATGACTAATGCAGGTCAAATCTGATGGCAATTCCTCATTGGGACTTAAGCTTGAGTTCACTTCCACCAACCACCAAAGAACATCTATACTTCTCACATCCTGGGTGGCGAATCATTTCTCAAGCAAATTCAGCAAAGTAATCATGACTCGTGAACACAAGGAATTTTCCCCTGGATGGGTTATAAATGAAGGCGTAATTGCAATGAATGAATCATACACCTTAACAGAAATCCATGCAGTGTGCTACAGATCAGATTCTCCATTCAATGACAGTGATGGAACGGTGGCTTCTTCATCAGAGTATTTTGCACTTCTTGGTCATATCACAATCAAGACTTCTGACTACAAGTCAGATTTTCCTGTGTCTTCTTCCTGGATAGTTGATGGCAGCTACATAAAATGGATATCAGGTTCTCTAGGTTCAAAGACCCTTAGCGTTAAAATTTCTTGGAATCTAAAAGACGTAGAGAACTATCTGTTTCCAAAGTACAATGTGTATTTGGTGAAATTATCAAAGCAAGAGTCTGGTAAACCAGGTACAACATTAGATCATGTGAAAGAGTACCTTGGAGTAGCACAAGTAAACTGTTTTTATGTTTCTGATCTCAAAGTTCCTTCAGGAACTTCAAGTCTCAAATTTATAATACAAGTCTGCGGTGTTGATGGGACACTTCAGGAGCTGGATGAGTCTCCATCTTATGAATTGGAGGTTGAAGCTCCCTAAATTGTTATTAGAATGTAACTTCATTTCTCCAATAAAGGAAGGTTATGTTGTGGCAGCTACATATCATGTTATGCTGAAGTAAGCAATAAAACTTCTCTTTAGATTTATACCTAATAAGGTTTGATTATTATTATTTCAAGCCTGCTTCTCTAAAACTTATTCTGATATAAGGTTTGATTGTTTGCGGATTTTTCTTTAAAGAAATAAGTATTTTTTTTAGTTAGAAAATGTGTTTACAAAAATTTATAATAATTAGATAGTTTTCTTTAATTATAATATATTAGTGTTGTTTCATAAGAAAAGATACATTTTTAAAAAGTTTAAATAAAAGCTCTACCCAACATGCCTAATGTATTTTCGTTGTGCACCAACACCAAAGCTATTTCCTAGCTAATAAATAATAAGAGATTTTTAGTTCAGAGGCATAACAAACATTGAAGTAGTTTTAATCTTAGATCAACATGTTTGTAGCCACTCAATTAATCACCAAATGTGTGAGGATTGTTTACCGATGAAAACAGCAGTTAATATATGAAGTGACATTGCATATAGCTAGCCTACAACTGAGCACAGCACAACATTAACTTTGTAATGTTAAAATGTTTTGACAAAACAACTTTGCGTTGGTGTTCACATTGTGATAGGGAAAAATTAGTATCGATATTTGCATTGCTTCAATTTCAACATGGTGCAGACTTCATTTTCTCCAGAGTGAGTTTGTTTGGTATTGAAACATATCTTTGACTTAAAATAAAAGAAACAAGAAAAAGGAAAAGAACTAAAGAGGGATACATCTTAATTCCAAAACAATCCTTTGTTTGGAAGTATTATATATCCTCGAGCCCTCAAAAGGAAAACCGGGTTCCCACAATCACTTTCTCTATCTACCCAAAGATACAGAATTTCATATTGATAGATAACATCGACAGGGACATGCCTTTGTCTTGTTATGTATTTTAACTTATTATTAATGCTATGTTAAATTGCCATTATATAAGTCAGCATCTTTTTGACTCACTACAACTTTCTATACCCCACTGAAGTTTCAAGAATGAAAGGAGAAAGAGTAGATATGCAATTTTCTTCTGTCTCTTTTGTAACATACTGGCATTTGTGTGTTAGCAAAATGCAAACACACTTGATGATCACTATTCATCATCTCTCTATATATAAAAATTATTGAGAAGTTCAGGAACACTAGGTTGATTCGTGTGCATTAATTCAAGAGGATAACATAAATTTTCAAACGAATTACTTCAATCTTTCTTATTTGAACCAGCTTCTTTTACAAATAATTATACTTCTACTTTTTTTTTTCTATTTACCATAAAAAATATCATTATTTATTTGTTTGCATAAGAGATTTAAAATAATATTGATTACTAACTTTTCAATTATATCCTTATCACTACATAATTCTTAACATGCTTATTACAAATAAAAAATTAATAATAATGAAGATCATATTAAGAGAATTAAAATGATACAAACAAGAATATCAATCATAATATTAATATGGTGTGTGTTATATTTTTAAGTAGAAAAATATATAAAAGGAAAACATAAGTGATTACTCTTGTATTTAAGCAAGGTAAATGGTATATCACACTCTTATTGAGTGGGTAATGTGGACCACTTGGGATTTCAAATAGTGATTAATGTCGAAGAGCCACATATAAGCTTTGTATTCTCTCTCATAAGCCCATCTAATCTAACCCAATTTATTTCTATCCTTAATCTTGACTCTTGATAGTTTCAACAGTAACATCTAATTCATTCAAGGTAAAAAAGTTTGGAGAGGATGAGGAACCAATAATTGGAAAAAAAATTACGATAAAATTGTGTTGGATCACTTGATCTCTCCTTTATGGAGATTCTAAGCAATCTATGTAATGCATGTAGCTACACATGTATAAGGAGCTTATCCATTTCTTGCACCAAGAAAATTATAGAGACAAATACTGAATTTTATTGACAGAAATTGCATATTGCAAATTTGCAATTGCTTTAAATAACAAGGGACCCGCCGAGTATATAATTTTGTTAATTTAGATCTCCAAATTTGAATTTTAATATTTAAATATTTTGATGTAAATTCTATATATTTGTTATATTATCACATATTAACATGATTTGAATAACATTAGTTTCAGTGGAGGGAAACGGGGTTGAAGTGTTAACTATAATTCATGGAAAACATTTGTATAAGTGTTTTTTTTTTTTTTGTTTTAGGAGTGTATTTTAAATACTTGTATATAAAAAAAGATAAAAAGTAAAAAGAGAAAAAAAGATTTATATATAATGTCACATACAATGTTAATTTTTAGTGGTTTAAATAATATAATTGATAATCTATTTATCATTACGCACTTGCTTAAAAATAAATTATTCTAATTAAACAACATTCTTAGAAAAAAAATTATCTCACAAGTTTTTAATTAATAAAGAAGACCTCAAAATAAGTTAATTTCATTTTTTTCCCTAAAATACTTGCATCCTGCAGGTTGTGGTTATACACTCTTCAAATTAACTTTGAATAAGAAAAAGAAAAAAATTCAACAAGAATCAGACGAAAGTTTGGAGGGACCAATCCTAAAAGAAGCTTCGCCAGTGATTAGTTTAAAATGGTAGGACAGGATCACTAGTACACAGCTAGATAAAGACAAAAACCGTGCAAAAACAAGGTTAATTAGGTTCTGTAGAGATTAATGAAAAATCATGTTTGACTAGGAAATGTTTCACATTAAACAAAGCTGATGAGGAATCTTTAAGTCAGTAGTTAACCCAATTTTTTTTTCTCTGTATTTATTAATTAAAGAACGGTCGCTTTGTCGCCCATTAGGCTTTTCTAGTTTTATCTTTAGCATTTAAGATAATGCTTTGATTTCGACATAAAGTTGTTTTGGAGAGATGGATTTAGAAAATTTACATATAAATTATATATTATAGTTCATATAATATATGTTGTCCACATCCCATAAACCCAGCACTTTCTTGCACAGCCCCCCCACGTGAACCAGCTAGAAGAAGCTTATCCTAATTAATTAGTATACTTCTAACGTTAATTTTTCTATTATGATTAGAAGATTGTAGTCTGTGAGGAAATGGACAGTTAAGATATTGAAGTGAAAGCAAAAGCAATATGGAATATGTGATATTAACTTTTGGTAAAAGGATAGACACATGACTGAAAGTAACATGCATATAACACGAGACTCATAAGAAACTTTGTGAATAATACGTACAAAAACATAATTAAATAAACAAATGGGAATCGTTTTCCATCTTAATCATAAGAATTTCAGATGTGTAGAAAAATATATACAATTCATATTTATTCTTGTTAATTAGGAAAGAAAAAATTATACACACCTGAACTAATTTTTAGTATGTATATTCATAAAAAGTGATCTTACTTAATAGTCTTTTCCAACACTAATTCAAATCATAATTTATCATCTTGTGAGGAATTTATTCCTTTCGTTGGACTCAAAATCCTTATTAATAGTTATATTATATTATGTAATGCACAGTCAAACTCTTAATCATAAGCTACTTTTTTGAAATGATTATTTTTCAAGAAATAAGCTAAAACAGATACGTATTATGGAAACAACTAGAAGTCGATCTAAACTTGATCTCGACAAGGCTACATTGGGACGGAAGCATATACCTCAGGAATATCTAATTAATGATAATTGCCTTAACAAATAAGATTAGGGAGGGTGATCATAAGATATTATTAATACTTATGAATATAACTTTCTTTTTTTTTAACTTTATTTTAGTTTTTTAATAATTTTCCTAAAAAGCTTTTAATTTATTTGTGTAAATGTTATAATCAAATTCAATAATGAGATCGCATTTAATAACTTATCAAATAAGTGTCCGATTAAATTATTTATTTAATTTAAAAATTGCTTTCAAATTTTATTAATGGGGTTTTGGTAGTATATAAATGTGTATAAATTAACTTATTTTGTATTCAGAACAATTTATAAACAAAAGCTCCAAAAGAGATCTGAAAAAAATTCTACAAAGTGATTACGCCCAAACATATATGAAATAACTATCATTAATTATAATGTCACATTTGATACGTGGAATTAATGGGTTTTTTTTTTTTGGGAATGCAGTTAGAATATGTATAATAATATAATGAAGAGGATTGTTATGTAGTAAGTAAATTTTATACGAAATAAAACGATTCATGTAATATGTTAATTCCACTTATATGTGATGATTAATAGAATCACCATTCCATGGCTTTTATTTTATTTTTCAAACAAACAAAGGAAATTTTATTCTATAAATCAATAAAGCCCGATATGAAATAATGATTCTCCATATTTTGCATACCAAACACAACACTAGTCTTTGCTGACAGTTGTATCATTAACGTGACCTTGGGACGATGCTGAAACTGGTTTATACTTTAAATTAAAATATATCAATTAGCTAGTTTATCCTTAACCAAAAAAAGGCTATGAAATGAAAAGAAATGCATGTATCAATTGTTTCGTCTTTGTCTTTTTTAAATTACCTCTAAAGACATAGAAGAAAACGATGGATGGTTATGGCTTATGATATTGTGAAAATAAAAGGGTCAATGATCATGACATCGACCATTTCCTACCTTAAATCCTACTTCGTCGTTTTTTTTATGCATAACTAAACTTCTTGTCTAATTTTCACCCTTTAATTAAACGTTATTAATTTGGTAATAAAATATTTTTGTTATAAAATTAATTGTTAAATAATTAAAAACATCACCACTGTATTATAGTAAAGTTTTTTAACATTAATTTAATCTTGAAACAAAATAAAATGTTATGAATAGGAAAATGGCACTACTTTTTAGGGTCTTGGGGGAACTCTTAGTAGAGGTCCGCAAAGAGTCTCAACATTTACTGTTACTAACAAACAACAAAAATAAATTACAGTGTGAATATGAAAAATGATAAATTTATAATTGATGTTTGCTAGGCGAGTTGTCTTTCAATATTATGAGATGGTAAATTTATAATTAATCATCAGAATGTTTGCCATTTTAAAAAAGAGCACCGACCCTCGTCTGAATGCATTAATGTTAAAGCACCTTAATCATTAGTTTAATGGATTAATTACTAATTCAGAATACTCTGAATGACTTCACCGGTACTTAATCACATGCTAGAGTTGACCCTACAACTGCATTCCTGTCTTTAACTTCAAAATTAGTAAAGAAATTTCAGAGAAATTGTAATGCTTCAAAGATGAATGGAAAAGAGTTTGTCAAAAATGATTTAAAAAAACAAAAGTGGCTACTAACCCAAAATGATGTGAGCAATTTTCATTCAAGAAACTATGTCATGTCCAAATATGGTCTCTCTTGAGAGAGAATCATAAATTACATTGTTAGATGAGGCATGGTTGAGGTATTGAGGGATGTCATTTTGGAGAAGGTAAGATTTGTGATTTGGGTCTTCTTCAATTTCTGGATTAGGCATCATTGGTTCATGTTGCATCTGGATGCAGAGTATCTCTGCTTGTGCCACTGCAAGCTGCATTTGAAGCTCAGAGACTTGGTTTTGCAAATAAGATATGGCTCCAACACAACCATACACTGGATCTCGAACTCTTGCATGTGCTTCATACACTAAACTGCTAACTGCATCTGCTCTTTGATGAACCGCAAGTTCCTGAAACATTGTACAAGAAGTAAAGAAACAAAAAAGAAACCATTTTGACCCAATAGAATCAAACCCAAAAAACTAAAAACAAACACCCAAAAGACTTTTGTTTTAATAGAAATAATAACTTACTTTTAGAAGTTCCTAAAACTTGAAAAATATGCACAATTATGTATATAAGTTTACACTTATTTTGACTCTACAAGTTATAACTTCTACATTTAGAACCTTTTAACGTGTTTTCATATGCACACATAACCTTGTTTTTTAACAATTTGCGTTATATAAATAAAGCAAAGGGAAGAGGGAAAGTGTATAAGATAGATAGATAGATACCTGTAACATTTTACTAACGTTGCTTGCACCAAAAACCTTGTGAACTAAGGCGAACTTCTGAGGATCATCAGAAGGGAAATAAGGAGCAAAGATGCAATCTTTAGCACAGCGGCGTCTCAGAAGCTTGCATGAAGCACATGGGGAATTCCCAGCCATTAGATAGGAAATATGTTGTTAAGGTTAAAGCTTAAAAGTGGAAAAAGAGAGAAACACAAGGCAACTACTCAACTTGACAAAATGAGAGAGAGGGAGTTTGTGTATTTATAATGGCCAACAACGTGTGAGGCTAGCCGCTACCTTGTTGTGAAATACTATCCACTATCACTATCAAGTGTCAACCACACTCTACTTCTAAAGATTTTTTATTCATTTCTTATTAAATTAATAAATCCCCTCACTTTTTAATCATCATTTCTCATATACTAAAAAATTATATTAATCATTCTAAATCTTTTGTATATGCAATATTTTTTCAGTGTAAACTACATGTATCTTCTGCTAAACAAATCTATTCGAATTGGGTAGAATTATTATCTACAGCAAATCAATCTCCTGTTTGATACATTTATGCAGTTGAAAAAATGTGAGGGGCAAGTGGTACGAGTGGGCAAGTTATGAATGATGATTGGTCATTAGTTTTCTTAAGAGGAATTTGTATGATTCTATTGGCAAGCTGGTTATTATGGAATTTCAAAGAGAGTCCAAAAGGCCTTCAGTGTCCAGATCGATCGTTCTTAGGCATATGCTGATGATGACATTGGTTTAAATTGTCATATATATATATATATATATATATATGGTGATTCTAGAGTAAGAAAGACGGCAAAAAGAAATTAGTATGAGAAGAAATTTTCTTATTTTTTTATTCCCTGTCCTTTTCTTGATTTAAATATTGTTGTCTCTAGCATATGTTATACAATTTTTCTTTTCCTTCTAAGTGAAATTACAAGGTGCAACCCGTTTTAGAGTATATTGGCTTGGCTCTATACACATACTTTTAATCTTTTTTGAATTATTATGTATAGCTAATGTTTGCCACATATATGGCGTCATATATCTTACACGGTCAACTTGTTTGTTGTTATGATATTACACAGTTTTAAGAATATTTATTATTTTTTACATAATTACTCTTTATTATTATATTTTTAAACTTATTAACAATTATAATAACAAAAATTAATTTTAACAAGATTAAACTTTAAATGATGTAATTACTTTTTAAAAAAGTAATACATTAATTAATTTTTTAATAATTTTTTAAACATGTATGATTAAGTTGAAAGACTTTTTTTTATAAGTATTTGTTTTTAATTGTGCTAAGAACACATGTCAAAGAATTGAGAAAAGATTTTTTTAGCATATGTCTAGCCAATGGCACCTGTTAAGAGGTTAAAAATAAAAAAATTATTAAAAATGAAAATATTTATTATCTTAAAATCATAAAATAAATTTGGAATATATATGATAACTTAAAGCATTTAATATAATATATTTAATCTTTTTAACATGTTCCCTTAATCACACATTAGACTTATTAAAAATTATAGTATTTAATGTTATGAATATATTAAATTATGTGACATCTTATTCTTTTTAAAAAGTATTTATTATATAAAAATTGTATAGCCTTGAATATATGTTAGAAAATTGATTTTATAAAGTGAAGTTAAGAGAGTAAATAATAGTGATCTTATTTGCACATGTTCAATGATATTAAAGTTAATTCTCAAACGAAGATTTAATCAGATTAATCAATGATTTAGTTTACATTTTAAATGATTTAACTAGCACACAATTTAATGATTCTGTTAAAATTAATCTGCCAAATTCTAACCAAACAAAAATAAAGTAAGCTACTAATGATAAATTTAACAATTGAAGTTACGTTGTCGATAATGAGTTTTTTTATTTATAGAATTTTAATCATTAATAAGTAAAATTGAAAAATGCAAAATTTATTGTAGTGTCCTACCGTCTAATGTATGCATGATTGAACTTATATTTAATGGGTATTCACAAATTTATGTGTAATAAATAAGCTTTTTATTCATCAAATAAAGTATTAAAGCTTAAGTAATTTATAAAAATGTGTGATTTGAATAGGGGTGAGTATCAATTGGGCATGGTGATATTTGAATTAAAAATTTTAAAACTGAACCAATTTGATCCCATTAATAACATAGGTTTTCTATTTGAAACTAAAAGGCGTATCAAATTAGGTGTTGGATTACGGGTTTAACCAGGTTTTACCAATTAATCATATTTATCCAACGTTGAACTAGTTCAATAATTAATCATGAAAACTCAACAATAACATTTCTCTCTATCAGTTCCTTGCAGAAGGTGCAAATCAAAGTTGGAACTCAGAGGATTAGAAGAGAAAATTAACAAAATTATCTTAAGGTGATTTGGGTCCAATGGGGGAATAAAATCAACTGTTATCGTCGGCGCCGCCAAAGGTTGTAAATTGAAATAGATGGGAGTGGCTAGTGTGGCTTCCACGTTGTTTGACTCTTAACATAAAAGTGTGTTAATGGGATGTTTAATTAGTTAAGATAAGAGTATGTGAATAGGAGATATATAAGAAAAGAAGAAGATGATTATGAACAAATGAAACTCAACGTGGATGTTTTTTAGACAGACATACAAACATTCACGTGAATACACACGTTAACATACATTGCTTCCTCTTCCTAGTTGTGCATCGTTTGACTCAATTCATTAATTTTATTAGCTCAGTAGTCAAAGCCAAATTAATGTCCTTGTGCACACCAAAATTACTCTTACTATATTCGTTTATATGCATACCCAAAGAATGCTTCATTAATATAAATCTTACTATAAGTAAAAGTATGAAAAATTAATAATTAATGTATATAACTCTTAGCATTCAATGATTGTTTTAAATTGAAGTATTTTGTCGACAAAGTTTGCTTCTAACCCCAGAAACTGGAGCTCAGGCATGTAGGCTAGTCTTCGCCCGTGGTTTAACGTGATTAGTGAACGGTTTTGGTTTTGTTCATCTTCTTTGGTCATGGACAAAGTTGAATAAGCTGATTTTAGATCTTTCATATCAAGAAAATTCCACCCAAGAAACAGATATATCAGCCACTCATCTTATAATTAATTGTTTTTTTCCTCACAAGTTGAAATGTAGCGAAGACTAATCTCGTGATCTCTAATTTTACCATTATCAAATTAGGCCCGTTTGTTTTGTAATTTTTTCAAAAATAACAAATAATTGATATAATCAAATACTTTATAATAATGAAATCATATTACAATATAAAGGTGCTCATAAAAAGTAATCTCAATAATTTTATCGATCAGAAAGTTAGAAAAAATTAGCGTATAAAAGAGTTTTAAAAAATAGTACCAAATAAACATTTTTAAGGTTTCAAGAAAACATTTTTTTTAGTAAACTAAGACTTGCCTGGTAGGCTTGGGCTTATGATAAGGTTTGGTAGTCACTAAAGAAGAAGTTATGGTCTAATTATAGGATATAGGATCTTTAAGTATAGCAATTAGTTTTTATGATGTAATTCTCTCAAGATTTTTATAATAAAAAAATAAAAATCACCCATCGTTCTTATTAAATATCTTTAACTATTATCAACTGATACATTTTCAATCATGAACTTGGATTCGGATTTCATTGATGCATTGAATATAATTAGTTAATTGCATGCATTTGTATTAACTAGGATTAGCTAGCATAGGCAGCCTCTATGTATTATCATGGTAAATTCACACCCTATCTAATCTGTCTTATTTAGACTCTTGATGTGTATTATATTCTCACTTCTTTTATAAGGCATCCCAAATAGACATGTAATAGTTTCTTGCAAATGATGGAACAAATCATAACCACTCCATTCCATTTTTTTATTCTCTTCTAAGCAACCATACGATGGTTTTCATTTCTCAATTTTGACCTTAATTCCAATCTTCATTAATCAATATATCGCAGCGTAACTCTTTTTAAGTTGTTCATTAATCAACTTGTAGTTAAGCTAGGGTTTTAGCAGCGTATTTTTATGGAAACTGTATGTCAAATTAATTAAAGTTTATTAATTAGCTACTAATTTCTTTTTAAATGTTTAACAGTTTACCATAAATATGGATAATTACAGGTTCTTAAATTGCTTTTCGAAAGAAATTCAACCACTTGATCGAAGATGTCAATTTTTTTCTATAATTAAGCAACGGATTTGAGATAAAGTTTACTCTAAGATAGAGTTAAGGTTATGAATCATTATGTAATTACGACCATGTAGATTCCTCACCCCATTCAGTGCTTACAGTGAGTCCGTTATGTTCCATTAGCGAGGTTTTATTTGTAAAAAGAGTAACATTATATTAGTTTAAATATAATTAAATGTCGACTTATTATACAATGAATCAATAATAAATAATAATATGTCATGTTGCTGATGAATAAATAAATAAGATATTAATAGTTAGGTAATAAATATGTTAATTTAAAGAAAGGAAAAGTAAATAGTATATTATATTATCTTAAACTTATCGTATACTAACACTTCATAAAATTATTTTAATATCTTATTGATATTAAAATCAAATAATTATTTTTTAATTTAGTCGGAGAACCAGTTGGTAAGATTTATAATTTTTCCTGTTAGAATTCACAATAGGAAAATGATATGTATTTCATGATTTCATGCATACTTATAGCCCTTAACTTGGTCTTGATAGCGAATATCGTAATAAAAATAGTTAAAAGTATTCAATGTTTTTATTTTAATTATTTTTAGAAATAATACTAAGGACATACTTCTGTTTGAAAATATTAAATATTTTATTTTAATAATTAATATTTTTAATTTCTCAACTAGCTACTATGTAATTTCTAAAGAGTACTTTTAACGAAAAAAATGTTATTACCATATTCTTAATTATTAATTAAAATTTATTAATATTTATAAAAATTACTTAACTCTTACTTGTACCTTAATAACTTTATCTTATATTTTTTTATAAATTTTAGTTAATAATTAAAAATATATTAAAAAAGTGTTAAAAAATATCTTCTTAATACTTTTTTTAACAAATTTTATACGAATTCTTTTTTATTTTTTTCATTAATCTCCTAAAAATATTATTTTGTATTTTATTTTAATCTCTTTAAAAAATAATTAATGAAACATTTAATTATTTTTCAACTTATTTAGACAGTAATAATCGAGAGAGGTCAATAACAACAACGATATTTTGAGTAGTATATTAACACGAATAATTTCTTCGAATTTATTTATTTATTTCTTTTATATAGTGTTTAATATTAACTTGTTTATTTTTCTTTATGTTTTTAAAAAATATTTTTTAGTTTATTTTTAAAATAAGTCATTTTATAATTTTAAAGCACAAATAATATTTTAATCTTGCTCTTAAGATAATTATTATCTCAAAACTAATTTTTCTATTTTCTTTACTTATTACTTACATAAACGAATTTTAAAATAAGCATAACAAAAAAAATTCATAATATTCTTGATTAAAATAAAATAATGGAATATATTTTTTAATTCTTCTGGTATAACTTTAAACAATTTTAAAAAGACTGAATAATAGGTGTTATTATGCCACAAAAAAAAAAACAGAGTGATGATACAGTAGCAATTGTTGCCGGAAAAACAAAGAAAACATAGGTACCCTCACCACATTAATGAGATTCCTGACACTGCCATTAAGTTGTAGGGATTATTATAAATGAAGCTTATTTCGATGGAGATTACTACTATTGAAACTTGTAAGACTTGTAGCTTCTCTGATATAGAAAACATAAGCCTTCTCTTTGCATTAATTGCTTCACATGATTCTAAGTTTCTTTTTTCATGCATTTTAAAATATAAGATCTTCATTGTTTCTAGGTACCACTGATTAATTTATAAGATGTATTTATTTATTTATTTTATAATTTTAATATTTTGATCAATTTATCTTAACATGTAATTTGAAGTTCAAATTTTAGTAAATATAATAATGTTATATATTTAAAAGAAAAATTCATTGCTAATAAACTCAATCAACACAAACATATTCAAATTTATGCAAAGACAACAAAATAAGATCAGAAGATGAGTTAACTACAACAAAACTTTTAAGCATAGTCTATAACCCAGATTCGCCATTTTGTTCTGGAGATGATGATGGCTGCATATATAATTTCCTTTTCAAAATAAAAGGCTTGAAGATTTTGTAAAATCATTAAATAAATGTCGTCAACAATTAATAAATATATATTATTATAATTTATAATTCGTTTAGTTACTACTCCATTCCCTTCCAAAAAAGAGTTGCTGTTTCATTCGATTAGGGTTTTCTACCATTTTACTACATAAAAATATCAAATTATAACAATCAAATAAAAAAAATTCTTAAAATGGAAAATAATGCAAAATAAATAAAACATTTAAAAAAATATTTTAAAAAAATTAGCATGTGTTCTTGAGTCACTGTGAAAAAGATATTAAATATACACTCTCTATAATTTCTAATGCATTTTCAGTATGAGTTTTCATATATTGTTTACCTTATTATGTAAAGGTTCTGGTTAACAAGACTTTATTTTAAAACGAAATGAATTTAAATCAAATTGAACTATATTTAGAACTTCAACCCCTCGGAAGGTGAGAACATATCTGGAAGCTGAGACTGAGAAAGTTGTCGTGTGAATTGAAATTACAAAATTTGAAGACAATAAAATATGATCGAAGAAACAGACATCTCACCACGTTAGAAGGAAAAACATGAGACCTCCAACGCAGACATTAAATGAGCATCATCGTGGTTATGAAGATTCATTTTCGAGATGCATATTGTTTTCTTCCAATGATATGCTGAATGTTTTAAGAATGCTTATTAAAAATATATATTTAATTTTAATCTTAAAACTGATAATAAATAATTCAAATTGATGAGACTTCTGAAAAGTAAATTATTTAATATGTTGAAAATTTGAAAGAGTTATAAATATTATATTTTTTAATAAAAATTTACAGATCTAAGGACTTGAATTCTCAAAGTTAAAATCGTTAAAAAATTAATATAAGATAAACAACACTCACTATATATTATTAAAAAAAATTTAAAACTACTTTTTTAAATTTGTTGTACTCGTGCTCAGTAGTAAATAATAAAAATCCATATACAACATTTTTTTCATTAAAAATCATAAGATATTACAAGATATAATATATTTATAACATTAAATGTTGTAAAATATAATTTCTTAACATGTGATATTATACACTGTTAAAAAATGAAATTTTTAATTTTAAAATATTTCATATAAATTAAAAAATTTAATATTTATTTTAGTAAAAAAATAATACTTAACTTTCTACCATACTCTTTGTCTTTTATATTGACTAGTATGTTCCTTATTTATTATTTTCTAACAAATAAATATATAGAAAATAAATATTCATTAATTATATAAAATTACAATAAAAATAAATAAAAGCATTATCATATAAAAAATACTCGTAATCTTTGATTTCTATCATGTTTAGATAAGTATATTTTAAAGAAAATGACTGTTTAATCCCTGAGTTACTACATACTAAACTTTTAATGTTTTTTTGTTTTAGGATATATTATTATTGTTGTTGTAGTGTTTTGAGCAACAGGCTTCAATGATCAATAGAGTTTTGCAATTGATATAGAAGCAAAACCTACTGGGTATCATTCTTCATGCTAACCCAATCAAAATATTGGGCTCACTGGCCCAGATTCTCCTACAGACATGATTGGAGACCCAAAAAAAACCAGAAGTAGAACATGTTTTTAGTTTTACTTACTTTGTGTAAAACAAAAACCTACGACCTTGATACCACCTATTTTTGCTATTAAAATTTTCTTATAATTGTTTTAATAATTTATATTCTAGATATATCCAGCAGAAAAGTGCTATTTTTAAATACCCCTTCCTCTTGTTGATCAGTAAAAAAGACGAACCTCACAGTGAGCAATACTATGATAACGTCACCACGAAGAAACTGTCACATAATGCTGTGTTAAATACGAAAAACAAAATCCCACCTTCTGAAAGTGGTATGTTTAAATCTAAGAAATATAAGATTAATCATGAAAATATATAGACCAAGAAAAAATAACGACTAATATAGTTGGAGAGAAGAAGAGTCTAGATATTTCAACGAATCCTGAGGTACGCCACGAGCATGCCACGCGCCCACACGTTGCTATCTTCACATCTTCACCACACATTAACGAACTTCCATAACTCCACGCACGCCCTTAACCTGAAACTTGAGACCCTTCCCTCACTCACTCACTCACTCACTCACTCATTCATTCATTCATTCATTCCCTGTTTCCTCTGTAACATCCTCGTCCTGTTTCCGAAACCTAGAACCATGTTTCTCAGAGCTGCTTCCTCTTTCTCTCTCCTCAACGTCAATGGCGATCACTTGCTCCCGCTGTTCAACTCTTCTTCGTTGCCCTCTGTTGTTGGCTACTCTCACGGAAAAAGTGGGAACAGCTTGGTTACCTGTGCCACCAAGGACTCCAATAACCGTCCCTTAACCGGCGTCGTTTTTGAACCCTTTGAAGAAGTGAAGAAGGAGCTCGACCTTGTTCCCACCATCCCACAAGCTTCCATTGCTCGCCAGAAGTACACTGATGAGTGTGAAGCTGCTATTAACGAACAGATCAAGTTGGTTCCTTTCTTTCCCTGCTTCAAAGTTTTCTCCTTTTTCTTTTCTTAATTAAAAAAAAAGAAAGTTCTAGTCTTTTTATTTATTTTTTTAGCTTTACTGGAAATTTATAACCCGTTAACTGTTTTTGATTAGCGTGAATTTGAATGGGTAGGAGGTTGAATAAATTTGTTTATTTATTTGTTTTGGGGTCTAAGATGTTTGATTGGCTTTACTTTAGTTTAGTTGTTCTAATATTTGTGTTTGTAATTTTGCAGTGTGGAGTACAATGTTTCGTACGTTTATCATGCGATGTTTGCCTACTTTGATAGGGACAATGTTGCGCTGAAGGGTCTTGCTAAGTAATGATTTGGTTCTCTTTGGGTTCTGTCGTTTGTTTTTATTTACCTTGTGAGGAGGAATTAATGATGGTGATGATTAACAGGTTTTTCAAGGAGTCAAGCGAGGAGGAAAGGGAGCATGCTGAGAAATTGATGGAATATCAGGTATAAATTACGCAGTTTCTGATCTCCTAGAATATTAAAGATGTTAGCTTTTAATCCTGTTTTTGAAAAAATGATACTAAATTATTTTTCTATGTGTTAACTGTTAATTTAACTTCCAGAACATACGGGGTGGAAAAGTGAAGTTGCAAGCTATAGTGATGCCAGTCTCTGAGTTTGATCATGTGGAAAAGGGCGATGCACTATATGGTTAGTGTGTCTCGCTTTCCCCTTTTTCCTTGTGTTTTATAATTGATATATGATAATAAAACTCGTTTCTTTTGAAAATCATTGAGCATTCATTTTTGTTTGATATTCGTGTTTTGGTTTCTTGGCGCAATTCATTTATCCACATACAAGCATTTAATGATTTGGAAGATATAGATCAAGCCTTCAAAACATTTTAAGATCACGGATAACAAATAAATAAGAAAAGCCAAAGTGAGTAAGATTCATTAAAATCCTCGATTTCCAATTTCATGTCTTTTAGTATCATGCTCCTTTGGATGCTATGCTCCCTTATCTTGAGCACAATCACCCGCATGAAATATTATATAAAATTAAATGAATTATCAATTCTGATTGATACTTGTTTATTTGCGCATCTTTAATTGATTCAGTTTGGAAGCACATTATTACTTACCATAATGTTGCATACAGATACAGAATTGTGTAATGCATAATGTGAAAGCTAACTTGTTCAAAGATTTTGCTTGGCCTGATGAACTTCCCCTATGAATTTTGTATATTCGAAACCAAACTCATTTTTGTTTGTTTGTTGTTGCAGCAATGGAACTTGCCCTTTCATTGGAGAAGCTAACAAATGAAAAACTGCTTAACTTGCACAGTGTAAGATAAATTTGTTTGTTCTTAGTTTTGGATTCACTGCATCTGTCAAATTAGAAAGGAAATTCATTTCTTTGATCATGTTATTTTTCAGGTTGCCTCAAAGAATGATGATGTGCAGTTGGCAGATTTTATTGAAAGCGAGTTTTTGGGTGAACAGGTAATTTGGTATTGTAATTGAGGAAACATTTTCTGTATTTTCACACGAAGAAATAATTACAAGTAATTCGCAAAACACCGCATATAAATTTTGTTAATCTAAACTCTGCACTCCCTTTTATTTGCTTAGGTGGAAGCCATTAAAAGAATTTCCGAGTATGTTGCTCAGCTCAGAAGAGTTGGCAAAGGACATGGTAAGAAATTCTAAAATAGCTACCTACAACTTTGTTCTAGAATTTATCTTTCCTATGTTGTTTCAAAGAAAGAAATCATATTAGCAAAAAAATGGAAACTAATGTTCTGTTTTATTTGATGGCATCGAATTTCAGGTGTGTGGCACTTCGATCAGATGCTGCTCCATGAGGAGGGAGTTGGTGCTTGATTACATTTTTTGTTCTTATCTTCTCTTGTTAGTGCATCTAGTTCTTAGGATTATTATTTTCAGGTTTTGTTTGCTAGAGATGTAATTGAACTTCATATGTGGAGTAACATTTGTCATCAATATTTACTGGCTGATCAATGCTATTATTTGTAAATCTTCTAAGTCAAACTTTAAAACTGAATTGACGGCAAGTCAATGCTATTATTTGACATATTGAAACTAATTATGTGTACAATTATTTGTTGTAATTATAGATTAATGGTTTTATATGTTGTGTACTTAAGTATAATAATCAGAATTCAATAACCACAATTATTTTTGCAATTTTTCTTTGTGAGGCATTTTATCAAATTCACGCTCCGCATCACATAATGCTTGCTGCATGAAGAGGCATTAATTCACACTGACAAAAATACACCACAGCTAAGAAGATATTAAAGGTTTTACCTAACTCGAATGGGAATTTTCACTATTTCGAGAGTAAGTATCAAAATGGGTAACAAGGGACATAAGCTAAAAGAGGGTAGATATTTTTATATTACAAATTAAGAGTTCATGAATTAACTTGGCTCGCTAAAAACTGATTTTATGTTTGTAGTAGTTTGAGCGCTGTACCAATCTTAGTACTAATAAGAGTAATGATAAATTTATAATTTTTGTATAATTAAACTTAGATAAAAGATAAAAAAAAAATCATTTTTATAATAATATTTATTTATTACATCATTCATCTAGTTATTTTTTTATGTCCTTTTAATTTGAAAAAAGAAATAAAAAAAATTGTTGGAAGAGAAATTGTAGAAGCAATAACTTGCCATTGGCGAAGTGACGTAACGAAGTATCATTAACTTTTCTTTGTTGGTTTGGGGGTGAGTAGGAAAACGGGGCACAAACATTATAAATGCTTTAAGCGGTTCCAATTGGAAGGTTGAAGAAGCAAAGAGAGAATGAAGAAACGTATGCCTTATGTTCTGCTAATATTCCTTTGGGTGTTACGCTATTCAAGCGCTGAAGAAGCTTTCGATGTTCGCAAACATCTCTCCACTGTCTCTAGGTCTGTATTTCACTTCCCCATCACTAATTAAATCGCTCTTTTTCCTTCTGTTTACGCTCACCATTTCCACAACGCATTGTCAAACATTTTTGTTTGATCTTTCAACTAACATGTTGTGGAACTTTCTGGATGCTTCTTCTTCTTTTTTAAGAAAATAAATTCTCTTTTGTCGCTTGATTATGGACCTTATCGAAGTTTGTAACGGGCTTAGATTGATTAAATTGCACGTATTTTCTCCGCAGATATGGTGTTGTGAAAGACGTGGCTGACAATAACTTCGTACCTTCTAAGATTCCCGAGGGATGTATTCCGATCCATTTGAATCTTGTGGTAATTTTCTTCACAATTTGAGGATAATGGTTTTCATTTATTATGAAGGATGTTTTACAATACACTTCAGTTCTTGTACATTTTACAACGATTCTTATTTTGTGATTTTCTTGTCTATGTTATTTGCATGAGAACTGTAGAATGGTGCTGTATGAAATGTTAGTCGTTTCTATAAAGTACAGCTTGTTATTATTGACATTTCATGGTTTTGGAACTGTTTGGAATTGCTTCTCGACCTAATGAAAGCGGATGATGATGCTACTTTATGTACATAGGCAAGACATGGAACTCGTTCTCCTACAAAGAAAAGGATAAGGGAGTTGGATAATTTGTCAGCTCATCTGGAAGTTCTAGTAAAAGATGCAAAAGAGCGAAAATTGCCTTTGGAGAGAGTTCCTTCCTGGCTAAATGGATGGAAATCTCCTTGGCAGGGAAGGCTTAAGGGTGGTGAGTTAATTAGCAAAGGAGAGGAAGAATTATATGATCTCGGAATCAGAATTGCAAAAGAGTTTCAAAATTTGTTTGATGAGGAATACCATCCAGACATATATCCTATTAAGGCAACTCAGGTGAGTTTATCTTCTTCTTTTTTTTTGGCTGTTTGGGTAAATTTTGATGTTTTAAATTATCTTGCTACCTCAATTTGCACGACTAATGATTTTGGATGAGCTGACCCAAAGGAAAAAAAGTGCGTTGTTTTGAGTTGATGAGTGAATGCTAAGAGATGATGTTGATTAGTTGCAGTGCCACTGTATTATTAACTGCAATATAAGAAACGGATTTGATTGTGTACATTTAGAAGCTACAAATATGTTTAACTTGAACATTTATCTTATGTGGAAAATAGGTTCCCCGAGCATCAGCTAGTGCTGTGGCATTTGGAATGGGACTTTTCAGTGGCAATGGAAGTCTTGGACCTGGGAATCATCGAGCTTTTGCTGTTATAAGTGAAAGCCGTGCTAGTGACATCCTGCTGAGATTTTATGACTGCTGTCATAACTACAAGGTATGTTGTGTAGCCATCCTTGATTTCTAAGGAGAACTTTTAATGCAACACTTGCATGTGTATCTGACACAATTTCATGTAATCATAGTTAGCCAATTTCATACATTTTAATGTCTATTTGAATATCACCCGTTTGCCATATAATTCTTGATAACCATGCTTTTGTGTCTGCTCCTTTAGTGATAAATTTGTTTCCCTGTTGCTGGAAGGTACTTTTTGTTTATAGTCTTATCCTGCAGCACCATTCATTTATTTTAAACAAATTGAAATTTCCATATTTGTCTCGTAAAGCCATCATTGTTTGAATGTGAAAGTTATGTGTTTTCAAGAGTCTATATGAAGTTAAATGATAGGCAGCATACATAATTACTAATTGGTAAATATTTGAGCGTGAAAGATTGGTTAATTGGACATCTTTTGATCTTCAGTGTTCTTAAAGGTAGTATTTGAGCATTGCTCTCCCGACCTTTCCTGTTTTTGGGTCTAGTTATATAATTTCTTGAGTTATGGGAGCAGGATTTTAGGCAAAGGCAGGAACCTGCAGTTGATAAACTTAAGGAACCTATCTTGGATGAGATTACATCTGCATTAGTTGGGCGCTATGGGTTGAACTTTACAAGACAAGATACATCTTCTCTCTGGTTTTTGTGCAAACAGGTGATTACAATTCTTTATTCCAGATCCTTTTGGTTTTCACAGTTTCACCATCTTCTTTTTAGAGTTCATAAATAATAGTTTAACTGATGTTATGGAAATTTATTATTTTCTTTTCTTACTTTTCAATTTCCCAATATATGGTTATTTTGACAGGAAGCATCCTTGTTGGATATAACGAATCAAGCATGTAGTCTTTTCAGCCCTTCTGAGGTAATTTTGTAGTCATGACTCATGACTTGAAGTGATGCAACTGTGATCTAATACTCAAAATTTTCCACTTTACTTTTCTGTAATTATATAAATATAGAATAAAAAAATAATAAAGATGTCAGTAAATTATTTAATTTGGCCATATCAAATATGAAAGCCAAGTTTTGAGTCTTTGATGTGATGTTTTAAGCAATATGTTATTGATCTTGTAATAAAACTGAAATTTCCATTTAAAATGCTATGCCAAATAAAGTAACTACTGTTGAGTGGACAGAAAAAAATAGTTTAGCTTTTCCCCCTTACGATCAAGGTCCATGTTAGCTCATGGCAACATTTTATTATGCTAATATATGCTGCATGTTTATTAAAATGTTAATTTCTGTGTACATAGATTGAATTGCTGGAGTGGACAGATGATCTAGAGGTGTTTATTCTCAAGGGTTATGGTAAATCACTAAACTATAGAATGGGAATGCCGTTACTTGAAGATGTTGTTCAATCCATGGAACAGGCTATTAAGGCTAAAGAAGGTAGTTTAGTTCTGTAATTTTAAGCATGTACTTGTATATTGTTGTCTAACATGCCATATCCTGTTAATGAAACATGAAATATTCATGCATGGATTAGCCTTTTCAGGTAAATCATATATTAAAGTTGTCTTGTCCAAAAATACCTTAGGCATGGCATGCGTATGGCAAGCTCTATCTAGCATGCACACACACTTGTGCATGCACACACACACAGTCATTTGACAACCATTGACAAGTATCTTCTCAGCCAAGAAATTTATTGCAATATATTTAACTAAGGAAGTCATTTCTTGGTAGTTGTAAGTACAGTGAAAAGATGCATCTCGTTCTAGTACAACTTTAAATTGTTTCCTGGTTTATAAGAAAATGTACCATGTTAATTTTACGGTTGTCTTTGTATGCACATTCACCATGTAATTTGCATTAACAAATAGAATGTAATTTTGCACTGGTTTATGATATTTAAATTGTATGTAATTTGCTTCTCATTGTTTCAATTTTTTTGTATGGCTTGTGTATTAATAAAACTGGGTCAAACTCTCATCCCGATGCTGATTATATATACATTTGTGTCCGCCCCACTTGCTTAATGTTTGTTGTTTGAAATTATATAGCAAATGCAAAATTAGCAAAGAGGTTTCTTTTTTACTTTAAGATGACTGTTTCTCCTTTTGAAGTTGTCTCTTGAATATGTGAACCTTTGACTCATTTACACTCTTGATATCATCTGTAGAAAGACATGCTCCTGGCAGCTTTGAAAAGGCAAGACTTCGGTTTGCACATGCTGAAACTGTAGTTCCATTCTCATGTCTACTTGGGTTATTTCTTGAAGGATCTGGTGAGGTTTTATAATCTTTGCTTGAATAAATGTACACAGAATTACAAATTTTTTTTTTGAGTTTTTACTACTAAGAAGTAGTGAGAGTGTTGCTTATAGGTCTTCTCTTTTGATGATGTACAGAGTTCAAAAAAATTCAGGAGGAGCAACCTTTGGAGCTCCCTCCAAAGCCTCCACTGAAAAGAAAATGGCGGGGTAACACTGTGGCTCCTTTTGCTGGTAACAATATGCTGGTTTTGTATAGTTGTCCTGCTCCAGACAAATCTACAAGCAAGTACTTTGTGCAAGTGTTACACAACGAACACCCTGTACCAATGCCAGTAAGCTTTTGTTGTCTTAATTTTACCAATGGTTTATTTGCAAATAGCTGGTTATAGTCTGGATGTTGTAGGATTCCACTGCTTGTTGTTTAACATCATTATGCTTCTGTTCATCAATAACAGTTTTTGTCATCATATACAGGGTTGCGATGGCTCTGATTTCTGTCCATTTGAAGTATTCAAGGTATTTGTATAATCCCACTCCAATACACCATGATCAATGTGTAATGTTAACTATGGAATCTTTTAAATTCAATATTCTTATTTCTGTGAGTTTTCTCCACAGGAAAAAATAGTTGCACCTCATCGGAAACATGACTACCATACAGTCTGTAATGCAGACCTAGAGCAGAAGCCCTCTGGCGGCAAGGCTTTTCAAATATTTCAGTGGCTTTCCTCACTTGGGAAAGGTGATAAGTACCCTAAAGATGAACTTTAGTTTGTTTCCTAGGAAAGGAGTCTCAATTCTTAAGTTTTTTGTTTCCTTGGTGATGCCTCTTAACAAATTTCCAGACATGAGCACCTATTCCTCATAGGAGAGAATCAATTTTACTTACTGTGCTGCCTGTACAGGAATGCCTTTGTTATCTTAAAGCTTGGTGCTTGAGCCCTCCTCTTCTGTAGCATCTAACACCAGAGAATTTTGAGGTGGAAAGCTGAGTTCTAAATGTCATTTTTCTTTTTCCTATGATAGCGTGACTCTCAGTACTGGACTGATTCCAAAGATGGTTTATCTTGATGTGTCATATTTCGTGCACACATGGTTTCCTTAGCACCACTCTCTTGAACTCCAGTTTTGTTCTTTTTGATTAGTAGATACTGGACCAGCGAGCTTCTCTGACCAGTAATGATTGTGCTTTTGTGTGTGCTTCTTGTATGAGCTGCTGTGGATAAATGATATGATTTTACGAGACAAATAATCATAGTGTGATGCATGACTCGCTTGCAACAATGTCGTCGCCAGGAGTAACATTTACCAATACATTTCTGTAGCTGACAACTTCATTAGAATAACACACGCTCCGGTGCTAGGCTTCGTGCCTTTTTGGCATTTTAGAAGAATCAATCTCTTATCCTAACACATTTTAATGTGAATTTTATGAATTTTATGGTTGGTTGATTTGGTCACATATTTTAGTTTTGTTCAAATTACATATTATAATTATATTCAACAGTTTAAAATTAATTTTATCAAATTTTATAACAAATTGATCCGTCGTCGTTCAAGAAACTGAATTAATCTGTATGGACACAAGCAAAGTTGTTCGACAAGCAATTGATCTCTACTTCGAGAGACACTAATTACATGCGTGTATTATTTCAATGTGCGACAGTTGGGTAGAGCCCTCTAGCTTCAGAAATCCACTTTCTCCTCTCGATTGTAGCACTGGCCCGCGTCTCATCCATACTTACACTTTTGGCCTATTCGCCCGCGAATGATTTGTTTAGGTAGAGAATAAAAATAAGAGAAATTTTACTATTAGTGATACACTAATAAATTTTTAATCATTGGTTAAATTTATTAAAAATTATAAAATGAATGTAGAATTTATTCTTGATTTAATGTTTTTTTATTCATTTTATAGTCTTTAATAAGTTTTAATTAATAATTAAGAATGTATTAGAATCTCTGTCGAAAACACTAAAAATAATTCAAGGAATGAGGTGGAGAAATAATCTTCCAGCAACCGTTAAAAGTGGCTGATTATTTGTAGTTATTCTTAGCAAGAACCTTCAATCATTTATCAATGTCCGAGCAAGAATTGTAGGAAGTCTGAGTTATTAGGCCATGATCATAATGTGCCATCCTAAGGCACCTCATTTTATCCAATTCCTGACATCATTCCATACGACATATCTAGTGTGAACAGTAAATTGAAGAACAGCATAAGTCTCCTCTAAACAAGTCAACTAAAAATATTATAATTCTAAAAAAAAAAACTTTAACATGATTTTCTCAATAACAAAATAAAGCTTTTATTGAAGAGCCATAAAACAAAAAACTTGCAAGGACATTCTATATCTTTTTTAAATTGACAATTGTGATACTCTAATATTTTAAAATTTAAAAAATATTTATAAATTTTTATAATGAACTATTAACTTTAATTATCTATTATAAATGTTTAATATAATATTAACGATGATAATTATTTTACGTATGAAAAAAAAAATAGAATATTCTCTTAATTTTTATGACATAATAAAATTTTGATGATTTTTATGGTACCTTATAAATTAAGAGATATGTGAAATAATTATTACTTTTAATTTTGTATTAAATATGTATAATAATAGAGGTTAATTATATACTTAGAAAAGACATGTCTTTTAATTTTTAAAATATTAAAGAAATTATTATTAATTTAAAGACAGTATAATTCAAAATATTTACAAAATACTATACCAATCACCTAAAGTTATTGGAATGCTCTTAAACTTCTCAGCATTTACGACTTTACGTGGACTACAGAAACGATGACGTTTGAACCATTTTTTCCTCATTTGGTCTACAAACAATCGGGCTGAAATTAATTGGGCTACTTGGATTCGCTTTTAGGCTTAGATTCTGACAAACTAATTAAAAGCCCAATAACGTAGAATGTATTTATCTCTTCTTCTCTCTCGGCGAATCTTTCTTTTCCGCTAATCGCCACTCTCACAGAACAAAACCCTCACTCACCGCTTTCAGAGAAGAAAGGGGTGCGTGCGTTAGCGTGAGTGAGAAAGAGGGAGAGAGACGCACAAAGCTCGTAACGATGGCTCCGAACCTGGAATGCAGGATGTATGAAGCGAAGTACCCGGAGGTGGACATGGCGGTGATGATACAGGTGAAGAACATAGCCGACATGGGAGCGTACGTGTCGTTGCTTGAGTACAACAACATCGAGGGCATGATCTTGTTCTCCGAGCTGTCACGTCGCCGGATTCGGAGCGTGAGCAGTCTCATCAAGGTTGGTCGAATCGAACCTGTTATGGTGCTTCGTGTTGACAAGGAAAAGGGTTACATCGATCTGAGCAAGCGCAGGGTCTCCGAAGAGGACATTCAGGCCTGTGAGGAAAGGTACAACAAGAGTAAACTCGTTCACTCTATCATGCGCCACGTCGCCGAGACCTTGAGTATCGATTTAGAGGTACCGATTGTACTAAACCCCCAATGTTTCGAGTGTTGATTCGTGTTTCCACTGAAAGTGGATTTTTCTAGGAAGAGAGATTGATTGGAGGTGTTTGAATGTTTCTTAGATGAAATAGAATGCGTGCCTTAGTTAGATAAGAATCAATTGAAGCATGTAGTCTTTTTCTGGGTTTCGTTGATACTGTTGACAGACTGTGGAGTTTGGTTGTAAAACCTCTAAGATCACCTACCAGGCATTTGTTTTAAAGTGATTGTTTCTAATGCTTGCTAAATGGATTCAATTGTGAATGATAATTTTGTAATTATTATGCTTTTAAGAGTTTTTGCTATAGCCTATGGTGGACAAGGAGCACCTATATGTGTGTGTGTGGGTGATGGGGTTTAGAATCAACAAGAAGCTTTTTCAAAAACTTTCCATCTCCCCCCTCCCCCCGTTTAGATCATGAAGAATATCTTAATTATCTCAGCTGAAGATGTTTCATACTCATAATTGTTGAGGGCTTAGAGGAAAGGGAATTGGGTTGAGCTACTTTAAAATTATAACTGACCACTGTTTTACTTTCTTGCCTTTATTGCTATTTTTTTATTTTACTATTATATTTCTTTATCATCTCCTTTATGATGTTTTATCTTCTAAACATGTTTTCCCATTAGTTATGTTAAGAGAAAAGGGTTCCAGAGAGAAATCCTTATTTCTGTAGAGAAGTCTTCTTTATAATAGGGACGAATAGTATAAATGAGTGTGCAATACAATTGATGCCTATATGTTTACAGAACATTAATTATAGTAACTAATATCTAAACAAGTTTTTTCATTGTATCTTTCAGCACGTAGTCAATTACTCGTTTTCTGTATCATATCATTTGTATTATTAAATATTTTCCTTTTCCTGGTGCCACTATTTCAGTTTTATATATTGAACTAAATTCAATTGGCTCTGTGCAGGACCTCTATATTCACATTGGATGGCCTTTATACCGCAAGTATGGTCATGCTTTTGAGGTAAGCATCCTTTTTATTCTTTGATGGTTCTCTGACTTGTATTTATTTACTGAATAAAATTTGTTTCATGCAGGCTTTCAAAATTATTGTTAATGATCCTGATTCTGTTTTGAATACTCTCACCCGTGAAGTCAAGGAAGTAGGCCCTGATGGGCAAGAGGTAAACATTGTAATCGGAGAAATATTTATAACATCTCATAAATCTTTTTGATGACTTAACATATTTGTTATTGTCCCCATAGGTAACTAAGGTGGTACCAGCTGTTTCAGAAGAAGTGAAAGATTCTCTTGTAAAGAATATTAGAAGACGAATGACACCCCAACCCTTGAAAATTAGGGCAGATATTGAAATGAAATGTTTTCAATTTGATGGAGTTCTTCACATTAAGGTCTTAATTGTTTTTGTTCCTCCCCATTTTTATTTTGGATAAAAATGCCCTCTTTTCTTCTAAGCATTTACTTTGTTACACCGATGTGTTAGTTATTAACTGCCTACAGCTTATATTCCATAGTGTTCTCAGGTTTTACAATCACTTGATTATGCAGGAGGCTATGCGTAAAGCTGAAGCTGCTGGGAATGATGATTGCCCCGTCAAAATTAAACTTGTTGCTCCACCACTTTATGTTCTTACTACTCAGACTCTTGATAAGGTTAGTGCATTCTTCACATAAATTTTGATATGGTGATTGGCTTTGACCTGAATTGAGTTTCTGCTTTGAAGATTTTGTTTCAATTTTTATAATTTTTGGACATGAATTGTCGATATTTTAGGTTGTGTTTGATTGTTTAGCTAGGTTAGCGGTTTTTTTTTCTAATTATGATTGCCGTATAATCTATTCATCTGGTGACAACCTAAGAAGTATTTGCCTACAATTTGCTGCTGTAAAATTATATTGCTCTGTTGTGGATTTGCTTTTAAAGGTGGTGAAATATAAGTAAATAATAAAATAAAACTCAAGGGATTATCTGTTTCAAAAAAATTTTTAGAAGTGTGTGTTGAAAATGTTGTGATTTATTGTGAAAATGTTACTTTTTCTGTTATAATCAATTCATAGTTATATCTTTTGTGTGGGGAACTTTATTGATACTTAACTTTGAGATAGTAAAAAAAACCCATGGATTAGTAAAAACAAAACCTGAGCATGTGAATAGTACAACTGTTGGACGCCATTACATATATGGTGTCCAGTATCTCTACAGTTGGCAGTTATAGATTTGAATTAAAGGGTCCAGTTGATAACCTTGCTAATGAAAGTAATTTGTGTATTTTTCAACGGTATGACAGGAGCAAGGAATATTGGTTCTCAACAATGCCATTACTTGCTGCAATGAAGCAATAGAACAACACAAGGGCAAACTTGTAGTAAAGGAGGCACCTAGAGCCGTGAGTGTCAACTTCCTCCATATTTGTTTCCTTGATCCTCTATATTTGTCTGTCCTTTTACAAACTTGTAGAATACTAGTACTTTCTCTTTTGAGAGGTTTAACACTGCATTGTGATTCAGGTGAGTGAACGTGATGATAAACTGCTGGCTGAGCACATGGCTAAGCTACGCCAAGATAATGAGGAGGTTAGTGGAGATGAAGACAGTGAGGAGGAAGAAGATACTGGAATGGGCGAGGTTGATGTGGAGAACAATGGTTCTGGGATAACGGAGTGACAAAAAACTTGTGGGTATAGCAACGCATAGATAGCAGAAAACGGCTTTACTAATTTTGTCTTTGTTTTATTCTTTTCAAACTGTTTTTAAATGCAGTTGTATAATACAAAACTTAAATTACTGTATGTTGAGATGTCCTGTAACTTGCGAAGCGATTTTGGAGTTTCTTGAAGAGCGTGTTCTACCCAAACTAAGGAGTTTACAATTAATTTAAAAACGCTACCATCGCTCTCTCTTCCAATGTTATTTACGTGGTTGGCTATTGATTACTAGATATTAGTTGAACGTAAATTCTCTTATACTAACACGCAATTATCCATTCTTAATCATAATATCAAAGAAAGTTGCATTTGTTTGTGAATAGGGGCTTGAACTATCCTCAATCCTTTTGTCCTTCCTGTGTTACATTACAACTGCGTTAGCTAGCTTTGATCCCCTCATCGTGGATGTACGCAATTATATCGAAGCTATATTTTTCTGTGGAGGTAGCGAATAAACTTGGAAAATACTAAATGAGATTAGATGCAAGTACTAAGGAATCAATGGAATTGAACTGTGCTGGGCTTTTTTATGGAACCCTTGATCAGACCTCTAAAACCTTGATAATGGCTCACTTGTATAAAACCAGACTATTTCTTTAATGTGCGAAGTAGTGAGAGATATTGGATTCGGGAACATTATCTAGCTCGGTGCAACCCTCAAGTGTTCGTGCGGGACAAATTTCAGTCTGTCTTCATGGTTCTTTCTCATTATGGCAAGGTTCTAGTGAATTAATAGTTTTTTTTTTAAAGTCACATCTTTTATATTTTAATCTTTTATAATAAAATTGAATTATTAATATTATATTTTTTCAATTTTCCATAAATTCTCATTTGATGTCTGATTTATATGCACATGTACAAATACACTCACACATACAAACGTATATACAAACGTATATATGTATTATGCATGTGTAGGTTTAGGATCAACATTTTTCATGCATTTGCGTTTGCTAAATAAGATATGTTAATTTGTTGGTCTTTCTCCAAAGTCATTTGATTCAAGTTAGGATTAAAACTTTATTAAAGGATTGTTAAGTATTTTGTCACTTGGATAACAGGTGTTTGTTAATCATGTGTTTTCTTTGCTTTATCGAAGTTATATATTTGTATATTTACACAAGCTATATAATGAGTTAAATTTAATTAGGATAAAACGATTTGAAAAAATAAATGGGGATATGCCAACCCGTAATGATAATGAAAATTTTCATGACGGTGAATCAAAAGTTTGTGTGAAGCATTATTATTATATATAAAGTAAATGCCGACAAAATGACAGAATAGCTAAGTGGAAGTTGTCAAATGTGATGTGTTAAGCGGGGAATTGCCATAGGTCAGGATCTTGGAGTCTTGAGTCTTCTGCCTCTGCCAACTGAGATTGACACAACATATCAGTTCTGTTCAAGATTTAGATCACACCATTTCAGTTCCTTCATGACAAGACAAACCCATCAATTGAAAGACAACCTTTGATCCACACGTGTGTCTCTTTCTTTCACTCTCTCCTTTTTATTACACAATTTAAATTTGGCAGTATCTGCTATATCAAGAATGGCAATTTCAGTTGAAAGCCTCTTCAAAGAGAAAAAATACCCTTTCATTTTTACCTTCTTGGTCTTGCTCATTTTTGTCACCATCCTCCTCCTCACCAACAACGCCACCACCACCTTCGATCCAATTTCCTTCTACCCTGATGATGTCAAAGTCAAGCAACAACCACCCCACAACCCTGCCCCTTCACTGCCCCGAAACCTGACCAAGATCACAGTTTCCAAGGATCAAGGAATAATGCCTTTTGTTAATGTTTCTATGAATATGGATTGGAGGCTTTGTAGGGGTGCTGTGGCGGTAGATAATATACCATGTTTGGATAATCTTAAGGTCATTAAGGCACTGAGAACAAGGAGGCACATGGAGCATAGGGAAAGGCATTGTCCTGATCCTACTCCCCGCTGTTTGGTGCCCCTTCCCAAAGGGTATAAAGTCCCCGTTCCGTGGCCTAAGAGCAGGGACATGGTGAGATTGATACTTAACTTTGGTAAGAAAATTTCTGGTTTTTAATGTTTGCTTGGTTGATTGCATGTGATTTTTTTGGTGGTGTGGTGAAAATGCATGATGCCTTTGATTATATGTGGCGGTATGTAAGGAAAGGCTGTTTCAAAATTCAATCTATTGATATTAGCCAAAGATAATATAGTAGCCTTAATTGGATATGCTTTGTGGCTCCACTTTGCCCTTTTAGTAATGTGTTTCTGGTTGTGGCTTTCAGATTTGGTATGATAATGTTCCTCATCCAAAGCTTGTTGAATACAAGAAGGAGCAACACTGGGTTGTGAAGTCGGGAGAATATCTTGTCTTTCCAGGAGGTGGTACTCAATTCAAAGAAGGAGTTAACCATTACATTGAGTTCATACAGAAGGTATATTGTGTCATGTGGCTTCGAAGGACTTAACCAATAACCATGATTTTGATGATGTTCTTGAATGATTACTACGTTCTGTAGTTTTATGAATGTTTTTTAATTTATGCTAGACACTACCAGCAATCCAATGGGGAAAGAATATCAGGGTTGTTCTTGATGTTGGTTGTGGAGTCGCTAGCTTTGGTGGCTATCTTCTGGACAATAATGTCATTACCATGTCATTTGCACCAAAGGATGAGCATGAAGCTCAGATACAGTTTGCTTTGGAACGTGGAATTCCTGCTACTCTTTCTGTCATTGGAACCCAGAAGTTGACATTTCCTGACAATGGGTTTGATTTGATCCATTGCGCAAGATGCAGAGTGCATTGGGATGCAGATGGTACTTGTTGTCCTCTGAGTTTTCACTTACAAGTTCTTTTTGTGTTTTCTTTAACTAAAGTGTTTGTTCACAACTATGATCGTGACTTTAGGTGGGAAACCGTTATTTGAGCTCAATAGGATTCTTAGACCTGGTGGTTTCTTTGCATGGTCTGCAACACCAGTTTATCGTGATGATGATAGAGATCGGAAAGTATGGAATGGTTTGTTCCTCACTCCCCATGCATATGCCTCTGTTTGTCATTTTGAAAAGATTGTCTGACACCCTTTGAAGTGTATATACACCCTATTGATTCTAGCTAGGGTCCTATCAGCACTTATGTCTAAGAAAAAAAATAAAATTATTTTTATCTAACATGGGGGATTATGATTCCTTGAAGAATGTTAGAAGGCATGCAAATTCTTCTAATGATGTATGTTCTGGTCCTTGTTTTCTGCAGCAATGGTGACTGTAACAAAAGCAATGTGCTGGACTGTTGTGGCCAAGACTCTTGATTCATCTGGAATTGGGCTTGTTATATACCAGAAGCCTACCTCATCTTCCTGTTATCTGGAACGCAAAGAGAATACTCCTCCTTTGTGTGAAAATAACCATAGGAAAAATATCTCATGGTACATGTAATATATTTCTTTTGACATTTATATTTGCACCAAATTTTATTCCTCTGCAATGCCAACATAAAAAGAAAGTAATTTAGTAAAATTTTTGCTACTGTTTGTGTTGATGTTTTAGCTTTTTGACGTGTATATACAATATGTGATGGACTGAACATTTATACATCAATTTTTAACATATATTGTTCAAAAGGAGATCATAGAAAATGGTCATGAACCATTACTAGCAATACTAAACATATTATTACCGTTTGCGTTAGTTTAATTTCAACCTTTGCTTAATTTTCTTTGCATAATGATGGTTAGGTATGCCAAACTCAGTGGTTGCCTAACTCCTCTTCCAGTTGATGGTGAGGGTAACCTGCAGAACTGGCCCATGCCTTGGCCCCAGAGGCTCACCAGTATACCTCCAAGCTTATCCATGGAATCACATGCCAGAGACATGTTCCTCGAGGACAGCAAACACTGGTCCAATTTAGTTTCAGACATTTATAGAGATGGTCTTTATATAAACTGGTCAAGTGTTCGAAATGTAATGGACATGAATGCCGGTTATGCAGGGTAAAGTATAATTAATTAGAATTTAGCCTTTTTATTGTTCTTCCATTTGAATTCCTAGTAGAATATGGTTCTCATTTTGAAATTCTTGAAAATCCATATGCTTGTGCTCTCTTGCATACCCATTATACCTAGCAACACATTCTTCAATACACTTTTCGTTGGTCAGTGGGAATCTTTTGTTACAATTGATATCGATTATTTAAGAATCGAAGTCAATTTGTTTTATCTATTTAAAAATTCAAAGTAATTTTAAAAAATATTAATTTATGTGTCAAATGCTTTGAGTTTTAAGAAAACTGATTAATGTTTTGAAGAGTGAGTTCATAGCGTTTCTTTTATATTTATAGCCTTATTATGCCACTCTTCTTGACATTACTTGTCATTACGTCAACTCAAATTTGCTGATTACTTGTTTTTAACTGATACTAAGCACTTTTTTTATTTCAGATTTGCTGCAGCCCTCATTGAGCTCCCTGTCTGGGTGATGAATGTGGTACCAATTGATATGCCAGATACTCTTACTACTATATTTGACAGAGGGTTAATAGGAATGTATCATGATTGGTGTGAGTCCTTGAATACCTATCCTCGCACTTATGATCTTGTTCATTCTAGCTTCCTCTTCAAAAATCTAGATCAAAGGTATGCTTATAGAGGAAATTATAGCCTATAACTGATATTATGAGTCCTGTCCTTTCTCTTATTTATCTTTTAGAACAACATTAGTTTTGCTCTACCATATTTAGAACAAAAAGTGTCAAGTTATGATTCTCACGTTTTGGTATAATCTTTGTCAGATGTGACGTTGTAGATGTGGTTGTGGAGATAGATCGCATATTGAGACCAGATGGGTATCTCGTGGTTCAGGATTCTATGGAAATAATTAACAAGCTTGGTCCAATCTTGAGTTCACTTCATTGGTCTGTAACATTGTATCAACATCAGTTTCTTGTTGGTAGGAAGAGTTTCTGGCGTCCAAGGCCATAGAAACTGAATGATGAATGGGTTGCTTATCATATTATTTTATTCTAATACAGATAAAATCAAAAAATTATAGGTCAAATTTAAGGAAGGTAGATTTGTCAGGCAATCACTCTCTCTGAGTGAGAATTTTGTAGATGAATATTTATTTACATACTCATAGATAAATATTGAGAAGATTATTATTCTTTATAGAAAATATACCTAGTCAAAAAAATATTTAGTATTTTTTTATGGTTAAGATTAAAGATTTTTAAACTCCTATGATCTCTTTAAAAACTTTATATTGTTTTTTATATTTTAATCTTAATAATTCGTAATAAGATTTAAGCATCAATGTTCTAGCTATTCCTCTCCCATGAATATTTGGAGATGCTGGCAACATGCTCTGTATGAAAAAGTTGCCTTTATTAACACAAAATTGATGGAAAACAAATCTGAGAAGGAAACTCCTCTGAGGGTACTACTTTGACAAACATACTCCTCTTGGCAGGGTATATGTTCAACTCAAATCTGAATACTTTCTAAATAGAAAATTAAATATTATTTTATCAATTTTTTTAACAATAAAATTTTTAAAGTTGATTATATATATATATAGAAGTTGTAATTATGAAAATAGCATGAATCATATTTGTGTGTTTTCATTGAATAAATGTTTTTTTCTGCTTTCATTACTACTTTTAAGAATATTTCAACTAAATCATATATAGATTAATAAAATTTGGTATAATTAATTAATATACTAAATTTTAAAAAATGATTATAATATTCTTATAAGTTTATTTCTATTTAAAGTTGAACTTTGTTATCATTTTAATTATTGAGAAATTAAAAAGATTTAATACTTGTGAAATATAAATATAAAAATTAAATATTTTTAAAACTTCGCAAAAAACTTATATTAAGTGCCATAAGAAATTTTATAATAGTTTTATAATAGATTGGGGGAAGTAATGAAAACTTTTCACGTTAGGTATTTAAAATAAATCTTAAAAAGTTTTATTAATATTTTCTTTTTAATAGTCAAAATTTATATCGAGGTTCGACATATTGATAAATAAAATCTTCATTTCGAACTCATGTGTTTTAATTAGCGGATGATGGAAGCCAAACAACAATTCCAAGCTCAACATATATCTATCATCAATACCTAGTAACCAATTGGTTTTGGACGTCGCTTATTATTATTATTATTATCGTGGTGATTGTCAACATTTTATTATATACAAATTATAATAAAATGAAAGATACGTCAGAAAAATCTTAAGATGTAACTTTTGGCTTACCCATTACTTGAAGCATGTCTAAATACAGATAGCTATCATAATTAATGGGTTATACAAATATTTATAATTTAAATAAATTCAAACAATATAAAAATTAAATTTGAGATGGAAAATAAACTTAAATATAAAAATAAATTTCAAAAATAATTAATAATTTAAAATTATACATATATACATATATGACATTTTCTCATGTGATCAATATTCGAATTTATAATGAATTGTTAACTAACTTTTTAGATTTAAATATTTAATTAATGTCATTTTAACACGAAAAATGATTTACTTTTAAAGTATAGTATTTTATTGAAAAACATTTACTATATTAGAAATAATGTATTTTTTCAATAAAAAATTTCTTCTTTTACATACTAAATATTTTAAAATATATATATATTAAAAAATTTTATAAGGGGTTTTGATTATGTGAACAACCCAGTTATAGTGTACTGTTTATCACTGTATGTAGACACATTTGTCATAACATGAAACAAACAAAATTATTTATGCAATAAATATCTATATATTTTAATATTAATTTTTCTTAATGTGCCTTTAAGTGTACACAATCAAAATACACATAAAAATGTTTATTATAAATTATAAAATTTAATAAATTAATAACATTAAATATGATTATTTTTAATAAAAATTTATTTATTTATTTATTAGTACATTGTACTCATTTAAAGAAATGATTTCAATGAAAATTTTCTGAATAAATACACATTTTAATTAGTCCTTCAAATTTTATCTGTCAATCACTTTAATTCTTTAACTTTAAAAAGAAAATTTATTTTAATCTCTTTCTGTATAAAATAATAAAAAAACTAAACTGAATAATTTAAAAAATATATAAAATAAAATAAATATTTTTTTATAAAATCAACAGCTAAAACGATTCATACTTATAGTTTAAAGAGTCAAAATAATTTTTTTAACCTTTTACTTTTCTGTCTTTTAAAAGTGATGTCAACAAAATTAAGAAAGAAACTTTAATTTGGATACCATTCGAGGTATGAAGGTTGAACTACATAGCTTGTCCCAATTGATTTGTTTCCTATACAATAAAAGTGTGTATAAAACAAATAAAAAGCAATATATAACTTAAAACGAGATAAATTTTAGAAATAATTTAATTTAAATTATGCATAAATACACACACCAAAGAGTGAAGAATCATTTCTCTCTATTTGATGGTTATGTTTTTCTCATAATATATGTATAATAAATTATTTGATAAAAAATAATTATATTGTTTCATTATATAAGAGTATGAAGTCTTTATTGGTACAAAGTGAATAATTCAATTCTTTATACTCCCGTCAAAAGCATAATAAATAATATTTATTATGTTAACATTTTATCATTACTTTTTATAATTATGTAATCTAAATAATTAATTAATATTAATTAAAATAAATTTAAGAAAATCTAACAAATTAAACTCTAAACTTAAATATCATGAAATCGCAATTAATTTTACCATTTCCTTTTTTGAGACAAAATCCAGTTCTTATCCATAAATTAATCAAATAAAACATCCTATCTTATCTTTTTATAAAAATCACTATTAATATTTTTTTAATTACAATTTTTTATATACAATAATTATTAAAAAATATATTCATATCTATTATAAAATTTATATTAATGAAATATTCACTTATTATTTGTATGAATAAATATTTTTTAATATATAAGTAATTAATTTAATGCCGTAAATATTTTTAAAATGTTAAATAAATTTATGATACATACTTTTTTTATAATCTGATTAATTAATTAATTATTACCAAAAACAAAGAAAATTCTTTTTACCACGAAAAAAGTAAAAAATCTTCATTACTTTCAAAATCAAATCTATTTACCACAAAATTAATTTTAATAAATCAAAATTTTAACCAAAAATGAAATATTCTGAAAGCCAAAAAGGGTTTTAACAGGGTAAGAAAATATGATTCCAAAATAAATAGTATAGATAATGACAATTTTGATATATTGTCAAATATGCTCTTGCCGTAATATCACTGAAAAAGATTTTCTTTGACTAAAATAACAGCTACGTTAAATGCTATTTTTTACCGATGTATTATTAGACATATTAAATAAACTATAATAGTGAAATTTATTGATTCATTTTATTCCAAAGAGTGATACGTATCAATTTTCATTACTTAAATTTTTAATTAATAATAAAGATTTCATTCACAAATTTAAAATTTTAAACTTATATTTCTTATTTTCTATTTCAATCAATTATACTTTTATATTTTTTAACATATGTTTAATTAATAATTTATATGAGAAATTATATAATATTACAATGAGTTGAGAGTAAAACAGTACCTTCTTTCATACAAAACCTCTCTTCTCTTTTTCTTTCTCATTGTCGTCAATGTCAACATGGTTATCATGGCGTGTCAGAAGAATCAAGCGTTCATCAACATCACCGTCACCGTCGCCGTCACCTTCACCGTCACCAAAGCCATCACGATCCCGTTCATGCAGATCATCGTGTTCTTCCTTCAAAGACATTGAAACGCTCCTTCGACCCGAATCCGAATCACCATCTCCCAAATCTCCCTCACTCTTCCGCCGCCTTCGCGTCGCCTCACACTCTCTCCTCCGCTCGTTCAGCTCACGCGCCGTTCCCTCCTCCCTTCCTTCGCCGCCGCACTCCGACCACTCCTCTGTCGTCCTCTACTTCACCAGCCTCCGCATCGTCCGGCGCACCTTCGACGACTGCAAGGCTGTCCGCTCTATTCTCCGAGGCTTCACCGTCGCCGTCGACGAGCGAGACGTCAGCGTCGACGAGCGGTTTCGCCAGGAGCTTCAGGAAATCCTCGGGCGCCACAACGTGCCGCTGCCGAGTGTGTTCGTCGGCGGCACCTACATCGGCGGCGCCGACGAAGTGAGGAAGCTTTACGATAGCGGCGAGTTGCAGGAGTTGATCGAACGGTTACCGAAGTGTCAGGGAAAAGCGTGCGAAGCGTGCGGAGGTCTGAGATTCGCTGTGTGCTATGAATGCGATGGAAGCCACAAAGTGTATTGTGAGAAGAGTGGGTTCACAAACTGTTCCTCTTGCAATATCAACGGTTTGATTAGGTGTCCTGCATGTTTCTTCGTGAACTCGCGACCCACCAAATAATTCCCTGTTTTGTAATATATCCTTCTTCTCTCTCCTCTCTGCTGATGAATGATGATAGAATACAGATGATTAAACGTTTGATTAAGTTTTTTTAAAAATAAACAAACAAATTTCAATTAACTTAATTTTAGATTCAATTACTTTGACGAGTCAAGCGTAATTTATATGTTTGTCATTAAAACCTCGTAAAAATATTATATTAATAAATTTAATCTGTGTTTTAAATTTATTTCGTTTTGAAGAATGAGATTTAGTAAATGGTTTGATTCAATTTATCTGCATCATTAATTGCATGAGTAATTAATGAAAAGGGAAAAATAAATAAAAACAGGAAAAGTATATTGAATTGAGGGATATTCATGCATATATAAATTGGAAATTTATTTGTAGATGCAGAGATGGAAGCACATGGAATTGAGGGAAATTGAATTGAATGATATCATGCTTCATCGTTTAGTATGACGTATGAATCTCATTGTTGCATTCAGTGTATATACTTTGAAATGGAAGGAGTTTCATTGAAAAGAGAGAATCCAAACCCATTCAATTAACTCCATAAGATAATTGAAATTTTGTTTTTGAAAAATAATAACCATTGAGTACCGGTTAAAGAATTAAAAATAAAATCTTTGAATTAGAAAACATAAAAATACACTTACTCTGTAATTTTTAATAGTCTGATATAATTATCAATAAAACTTATTATTTATACCTCTCTCTTTTTTCCAATAAATAACCGTTTATTCTTTTGTCATTGTATAACAAGTGGGCCGAGCAGTAATTGGGCTTTCTTTTTGTGTTGGCCTACTTCTTTATTTCCTTACTAGTGGGGCGAGGTTTTGTTTGCATTGGCCCAGTTCAGTTGTAGACAAATTTTGAATTCACTCATGTCACCGATCAAGACAAAAAATAAAAATAAAAATAAATAAACTCTCATCTCACCGATAATAATTATGCAATCATTTGTTGACCCCAAAAAAAATTATGCAATCATATGTATGATCATTGTAATTATTCTTTTAAACACCCCAAACATTCGTTTTAAAATAAGCAAAGAAAATTTGGATTTAGCGTTTGGAAAGTTTCAATCATATTTTAAGTTAAAATTTGTCTATTGTAATTTTGTTTACATTATGGTTTAGAAATCATGAACAAGAAAATCAAATACACTAAAACGTAATTTTTCTACATATAAGACAGTCGAGCATTTAGTTCAGTTATGAATATTTTTAAATTTTTGTCAAATAGCTAGAAAAATGATTTCTAAAATGAATTAAATTAAATAGTATTTATAAGATTGAACTGCAACTTAACTGGGGGCCAAGTTCCGTCTTGTATTGTGTTAGTCTTAAAATGCAAATTCAGGTATCAAATTGTCACTGTATGTTTCTCAAAAGTCTAAGATATAGCATAACTGTCCTTTTTGTTGAATGATTATATTTGTTTATATATGTAGCACATAAGTACTAATCCTTAAAACCAGTTCCCTTGTATTTTCAAAGGGAATAGTAATAGTGAAAGCTTATAAATTTACCCAATTTCACTGTATCAAACACACTTAAATGTTTAACTTAAAAAATAAAGGAAACAAAAGAGCATAAAATATATACTCTAGATATATGTATATATATGTATATCAACTTCACATTAAGTGTCTTATACCATTTTGGCAATGTTAAATAATTAAATGCTAAATTGCAGCTTCAATTTACAAGTGCAGAAAACAAGTCATCAATTTTCATATTAGATGAAAATGGTGACATCAAATAAAAATATTCAAGTCATTTTAGGGGGTGGACATGCTACCAAATATGTTGAAGCATCATCATTAAGTAATAAATAATCTGCCTAGTCTTGTAAGTGGTTGGTGTTCTAATCACCTAACGAAAAAAATGCATTTGGTCTTAACAATTGAATGATTTATAAGATGATATTGGTCACAGATATCGGCTTTAAAAAGAGTTGGTAGTACTGGCAGAAACTGAACAAAGTCGTTTAGAACTATAAAATGTATAATTATCAATGTTCAACACTTCTTAGCACACAAATCTTTTAAGGTAAGTGCTAAAAATGGAAAATAAATTTATCATTATTAGGACAATGTTTAAAAAATAAAACAATTTGTTATATAATGTTATTAATATATTTTTAATGTGATTTTTAATATTTAAAAAATTAACTAGCATTCTTAAAATATTAATTAATAGGAATTTTTTAACATATTTTTATCATTTGAATAAATTATATATAGAACTTATTAAATTAAAAATAAGACTAAATATATAAAGAGTGAAACTCCTACTATTTAGTGAATCTTATATAAATTCCATTCATTCATAAAAAAAATTCTATTAATAGCAATTTGTTGTTAATTAATAGCCATGTTATGACAACAAGCAGAATGTTCTGGTTGTAGGTAAAAAATTGCAAATAGATGAACATATAAAAGATTTCAAGGTGTAAACGTTTTTAAAGAGTAATTTGACCTAATATAAATTTTATTAATAGTCTTTTGGACAATAGAAGGAAGGTTTATGACTTTTACAATTAGCAATTTTGAAAAATCCAGTCATCTCTTACATTTGTTTTTCTAGACTTCACTACTTGTGAAAACGAAGTTATGTTATTTACTGATAATTAAGAAATACGAGTTAACAAAAAAACAAACTATGTTTTCATGAGAAAATATGCATATTAAAAAGTTTTATATTTATATATTTTTAAATTCCTCTAATTTAGATAATTTTGTATTAACTTTTTCTTCTTCCTCTTTTTTTATCTTTTAAACACCTTATCTTTTTTAAATTCTCATGAAAACGTAATTTGTTTTTTTATGATTAATAAAGCACCATATCTAAATGCAGACTAAACACGTTTATAACAGTCATAGGCAAGACAAGAAACGAAAAGAAAAAATAAAATATTTATAACAATAAAATAATAATCATCAGTCGAACCTTGAATATATTGTAAAATTAGAAACTATTTTTTCAACGTATATATCCAAATACAAAAAACTAAAAACTAAAAACAGATAATTAAGTTAGTAACTAACTTCTAGATGTTGAGACCTGTTTACTTTCTTATAGTCATTTTTATTTATATTAATTATACCCTAATAAAATCTAGGTGGGAACTAATTTTCCTACATAAACTTTAATGATTTTCAAGTAAATTAATTATAATGAAATTGTTTTGAACTGCTTCATTGATTCTAGGTGAAATGACTCACTTTCTGACAATCGTTTTATTTGGCGAGAAAAAACTAAATTTTTAATAAATTATAATTAATAATTAAATGTGTTAAATAAAAGATTATATAATTAATATTTTCCAGAATAAGAGATGAATGGCATAGTGTGTAAATACCCACCTCTACGGTACAAGGTATTAAGGTAGTTGGTATGTCAACAACCATATACAAATTAAGTCTCTATCGTTTGACATTAACAAGTTTATGCAAACATCATTCTTCCAAATTTTCTACAATCGATTCCATGTTCATCGTAAGCACAAATTTTGAGTACATCGATCTCATGAAAATTTATGCAAAAACTAATACCAATCAATTTATTACCAAATTCATACACACACGTATTGACGTGTGTTATCTGAACTTTTTCATTAAATTAATTCTATTTACTCTTTAATTTGTTTTAATTCAAATAAATCTTTTGTTTTCCTTTAATTTAGTGTTTTTTTTTTTCATTATCAATGGCTATAATGACGTATATATTTATAAATCACCAATCGACCAATCAATTAACTGAAATTTTGAAAAAAATTTAAATTTAAAACTTTAGCTTGCTTTTTTATATTTTGATTTTTTAACATTAACTCAATAACATCTCATCAATTAAGTGTTTTTTTTTTTTAATATCTCATCTATATTTGAAATACCATCCAATTAATACATGAAATACTCACACACACATTCCCTGATTCGTAAACTAATTATTATTATTTCGAGGTTAATAAGAAGAATGCAGAAAGTTGTTAAATACCCATTATAGATAAATACAAACTCTATTCGATTTTTTCGCAATACTTTTTAAAGATTTAACTTAGTGGGTTATTCTAAAAAATAAAATAAGATTAAAAAAGTAGTCGATTATAATCTTTTTAACTTTTCAATTAAGTTAAATAATAAAAAATGTAAAGTTTAAATTTAAAACTCATTTTAAACAAAAGAAATCTATATAAAAAAGATAGATACTTACGTGCATCATCTACCAAATAAATAAATAAAAGACAAATAAGTCACATTAATTTCAATGTTCATAAATTCTTAACCGTTAATATTTTAAGATGGGCATGTGCCGTAAGTGATGAGAAATTGCAAGTTTATTTTTAAAACAGAAAATTTATAGCTATTTCATCGAATTGAGTGCGAAACTCATAAATAATGTTATATATTTAAAGTGCTATAACGCTGTTTCAAAGTCGTTCGTCATCTCTTTAATTTGAAAATTATAATTAAGTCGGCGATTATCTTCAGATTTACGTAATCGTAAGCTGCATAATTGATTAATCCATAAACTGTGTGATTGGATTAATGTTGGAACTTGGTGTTCTTTAATATCTAATCTGATCCTAGCTCCAATTAATCTCTATCAGTTTCATCTTAATGAGTTTGTTTTTGGGTAATATCTTATGATTTCTTGTATTTCAAGAAGTAAAGTTGCGTACGTTAATCTTAGTTTATAAGGCTATTAGACATTGATAGATAAATAAGAAACTAATTTTCTATTCGAATATAATTTTAATTTTTAAATGTTTCTCGTTCTCTTTTGTAAAATCCACGTTTTGCGGCTAAGTATTAATGTGTAATTATATCTCATCATATATGATTTATTTTTTTTAATTTTAAACCACATGTATATTTCATTTAAGATAATTATATTATAAATATTATACAACTATATTTATTAAATTTTAAATTCAACTAAATACTGTTCACGTAGTATTCGGCAAATCAGAAAATGGCCCACACAAAAATCCAAACAGCATGGTTATTTTATTTTTATGAGTGCAAGTTCTAGGCAAAATCGGCTACTATGACTAATTTAATTTATACCAAGTCTTAGGAGGGAGAAAGAGACAATGTTTTTATATTATTATCATCTCATATCATATTCTACACACACAAAAAATGATAGTTTTTCGAAATTTAGAACAGAAGACAGACAATTAATAATAATTTATTTTAAAAAATATTTATTACACTTTACAACTGTAATGTAATAAATGTATAATTTTTTTATTTATAGATGTTTAAACTCAATTTTAAAAACTCAGATTAATAACGTTCTAATTTTTTTAATGTAGTTTATCTGTTAGCTTTGTTAGTGTATTTAAATTATCCATGATTTTAATTTCTCAAAGTTTTTAAAAGTTTGATATTTCAATAATTATCATTCCCTTTACAACACTAGCAAATGATTGAATATTGTTAAGTTTAATTTATATGTATTTTTGAAGTAACTACTTATATTTTATTTTTTATCACAATTTTGAAAGACAAATGAGAAAATAAATAAAAAAAGGAAATTTCCTTACAGGCATGCATCTAATAATTATCGTACAAACAGAGGCAAAGGTGTCACTGCTCATGTTCTACCCTGGTTGTCGCTAGTCAGCACCGTTCGGTGCTTGGACCCATTCCACATCGTCCACTCTTCTTCATAATTTTTATTATTAGATATATTTTACACGAATTTCACAAGTGAATGAAGTAAGATATATTTTTAAAATAATATGGTATAATATGATGGTAGAATTTTATTACACTGCAACTAAAATGACTTTATATTAATTAGAAAGGTTTGAAGATAATATTTTGTTTTAACGAAAGGAAGGAAAATAAAATATATTATGAATAATAATATACTTATTTGGAAAATTTAATATATTGATATATTATTATTTAATTATAAATTGTTGTATGTTAGAATTATTAGTTTTTATAATAATTAGTTTAAAAGTTACATTTATTTTATGTTTAAATTGATTAACAGTATGAAATTATTTTTTGATTTAAAATTTAATTTGTTTCCTTCTCCTATTTTCTTTTTATTGAACAAAAAATTATTTAGTTATAGGAATATTTGTTAATAATAATAAGAAGAAGAAGAAGAAGAAAATTACCATAGTGAGGGAACGCGTTTTCAAATATTTTGCTGGTCTAAACTCGTTTGCTTGGTGTCAGAACATGGTTTGGAAAACACCCCTTTTGCCTATTTGACAATGTTTTCGCAATTTGCTCTCTTTCGATACCTTTGAAGAGTTATTCATTGGGATTCAACTCTGTCTCTGTTCAAGTTCGGTTTTTTGAAGAAAAACTCTATCTGGGTCGTGCTTTTTTGCCCCAGTTGACGTTTACACGCAACAAGAATGAGCAAAAACTGGAAATTCAGCTGCTTCATGGATCTTAAGGGAATTCTGTGCCTTCTGACTTTGTGTTTGTTGTTTCAGAACTTTCATTTGTGTTGCTCTTTGAATGAAGAAGGTATGGGAATTTTAGTTTGAGGAATCATGTATTCTGATGAGGTTAATTGTGGGGAAAATAAAGCTGAGAAGTGAGTTCTATGTGCAGGTAAAGCTCTTCTGAAGTTGAAGAAGGGAATAGAAAGTGACCCTTTTGATGCTTTGTGGAATTGGGTTGATGATGAAGTAGCAGCTAACCCCTGTAATTGGTTTGGAGTTGAGTGCTCAGATGGAAGAGTGGTGGTCTTGTAAGTGCTGATTTTGTGATCTGTTTTCAGAAACTCAATATATGTACTTTTCTGTTCTCTCATATGGCCAGAGAGACAACATTTTGTATTGATCATATGAGAGATCCAAGCTTCAAATTTGTACTTCCTCTCTCTCACTCTCTGTTATTAGCAAAAGTGTTCGATGGGGATTTAGAGACTTTGCTGCAGAAACCTATCATAATAATATCTCCTCAATTGAAATGTGCCTTGGTCTTGAATCAACTCATCAATTTCATCCATAGACGCTTTATAGTTTCATTTCAGATTTTGAAGACCAGTCTCCTGTTAAATCAAATAACTAGTGTTCATATTGTTGGTTAGATAGTGTGAATAGTAGCTAGCATTCTGTTTGTTGTTTCATTAAAAATTGTGGAGTTTTTAATCATGAAAATATATTTTGTTTGGCAGGGATTTGAAAGACCTTTGTCTTAGAGGAAATCTGGCACCCGAGCTTGCGAACCTTGTTCACATAAAGTCCATGTAAGTAATTGCTTGTTACCAATTTGCATTGTTTATTGCAGATACTTCCTTAATAATTTCAGTTTTCAAATATTTTCAACTCTAATAATGTTGTGGTGAATATGTGGCCGCAGAATTTTGCGGAACAATTCTTTTTATGGAATCATCCCTGAAGGAATTGCACAGTTGAATGAATTGGAGGTTTTGGATTTGGGCTACAACAACTTCAGTGGACCACTACCTGCAGATCTGGGGAACAATATTTCGCTAACAATCCTGTATGATAATACTCTTTGAACAGTTCAATTTTTATTTTTTAAAACTCTTTTCCTATTGAGTACTCATTTTCTTCTTTTTGCAGTTTGCTGGACAACAATGATAATCTTTGTGGTTTTTCTCATGAAATTAATGAATTGAAGATACTTTCTGAATATCAAGTAGATGAAAACCAACTAACTGGTGCAGAAAAAATGTCAGCTTGCACAGGAAAATCCTTCACGCGGTATGTCATTAAGCATCTGAAATGGTCTCGTCTAGTTTAGTTATAGCCATGACAGTCTTTCACATTTTTATGGTTCACTGGTTCAGTGGTTCTATGTATTGTAAGTTGTGTACATTTATTCCGTTATATTCCTTAATGTTAACTATTCTATCATTCTTTTTTGAAGGCATGTTGGCCAACATGAAAAGGGTCTTCGAAGACTACTGCAATTTCGTATTCGTGATCATGAAAGTCCTTTTAATCGTGCGGCTGATTTTCCTGATAGTCCTGCCCCATCTCCTTCAGATTCCCCACCTGCGTCACCACCATTGAATCAGAATCCAGCTTTCCATGATCGAAATCATTCTGCTTCTCCTTCTCCCCAGGCTGAACCAGGCTCTGCACCACAATCTAAAAGTACCTCATCAAAGAACCATCATGTAGTTATTTTGGGTGGAGTTGTAGGTGGTTCTGCATTTCTTATCATTTCAATCATTGGCATATATCTCTGTAAAACCAACAAGGTAGCTACCGTAAAACCTTGGGCCACGGGATTAAGTGGACAGCTTCAGAAGGCATTCGTAACAGGTAACTCTAAGCAGTTCTGTTCTTTAAAATTAGTGAAGCAATGGCTGAAAACAGTAGTTAGCGTACACATGAACACTGCTTCAGGATTCTTGAATTGAGAAAGAGAGAAGATAAACTTAACTTATTTTCACTGAGTCCTTGCTTATCCAATGGATCTAGCTTGAATGATTGCACTCCCTAGACTGAGCTATTTTATTTATGTATCACATAGACGATTTCTGCCTTTGTACAAGCATGACAGGGTTTTACATTTTCAGGCGTGCCAAAACTAAAGAGATCGGAGCTTGAAGCAGCATGTGAAGATTTTAGTAATGTAATTGGTACTTCATCCATTGGAACAGTGTACAAAGGGACTTTATCTAGTGGTGTTGAAATAGCTGTGGCCTCTGTTGCAGTGACTTCATCCAGAGATTGGTCAAAGACTTCAGAAGCCCAATTTAGGAAGAAGGTATCATCGCCAAAACAATAAACAAAATTATTTGTAGATTCTCAACTTAGCAATGCATTGTGGCTGACATTTTAAGCAATTATGGTTTCAGATTGACACATTATCAAAAGTGAACCACAAGAATTTCGTAAATCTTCTTGGATATTGTGAAGAAGATGAGCCTTTCACCAGAATGGTGGTTTTTGAATACGCGCCAAACGGAACACTCTTTGAGCATTTACACGGTCAGCACCTATTTTGGTGTTATTCTTACATAGAAAGTAGTATCCCTATTTATGATCAACAACTTCTAATTTGTTAGTTTTACTTACTTCCAGTTTCTGGTCAAGTTTTCCACCTGTTGATACATTCAGTAAATGAAGCTTGTGCTACTATTCTAATTAAACGTGTAGTTATTTAGATTAGGACTAATTTGTTATCAGTATGAGTTTTGCTATAACATCATTTCTGATCATTGAATATTGTCAAACATTTTAACACATTAGATTGATATCATGAGGTAGACATAAATAGACAACGACAGATTGGTTTGACCACCCAGTAAGGCATTTTCTCTAACTTCTTGTATATATTATATAATAAAGATGCTCTTGTCTATCAACCATTCAACTTATTTAGGTAGGTTTTGCTGCAGCATGTCAGCATAGTTTAGAACTTAAGGCTATGTAGGAGAAGCCCAAATAAATTGCAGATATCAACTAACCATTTTTATAACACACATAGCATCTCAACCTCCTACTTTCCAGCAGTGAGGGGTACACTGTTGGTAGTGTAGCCAAAGATAGCTTGCTAGATTAATAACTCTGCAATTAGGTTTTGTATTATATTCATGTGAGAAAAATTGAGCTTACAATATATTGGAATTTATATGCTTTCTCCCTTTCTAGTCTTTACTCCCCATGTTTCCTTTTATCTTTCAGGAACAAGAATAGTTGCTTTTAACAGATTCTTTTGGCATTATTTTGATGTTTAAGTTGGAAACTTGCTGATGTATTCGGTCTTGTGAATTTCAGTAAAAGAAGCTGAGCACTTGGATTGGGGAACAAGACTTAGAGTTGCCATGGGCACGGCTTATTGCCTACAACATATGCACCAGTTGGACCCTCCTGTGGCCCATAGTAACCTGAATTCTTCAGCAATTCAACTCACTGATGATTATGCCGCCAAAATCTCAGATTTGGGTTTCCTAAATGATATAGCTTCAGCTGAGAAAAAAGTTACTGCTAGAAACCACACTGACATGACATTAGCAAGTAACATTTACAGCTTTGGTGTTATATTATTTGAAATGGTAACAGGCAGGCTCCCTTATTCAGTGGATAATGATGGTTCACTTGATGACTGGGCTGCACACTATTTACAAGGGGACCATCCCCTCATACAAATGGTGGATCCAACTCTAGCATCCTTCCAAGAAGAACAACTAAACCAAGTTGCTGCTTTGATTAAATCTTGTGTCCATCATGATCAAAACCAGAGACCAACAATGAAAGAAGTTTGTGTGAGATTAAGAGAGATAACAACAATAACACCTGATGCCGCTGTTCCTAAACTTTCTCCACTATGGTGGGCAGAGCTTGAGATTTCTTCGGTAGATGCAAGCTGAAACCGGTAAATCAGATTGTAAGTATGGAGTTGTTACCATTCTCATCCTTTTTCTATCGGTGATGACATAAAAAAGTATTCACCTGTAGATTGATACATCTTGTGTCTATTGTAGGAGAGTGCCAAATCACATGTACATAAGGGAGATAAAGAAAAATGTGATTTTTTCTTTCTTTTTTTGGGTGCATGGTTCAATTATGGTTTATTAAATTGCATCAAGAAAAAAGGTTCATTCATATACAAGTTAATTTCATTTGCTCAGTTTATTTGGTGAATTAAAAACTTTTTTAAATTATATTTCTTACCCATTTCTCTTCCCACTTCCGAATTTACTATATTTTTCACAATGCTATAATTTGATCTAAGCAAAAGTGTGAGGGTCTTTAATTTTCACTTGTTAGAAAGTTAAAATAAGAGGGTTAATGTTGAAGGGTGGGAAAATTGATGTTTAATAATATTAATGGATAAGTCAAAGTCTTATGGAGGGGCCTGTTAATTTTGAAATATGAAGTATGAAAAAGGTTTGTCATCAAATAGCATCTATAATCTGGCAGGCTGTGGCATTGCAAATATAATAATGGACGGCGGAAAATTTCTATGGGCAGTTGCTTCTGCATGCAAGACAAATGCATTTTGACTTGAAGCACTTGTTGCAAACGGCAATTGCTTTTGATAAACGACAGTTGGCAATTGAGTTTGACATTCTTGACACAGCCTCTTGCGTTCTGCCCATCATTCTAGAAAAATAAAATAAAATTCAACGACCCCAAAGAAGGCCTGGTCAAAAAGTATGATATACTTTATTTTACGATATAAAATTTGATGGTAATAAGAGAAAAGAGTATATAATAAACTTTGGGCATTTTATAAATTGGCATCGTGGCTTTTAAAATCTTATTTAGTCATCCGATTATCTCACTGATTGATAATTTCCTCCGATATACAATTTTAATTTTACTTTTGTATGACATTCGTACTGTTTGTTAAATTGTTCATTAGAATACTTGTTTGTTATCCTTAATAAATAACTAAAGTTTGGAAATGGTCATATATAAATATATAATGGTACTGATAAAAAAAATGCGATGATTTAACAGTAAAATTTATTTTAATTTTTTGTTATTATCTTATTTTACTATTAATTACATATATATTAATATATATGAGGTAGCACTTTCTTAAATTAATATAAATTTAAAAATTCTTACATCTGATTTTTCATATAACTTACATTTATTGATAAATAAAAAATATTCATATCTAAAAAATCCTATTATTAAAGTTAATGTTAAATAAAAAATACTTGAACATATTGATTTAATGTTTTAGTTATTTATAGATTTTATTTAATATTTTAATTTAAATACATATAAAATAAAGATTTTGATGAGTAATTCAACGAACGATGCATTTACTATACTAGCGAAAGGTTAACATCGTGCCAGGTTATGAGTTAATGACACTTTTCGAGAAGACCAATCGATAGAATATTCGTAATTTATGAACTAAAAAGAAGGAGCTTAAATTTTAATTTGTATAAGAATCAAAGTTTGGAGCGATAACATATCCTTTTTACTTTTAATTAAATTGTTAAATTGAATAAATAATGTAATAATATGTTAAAATAAATAAGTAATTCAATTACAAATCACTTATAAATTGACTTGATTGTTTTCATTTTGTTAAACATTTACGTTAAGTGGTTAAATTAGGAAAAATGATTATTGCATAATATGTTGGGCTCAAATGCGGAATAACTTGGACGTGTAAATTAAAATTCTGACGTAAACTAGTGAGTAATAATTCAGATCTAATAAATAGATTTAGCAGCGCAACGGTGTAACTTGTAAAGTGTGCACTGGAATACTTCTCAGGAAAGAGAGGTGGATCACAACAGATCACTTAAATACCAAGTCTTTCCTTAGCCAGAGCCTTTCCAGTTACAACACTAATACAAATAACACACTTATCCAGCAATCCAACAATCAGCCACGGAAGGATAACAGAAATAATTCTTTTCTGATGTGGAAGATCAGACTAAACTGCAACCACAGAGCATACTAAGAATTATTTTAACTGAATAAAATAAGCAGATAAAGAACACCAATATTTAACGTGGAAAACCTCCAATGTGGAAGAAAAACCACGGGACAAACTCTGAAAAATATTCCACTATATCTCGGGATATTTACAATATCCTTTCAACACTCTATCACACAAGAGATGTAAAATATAGTGTACCCAGTGAGACCCACTTCCTATTCAAATATTACAAATTTTGTAATACCAAGAAGAAATAGAGATGATACCCACTCTAGTGTATTTTTCTCACACTCTTAGGATTTACTCAACACTCTATTTTTTTTTCTCTCACAAACACTCTCAATGCTTGATGAAACCTTGTTCGGTTGATGCTTGTGTTGCACATATCAATTTCATTCACGGCTATTTATAGCCAAATGAGTTTACTGTTAACAAATAAAATATTATTTGTTTAGGGAGAGGGTCAAAAAGGACGGCACCGAAATGTAAATGTGCTGGACCTCACAATTCTCCCCCTCCAGCACAAAGGTGCACTCTTGGAATCTTCACATGCGATCCATGCTAATCAGCTTGGCACACTGTTTATGTTTTTCTCGTGCAACAACTTTCGTCATCATATCAGCAGGATTTTTATCCGTGTGAATCTTATCTAGCTTGAACTCTTGTTCTTCCACTGCCTGACGCAGCCAATGATATCTGACATCAATGTGCTTCGTGCGAGAGTGATACATCACATTCTTACTTAAATCCAGTGCGCTTTGGCTATCGCAATGGATAACGTACCTTTCTTGCTCAATTCCTAGTTGTTGAAGAAACCTCTTCAACCAAAGCATTTCCTTTCCTGCTTCAGTCATGGCAACATACTCAGCTTCAGTAGTTGACAAGGCCACACATTTCTGCAATTTGGATTGCCAAGATATAGCTCCCCCTGCAAAGGTAAACACAAGTCCTGAAGTAGATTTTCTACTATCTGGGTCACCTGCCATATCTGCATCTGTGTATCCTTCAAGAACTGGGTTAGGTATTCCAAAGCTCAAGCACATATTAGAACTACCTTTCAGATATCTCAAGATCCACTTCACTGCTTCCCAATGCTCTTTTCCAGGATTGGAAAGATACCTGCTAACAACTCCGACCGCATGAGCTATATCCGGCCTCGTACAAACCATGGCATACATCAAACTCCCGACTGCTGAGGAGTATGGAATACCCGCCATAGCTTCTTTTTCTTCTTGACTTGTAGGACAACTTCTTTTGCTGAGTTTGAAGTGATTGGCCAACGGTGTACTAACTGGTTTAGCCGTCTTCATGTTGAATCTGTCCAGAATCCGATTCACATACCGTTGCTGCGATAACCACAACCTCCTGGATTTTCGGTCTCGCATGATCTGCATGCCCAAAATCTGTTTTGCAGGGCCCAGATCTTTCATATCAAAAAACTTTGACAATTCTTTCTTCAAATCACTAATCAGCTTTGCATCCTGTCCCACTATCAACATATCATCTACATACAATAGAAGAATAATGAATTTATCACCTGGAAATGTCTTGACAAATACACAATGATCTGCATCAGTCTTGGCATATCCATGACTCGCCATGAACGAGTCAAATTTCTTATACCACTGTCTTGGAGCCTGTTTCAAACCATACAAGCTCTTCTTCAATCTGCAAACCATGTGCTCCTTTCTAGTCTCCTCAAAACCTTCTGGTTGCTCCATCTAGATTTCCTCATCAAGATCTCCATGAAGAAACGCAGTCTTCACATCTAGCTGTTCAAGCTCTAGATCCAAGCTAACCACCAATCCGAGTATAACTCGAATAGAGCTCATCTTCACAACTGGAGAGAAGATTTCATCAAAATCTATTCCTCGCTTTTGTCCAAAACCTTTTACGACTAAGCGAGCCTTGTACTTCAACAGCTTGTCACCATCTTTCTTAAGCTTGAACACCCATTTATTTTTCAAGGCTTTTCTGTCTTTAGGGAGCTTGACCAACTCATAAGTATCATTTTTCACCAGGGAATCCATTTCTTCTTGCATGGCTTTCATCCACTGGGATTTATCCTTGTGAGTCTGAACTTCTTCAAAGTTTTCTGGCTCCCCCTCTTCAGTGATGGTAATATACGTCGAACTAGGGTACTTTGTAGATGGCTGCTGTGGTCTACTTGATTTCCGAGGTTGAGGTGGAGCTTCTGAGTTTTCTTGCTCAATACCTTCATCATCACCATCTTCTATTGCTGGCTCATTATCAACCCTAAGTTCTCCATCACACTCTCCCTTTACTGTGACATTTTTAGGAGGAACAACTGGTGTAAGATCAACCTTACCACCTGGTTCTCTGATTTTTGGTGAAGCAGAATCCGACATAGTTTCTTGCTCATGGAACACTACATCTCTGCTTCTAATAACTTTCCTATTTTCTGGATCCCATAACCTGTAGCCAAATTCCTCATCTCCGTAGCCCAGAAATATGCAAGGAATGGCTCTATCATCAAGTTTTTGTCTCTGTTCCTTACTCACATGAGCAAAAGCTTTGCATCCAAACACTTTCAAATGAGAGTATTTAACATCATGTCCGGACCATACTCTCTCAGGGATATCAAAGCCCAAAGGAATAGATGGAGATCGATTAATCAGGTAGCTTGCCGTTAGAACAGCTTCTCCCTAGAATGGCTTAGGCAATTTTGCCATTCTTAACATGCATCTTACTTTCTCCATAATGGTTCTATTGATTCGTTCGGCCACACCATTATGTTGTGGGGTTCCAGGTATCGTCTTCTCATGCCTGATGCCATGCTCAGCACAATAATTCTTGAATTCACGGGAAGTATATTCACCCCCATTATCCGTGCGAAGACACTTCAAAGGTTTACCAGCCTGTCTCTCCACCATTGCATGAAACCTTTTAAAGCATTGAAAAACCTGGTCCTTCGTTCTTAAGAAGTACACCCACAATTTTCGTGAAGCATCATCAATAAACGTCACGTAATATCTGCTACCACCAAGACTCTCCACTTCCATGGGTCCACATACATCAGAATGAACCATCTCCAAAATATTCTCTTTCAGCTTCGACGTTTTGCTGAAAGACACTCTATGATGCTTGCCAAACAAATAGTGATCACAAGGATTTAGCTTTGTATTTTTGGCAAACGGGATAAGAGACTTTCTTGCCAAAATCTGCAATCCTTTTTCACTTATATGAGCCAATCTTTTGTGCCACAAATTTAGCGAAGCATCATCCTCGACTGCATTCAATCCGCCCTTGATCAGCTTCACTTGAGTTTTATACAACGTTGAATTTACTGTGCCTCTAGCAACCAACAACGATCCTTTGGTAAGCCTCCACTTGCCGTTACCAAAATGGCTGTCGTAATCAGCTAGATCCAAAGCACGCACAGAGATCAAATTCAGACGCAGATCTGGCACATGACGCACATCTTTTAGTGTTATTGTGCATCCTGTATTGGTTTGAATGCACACATCACCAATTCCCACAATATCTGCGATACTGCTATTGCCCATCTTTACTTTACCAAAGTCTCTTGCTTTGTACACAGTAAAGAAGTCCTTGTGAGAAGTTGCATGATAAGATGCTGCTGAGTCAATGACCCATTCATCACATGAGTCTATAACTTGACACTCTTCTTCTTCTTCAACAGAGAGTACTACCACATCTCCAGTTGTCACAGGGGATGCAGTATTTTCATCGTCATCCGATCTAGAGTTTCGTCGATCTTTCTTCTCTCTGTTCTTCCAGGCTTTACAGTTTCTTTTGATGTGCCCTTCTTCACCGCAGTGGTAACACTTAAATTTTCTTCTGGGCTGAGACTGTGACTTATCTCTGGATTTGTTACTTCGTCCTCTGCTCTTACTTCTCCCCCTGTTCTCTGTGACAAGGGCATGGGAACTGCTTGTCCTAGAGTCTTTTCTCCTTGTTTCTTCATTAAACATGTTGTCTTTGACTTGAGACAAAGTCAATTTTCCTTCAGGAGCAGAGTTGCTTAATGACACCACTAGAGTCTCCCAGCTATCTGGTAAAGAACTCAAAAGTAACAGCGCCTGCAATTCTTCATCAAGTTTTATTTCCATGGTAACTAGCTGGTTTACCATGTGTTGGAAATCATTCAAGTGTTCTGCAATTGATCTTCCATCCTGATATTTTAAATTCACCAGCTTCCGAATAACGAAAGCTTTATTCTGTGCAGTCTTCCTCTGATACATTTGTTCAATTTTGTTCCACAGAGTCTGGGCATTCGTCTCTGTGGCAACATGGTGGAATATGCTGATATCCACTCACTGCCTAATTAAACTGACGGCCTTCCGGTGTGTCTTTTTCCAATCCTCATCCTTCACGTCTTCTGGCTTTTGATCTCCCTTTTCCACAGGATCATACAAGTCCTTGTAGAAAAGTATGTCCTCCATTTTTGGCTTCCAAATGGAGTAGTTTGTTGCTGTCAGCTTCACCATGGTACCTACGTTCTCCTCCATTTAATTTACACTCGGTGATACAGAGCCCAACTTAAGCTCTGATACCACTTGTTGGGCTCAAATGCGGAATAACTTTGACGTGTAAATTAAAATTCTGACGTAAACTGGCGAGCAATAATTCAAATCTAATAAATAGATTTAGCAGCGCAGCAGTGTAACTTGTAAAGTGTGCACTGGAATACTTCCCAGGAAAGAGAGGTGGATCACAACAGATCACTTAAATACCAAGTCTTTCCTTAGCCAGAGCCTTTCCAGTTACAACACTAATACAAATAACACACTTATCCAGCAATCCAACAATCAGCCACGGAAGGATAACAGAAATAATTCTTTTCTGATGTGGAAGATCAGACTAAACTGCAACCACAGAGCATACTAAGAATTATTTTAACTAAATAAAATAAGCAGATAAAGAACACCAATATTTAACGTGGAAAACCTCCAATGTGAAAGAAAAACTACGGGACAAACTCCGAAAAATATTCCACTATATCTCGGGATATTTACAATATCCTTTCAACACTCTATCACACAAGAGATGTAAAATATAGTGTACCCAGTGAGACCCACTTCCTATTCAAATATTACAAATTTTGTAATACCAAGAAGAAATAGAGATGATACACTCTAGTGTATTTTTCTCACACTCTTAGGATTTACTCAACACTCTATTTTTTTTTTCTCTCACAAACACTCTCAATGCTTGATGAAACCTTGTTCGGTTGATGCTTGTGTTGCACATATCAATTTCATTCACGGCTATTTATAGCCAAATGAGTTTACTGTTAACAAATAAAATATTATTTATTTAGGGAGAGGGTCAAAAAGGACGGCACCGAAATGTAAATGTGCTGGACCTCACATAATAAAAATCGGACATCTTTCGTTGTCCTCTTTAATTTAGAAGAGTATTTTTAAAACGTGTAAATCTATCTAAAAAAGATGAAAAATAAAATACACATGTATAGTATCATATTAATTATTTGATGTTAAAATAATGGAATTATTAAACTAGAGTTATGTTTGGTTTGTTAAGACATAATTTAATAAGTAAAACAATACATCTGATTCCATCAATTTGCTAGAATGATGGTATGTACATAACAAACTAAAATTTACAAAAGTCATCTGCGTACTTTACCTTGTGTTAATTTTGTTTGTATAATCCGTGCTAGTTAACTAGTAGACTATTAACTAGTACTCTATTATCACAATGTTATACTCATATGCACCTAAATATAACATGTAAACATGAAAATATGAACATGGCAAAAGGTGGCCTTCACGGATGGATATAAACTATGAAATTTATTGGCAGCATAGAGGAAGGCACGTTGATCTACATTTGATCAATTAAATCCAAGTCCACACACTACCAATGATCCATGAGCTATATATATATATATATATATATCAATCTATCAAATGTCTCTTCAATTGGGAAGCCTTGTCTTTGAACTCTTCCTAGTCCCTTCACCCCTGAAGAAAATGGCTGGTAGGCACTTCAGTATCCTTTCTTTCCTGCTTCTGATGGTGGCTTTCCCTTATACAGAAGCTAGTGTAGATGTTCCAAAAACAACAGAGAAGAAAATAGCGGTGGTGGTGGAAGCTACTGTTTATTGCCAGAGCTGTGAGCACTTTGGAACCTGGTCTTTGATTGGAGCCAAGCCCATTTCTTCAGCAAAAGTAAGTGTCACATGCAAAAGCTACAATGGTCATGTTAGCTACTATAAGGTCTTTGAGACAGACAAAAGTGGATACCTTTATGCACCACTGGAAGGATTCAAGATGCAGCATAATATACTTGATCATCCTCTCCATTCTTGCTATGTGAAGCCTGTTTGGTCTCCTCTTGAAAGTTGCAACCTTCTCTCTAATGTCAATTATGGTCTGAATGGAGCTCCACTTCGTTATGAGAACAAGAAGTTGCACGGAAGCAACTACGAGGCTGTTGTATATGCTGCTGGTCCCTTGGCTTTCCGTCCCTCTGATTGCTCACAGACTCATAACTAATGTCTCAAACAAACGCATTGAGATTCACTTGATCATTATTTTGTTGTTGCCTATGATTTGGGTCTATATATGATAAGTATTCATTCTGAAAGTGTTTACGTTTTGATATTTTTTTGGTGTACCTTTTGGTATTTTTCTGTATTAAACTAAATTGAAATGTTACTGTGGTTCAGTTCACTTAAATCGCTCTCTTTTTCAATGCGGGTTTTAAGATTTCCTTAAGCATAGAAAGAGCGTATAAGTCAGAAAATTTGCTATAAAAAGGACAACTGAAACCTTTCATTTGAGTACACACAATCAAATTCTGCTTACAAATTAGAATCAGCACTCGGCAATCACCTTATTCCTAAAAATTCAGGGGCATATTAAACATCTTGTTTATATCGTCCATGGCTTCCTTTGTGAGGAGAGTTGGCTCAAACAAATCAGATTCCTTTGACTTTCCTGCCAATTTTTGGGGTGGCGGTGGTGGTGGACCTTCTTGTTCCATGTGATCATCATCGTCAGCAAATATTGAAAACCCACCAATGTCCTTTCTACTATTGCTTTCGGGTGCTTTCTCCTGCTTGGTTGTTCTTCTTCTTCTAACAAAATCTATTGGCTTTCCAAACATGTTATTTATGTCATCCATAGCTTCCTTCAGGTTGATAGTGGGGTCTACTAAACCATGGTGGCAAACATTTTCCACCTCTGGTTCATCCAAAATTGTAGAACCAACAAATCTGCAAACGATTGTATCTTCTCTGAACTTTGAATTTCGAGAGCTTTCAACATCCATATCACTAGACTTTTCAGAAGGAATATCCTTGGGATGGGGAAAAACAAAGCCATTTGGTTGAGAAGCTGAAGTACAACCTTCAGACAAATTCACATTCACATCACTGCTCTCAGAATGTACTTCATCATCAATATATATCTGGAGTGGTTCTTGGGGAGGTTGGCTAGCTTCAGCCCTGTGCTGAAGTGATAAGGAACTGGATGGTTTGATTCCACTATCCAAGTTTTCATCAACAAAAACTTCAAAATCATTATTTGTACTACGATCTTCTTTTGAATGGTTTTTATGTGATTTCCTGGCTAATGGAACAGTCTCTAATGGCTCCCGGAACATGCTGTTAATGGCATTCATGGCCTCCTTCATATTTATTGTAGGGTCCACCAATCCATGATGGCATGCATCTTCTGCTTCAGACTTTCCAACCATGGCAGTGTCAACAAACTTGACTACAACTGTATCATCACCACGAAATCTGTTGCTCTCATCCTTTTTAGTTTTTATGCATTTATCATCAGCTACGCCTTTAGCTGCAGAACTCGCAATTTGGGGTCCCTTGTGCATACCCTCAACACTGCATGCTCCATTGCTTCCCTCGGCCTTCTTGTCAAGAGAAGGGATGCTCTTTGTGGACAGAGGCCTCCTCGCACCTCTTGCTTCCTGATGCTGTAGGATATTCTTCAAAATGAGCCTACTGAATATCACTAATAACCCACAAAGAGATGTCTAAAACAACATAGATGAGCACCTAAAGAAAAAGCTAGTCATTACCTGGATTTTCTTGTTATTCCTTCGCTCCTTGCGTTGAAGAAATTGTTCAAATGATTTCTGCAATTCATCTAGAGGCTCTGCGAGGCTGTTCAACAGAAAAAGGCTAGGTAAAGAAGACTTTTGAAAAATCTGGTCTAAATAGGCATCCAGTATCAATTAAAGTACTCAATAGTCATTTGCTTGCAAATCTGCTAAATTGAAATTATGAGAAACAAAAATTCATTAAAAATTATGCATACAAAGCATAATCTAACAGCAATTTCATTTGTTTGTCATGACACTGCAACTTTCAAAGAACCATGTTTACTTCTGTTTGCGTGAAGTTCATTGCTAAGTTATATCCTTATTCATGTAATCAACACAACATTCAAAACAAGATGGTGATTACAGCAATAACTTACTTTTTCACTCCCAAATGGTACATTTTCTCTGCTTCCTCATACTTCTTGCTCTTCTCGTAGTAAAGAGCATATGCTTGGTAGAATTGACAACGTTTTGTCCCAATATGATTAACCTCCATGATTTTCAAAAGAGATTCTGGATCATCCACGAAGTCCATCTACCAATCAGAGGGGAAAAAATAACTAACCATTTCATCATCCCTTTGTTTCAACTTAATCAAAAAGCTCCTAAATCCAAAAATAATTACACCAAAAGAAAAAACTTTAGCCTTCATTTCCCAAGCCCATTTCTTCAAATCACTAAAAAAATGGGGGAAAAGGTGTTTGGGTTACCAGGTGGAGCCAAACCCGAAGATAGCGCATATCGTTTCTGTAACGCCGATCGAGCTCGAAGGTGTGGGCGCATTTCTGCAATAACTCGGGTAATTTTTCGTTTAGGGTTACGGGTGGAAGAGTATCCTTCATCTTTCGGATCGCTCTGCATCGTTGGAAATGAGTGAGTATAAAGAAACCTTAACTGAACAGAGAAAGAGGGAATGGAGGGGTACCGAAGCCAAGGTAGAAGAGGGTCTTTGCCGGTGTAGGAATTGATGTCTGAGATTAAGGAAGATAAGAGTTCATCGACGTTCGCCATTTCGGAATTGAAGCTACGGCGGCGGTAGCGGTGGTTACACGGTGGACCTTATTTGAATTTGAGTCTGGGCGGCTAGGAGACGCTCGTTTTCCATATTTAATTGAATTTTATCCTTGTTTGGGCGTAGGTGATGGGCTAGCCCAATTTTGGCTCCAAAATGGCTTGGCCCAATAGCTTCGGCACCAAATGGATTAGCCTTTCTCCATAATTTTTACCTACTGCTTTTTTTTAAAAGAGCTAAGTAATATGAAAATATTGAAGAGAAAAAAAAGTAATATGAAAACACATAAATCACTTATCATGGATTTGGAGGCTAAAGTGACTGGATTGTAGTAAATGATCATGGTAATTAGGGATAATATGAAAATTAATGATAGATAATAATAACGGTCATATGGTGATAATAATAACGACAAAAAATAATAAAATAAATAATAATAATAATAATAATAAAATAATAGTAAAAGTAAATAGTCATAATAATAATAACTATAACAATGATCATAAAAATTAATAATAATAGCATTAAAATAATAATAATAATAATAATAAATAATTAAAATAATCCAAAAAATAAAATTTAGTTATAATAATAATAACATGATAATAATTATTAATAATAATTAGGTTAATAATTATGGGATAATAATTATAATTAATAATGAAAAAATCAATGTCAGCAGGAGTGATAAGTAGCAATGAAAGTAACACACAAACATGTAAGTATTTTGAGAGTTAAAAATTAATTTAATTTCACTTTACTTTAATATATTTTATTTTAAAAATTACATTTAAAATATTTAAAAAACTAAAACTTATAACCATCTCAAATGAGTCTTAAATATATTTATTATTTTGCATAATTTCATTTAAAAAAATAAAAACAATATAAAATTTTTATAATTAAAAAAATGTAAAACTAATTAGTCTCTTTATTCTTTACACTCCAACCGTAAAAACTTAGCTAAAGTAATGTTTAGCATGAAGTTGAATGATACAGATAAAGTAAAAAAAAGATTTGGTAATATTTTATTCGAAATCTGTAAACTTTTATAAATATCGACAAAATTAAACATAATTTTGTTGATATAATTTTTGTTGCTCAATTTGTGCAATTATTTTAAACACTATGGCAATCTTAAGCCTATAATCATATTTTTGGTAAAGTTAAATATTTATATTTATCAATTATACATATTTTTTTTATATTTTGTTGATTATACATTTTAAACTAAAAGAAATACAAATATTTCATAAATTTTTTAATAATAAACTTTTTAAATGATTAAACATGGGAAAAACACATTCCTATCATTATTTTTAATTTCAGAAAAATAGGAAGAAAAAAAAAAAACTTGTGGGATGCTTTTACTCACACTCACTCTTCTTGCCTCTACAACCCAAAAGCAAAGTGCCTCCGAATCCGATCAATGGAAAACTCAGAGGAAGGAAGCGAACAACTTTCCTTCTCTCCAAACCCTAACAATGCCAACGCCAATCAAAGCCAAAACGACACCGAAGACGACAACGACATCGACGAAGAGGAAGAAGAAGAAGAAGACGATGACGTTTCGCCGGAGCCGAATCAGCAAAACCCCCAATCCCCATTGTCGCGGTTGCTCGAGCAGCGGTCCAAGGTGGAAACCGTGTTCCGGCGATTGTCGTCGGAGCTAGTTCCTATTCGAGTCCACGACGTCCTGATTCACGGCAACACGAAGACCAAGGATTGGGTGATCCAAGCAGAGCTCAAGGTCGTCGAGAATGCCACCACCATGCAAGAGCTCATTAGCGCCTCCGAAATCGCCCTTGCTAGGCTTCAGAGCCTTGAGATTTTCGATTCCAGCAAGCTCACGCTCAAGGCAGGGCCGCCGGAGTTGCCGCACACCGCCAATGTCATCGTCAACGTCGTTGAGACCGCTAAAAAAATCTCCGGTGAATTCAGTGTTTATACGAAACCCTCGGTATAACCTCATTATCTATTCTTGTTGAGATTGCTCTAGATTGAATTTATTTAAAGTGAGGGATGTTAGTGTAATTCAGGACATTGTAAAGAATTTGTACTGTTGCAGGCATTTTAAGGTTGAAATATTCACGTGTGAAATATTGGAACTTGTAGTTTCTAATTGTTTATGCGAGATTGTTTTTCCTCTTAGGTCCGAGGTTGTAGCGTTTCTTTTCAGATACTTGTATTGTTGTGCAAACAGAAAAGCTGTAATCGTTAAAGGAAACGGAAGGTTTCTCTTTGAGTGAGTCATTAGAAGTTAGAGCAATGATCACTGTAGTTATGTGCATGACTCTGAATTTTCAGTAATGTGAAGGAGTAGAACATTTTTGTTTCAGAACTTGTTTCATTGGAAGCTGTATATTGAGCTGATAGAAGTTTTATTGGTCTTAATCCGCTAATAATGTCTTTTTCCATGTTTGAAATTTTGTAATGTTTTTTCAGACTAGTGCTTGGACTGCTGAAGGTGCTCTTAAGTACAAAAACTTGTTAGGTTATGGTGATCTGTGGGATGCCTCTTTGGCCTATGGTGCCAACCAAGCAACGGAGGTGAGTGTAGGGGTGTATGCCCCTCACCTTAAAGGATTGTTGACACCTCTTGTAGCACGACTATCCATGCTTTCCCAAGATTGGCAAGAGTTTTCTTCATACAAAGAGCAATTGTTGGGCATGTCTCTTGGCTTAATCTCAACAAAGCACCATGACTTAGTATACACTCTTGGATGGCGTACCTTGACTGATCCATCACAATTGTCATCCAGGTCTATAAGGAGGCAGCTTGGGCATGGTTTGCTATCCTCTTTGAAGTATACGTTCAAAATTGACAGGAGAAACTCACCAATTAGGCCAACAAAAGGATATGCTTTTCTTTCTACCACTCACGTTGGTGGTCTTACGCCAGATCATCGGAGCTTGCGGTTTTTGCGTCAGGTTTGATTTATTCTTTAATTAATCTGCTGAAATGTAACTGGTATGAATAAAACATCATAATCTTTCTGTTTAGTGACAGCAGTGTAGCAATTATTGAAATGGTTTTATGAGTGCTAGAATTTCCAAACTGACGCAGACAATAAATTTTTCAATGAATTGATTAAAATTAAATTAAGGATCTGTAAATCAGGGTTAAAACGTCAGATTTTTTGGGTATGGGTAGAGTCCATCTCCTTGCACAGATGAAAAATTAAGAACCTGGTATTTGGAATAATATTCTTTTCCTATTCATGATGTCATCATTCCATTTTAATTCTGTTGGTTGTAGAAACTAGAAAGAGTATGGGGCACTTGTTTCACCTGGGTAGGGCCTTTTCATACAATGGAAGAATGACTCTGCTTTGCCTGAATTGGATGCTCATGTTGAAAAATCTATTTGATCATTCCCACTGCTTGAAAAATCTTGGCACTTGTGCATTATTGTTTGCTTATGCCTATGGCCTTATGCTTTAATTGGTGGCTCGGTGTTATATATCTTGTGTAGTTCAGAAATCATATTTTATCAACTTGATAATCCAATTTTGTGGCAACTTGCTTGGAAAATGCTTTTGATTATAGTGAATACTAAATATTGGGGGATGAACCTTACGTGTTTTTAAATTGGAAATGGGGCTTTCCTGTCTGCATGGCATGGTGCTGGGGTTTGATGCAGGAGTTTGACTTATTTGTTTGAATCTTTTAATGCAGGAGTTTGATGTTCGCTGTGCTGTTCCCTTTGGGTTTTATAATACAGCTCTTAACCTTGGGATTTCTGCTGGTGCTGTTTTTCCATGGGGGCATGGTTTCATGAACAAGCCATCTCCTCTTCCTGAAAGGTTTTATTTGGGTGGTGATTTCTCTCCAGTTTGCACCATGGGGGGACCTATAACATTGTGGGGATTTAAAACTAGAGGATTAGGTCCTACTGAACCTCGAAGGCGAAGCAGAGATGAAATTATTGACAATGATGATTCCTCTAGATGGGACTTCGTTGGTGGAGATCTTGCTGTTACTGCTTTTGCCGACTTCTCTTTTGATCTTCCTGTTAGGTGGTTGAGAAAACATGGAATCCATGGCCATGTTTTTGCTGGTGCTGGGAATACTGCTAAATTAACTCAGTATGAGTTTAAGCATTTTTCACCTCGGAAGTTCTTAGAATCCTTTCGAACATCAGTGGGATGTGGATTTGTTGTTCCTACTAGACTTTTCCGCCTAGAGGTTAGCTTCTGTTTCTTCTTCTTTGCATTTGTTATTCCTAATTTGATATTTGATTGGTATTAATGAAGGCTTCCTATGATTTCTTCATTGACACATTTCTTATTGTTTCAGGGTAACTTCTACTACGTACTCAGGCAAGCTGAACATGATCGTGGAAAAACTGGATTTAGGTTCAGCTTCTCAGCACCTTCTTAGAGACTTGGTTCACAATTGAGATTCTTTTTCTCTTTATGTAATTCTCAAGCTTCAAATATTTTTGCTCTGTCACTGGATGGGTGGTACTTTTCTATTCCTTGTCATTTGAAATCCAGACTGAAAATCAAGAAAGTTTGTCGTTTCAGCGTTGGGGATTTGTAGGATCAGTCTTTGTAGTAGAAATTACCCCGTGGAGCTCATAACATATAAGCCGATGCTCATTGCATGGCAATGGTGTATGAAAATTGAAATTCATTCACTCGTGAACTGCTACTTTAGAAGGCCCTCGATTGGCACCGAGAATTCTCAAACTTTGTTTGTTCAGCTTAAATGAATAACTCCCTAACATTGGTTGAGGTCATTATCGTGGATGTTCCGCGGATTGTCTTCCAAATGTTAAAACAATTGGCTTTGTGCTAGTGTACTTGTATATTTGATGGATGGTGTTCCGGAAGCTTTTTGTTAGTATACAGGGGTTAAAATTTGATTTTCTGTCAATATTATTATGCTTACAATAAATGTATCTGACCCACTTACCAAAAGGTATCAACAAGATTAATTGATTCGCGTAAACTTACGCCAAGGTCAGAACTGGCTGATCTTCACTCTATCAAATTCGAAGAGAGTGCAGATGAGGTAATATCTTTTGGTACTTCCTGTGAGAAAGTGGCCAATTATTGATACCACCTGAAGCGCACAAAAGTCCGAAAAGGAATGAATTGGACATCAGTATCTTGTTTCTTTCTGTCCTCGAGTTAAGCCAGCTTAAACCTGGGAGATGTCATGAGCGAGCCAGAAAGTAGAACCAGGAGGAACACGGATCTCACATTGTGAATGAGACAACTCTAGTTAAGACTGAGTGAACCTTTTAAGCGATGCGAAATATGGTTTGTATGAGTGGTTTCTGAACCACTAGTCCTTCCTAGATAGTTGGATATATGTTTGAAATATTATATTTTCATACTGAATGACTATCAATAAAGGACTGTTGGTGATACAGGAAGCTACTACTTATAGTTTGTTATTTTTGTATTGTCAAGTCTCGTCAAAGTTGCGCCTAGCCGACAACTAATATAATTAGAAAACAGTTAGAAGTATACTTTTTCAAACACTGCATTATTATTACTATTGTCATTATTATTGTTACATGGGTTTCACGTAAATTTCATCTATATTAAAGAACGTGTCAAAAGGAGAGTAAATAACGCTAACCTTTCTTATGTAATTAAGCATAGTCAGGAACCTGAGGTCGTTATTTGATTTGACGAGGCTCTTCTATCAGGGATTTCTGTTTATTTGTTGCTTAGTGAAGAAAAATCCGATTGTTGTTCAGTATAGTCCTCGACAGCTTTCTGGGTTCATCACGTGAGCAAGCTCGCCACGTATTTCTCTCTTCATTATAACTAAAACAGAATTCCATTAACCATGGAAGCTCAAATGTATTACGAATGCATTTGATCAGTGAAGACACACAACTTATACTTCATGTTACACAAATGGTGGAATCTAGTATGTGTGGGCATGCATCATATAGAATTTAAACTCAGTAAAATTATTATTATAAGCAGTAAAACAACCAAATTTTAATATAGTTACATTTATAGACACTCAAATTCCATACCATTAATAATTATCTTAGATTTTAATAAAATACTATTGATGGTAATGGTAATACAAAAATTGTTGATAAATTGCATAGCTATCATTTATTGTGAGCAAATTTTCATTTTAAAAAAAGTAAATTATAAAAAATGTGGATGAAAATAAATATTATATATTTATACAACACTTTTTTATCACTCTTTATTTATTGTAGATTTTATTAAACAAAGAAGTTTTATAAATTAAAACGTGGACAGTGTAGTGTGGAAGAGAGTGACGGAAACATGCTATGCAAAGAACATGTGAAATTCAAGTAGCCAATCCGAAATGGATGGAGAGGAAAGAGTACCCTCTTGCATGACTCATTGTCTCTTCTTGCGACTCCCTCTACTCCTTCTCCAGGGTATATGCTTATAGCATCTTCTTCTGATACCTCTCTCTCTCTCTCTCTCTTATTTCTCTATCCATCACTCATAATAGGAACCTTCGTTCACTTTCACTTCGAAGTTGAAACAAATCATGCTTCACTCCAACACTTCTCTCCTTCCCCACACCAATCGTTTTGTTTTCTCTTTTCGTTTCAAACCTTCGCATTCTTATTCACACTCTCACTCTCTCTCCTTCTCCAATTTTCTATCTCTTCAACACCATTCTCCTTCTCTCTCCTCATGTTGCCGCGTCGCACGTGTCTCCACCGAGGCGTTGGAGTTGTCGCCACCGCCGCCCGGCTTCAACTTTCGCCGCGAAATCGCCAGGCTCGCCGCCCTCCGCGACAAGCTCGCCGCCTGCGCCACTCTCGAGGACAAGCTCCGAGTGATAGACGCCGATTCCAGAGTGAATCGTTTTTTCGGTCCCCGCCACCGGAACAGCCGGTTCAGTAGGGTTTTGGCTTCGCTTCAGTTGAACTCTGATGAATTGTTCTTGCTCAAGTGCTTGGTTGCTGCGGGGCAAGAGCACGTGCTGTGTTTGGGCGGAACCGAATCGTTGGACTCCGCAGGCACTGTGAGCTCCATCAAGAGCGCGCTTTATGCTCTGGCGGAGTGGATTGAGAACTTCGATTCCTATAACGGTAATGCCGGTGTAGATTTGGGGATGACTTTGGGTGATGGTGAAATTCGGGACTTGAACAAGTTGTTGGAGACTTTGGCAGAAATTGATCGCTTCTATGACTGCATTGGAGGGATTATTGGGTCAGTTCTTCATTTTCTATTTCTACCATTTTTTGTAATAAATATAAATCCCTTAGCAATTTTAGTTCCTCCAATTTTGTGGGAATTATGAGAGAGAGTGGGAATAAATGCTGTAAAGGTTTTTAACTAATACATGAACTTTTAGGAAGAGGTTGTATAACTGCTTTTTGTCCCCTTTTTTTTGCTGGTATAAATTAGATTTAACAGGGGTGAATGTAGTTTAGGAATAAGTAATAGTTGTTTGCTAAATTAATGTACTGCAGATACCAGATAACCGTACTGGAACTTCTTGTTCAAAAGTTGTTTGAGAGTCAGAATAAAAACTGGTCCCAGCATAGGCATGAAATGAAAGAATGCCAAATTTTGGGAATTGATGCACCTAATGGGCTTGACCTATCTCAAAATACGGAGTATGCATCTCAAGCAGCTCTATGGGGTATAGAGGTTAGTATAAATAAATTTACCTGGTTCTGGTTCGTAATTTGTGTCTAAATTGAGACGCTTCATAGCTACAGGGAATAATAAGATCTTGTCCTTTTAGGGTTTGCCAGACCTAGGTGAAATTTATCCTTTGGGAGGCTCTGCGGACAGGCTTGGTTTAGTTGATCCTAACACAGGTGAATGCCTGCCCGCTGCAATGCTACCGTATTGTGGAAGGACTTTGTTGGAAGGTCTTATAAGAGATATTCAGGTATTAGTATTACATCTCCACCAATCATGTAATTATACTTTTTTGTGCTCATTTCTTGATAAAAACAAGACAAGATTAATCATCATTTATGTCGGGTGCTGAAATATCTAATTCTTCCGATTCACATTTAAAGGCTAGAGAATTCGTGTACTTCAAGTTATATGGGAAACAATGCATCACACCTGTTGCAATAATGACAAGTTCTGCAAAGAACAACCACAAACACATAACTTCTCTGTGTGAAAGACTTTCCTGGTTTGGAAGAGGTCAATCAACTTTCCAACTTTTTGAGCAGGTTTTATATATAAATCTATACCATTGCTTCTCAGGGGGGTCGATCTTATTTTGACAATCTCTAAATATCTAATTTGTGAATTGGCAGCCTCTCGTTCCAGTTGTTGGTGCAGAAGAAGGACAGTGGCTGGTCACCAAACCATTCAGTCCCTTGAGCAAGCCTGGTGGTCATGGTGTCATATGGAAACTTGCTCATGACAAAGGCATCTTCAAATGGTTTTATCATCAAGGCAGAAAAGGTGCAACTGTGCGCCAAATCAGGTCTGTTGTTATGATTGATATCTTGAGTGTTTGTTTTTCCTAGTTTTCTAGCAGCAAAACTCATTTTTTACAGGTGACTGATACTGGTGACCTTGCAGTAATGTTGTCGCAGCTACAGATTTAACCCTCCTGGCCTTAGCAGGGATAGGCTTACGTCAAGGAAAGGTATGGGTAGCTTGTTTTGGTTGATAATGTTCTTGTCTATCCCTATATTGACAAAAAATAAGAACACGATATAATAAATGGGTAAAGAATGCTTTATCATCCTTAGTTGCAATTCCTTAATATCTATCTATCTTGTAAAATTTCTTATGTATAAGATTTGGGTAAATCAACTAATAACAGATGCTTGCAACTTTGAGAAGTAATATACCCAGTAACAAAACATATACCAGAGTCAATCTGTTTATCCTTTAATTGCGCTGTTTGCATGTGGCATTATCTCTACTTAATAGTTTGTCATGCCCAGAGACTTTAAGAAAAAAGGACAAATGCTATTTTCTCTAATATTTCTTTAACTAACAGTCTGAAATCACAAGTTGAATAAGATTGGTTGTACTCTATTAACTGTGCATGTTTAACAGAAACTGGGATTTGCATCTTGTAAGCGTATCTCAGGTGCTACAGAAGGAATTAATGTGCTGCTGGAGAAGAAAAGTCTTGATGGGAACTGGGAGTATGGTGTGTCTTGTATTGAATACACTGAGTTTGATAAGTTTGGAATTACTGACAGACCTCTTGGTTCAAAAAGGTACTTGATTTTCCTCTACCTGATTTATTTAAATCTTTCACCTATCTCATAAAATGTGATTTGACTTTTCATCAGCTAAACTGACTTAATATGTTCAAACTTGGATTCCAGATTCGGTGATATATTATGCAGCTTTAAATTATTTGCAATGCTTTAGCTATGATATTCTTCTAGTGAGACACTATGATAGGAATTGTGCCCTATCCTCTAGATGGGGAAAGGTCTACCAGCATAGATCCAAGACCATTAGGCCTTCATGTGTGAGGGGAAATTTTTTTTGTAATAGAATCAGGAGTTAGGAGCAGATAGAGAAATTTGTAATAAGTTAGTTAGTGTGGATGGGAAGGAACGTGCAAGCTAATTCTATTATATTGAGTGTTGTTTGTATAGAGAAGGGTATCTTAGGATCTGAATTGATATTTTGGGACAGAGAGATTATCTCTTGCTGGGAGAGCATTGCTCTCAGAATTCCTTCATTCTTTACCCCTTTCTATTCTTTCTTCTTAGTATATTCTTGCTTTGTCCCTTTGATACTATACCTATCACACTCTTACAAATGAATAACTTTGATAATTAAGAACACGATATCCCCCAGCTTGTGTTGATGTTGATAATGGCATGCATCTTATAACGCTAAAATGAATGCATTTGATATTATAGGTTTCTTTTCTTCAGGAGAATATCATAACAGTTATAGTCATATGTAAAAATCCCATACCCAAGAAACATGAATGCCTATTTGAAGCCTTGGTTTGTGTTCTTTGAATCTTATTTGCTGAAAACAGACATATTTTTTTTTGCTCAATTGCAGTGTCACTTGATTTGATGGTGTGGGTTTTTTATTCTGTCTGCTTTTTGGGCTTTCTAATTTGTAATGTATATCCCAAATATAAACTTTATTTTGTGTAATCAAGTTTGCAGGAAGAGTTCCCAGCCAATACAAACATCTTATATGTTGATTTACCTTCTGCGGAGCTAGTTGGATCAAGTAAAAATGAATCTAGTTTACCAGGAATGGTGCTAAATACTAGAAAGCCAATAGTCTACTCAGATCAGTTGGGAAGACATCATAGGTATGTATTTCCCTGTGAATTTGTTAATGCAGTTCCATTACTTTTCTTTGTTTTATAGATTAAATTGAGGGTGAGCCTTGGCACAATAGTAAGGTTGTTGTTGTCTTGTGACTTGGAGGTCATGGGTGGAAATCCTAGAAAAAATCTCTCTGCTTGTGGGGTGGTTACTTCATCTACCTTTCCTAGACCCCACTTGGAGAGCCTCGTGCATTTGCATTACCTATTTTTATAGATTAAACCGGTATTAACTGAAGCAATTATATTTTCTCCAATTTATTTTTTTTCAAAATTACAAAATAGGGATACATGTTTAAACACAGCAGTTGATACTGAAGTGCTTCATAATGTGTAGCTTTTATATGACACTACTAGTTTGTATTCATGCATCTATCCGTTTCAAGAGAAACAAAAAGTTCTGATTTTAGATAAATAACACCACAAGTTGAAATTGATGGGTTTCCTTACGTGGCTTAAAAATAAAATTCATCCTTCCTTACTTTCTTCAGGGATTATCTATTATCCTATTTATTACTTATTGGTGTTGGTAAGGGTAGATTTGGTGTTTCTTTAATTTTCATGTATGGGTCATGTAAGTTAACTTTTCCTGTGATATCACTCTGTCTATATTGCTGATTCTTTCACTGCATGTATTACTTAGTAACCCTTTTTTTATTGTAATTTACTAGCGTCTCAGGTGGCAGACTAGAGTGCACAATGCAAAATATAGCAGACAATTTTACCAATTCATATTCATCTAGATGTTATAATGGAGTGGAAGGTACATCATGCATGTATTTGTTTGATCGGACAAAACATGTACATTTCCCTTTCACATTTAGTTGAGCTTAAAAAACCCTTACATATTTGTGAGCAGATAAGCTAGATACGTTTATTGTATATAATGAACGGAGAAGGGTTACCTCATCTGCAAAGAAAAAAAGAAGACATGGAGACAAGTCTTTGCGCCAGGTTTGAATTTGATTTACTGCATGCGTAAAATATCAATCTTATGTCTAGGTTGGGATGACTGAAACACTAAGTCACTAATGCATCTGATCTTCCATTGTGTTGATTTCATTTCAAGCTCCATATTGTCCTTTTACTCTTATTTCTTGTCCTTTTAGCTTAAAATATTTCCCAGGATGCTTGGGTATTGCTTACTTAATTTTGCAGTTGGTACTATCTGAGTATCCTACCAATGTGTTCTAGAACAATAGTGAAAGTCAATTAAGTATTAGGATTATTTTTAAGTTCCTCAAACATTTACTAAGACAAAACCTCCAGTTTGTATCTTGGACTTGTAATGATAGTTGCTCGTAAATAGAATCCCTTATATGTTTTGCATTCAAATGCAGACACCTGATGGCTCTCTGTTGGATATCTTACGAAATGCTCACGATCTTCTTTCACAATGTAATATAAGACTTCCTGAGGTAAATATGTATGCTGATATGCGTTTTATGCATAAATTTATTCATTTTCATATGTTTGGGTGTGAGTTGATATTGTAGTATACTAGTATGTGTGTGTAACCCCCTTTTTTTATGTAAGTTCATGTGGAACTGCATGTAAGAGTGTAAAGGGTGGATAATTATCATTTCTAGTTACATGTAGTTATTTTTGTTATGTTTTTCTTTCTACCACAGATTGAAGCTAACGAGACCTATGTTGATTCTGGACCACCATTTCTCATCCTTCTGCATCCTGCTCTTGGTCCCCTTTGGGAAGTTACTAAACAAAAGGTAACACCATGTATTATGTCAATAGTCATTTATCATTAATTGTCATCTTTGCATTATATTGTTTATATAAATTTTAAATTATTGAAATTTAATTGAATTCTATCAGTAAATGGTTATGTATATTCTAAACAGGTTTCAAGTTTTATCTTAAATGGGTCAAAGAAAGTATCCAAAATCAATTTATTAAATAAGCGTTCTATTCTAAAACATTATTCTTGTTAGTGAAATTGCATTAGACATGATTAATTAAAAAGTTCATGTCTGTCTTTGTGTTCAGTTCCACCCTTATAGTGTTCCAACACTCATAGGACACGAATGGAATCTTTTTATGCAAAATTCCCTCACTATTATTGGGATTTAGTCCTTTCTTTAATTCTATTTGCTTGAAATATAACAGTTCTACAGCTTTAGTAGGGTGAATTTTGTTGTTCATCTTTTATAGAAACAAAAATTCTAATTATTTTGTCATTCTTTCTTGTGATCAGTTTTATGGTGGTTCCATATCAAAGGGCTCTGAGTTACAAATAGAGGTTGCAGAGTTTTCTTGGAGGAATGTTCAGGTAATACTTATCAAATAGAATTTGTTAGCTTACATGGCATGGAGTTGCTAAGATAGTGTGCTGAAATTTGTGATTTGTCACTCTATTCCAGCTCAATGGAAGCCTAATCATAATAGCTGAAAATGTTATGGGCTCAATGAAGGTTAATGAGAGCGGTGAATCCGTACTACATTATGGGGAAAGGTACAGTGCTGTCTCTATCAATAGGAACTATTGTGAACTTGTATCCACCTGAGCTTACCTCCAGATCCAAGCCATAAAATTATTTGAGATTGCAAGCATCAAACATCTTTTACATTTATCTTATTATCATGCTAGGTGTGGAAGATGTAAATTGCAAAATGTCAAGGTATTGAACAAGGGAATTGATTGGACACATGGTGGAAACATATATTGGAAACATGACGTGAAGCGATCTGAGGTGCTGCAGATCAGACTGCATGGAAATGCTGAATTTGAGGCTACTGATGTTGTCCTACAGGTAAAAGGTTAAAGTTTAAGATATAAACACTTATTCTTTAATAAATTATATCAAAATGTTTATTGAAATAAGTTAAAAAGATCTTACAAAAATATGAATTATGTTATTTTCTTAAGCTGTCCGTAAACATTTTTGAATGCCCCCTTCATACATTCAAACAAACAAGCTTACTTTTTGCTGTTATTTTACTGATACAGGGAAATCATGTCTTTGAAGTTCCAGATGGCTATAAAATGAAAATCATTCCAGGCAGCGCAGGTCTCTTCAGCTTTAGAAATTTCTTTGGCTTGGTTGTTTTAGTTGCCTAAAGCAATATCTATTAGTGTTTTCAACTTTTCATGATTTTGGAGAATGTTACTCTTGTAATCCTTAGTCAAATTATATTTGTTCTGTATAGTCACTGAATGTTACTGATTTAAGTTTATGAATTGCGGTTCAGGTTTAGCAATCCAGTTAGATCCGATTGAACAAGACATGATGCACAGTGGAAGCTGGCACTGGAATTACAAAATAGAAGGTTCTCACATTCAGCTAGAATTAGTAGAATCATAGAACACTAGCCACTTTAGATATCTGCTGCGTGAATCATGGTTCACAGCTGGTATTGGAGTTGTTAATAATTTCGATTACCAAGTGACAGGTTGAACAAAAGTTAAGCCTTTGTCATTTTGGGTTGTTTTACACTTATGTTGTAAAATATTGATAGGCTTGTAAAATCCGTGTCTCTTCCCTCACCTTTCTTCTCCTTTGCCTTTTTTCTGTTTTCCCTTTTTTCCATAGGGATGATCTCCTTGTAACCAACATTGTAAACTCAGGAATTCAAGTAATGGATATGGATCTACTACATTAATTGCAGTTTGCAGACAAATTAACACCATTCATGTATACCATTCACAAAATTTACATCTCTGCATCGGTAATGCACGATTAAACACCCTGCAAGTTTGAGCTTCTAAAACCCGTATCATGGAGAAGTCCCAAAAAAAAAAAAAGTCAAAACTAATAGAAAAAAAAGTGGAATTCTGGATTATTGTACAGTGTTCTATTTGTCAACTAAGATATAACATTCTTCACAACTCTTTTGTCAAATAAAGAAGTAACCGAAGAGAAGAAGGGAAAAGCCTTTTATTTTCAAGATTTTCTTTTTTGGTTGAAGATCAATGCAAATTTAATTTTTCACGGTCACTACATAGTGGTTAAACATCACACTGGTTCTGACGAAAAAAATTATTTAGTGCTTCTACTCTTAAAGCCCATAAAGTAATTCAAAGCCCACTTTGGTAAATGCAAATAACTTTTAGTCAGACAATAAGTTAATCGTTGAGGGAAAAATACATAATAAGTTGTTTAGAACGTACATAAACACACAAAAGATTGAAGAAAAAAAGCACATTAGAGTCTCACCATTTAGTGTGGGTTGATTCAAGTATAATATTAAATTAAATTTCACCTAACTTGATTAAAAGTATTTCGTATTGAATTGAATGGTTTATATATATAGTTAAATGATGGTAAAAAAATATTTTGTTTTAATTTTTAACTAAAAATTATTTTATATAAAATGAAAAATTTATATAATAAAATATATGAGACATAAAAATTAATTCAGAATTAATGAACTTGTAAAAGTGTTAAAATAATAAGATGTCTCTCTAAAATATTATGATTTTGAGAATAGAATTATAAAAAAATGATTAAGCATTGTAATTTTAAAATATGTATTTATACAAGTAAAAATTTAATTTTATAAATAAAATTATATCTGCATATAATTTTACATTAAATTAAAGTGATTCATTTTTTAAAATTAGATGTGAAATTCGGTCTAATTTAATGATGAAATTCATTTTTTATATTTTTAAAATTTTTAAAGTTTAAAATTTATATTTTACATTAAATCAGTTTATCAATACTTCAACTCTTCTAAAGTAAATTCTTAATCTTAAAATACTTATTCTAACGTAAAAAATGCTTTTAATCATTAAGTAAATTATCCTCCGACCCTGCCCCCCAAAATTTGTTTGGGCATTTCATTTGTCTTCCCCTGGAAAGGTGGAGGCTGCATTATCATCTTCTATGCCCTTTTCAATCTTCCACTCAAGTCTTTGAGGTGACGTTTACTCATTTGTTCTCCCTTTTCATAATCACTATTTTCAATCCAAATAAAATAATATTTTACAAGTTAGCTTCGTTTTCATTGTTTTCTCTTCTCTCTCTCTCTCTCTTTTTAAAAGGCTATACACTTCCATTGCCTGCCTAATAAAATTAAAATTCCAGTGATTTTTTTTCTCTGTTTTCACTCGGAATATCACCTTTCCATTGTAAGTAATAATAATAATATATTAGATAAATGTTAACCAGCATTCATTAAGGAATAAAATTTAAAAATAAAAATAAAAATATATATATATGTATATATATATATATATATATATATATATATATATATATAACTTCCTGTAATCAAACACAATTTTTAATAAAAAATCACCATTTTGATTTCTTAACCAATACACTAAGGACACCGGCTAGAAAACCCTTATTATTATAAACTTTCAATTGTTGGTGCCATTTTTGCTCATTGTTATATTCATATTTCTAACCAACTGTGGTATGGAAAGGAGCAACCAATTGGTGTGGAATAAGTTAAAGATAGACAGTCATTTTATGTTGATTCTTAACATAGTGTCAAGTCTTCTTCATCGGGTGATGAATACTTTACTGATTAATGTTTCAATTCTTCACATTTTAAGCAAATATTTTGGTGAGAAGTAACCGGCTAAAGATAAAATGTCAATTTTTAGTATATCATCATTGTATGAAACATTAAAAATATACCTTTCAATTTTCATTTTTATTGTAAGCTTTTGAGTCTATAAATTCTTTAATTTCGTTTTGAAGCCATGCCAAAAATGGAAATAATGAGCACCAGACATAGCTATCATGCTTTCTAAAATTGTTCCGAAGCCTAACATGATAGATTGTAAGTTTTAAAATGAACTTTTTCGATATTAAATGTTCACCATTCAAGTGTATTAATAATGATAATGTCACTTTTTACAAACAGTTTAGATGTTACAAAAAAAAATTAATTCTTCACCATTCATTGTTTTTTCTTCTGCACCCACCAACAAGTATCTCACTTTATTTTTATATACTTGAAAAGTTTGTCTAAGTAACCTTTCTTGCATTAATAATTCATTTTGTTATTAAATAAGACAACTCAATTTAACTTTCTCTTTTTTCAGGGAACACAAAAGTTAGAGTACGGAAATGGATTATAACGGGTCATTTAAAACGTTGATCTATAACAATGAGAACACAAAGGTTTAACAAACGGAAGTGCTCCCATGATAATAAGTTGAATTGACACTTAAAAAAGAAAAAAGATCATTAGTGTTAAGGAAACAAAAATAATCAGCATCAGAAAACAAGTAACCGCCAGACCCACACCTTGTTTTTCTTCTTTGAGAAATGAAAAGGGTGACTTATATTAGTACTTTACATGCCTGATGGATGTTTTGATGTGGTTAAATTTGGCAAGGAAAGCTTTTGTTTCTATATGTTTCACCTTAAATTTGCAATTCCTGTGTTAGAAATTAACAAGAATAAAAAGAAATAACAAATGAAAAAACTAAATATCTTATGATAGAGAGCACAAAAAATACACGCAACACAATTTTTGGCTCCACTCATAGTGCCAAACTACATAAAAGTACTCATTTTGATCCCATCAGTTTCCTTCTTATGACCATACCCTATTTACCTCTCTCTACCAAAGGATAAATTTTAATTTTTATTGAGAATATTTCTTTGCTTCAATCAATCAAAATACCCCGTCTTTATTCATGAACTATCATGTCTGACTTGAAAACTACCAACACATCGCACCCATTGTCCGAATGAATCAATTATTTGGACCTACTTTTGCACTCCCAGTTTGAATGAATGATAGTAAATTAGAAATTCAATACTACCCAGAAAAACCAAAATTGCAAATGAATTTTTTTTTTTATATATAAAGCAAATAGAAAATGTAGTGAGAAGACAGCACTGGCCCATGCAGGACCCAACTCCCAAACCTGCTTCTACCTTCTTGTTAGTGGCACCATGATCAATCCAGCTGAGCTAATAGGCGATGACACGTAATTGCTCACAAAATAGACCCATGGGAAAGGGATTTTTTTTTAGAAAAACAAAAAATAACATTTTAAAAAAATATATTAACAATTTTTTTAACGTGTATCTGAAAATATTTATTTATTGAAAATCAAATACATTAAATGTTTTAAATTTTAATAAAAAATTATTATTTATTAAATTTTTATCATGTACTTTTAACACGTTAAAAAACTGAAATATTAATTATATTAATTTTAAATGCTTAAATTCTAAAAGAGGGAATAGAAATAGGTACATAAAGGACCATATATTTATGAAAGCAAAGGATAGAGGAGTATAGAGCAACATAGGAAAGTGAAAGCAAGTGAAAGCCATGAAGAGTTATGAGCCCCGTTCAAGCTCTTCATGTGCAGCTTGCAAGTTGTTGAAAAGAAGATGCATACCCAATTGTATTTTTGCACCTTACTTTCGGTCCGATGAGTGTAAGAAATTTGCAAAGGTGCACAAGGTGTTTGGAGCCAGCAATGTGAGCAAGATCCTCATTGAAGTTCCAGAAGAGCAGAGGGAAGACACAGTGAATTCTCTTGCATATGAGGCAGAGGCAAGGCTTAGAGACCCAGTTTATGGATGCATTGGTGCCATAGCCCTTTTGCAAAGGAAGATGGTGGAGCTTCAACATGACTTGGCCATTGCTAAGGATCGTCTTGCTCGTTGTCATGCTGCTGCTTCTGCTGCTACCAACCCTTCTCCTGATATCTTGCTTGCCCATGTTAGCTTGCCCCCCTTCCCTGACTTTTCCACTTCCACTGATTTCAATGATATCTTCTGCCACAGTTCTTCATCTCAATTATTGAACCGACATGAAACGGTGGATGATTTCAATCAAATCCCATATATATTTTAATGTTATGCATGTTATGGTCCCCCTTTAGAATGTACTTGTTATGAGTCTTCTGATCAATCAAAAGCAGCTACTCTGTCGTATCTGCTAATGAATAAGAGCTCCAAGAATGAATTGGTCTGAATTGAAAACTCTCAACAGAAATGTATTATTGTTTTGTGTTGAATTCCACGGTTCCTATGCTACTATAGCATTAGCAGCTAGGAACAGCTGGAAAATGATGGGTATCTTGGCCTTTTTAGTATAACTTTTGTAATAGCAAATTGGCAATAGGATTTTTGTTGTTCATGCTTTCTCTTGCCTGCCTAACTTTGCAAAGTGGCCATAAAATTCTGCTCCAAAATTCAGGTTCATATCAATCTTTTTCTACGAATTCCGATTATTTCAGACTACTTTTGTTTGGTTTGGTTTGGTTATAGTAAAGACACGATTATTCAGGCCTTGAGAGGCATCAAAAAGTGGGGGAGGGAAGGGGGGTAGTCTCTGAGTGTGAATTCAGATCACCTTCTAGTCTTGACGAATTGATGATAGAGACCTGAGCAGCCAGAGCATTGATTGCCATTACCTACAGGTGTGAGACACCATTCAGCACAAAGAAAGCAACACTACTAGTTGATTCTTGCTTATCTTTGAACGATTGCAGCCCAATACAGTGGGTCCAATCGTACTGTTTTAATGCAACATGGAGCGCCCATTATGATTTTCCCCCAAGTAAGGAACCCCACCAGTGGCCCTTGAGCTTTATCATAATGGGAATCCAAAGAGTAACTCCAAGACCGAAAGTTTTTAGTTTCTTTGGGTGATGCACATTTCTGACGGTAACAAGATATGACTCAAAAGAAAATGCCTACCATTCAAACTACACGAATTATCTGAGTTGCGCCACATACTTCCAAATGCACCGCAAAACAAGTTTGAACTGGCCTCATTAATTGATATCACATCACTAAGGCCCATTGCTACTTGTGTTTCTATAACAATTTCAGACTATATATCTGATAATGCTCCAACAGATTAGCATGCTACCAAATTGCAGTCTCGTGACTTACAAAGAGCATAACATGTGCACATGTTGTTCTTCATGTGAATTCTCAAAATCTTATTTCACATGAATATACAATCGAGGCATACAAGCAACGCACTCTCTCATACTTGTTTTTTTTTTTTTTAATAGTATTCATATTTATTACTACGTGAAATTCATTTAGTGTCACTATATGATGCAGTCCTCAACTCTCATTCAATAGGTTTCACACTCTATTTAGTGAATCTCATAATTGTCTATCAATGATATGTTGCTAGCACTTTTCGTATACAAATACTGAAAGCATTGAACTACTAGTTGATACATAACTTCTCAGTACCCTCAAATTTCAATAAAATATCTTAATACTCAAAATCAGGAGAGAAAATAAGTGAAAACAGATGCAGGAACAGAAGAAAAATATGGATATAATACACAAGCAACAATAGCTTCAAAAACTGGAAATTTGAAACAAATCAAACTATGGCCGAACTGTCTGAGAAGAAATTCCTTGTAGAGTCGGATCCAAGTATGGCCTTCACAAAGAATAGAGATGTCCAAACCAAATCGTGCTTCTGCCACAGGTAAAGTTCATCCACCAAATTTCAGATCATGTCTTTTTCCCGTTTCAAGAGAAGCACAAATCTATGAGAAAGAAATTTATCAGTAATGCAAAGTTAGCAATTTATTACAAAAGGGAATAATGTTAGACCTGAATCACGATGCAGACCAATCAAAATTTGCTCCATATTATAAAACTGTTTGCGTGTATCAAATTATAAATGCTCATGAACAAGGTACATGTGTCAATACCATTTGATGCCCCATTTACTTGGAACTCAGATATGACATAACAAGATCTAGTCTAAATTAGAAACACAGTAAAAAAATTGATAAAACGAAATGTTCGACAAAAAATAAAATAAACTATAAAACAGTGATTCTGCTTTGAAACAAAAGGACATGAAATCCCAAAACATGCAAGTCCTAACGTCATTATATGTAGGCTTGCTCAACCAAAAAACACAACCAAAGTAATCCGCCGTTACATTGTACAAAAATAGTATTGACATGACACTGCACAGTAAAAATAATAAAGCATCAATATGCAGTAATATTCCAATTTTCAAACGTAACAAACATAACATTTGCAAATTGCCACCAAAAATCTTCATAAGCTTGAGAACAAAAGGAACCAACAATTTTCTAATAAGAGTAAAAAGATAAAGATATTACAACGCTACAAAAATAGTGGTAAACACTAGCACACACCATTTCACTACAATTACTGTGTTCTGCACACATAAACTTTGATTACGATCGGAATGCATCGGATTCCGACCGTATTACCGGCGGTGACGTCATTGCCGTGAGGGTTTCGGCTTCGGTGAAAACAACTCTACAATCGATGTCGTTTGTGAAAGAAACACGCCAAAAAGTAGATCGTTTGTGGCTCTGCGAATAGGGGTAACATTGTAATTGTACTGATGTATTTTTTGTTTTTGTCAAATACCAAGCCCGAATGATGTTTGTATGTGATCCACTTACTAAATTGGGTCTATAATGTAAATTGGGCCTGGGAATCACATCCCTCTTTTTTATTTCAAAACTTTTTAAATTTATAAAAATAATATTTCTGAAATTTAATTTTAAAAATTATTTTAATTCAGTTTTAAAAATTTATTTTCTAAGATATAATAAAATGTTTTTTTCAAAGATTAAATTATAAACGTAATTTATAAATTACTTTTAAATTTAATTTTAAAAAAGAAAAAAAAACTCAAGGAAAATGAGAAGAGAAATTCAATTAGAAATTTTTTTTAATATAAATTATTTTAAGTATCTAAAATTAATAAAATTTTAATGAAAAAACTATTATATTTTTGCATATGTTAATATTTTCATAATAAAAAAGTCATGCTCATGATATGACTTGTGGTTTTTCATTCTCCCAGTCCTAGTGCACGCACACAGTAGATGATATTAGTGTAAAATGATGTTCGTTTCATACCTTGCACGTGGGAGTGTAAAATGAATAAAAGAAAGAGGGATAAAAAAAAAGTGGCATAATAATAAATAATATAATAAAAAGAATACAATTCTAGAGAATATAAGAGAAAAAACCTGAAAATTAAAAAGATTAATATTTTTAATTATAATTGGAAACAAGTAAATATAATAATTATAATTATTGTTCATCTAACAAAATTATATTTTTAATATTTTAAAATATTACAAATTGCTGGATTCGAAGATTTTCATTAGAAAATGGATCTAGAGTCTTGAGCCTTCTTATGGGAAAAACTGCATAAAATCCAAAAGAATGCAGGCAATATTTATTTTTCAAAAGCTATATTTATTATGTATTTTAGCTAATTGATAAATAAAAAAATTTATACTGATAGTACTTTAAAATTAAATTCTTATTTTTATTCATAAAATTATCATTTTAGTGTCTTTTCATTAAACTAATTATGATTAAGTAAACTCGATATCGTCCTGAGTATTCATAGCACGACATTTTTTCCTATGAAAATGCTAAAACATGGGTTAGATAAGATACCAGAAAAGAAGAAAAACTTTGAGCATGAAAGGTATTGAGAAAAAAAGATTGCTTCGAAAACATAACTCTTTAAAAAATTTATACATGCACATTTTATTCGAAACATTTATAATTGCTTGAAATTATTTTATTTGAAGAATCCTTCAAACCTTATCTTAAAGCACCCAAAGGATCATTTAGTGTAACATCAAATCGAATTAAAGAAAAATATGAACATAAAAAAAAACAGAGGAGAGGGAGGGAATAATTATGGCAACATCCAATGCATTCTTTTCGTACCCATTTGGCCATTATATTTATTGTAATAATCATATATTATTATATCATTGTGCAGTTATACAGTCAATTATACTGAACATGATTACATACAAAGTATGTAATTTATAATAAAATAATCAAATGTCGCCGCACATGAAATATCCAATAATTAATGATATTCTTAGTCTGCATATTACTCTTATCAATGGGCAGAAGTTGATGCATGCATCAAGTTCTTCAAAGAAAAACTACCAATATGCTTTTGGAATAATTAAAATTTCTCTGACATGCGTCATGCATATCTTGTACAAAAGCTAAACAGACACAATCCACTTTTTATGGAAAATTTTATATAAAAACTTTTCACGTTTATGTATGAGTTACAAATAAAAAATAAGGGGGGAATTTTTTGACAGACATCATTGTTACACCAACAACTTAACAAGTCTACAATTAAAATAATGCATTTAATACTATGAAATGCAACAGTGCCAAAATGATAGCTTCATACAAAGGACCCGACCATATTCCTCTACTCATTTCAAAATTAATTATTGCATGAACTACTAATGATACATTCGTTTTTTTGTGATTGGAAGATGTATCCATTATTTGATAGGTAAAAGCCAAGTAATAAAAAATAATTCTTATGAGTATTTATTGAGTTTAGATTTAATTATAATCGTTGTTATCACCTATCATATATTTTTTTATATATGTTCAGAAAGATATATAATGTTTTCTTCTTCTTCTTCTTAATTTTAGTCTAATGATATTTTTCTGTTACAATTAAGTCCTTCGAGTTTTTAAATTCTCAAAGTGAAGTCATTTCATCAAAAACATTCATTTAAAAAATATAAATTTCATATATTAAATAATTTAAAATCAATTTTTGTTAAAAAGAATATCAATCATAAAAGAGATTAATTTTTTTCTGTCTTCAAAATCATAATCTTACATGCTGCAATTTTTAAATTTTTTTTATTAAATGTTTGCGTCCTGCATATTTTAAAATATAGGAAAAGGTAACTGAGCCAATTTAAAAGAAAAAATAGTGAACACGAAGTTAAGAAATTCCCCTTCTACTTATAGAAATATAGATAAACTTTAACTCTTCTTAAACATACATGTGTTTGCTTTTTATACACGAGTTCAAGTGAACAAATTTATATAAAGGGAGCAAGATTCGCAGGTGCTTCGTGGAAGTGGAAGGGTCTTGTTGCTCCACGAATCTGAGATAAGAAAAATTTTGAAGATTAGTGATTTATTTGTTTTACAGTTTAAAAAATGTTTTTTTGACTTTTAATAATAAATATATATATATTGCATTACTTATATTTAACGATTTAAAAATAGTTTTATTTAACTTTAAATTAAATTGATACTGAAAAGGGGTTGGTACTCAGTGGGAATCGCATAAAATCAATTTCAATTGGAAAAGGGTAAACAGTAGCAATGTTTGCCAATCATGTATTCAGTCTCGATTATTCCTTAATTTTTAAGACATTATTAAGAAACTATTAGTTATTATTTAATAAAATGATTATTTATTATTAATATATTATTACTGGGATTTTGAATAAATATTGTATTTATTAAATTTTTAATTAATGCAAGTAATAAGACCCTATTGTTAATCCATTTTACACATTAAAAAAAGGCAAGTCAAGAATAATTACACAAGTCAACGTGGCAGGAAAAAACAAAGGTTGGCTCATAAATTCGATTCACCGAGGAAACGGTGAAAACTATCAACGGCGGAGGTGGGGACGGCCACCGTGACCTTAACACTCTCCCATTCACCGGTGACCGGCAAAAACAAACAATAGCGATCGCAGCAAATGGGACCCACATGCAACGGCTTCCCCATTCCGAGTTCAACCCTCTCAAGACCCAGTCTCGACCACTGCGACAATATCAGAACACCCACCGAGTCAGGACTCGCTCTCGACTCGGACACCAACTCAGCCACCCTCCTCACGTGCTCGCTATCCACCCTCTCCTTCGCCCTCTTCACCAGACCCGACCCGAACCCGACCCCTCTCTCTCCCAGTTCCCTCGCGCTGCTCTGTGCGCACCCCAAAACAAACGCGTTCCCATAATACCCCTCCGGTAAACCCGGTTTAACCCGGTTCCTCACATTCACACTGAACAAAAGCTTCAGCGTTTGGTTCGCCGGAAACCCCAATGCTCTCGCCCAGCTCCTCCACACATGCGCTGCCAGCACCTCAAACGACGTGTACGACGACTCACCCAATTTACACGTGCGCCGCGCCACCGTCTTTAGCGCGTTGATCCTTCTCTCGTCGAACACAATGCAAATAGGTTTGAGCCCACTCGTGACCCGGTTCATGAACCCGCACAGATCAGGGACCCGGTTGAACTCGGGGTGAATCGCCGGGTTTGCCCGATTCGTCGTGGCCGGCGGCGGGTTGAGAAGGTGGCGATCCCAAACCGGTGTCGGATTGCCGCCGGCGCGTTTCCCGGAGGCTAAATCGGAGAAATAATTGAGAAACTCAGCGCTCCCGATGCCGTCGCAGATGCAATGGTTAATTCCGATGCCGACGGCGGCGGCGCCGTCGGCCAGCCACGTCAGCTGTAGAACGAGCGGCGGCGATCCTTTGAGAACGTCGGTGACGTAGAGAGACAATAGTTTTCTCCATTGAGTCACTGTTTTAGGAGCTTTTTGGAAATCGTTGACAGTGTAACGTTCGGAAAAGGCTTCTATAAAGATCGCCCCCTGGGCTCGACACACTACCTCGAGGCCCGGGCCATCAGGCCTGGCCCGAACCCTTCCTGCAAATGGGTAATAGGGAACAAGAGCTTTGGCTAATGCAGCTTTGAAACGAGACGCGGTGGCAATTTGGTCGAGGCCCGGGGCGGGCCTGTATACTAAGAGATACTCTATGGTGAAGCGAAGAAAGAGTTGTGAGTCAAGTGCTGAGAGCGGGAGAACACCACTTGGAGTGGGCTCAGAAGGTGTCACCACCACAGCTTCTTTCACTCGCACCGAACTTCCCATCTGATCGGTTATGAAAGAAAGATTAATCAGAGAGAAAGAGGGTGGTGTGTGGGTTTGGGTTTGGGCTTTGGTGGAAGTGGTAATGCATGTGGCAAAGGGTGGTATTTGTAAAGGGGAACCTGTGTTTGTGTATCTTTTATGTGTCTAACTGTGAAAGATTTGTGGCAAGATTCTGCGGGCATCGCTTTATGGAAGAAATTTGAAAATAAAAATACAAAAATAGTAAAATGGCTGTGCTGGCTTTGCTTTCTGTCTGATAGCCACTCATCTGATCAAAATTAAATCTCCACGTACCCCCAAATTCCTCCCTAAATCTTTTTTGTTGTTTTTCTCTTTTTCCTGTTTGTGACAACCTCGTCGACGTGGGTGGTTCCTCCATTTTAGATATCCCTCTGTCTATTTTATGTCAGTAGATTTATCCTGAAAATAACATTTATTTTCAAAAGCTTAAAGCCATTTCCTTAATGCTTATGTCTTGTGTTGCATGCATGGATCCACATGATTGGGAGCAACTTGGCCGTGGGGTCTAAAAGATAAAAAGGAAAGTATTCTGTTAATTATTAAATACTTGTAAATTTAACTATGGTGAAGTGTCAGCCTTTAAAAAAAATTCAGGATATTCTCGTACCTTTTTAAAGGAAGAGATTTTTTAACGTTGATTTAGGACGCATATACTTTTCTCATTAAGAGAAAAAATAAAGAACAAAAAAAAGTGATGATATGAATGATGCAATAAAAGTTAACACAAGATGAGATTATATTTTAACCAGGTGTTTGGGAATAATTAACTGTGTTTTTCAAAATAATGAACGGGAGAAAAGATGTCAGAGAAAGAAATAAGAAAATAACATTTAAAAAAATGTGACACCTTTTGACATATAATGCTTAACCCTTTTTATTTACATGAAAACATATCTCGGTAAAGTGGCTATCTTGTTCATGTGCCAAAATTAATGACGCCTAGCTAGGTGACTGCTGACTGGCCATATATTGTTTTGCCCAGGTTTATGGATTATACCCACTGTGAATGTATGTGATATCTTGGATTCTTCTTATATAATATTTAAGAATAAGAAAATTGATTCTTTAATATCCAAATTCATATATACCATCATGATGTTAATATTTAATGCCTTTTGTCATTTCAGCATATTATGTTCAATCATATACGGATAGAATTTCTTCTCTGTATAGAAAGGGTGCAGACGTTGATGCAGGGAAATTAAGAAATATTAAAAGTAACTTTAACGAAAGGTTCTTAAAAACAAATCATTATTGTATAATAAGTTATGTGATTAAAGTTATTATTGTGAAAAGAGAAGATTGCTATATAAAAATATTATTTATTCATTTTCTCTAATTATAAGAATAAAAAATGCTATAGGAAGATAAAACCAAACATATTTAAAAACTACATGAATTACTTGATCTGTTGATATCTTCATATTGATCGTATGTAACATTTTTTTTCACATTTTAGATGCACGTGTACTTAGAATATTAACATTGTACCTAGGAATACATAAAAATTTAAAATTTCCATAACTCAACATCTGGTGTATAAGTTTTAAATCACTAACTTTCAGATCCAGTATATTATGTGAAAACATCAACTTACCAAATTACTTTAAATTGTTACTGTTCTGTTCTCGCAGCTCACACCCCAAAACTTGTCATTTACACATCTACGTGAATTAACATCACATTAGGTGCCAACAAAAATCAATTCAATTGATAAGAATCGACATCTTATCTTATAAAGACACAAATTTGAATTTCATTGTTAATGTAAAAACTTCATTATCCTTGGAGCTCACAATTGATATAAAAACCAACATAGGATACTCTAGTAATAGGACACCACCTTAAGATAGGTTACATAGCTCACATAAACAATATATGAAGTTTGTGCACAACCATATGCGCCAAGCTAGGATGAATATTTTCTGGGAAAGAAACCAATATTGTATATTTTGTAACTTTATTCGACGTGAGCAAATCTCAAACTCAAAAGAATATATAGGCTATTGAAGGAATATATACAGTCACAAGTCGATCCAGATAATATCCAAATTGAAGGAATATTATTGTCCTAGTGAAATTTCTTGCTTAAGCTTCATAATTCATGTGTGTTCGGTAAAAAAAAAGTATCAAGTGATGGCTCATTTTTTCTAAGGAAAAATAAAAGGTCTAAAAGGAGAGAGGAATAATGGAATAAGTTTAAAGCATGCAGGTGAAAATATTAATCACTGAATGAAAATTTTGTGAAAAATATCAAAGTTTCATTGATCATATTGGGCATACATTGAAGCTAGAGAGAGAGACATTAAGAGGGACAATAGGTTGATGCCTACATAAGTATGTATAGTCTTAAGATACTGTTGTCGGTTTGTGACGAATATTGTCGCCTGGATTTGTGGCATGTATAATAAAGAAAAGGGGTATCATAGTCTAGTCTCCAAAATTTTGGAGTAGGTTGCAGAGGGGTGTGCTTTCAATGGTTCATGTTAATTCTAAATATATATGGTATTTGAAATTTAATCTGGATTAAATTTTAAATAAAAAAGCGATGACTCTGTAGAAATATATTATGATTTAGTTTAGATTAATTTAAATTTATATTTTATTTTAAATTAATCAAATATATTAATTTATTAGTTTTATACTATTTTTAGTTAAAGTATGAGACACAAAAAAATTAATAAATAAATTAAAACAGTAAAATTATTTATTAAATAATAATAATAAGATATAACTTTGACAATAAAGTTACAAAAACATATATTACAAGTATTATAAAATAAAAAAATCATGATAAAAAAGTTAACAATAATAATATTTTACTTTTAAAAGAAATAAATAAAGGTAAATTTTATATAAAAAATACTAGTTCAATCCATTTTTTCCACTAAATCTTACTAAAAATCCTTAAAACATATATGGGGTAAAGAGAGCAACAAGTGACCTTTTTTTTTCTTCTTTCGAAATAGTCATTCTTGATTCCATATCTACATACTGACTATATATCTCCCGTCACAAAGATTATTACTGACGCAGAGCACTTTTATGTGAAATTTGCTTACTAGTTTTTATTAATTTATTGACAAATATAATGACTTTTAGCATATCAAAAGGTATATATATTCACACAAATCACATCTAACCTAATCTGAGTCAAAAGATATAGATTTCCATAAATTCCATTAGTCGGTTTAAATGGGAGAGGAGATCTTTAATGCGGCAATTATTTTATGGAACACTTTGTAAGGTTTATGTTAGGGAAGGAGATGATCTTATGGGGATCATATACCCAAGTTTCTTAGATGTATGGCTTAGCTCTTACATAATCGATTTTGAATTACTTGAATTTTATAGGATAAGTGATTCATGTAAAACTTTTATGAATTAGAAAGTAAATCTATGATAAAATTAGTATGTAGTTTTTTAACTTAATTTTTGGTCAACTATAAAAAAAATAAAAAAACAAATAATGGTGTGTGTATGCAGAGTGAATTGGGCTTATCATTTTTCTTGGTCATGGGGCTTATAGTAATGAGTAAAACAAGAAAAGGAATTCAGTTTTCTCGAACCCAACGCATATGCTTAATGCTGGCCCATATGCATTTTTCTTACCCCCAAATGGCCCACTTCTTTCTTCAAACATTTATCAGATAGCCCTTTAGTTATTATTTTTTGATGGCATCCAAATCTCTATTAATACCTAATTTTAGCTTAATTAAAAATAATTATTAAAAACACTGTTATTTAAAATGTTTACCAAAAAATTGAATATCACTTCATAATACAAAAATATATTTATTTTTAAAATAACTAAATCATTTTGCAAAATAACCAAATATTTGTGGGAGTAGTAGTAACTTTAATATCCATTATCATATATATTCTACCAACTTGCTCATGGCAATTTACATAGTTGCATCACTAAGTTAACATTGACACCTTGTAAAAAGTAGTGTATAATTTAGCAAGTTCAAGGAGCGAGATTACTGAACTAGCTATACTCACTTGTGCATGATCTCAGTATCACCCAATTTCATTTTAGAAAGTAAGTTGTATTAAACTTTTTCGCTATAATCATTTAGTCACTTAGCTAAGCAATTTAAGCATCACACCCATTATTTAAAAAAAATTGTTTTAAATAAATTGTTAAATTTAATTAAAATATATCAATAATATAAATAATTTTTATAATATTACTATATAACTACAAATATTAATTTCTACAATAACTATTTTTACACTAAACCCTAATTTATTAACAATGAAATTATTATTACATCAATAAATTTATATTTTTGAATTAATTAATTGCAGTACAGTGATTAGTATTCTCCATTTTTATTAAGAGTAAGAGAGTAATTAAGCTTGAGAAACCGTGGTGGTGATGAATCCGGATCTCCTCATTTTTTAGCGTGAACTTGAGGGTTATGTTACTGTATTTTTATATTTTTGTTTAAGCAAAAAATTATTTGCTTAAGCAAAAATATAAAAACACACAACATAACAAGAGGGAATCCTTTTCCGGTGATGATCTGATGGAGATTAGACTTTTCATCAAAACATCTAAAGATGACAAATCTTGTGACTAAAAAGGTCAAAAGAAGAAAATCAACAAAATCATCGAATAATTCCAAATTGCCACTGCAAAGTGTGCTGGTGTAGTGGGGTGTTTCTTTCTTCCCTGCACAACAATCTCTCTCTCTCTCTTTCTCTCTCCACTTGTAGGTAGCTAGCACCGCCCTATTCAACCATTGAAAGAAGAGGGTTGAAACGAAACGAGACACAACACCACTCACTCTCCTAGAACCAATGGAACAACACTCTCCTCAAGAAACCACCACTCTTGGCAAAACGGAGAACAATCGCAAATGCAAAGGCAAAGCCAAAGGAGGACTGAAAACAACAAATTCAGATACCGCGGAGTGAGACAACGAAGCTGGAGCAAGTGGGTCGCTGAGATCTCAGAGCCTTGCAACCGAACCCGCAAGTGGCTCGGAACCTTATCCACCTCCCAAGACGACGCCCGAGCCTACGACCGAGCCGCCATCATCCTCTACGATTCTAAGTCTCAACTCAACCTCCGACCCTCTTCTTCCTCTTCCTCGCAAACCCTTCCACCCCTTCTTCCACATCTCTCTCGCTTAGCTCTCTCTTATTCCCATTTCCCTTCGTTCTGGGCCCTGTTAACAATGACAAGGACAACATGGTACAGCACAATCATAGTGACTCTCAACAAGTGGTGTAAGTGCAACACCAATAGTATCAATTATCCTCTGGATTCTGATGCCAGTGCATCGGATGGGAATGGGCCCGTTCACACTGGATCCAACGGAGGAAATTCTTACCAGAACAACGCAAGTCATCATCATGATCATGATGTTGATAATCCGGTGTGGATTCAAAACCAGTACCAGAATTGCCTGTACGAAGATGTGAACGATCCTTCGTGGGTTCAGTTGGGTCTACTTCGTTGACTTTGACTGCGCCTGCTGCTACGGATAACGATGAATTGGGTGTGGTGGGATCGGAACACTTGGACTCGAATCTCCATCCATGTGGCCTCTGTCCACTGATGATGAAGAGTACCCAACAACTTTGTGGGATTATAACGATCCTTTCTTCTTTGATTTTTGACCAATTTCGTTACTGAGGTGGCTTAGTTTACTAGCTTTGGACAAACATTTTCCAAACGTAATGAAACAGAAACATATATGAATTTATTTTTCCGGCCAACCTTTCTTCAAGTCCCAGCAGTCACAGTTGAGCTTCCAGCAACTACCAAAAACCCTAGATTCACATTGCTCGAAGGCAACCTCATTATACCACTTCGTAATCAAGAAAACGATCGTACGTACCTGGAATTTTTTGTTTGACATAAAACAGAAAAAAGAAAGATGAAACATACCCCGAACGTACATTGTTGATTGGTAGCCAAATATCACACCAGCACTAAATGGAATCATCCCTCAATTTCGACCCCACATTGTTTTTAATATTACTAGCTTCTTCCAAGTTATCGGTCGCGCTTTGCGTACAATGATATATAGATACATAGATATATAGAGTATTGATATTAATAACTAATATTAAAAATTTATCAATTACTACATTGAACCCTAAATTAATTATAACTAAAATATCATTTGTTGATAAAATTTGAAATTTCAGTCACACAAGGGCTTCTCTCTTTAGCAGAACATTGTTAAGAAAAAAATCCTGGTAAAATATTTATAAAGTTAATTATAGGTCTGAAACTTGTTATATAATGAGAATTATTCTTTTTATATCCATATTTTTTTTTTAGTTTGGATTGTGAATGTTGAGAGTTTTATAGTATGTGGTTATTTTCAGAAGATCAAAATTATAGTTCCTTCATTTGACTTGTTACATATAAGCAGGCGTAAAGTTTTGCTTTGATAAAATCACATGACACGTGGTGTGGGATTTAATGGCAAATTAAAAGACTTTATATAACTCCCGGTATTGATGGAGGAACTATTGATCATTGAAACAAAAAGGCTTATTTTTTGTTTGAATAATTTTAAATCCTTCTAATTTACATGTTATAAATATTCTTAATTATTAAAATTTCTTTAGATAACTAATATTCCTGCTTTTTTGTTTAATATATCTTTTTTTAAAATAATAAAAAGATATGTAAGACATGAAAACTTTTTTCGTTTACTTTGCCTTCCTAAGTGACAAGTGGCACTGCACTCATCAATAGTTTCATGTAAGCATAACAATGCATCACTTAGTAGAATGACTAATTCTTTATACGCCACTTATTTTCAGGTAAAGAATATGTGCCCTGTTTGTGGCGTATTTTATTGTAAGCTTTTAGAGTTTGTTGCACAAATATTTAAATTTGGTGGGGAAAAAAAGTGATATATGGAAAATACTCTTCATGGCTCATGCCAACCTTGAGCACAGAATTGAGAAAAATTCTCAAGTCTTGTGCTACCATTGTTATGGAAACTCAGTGAAGAAGAGCTTGTGATGACAGATTTTGAAGTAATTCAAAATTGTATCTGAAATTGCTCTAAATTAGAGAAATTCAAGACAATCTCAATTGGTCCATCTTTGTAACATCACTCTCTAGAAAAAGAAAAAGTTGATAAGTGATATCATGACTCATGAGAGAAGGAACCGTGCCAAAATGGATGGTGGATATTGTGGGCCTTGACACATTTTCTAATTTTTGTTTTTGAGTCACTGCCATATGTGCCACACTAGCAGTAACTTCTTCCAAAATCAGTTGTATCACCGCTTTTTCATATCTGTGTCGTTTTCATGTTTTTGGGGACAGCAAAGTTGGCCTAACTTTCATTGAATTTGGGCTTCCTATGGGCCCATATCCGTGTTGGAAAGTTAGATCCACTGTCATGGCCACCCTGAACATTCCCTGAAAAACTAACAAAAAAAAAGACGACGAAATTGGAATAAAGCCTTTTATTTTACTTTTAAAGGCTCCTTTATAAAAGAGATTCTTAATTTAGTTATTGATTTCATTGACACGTCAAATTTTTAAGACTTCTAAAAATTGTATTTAAATTCTAATTTTTTTGAACTTTTTGTGTGTTTTCTTTATTACAAGCGTTCCCATGTATTTTATTTATAAATCTTCAGGAAAAAAAAAGAAAGAAAAGAAACAAGAGTCCTTGACGTAATTCCTATCTTATAGACTAATACAAAATAAGTAGAGAATTAAAGAAGAAAAACACACGTGTCTTGTCCCCATTGGACTAAGGCGTGACCGCGTGAGCGAACCTTCAAACCATTATCAGTGTCCAAAATATTATATCCACACCTTAATCGCCATTTGGTATTTGTTTTGTATGTTTGCATATACGCATTAACACTTTAAAATTATTCTGATTTCCAATACAAGACAGAAACACACGACAATAAGATAATATGTCGTTTTACATTGCGTTTTTATTTGAACGCAGGTTCTGTCTACGTCGCCTTTTTTTTATCCACAACACACTTGACCCCTAAAAAAATGCAATATATCAATAGTTTGGCATTATATTAGTTTGGAATAGTCTGTTTAATAAATATTAAATTATTATTGTAAATATTTGAGTTTATGTTAATCATGAGATATACTATATTAATAGTTAAATTTTTTTTTTATACTTTTAGTGTAAAATAATACTGTATATATTAAAAATTTATTTTCATTACATAAAATTATGCAATGCAATTGTACCATCTAGAAATTTTTTTCTGTTAAAAAATGATTATTTTTTTTTGTGTTGGACATTCAGTGTATATTGGTTGCATTAATTGAACAATTAATGCAAATAATATCTAAATGAATTTTTTTTATTGCATAAATGTGTTTGTTTTTTTTTTTTCAACAGATAAATATGTATCTAACTTGAGCCATACTACGCGGTGTTTACGTGGCACACTGTGATTGACAGTGAGATCCACATAGATGTCAAGCTATCAGTAATATAAGAATTTCAAATTATTTTAATTATTAATAATAATGAAAATTATTATAAGAATTTCTCGCCCTAACACCAATGTGTTTTGCACGTGTATGGTACAAACTTTAAATTACAATTTTGACCATGATGTGCAACATTCAGAATTGAGTATCAGTTAATTTTTATAAAAATTTGACGATTTCGGATGCATGACAATTGCAGTTGTTTAAGAATAGATCTTAAATGTTTTTAATCCGCTAAATCAATAAAAATGTTGAAAATTAAATATACTTTTAATAAAAAAATATTATTTTGTAGTTTCATTTAATTTTTAGTTTCTATATTCAAAATTGAACCACACCAAATTGAATTAAAATAATTAATTTTATATCTTTTAATTTTCAAATTAATATTGACCTAAATTTGTTGTATTGGTGAATATGTATTTGCATCTTAAAAGTTTTGAGATTATTTTAACTTCTAATTTATAATTTAGATTAAATTCTGATTAGTGGTCAGATTTATTCTTTAAATAGGTTTTCTTATATTTATCTAACGTTTGATTTATTTTTAATGAATATTACCTTTTAAAAAACAGGCATTAAAAAAAATCCATGTATTAGTTTAAAACTCTATCACAGTGTAATTAATAGACTTTTATTTTTATTAAAATTTCATATCAATTATAAACATAGTTAGACCATATCCTGTTAAACTATAAATATAGCCTTTGAGATTAAGTTAGGTCAAAGCTCAATTTCAAGATGATGTTGAAATTTACAGTGCTTGTTGTGTATCCAATACACTCTTAAAATTAAATAAATTAAATAATTTCAATCTAAATAATTTTTTTTTCTAAAATCACGTATTCTCTTATAATGATTTGAGCCAGAAAAATGAAATATAAATTCTCTTTCGAGTTAACACGGGCAAAAGTTTTTTCTTACTTTTAAAAAAATAGTTTAGTTTTTTTAATCTTTTAAACCACTCTTCTTAATTATTTTTAATATCTCAAACAAAATATTATTAACTTTTAAAATTTAAATTTTTTTGGATAAAGTTGTAGTTTTTGTTTGTGCACGTGAAGCCGGTTATATAGACTACAGTAGTACTGTGGGCATCTTTAACAGAATAACATGACTTCATTATTAATATTATTTTTATAAATTTTATTGCAATATATATTTTTTTATCTATAATCTATTAATCGATACTCTAAAAACATTACTTATGGTTTATTTAAAGTAAAATATAATAAGAATGGGATTTTAACTTCTTGTTTATTATGCTTAAACATGATATTTTGGAGTTTGATTATTTTAAATGATGTGACTGCTCAGTTTTTTTGTTTTAGGGGTTAATTAGCTCCGTTGAAAAAATAAAATAAAATTTGATGCTATAACATTAATAGTTATCACAAAAGCTTGAGATATTAGGTGAACACTCATAAATAGCTTTATATCGTGAATCAACTGTTCTAAAAGTGGACGATTCACAGGCACAGTCACCATGTCCTAAAATTCAACTTCTTTTATTAGAGGAACAAGGGGTTATAAGAATTGCATTTTGGTCAATGGATTTTAATAACATATTAAAATTATATAACTTTTAACTTAATTTCAGAATTAAACTCAAAGACAAGGATTATGCAATCCATTGAAGACTACATTTTAAATTAATATAAAATATCTTAACAATTTTAATCATATTTGTAAACATATAATTATCATTTTCTTTATATTTGTAGAAAATGAACATTCAAGCTACATTATTATTCAAATCATGTCGAGTCAAATAGAGTTTCATTCATTGTTTTTATTTTTTGTAGGTTAAGTTGGTCATGATTATGACAATACTTTCTCAAATAGTAAAAAAAAAAAAATCCTTTATTTGTGATTTTAATAATGTATTTGGTTATATTTAATAGAAAAATATGCGAGTTATGCACAATATTTTAAGTCTTTATTTCAGAAAATTTAAAATAAACCGGTAAGGTATTTTTTCATTACTTCTTTGTATTTTATGTTTTCTAATGATATTTTACACGTATCTTCTAAATGATTCTTTAATCTTTTGATCATTCTCTTTTGCTACATTATGTTTACATCTGCCTAGGCATGTTTAATTTATGCAATTATTCACGTGTCAAACTCAACTACTTTACTTAAAAATCTTAACAATTCACCAACAAAAAATTAATTTATAATAAGCTTTACACGAGACTAAATTATAACATTTACGTACCCATGTTTCATATTACATCTAATGCACAATTAATATGTCATATCAATTATCTTATTAAATAATCTTAATAGCTTTAACAAAAAGGCTCTTTTGTATGAATTTCACATACTTGGTGATTAACTTATACATACAACATTTCAAAAGCTGAAGTTTATTTATTTTTTATTTTTTATTTCCGTTGATAAAATAATTTTCTTATTTTTTAAAAAATCGTTGAGACACTTTAAAAATGTCTCAAACGTGATATCAACTTATATACAAACCTGCACTAGATTAACCGATATTATTATTTTCAAAAATAAAATTGCATATTTCGTCTAACTTTTAATAATGGCTTTAATCCAATGGCACTTCAAATTTTCAAAGGGTAAAGGATCAGCTCTTAATCATTGAAATATAGATTTTCATAAAATGAGTCTAGAATTGAAAAAGAAACCTATTAAACTTTTTTCTATTTTGATAACAACATTTCTTTAACTATATTAAAACAATATTTGTTATTAGAATTTTAATTTTGAAGAGCACAGCAAGCCATCATTAACAAGGACTTATTTAAAAGAACAGGAGTAATTTATAACTTTTATAATTTATTTTAATAAATTATATAATAAAATTTTTATTTTATGCCCAGGCGATCAGAATCTATTGCGGTATTAGTTTAAGAGGAGTGCTAACAATTTAAAAAAAAAACATGAAATTAGTAATAAAAAATATTGAGATTCATCTAATTTTTATAATTTTTAATAAATTTTAATTAATAATTAAAAACATGTCGAAAAATATTATCAATACCTTGCTGCATAAAATCAACTATCAATCATAACGTTGATGTCTACTGCTCCCAACTAACACTTTCCTCTTCCTTTTTTTAAAAAAAAAATATTTTAAATTCAAAACATATCTTATTAAAAATAAAAAAAGCAAACTAACATTTTATCCACGCGCCGAGGTTGCGAGTACACGTAATCACCGAACTTAACTATATATAACGTTTGCCACTCGTTCAATTTCTCACTTCACAGTTTCAAGTGACTCATAGAAGCAGCAAGCAAACAGTGTTTCATCTCATGACACTGTGTGTTCTGATGCACCCTCGCCGTCGCAGCTGTTCTCCGCCACTCGCCTCCGCCGTCGAATTTTTTCACTTAATTGCTATCACCGCGGAATCAAATCACCATGTCAACCCCAGATTCTCGATCACTGAATTGGCACTACACAGAGCTCGATGACAGAGACCTTGAGATCCGAGGAAGGACCCTTTTCTTCATCATCGTACTCTTCTCCATTATCCTTCTCGTCACTGTTCTCTTCCTGTACACTCGCTGGGTTTGCCGCTACCAGGGGCACCTCCCCACCACCGTGTTCACCGGCGTCGTCCACCCGCCGCCGCCTCCTCCGCCGCAGGGACTCGACCCTGCTTCGATTAAGAAATTGCCCATTATCCTCCACCAGGCGCCGTCGGATAACGGCGGCGCGTGGGAGGAAACGGAATGTTGTATTTGCCTCGGCGAGTTCAGAGACGGTGAGAAGGTGAAGGTTTTGCCAGGGTGTGACCACTTTTTCCATTGTGATTGTGTTGATAAGTGGCTCACTCATCACTCTAGCTGCCCACTCTGCAGAGCTTCTCTAAAGGTTGAATCTTCATTCCCAAAGATTTTGATTCAGGAACCACCCATTAGAATTGACATCCAGTTCTAGCTTCTTCTTTTTTTTGGGTCTTTGTCTTATTTTCAAATATTAATAAAAAATCAAAACTTTTGCCTTTTCTTTTGAGTCATGTAAATGGTTGTAAAAAAAAAGTTGTTGAAGCTATATGCTAATTGTATATGGTGGAATATAAATTTTTCTTGCCACAGAAATTATTTAATGGGTTGGAGCTGTTTTGAAAAAAATTGTTTGTGTAAACGTTAGACAGTTGCACATGGCATTGGCGGAAGAAAGGGTAGTTTGTCTGTGATAATGTTAAATTATGATATGTTCCCACGTTGGATGATAGAAGACTCGGGGTTCGGAAAAGTCATATAATTTTCCTCAACGCCACTTGTTCGATAAAAGTCTTGAAAGATGTTGCACTTCTGAGTCAGCTGTGTGCTTGGTCTACTAATACTTGGATTTGTGGTCCTGCCTCTTAGGTTATGTAAGTGGATATGTGAAGATTTTTTAAAGTCACATTGAGTCCCCAAAAATATGGTGCTCTTGCTCCTTGCCTTGCTGTTACTGCCCAATCAGCTTACTCTCTAATTATTTTGTTTGATATACGTTGAGATGAATTTAATAATTTGGAGCCCCATATTGTAATTAATGTTCATGAAATTCATTTGAAAATAGGCCCAGTGGCACTCTTTTGTGCCAAGTTTGATGTTGCTTTCTTGCACCTACTTGTATTGGACAATAATGTTCTGCAGAAAATTTAATCTGCCAAGTTGCGACTTGGCGTGGTGTTTCTAAGATAAACCAGCAGCATTCATTGCGGAAACTTGCTATGATATGGGTGATGGAGGTTACTTACTACTAGTGTACATGTAAACTGAATGATTGATTTGTGACATGACTGCTTAAATTTAAGTTATGTGCTTGTGCATCATTTGGTAGTTCCGTGAGGAAACTCAATTGTTGGGTTGATCCGCTGGGTGTTTTGTTTTCAAAAGAATATTATCAGAAATATGATAAAGTATATTTGACTTGGGCCTATGTGCATTGACTATAAACCGAAAGTAAGGCATTGTCCAATTGAATCAAGAATAAAGCAACTCCTAAAGAAAAGAAAAGAAAAGAAAAGAAATGTTCTTTTCTTTTCTTTTCTTTCTTTCCTTTTTTTTCAGATAACAGTCGTTTAAGGTGAAATGTTCGTAATTATAGTGGTATTAGGATCACAATTAGAACCCTTGAAAATGACTCTCTTTTATCAGAGTTGATTGACTCCTTTATAATAATATTTTGGGGGAGGGGATGGTATCCAATTCAAGGTATGAAAAAAATTTATATTTAAAAAATATTTATAAAAGATTTATATTTACACTTGCTTATTATACTTTACAATGAGTTGTTTAGAATATGATTAATTATATTATATTAAATGAAGATTATATATTAATAAATGATTGGTTCAACTAATAGATATTTAATTATCTTCAAATAAATTTTTGGGTTATATAAAGTATTTTTCAATTCTCAAATTATGTGATGCAGAATATATAAGTTTTGGCGAGTATAAATTCTTACGCGTCTTCAAGGTACAACAACTTTCGTGTTTTATGATGTGGTAGGAACTTTTGTTTGACTTAGCTTAAAATTTATAAGTTGGAGGTGATAACTTATAACTTATATTCAGTTTATTAAATTAGAGTTATTTAATGGAATTAATTATACAACTATTTGAAATGCATTAAGTAATTAAGAAGGATATGTGATGTCTATAAACATATTATATATAACATTTTATTTATAACAATTTAATTAAATATTTAATACATTTTATTTAATGTAAAATAATTATTTAAATAAAAAAATACAAGAGTGAGTGACATAAAATATTTTATTACTCTTAACTTTTTTAAATAATTTACATTCACATAAAATAATTATCATCTTTCTTTTTTAGTCATTTCACATATTTAAGCTAATTGAATAGTTAATTTTATCAAAATAACTTTCATTTAACTGATTAATTATAAGTATAAACATTCAACTAATTTATCAACTATAAGCTTTCAGCTAGTTTATCTAACAGCTGCAATAAGCTCTCTCTATTTATTATTCCCTAAACAACTCTTCTAACTTAATATTAAAAAATAAATCACAGTCTCTTAATATACTACACGTTTGTGTTACCAAACGCATCCATAATACAAGTCTGAAAAATGTCCATTGTAGTTTGAATTGACAGGAAAAAGAAAATACAGTACATCATTTTGCATCATGTAGTTAGTCAAACGAATATAGGACGCCAAAATACAATTGTAAACAAGTGTAATGACTAACTTTAATAGGAAAGAAAAATCTTTTGATATGCATTTTATCTTAAAGTATATCAGTCTTCACACATGCAGGTTACCTCGCATCAATAAAATTTTAACATATAAATATTGTAGCTAATATCGCTACCACCTATGCAGATATGCAGAACGTGAGCATATGTCCCCGAAAGAGTATGCAACCAGCATTTTTTCTTAGAATAAGCTTTTGATATCTACGTCACAATCGTGTCTTCGATCATAAGCTAAGTATCCTGTAATTTTGGTTTTTATTTTCCACAAGTAGTATTATGGGCATGTTACTCAAATTATCTAACACTGCTCGCTAGGATGTTAGTAACATGGGTAAAATATTGAAATGTGAAGAAGCTCACAATAACACACTTTCTAATATATATTTTTAATTTTTAATTAAAATTTATTAAAAATAAAAGAATAAAAAAAAGTGAAAAAAAGTAAGACTCACGTATTTTTTTTTATAATTTTTAATAAATTTTATAATCTGGCATAATAATTTAAAATATTACAATTTCATTAAATTGGAAATTGAGATCTTATTTTTTGAAATCAATATGCAACTCTTTCTGCCAGTGATGGATCTGCCCACATATCAGCTCTTTCACAGAAAAATTTATAATATTTCTCTTATAATATTTTTGAAAGATAAAAAATTAAAATTCATTTTTTGTTGGTGCAATTAAAATACTTTTTTTTAACGCCAATACTCTAGAACGATGGGCCAGGCAATTCTTATTTGTTTCTACGGGCTCACGATTAAAGCCCAATACTAGTAATTTTTAGGGTTTCTGTTTCGCTATAAATTCCTGAAACGTTACTCCCCACTCTTCCCAATCTCTTAGATTTCAAGCAGCCTTGCTCTGTTCTGTACTAGGGTTTGGTTTGAGTTTGGCTTCTGTTTTTTAATCACTATGAGGGCAAAGGTAATATGTCTAATCTCGTTTTCTGTTTTTGCTGTTATTGTGTCATTACACGGATTTTGATTTTATTCCGGGTTGTGGCTTTGTGCAGTGGAAGAAGAAGCGTATGAGGAGGCTGAAGAGGAAGCGCCGAAAGATGAGACAGAGATCGAAGTAGTGTGTGTGTTTCCCAAACAACAATTGCTCTTAGTTTTGTTTCGTTTCCGTGTTGCTTTTGTTCTCTAATGTTATGATACATTTTTATTGGTTACTTTTGTTCTTGTCTTAGCTCATAAATTTTCTTCCTGCGGATTAACTAGATTTAATATTTGAATCTCATGTTCTCTCGTGTTTCATTTTTGGTTTTTGCATTATAGAATATAGAAATTTCGCGCTCTATTATGCGATGTGTGGTTATTTTGGATTACGGATTTATATACGGAGTAATTTCCCTGTAGAATTAATACCTACAATTCAAATAATTATGTCGCTGTTTTTGATTATGTTAGGTCACGTTAAATAAAACACTTGTAATGTTCGAAATTTGTGTATTTTTGAAGAACGATGCTGGTATAGTTGATACGTTTAGTTTAAGATCTGGAAGTTTGGTCTTTGGGCTTAACATATGAAAACCGGTTATGGTTTCTGCTTTGAATTGAGAAGGAAAATGTCAAATGCCGTGCCATAATCATTGAGAGACATCGTGGATTTCGTAGCATTGTTATTTTCGTTCATTGATTTGAATACATGCTTTTTCAGTTGCGATTTTTTACTCTTAATTTTCACTCATGGTTTGAGTGTTTGGTGTTTTTCGTGCTCGTGCTGGGGCATAGTGCTGTTGCTCAAAAGGGTTTTAAGTTTTTTGGATATGTTGGTACAAAGCACATAAATGATTGTAGTGCCTATATAGTTGAATATCTTTTACGGCTGGTTTTAGGTTTGATATTAACAAATAGGTTTTGGTATGAATTGATGTTCCCGTGGGATGAAATATCAATAGTGTTTGTGTTGGGTGGGTTTGTCTTTTGAAGGTACAGTGAAAAAGGTTGTGCTTGTCAAAATTTATGTCGGTAATAGAGTCTGGTCAGTATGTACAATCTAAGTTGAGATTTGCGAAGTGAGCAGTGAAAATTAAGTTTGGTATTGAGAATTTGAAATTGAACTTTTGCTGTTTCTGAACTAGTATAAAGATAACTCCTAATGTTTGGCTCCCAGGACAATAATGGATTTGACAATGTATTTTATGATTAAATAAACTCCGTTTGTTTCAATTCAGTGAAAAAAATTTAGACGAATCGTGTAGAAAAACAAGTGATTTGATTTTAGAATTTTATCGTTTTTTAGTAGGCTTAATTTGACAGGGTTGGTCCAGTTGGACATCTTGTTATGTCTACATGTTCTCTTGGTTAAGCCGTCGGGGTAAAACGGTCTCAGAACTCCATTTTCATTAAAAATTAACAACATATCAAGTGGTAGGTAAATATGCTATGCACCTAATGAGCAATATTCAAATGGATATAAGTCTAGCTTGGAAACTAAACATCTTCATCTGTTTCTAGCATAAAAGTGTCAATTAGGAATTCAAATTTTGCATTGCACTCACCGATCGGTCATGAAATCGGCACTAAATATCCAAGAAAAACCATGTGAAATAGGATTTGGATGAAGAAAGTGTGCATTTTTCATCCGTGAAGGGTTTGTCACGGCCTCTCAAGTTTGCTTTTGACTCCATTTGATTGCGGGAATATGAGTAGTGTCGTGTATGCTGATGCTTAGTTGCAGCACCACTGGAATCGAACGCTCACTTTACTTGACTACCGGACCGTGTTGGAGCTCAGGCAGGCCGATTACGGCTTCTACCTGTTTGTGAAAATTCTAGAGAAACGTCTGTGGTTAGTCTCTATTATGCATGCATTTATTGTTGCAAATGAAAATTGAGGGTCATCGAAGAGGAGAGATGATGTTGACAAGAACAATTTTGGACCAGTACTAGGGTTGAGGGTGTGAAGTCGAGAGTAAGTTTTTGGTGCTAGTTGAGTATCTATTTACTTGCAAGTAACTTTCTTAATTTAGAATTTTTGTTAGTTTGATTTTTCAAAAACAAATCAAATAAGGAAAAAACTAACTATACAAAAGTTTGTTTCTATTTTAAGGGAAAGAGTATTATTTGCAAGAGTAGTATGAAAAATTTCGAAACTTGAATGGAAGAATGCAATAAATCGTTAAGAAGTTATAATTTCACATCTTTGTATGACCGATTCAGATAATTGTTTGGTGCATACTTGAATTCAAATTCAGGAATCTGCCCATATGGTAAACCACCACCTTCAAGTAGCGTTCCTTAGAATTACAGCTTTCCCTAAAATCGGATCAGCAATTGGGCATTTTTTTCGTTTGATTATTTTTATATATTTTATTTGCACGGTTTAGGATTGAATTGGGGTCAGTATGAAATCCAAGCCATTGTAGGGCAAGTTATAAGGAGGGAGTGTACAGTGTGTGGGTAAGTAAATATCTGTCTCGCTATCTTTGGTGTTATTTGTTGCTACAAATAAATGTATGGAGTGAAAGCATATATTCTGATAATCTTGATGTGGTCAGGCATGCTATCTAATTGAACCTCCCAGGACCATTGCTATTTTGGTGTATAGTGATATATATTTGGGGTGAGTAAATTGGATGGGGCAAAGACGTGTTTCCTAGCTGCAAGCAAATATGGCAGAGACCCGAGAGATGTTCATATAAATACGGACTGTTTAATTTTCCATTTGCATGAATTCCCATACAAACAAAATAATAATAATAATAATAAATTACTTTTTAATTAATCAGTTTTAGATCCACGTCGAGTAGACCATAGTTACGGCAATGTCATTTTTGATGTTACAAGATTCGGTTCTTGTACTGTCTCCTTTTCTCTATTTTTAAGATCTTACGTTACCTCTTACACATTAGAAATAAAATAATATTTGCCTTTGCATTATTTATACTATTGTTAATTTTGCCATTTCCCTTCCACTCACTTGAAATTTTCTCTCTTTATATATATTTTCCTACTTTTCAGCTGTTTGAAACGTGGGGTGCGTTTGCTTTTACCCATTTTTACTGTTTAAAATATGATTGCTAATTAAGTTTTTGCTTTTTTTTTTAAGTTGACTGGAATTAATTTAAATCAGTGAATGTGATTAAAATATGTACTTAAATTAACTTGAAATATTTTTATATACTTTTAATTAAAACGTTTATTTTTCTTTTAAAAAATATAAAAAACTATTTTCTAACTTTAAAATAAACAAAATTTTAAACGAACTTTCTTAACCGTTATGTTGAATGGGCTTTCAAATCTAGCTTTTTCCATATAAGTTATTATACTCATTGTAAAAAATAGAGGGAAAAAAAAGTGTGAACAGAGATTCTTCTCAATGAACGGAGCGTAGAAAACAAAAAGGTAAGAAAATCAAGATTAATATAAATATTTCCTTTCTTTTTTTTTTCGTTTTCTAATAATTATAGGATAGTGACAGCAAAACTTGCTTATTGATAAGAAAAAAAAAGGTGCTTAAATATACAAACTAAACTCAAATTGAACAATTATTTATTTTATCTCCATATTCCAGTAATCCCTAACCATTCACATTATTACACCATGATCACATCCTGACATCGATCATGTATTCGGTGTTGCACGAACATTTTTTTAGTTATTATTTGGACAATATAATTTCTCCTTTGAACAATTTACCCCACAAAAATATTCTTCGATCAGTTTAGAGTTTTAAATATATATCGTAAATGCAATACACCTGAATATAGGAAGTACTTAAACAAGCTTCATATCTGTACGAAATCGGAGAGAAAGCGAAAGATTTACACATTTTAACACAATAAATATTTTTTATATTTCAATATATTGAATTATTTATTTTTTTTTATCATTTGGGTCATCAATTAGTAAAGGAAAATATCTGGTTTTGTCATACAAGAGCAACTTGCACAACAACGAAAACTACTTGAGTGGACGTGCCAACATTTGCTGAATCCATTGATCACTAGTAAAAGTCAAACATGGTATGATATAACACTGAAAGCTGTCTTCTCAACCCAATAATCAATTGCTTTTTCCACTTATTCACTGTTCTTTTTCTTGGCACGTTATTCACTATTTTACTCACCCAATGTTCATATAGATTGGATGATATGTAGATCAAGGTGCTAATTTTCTATTTTTGAAGCAGCAAGTGACCATTCAGCTGATTTCTTTGCTTAACCTTTTATATACCTTACTTTCAATTAATTTCCCACTCTTCAACTTTCCCTTAATTGGTGGCACAAAACCAATATTTTAGCTTCCTAATGGACAAACTATATATCTGATAGGTATATAAATATTGAAAAGTAAAGCACATACTTGCCCCACTGGAATGACCCACCTAAGAAAATAAGAAAAATAATTTTGCAATAAATTACTATAGGCAATGAGAAGGCAAGAAAAACCTTTGCCTCTTACTTCTAGTGGGGCAATTAGATGCCATGGATGATGAAGCAATTTTGGTCACAGCTGATTTAAGGGACTGTTTGAGAGTGCTAAGGCAAACGCTCTCTCCACTGTCCTTAGAACAAAGCACCAATATGCTTTTAATCCTGCCACCTACACTTGCTATGTCAGCTTTAACTGCTGTGAGTCTCAACCCTTTGAGGACTTGAATGAGTTCAGGGAACAGTTCTGGTCTATCATCGCAGCAAACAGAAGCTTTGATGCAAATGTTGTCGTTCAATTTGTTAACTTTAGTGCAGCTTTCATCTTGAACATGGTCATAGTCAATTAATACTTCATCAATCTCACTTGGAACTGTGGAGGCTCTGCTAATATCCATTGCCTTTCGCTTTAGATCTTTGACCTGCTCTATCACACTCCCTAGTAAAGCTGCCTTGTCCATCTGAAAGTACACAAATGTTAATATGTAATATACCCAATGTAAGACTCATTCATTTGGACAAGACTTAGGTGCAGTGTTGTCAATACTGTGGTATTGTTTTCAACGAAAACAACATGTGTAGCACAACACCAAAAGTACTTAAAGAATAGCACCTAGGTTTTTCCCATCCAAAATTCTCATTGAGATGGGGGAGTGGAATTTAAATCCTTGTGTAACTTTGTTAGTTTGCTAAGCATTACCATGTGACATCACTTCCAAATTCCATTGATTAACATGTGTGATGCCAAGAGGGCGGGAACAAAATAAAAACCATTCCTTGATTGTTCATGCTTCATTGTACAATTGAAGGCACTGCTAATTATACGACCCATGAAATTGAAAAGTCACACATCGAAATTGGCTTACCTTATCAGACTTGGGAATTAGTTTTCTGAGAGTTGCAAGCTGTGCATTGATCCTATCTCTCCGCCTTTTTTCTGCTTGACTGTGACTCTTGGAAGCACTTGTTGGTCTCTCTTGGGCACTCCCTTCAATGGGTACTGGCCATGAGTGAAACTCACCAAATTGAAGAGAGGCAGGGTCAGATACATGAGGCAGTATTTGTGTAGGCACTGCAAAAGGAGAATGATCGCTGCATTGAGCCCAGGTTGTGCCCGGATGCCAACCAGAATCATAGTAATTTTCCATAGTCACAATGGAAACCATTCTAAAGTTTCTTCCATGATTTCTGAGCTTTTTATCTCCCATCTGTAGCTACTGTTTGCTGCAATAATAATGGTTGATCTTGTTCTTATCTTGATGGTGACTGGTGTGATAAGCAATAACCTTTCATTGGTCAAAATGAAAATTATTTTGGTTGTATCTGTCAGTCACTTCACTAAGAAAAATTTTCCCTCTACTAAATCTAACGAACTTGGACTTTATAAGGAGGGGGGGAAATGAATAGCAAAAGAATAAGAATGGGGTGGCTTGTCCTAATAAGCTAATATTAGTTTATAAATATCCATGATGAGTAGGAATTTGAATGAGAAATAAAATAGTATTAGCATATACACTTGGGAAGCATTGTTGTAACTTTAGCATGTGGTTGACGTAATCAGTGATTCGGTGTCTTATTCTTATTTGATCACACAGAGTTTTATCAGATGGTGGTAATTATAACTTGTTGGTCTTTCTTGATGCATAACTTAGATCCTGCCTAATCAGAACTCAGCGTGTCATTTTATTTACAACTTTGGATTAACATACTTTCATATAAAATAGCAGTTAATACGGTATGTTAAATAAATAAAATAAAAGCATTGGCATTTTCATAATGTTTACCTAGACGTTTCCTGAAATAAAGTGAGTGACAATTGTACCAAAGAAAAAGTCATTCACCAACCTTCAGTTGTTTAAATATTTTGATTGGTTAATTGTTTGGTAAAGTAAAAAGTAAGCACTGAAGTTTACCCGAAAGTGCTATGCTTGTGGTGGTGGATCCCATTCGTCCACGATACTTCAAGATCTTCCACATTGAATTATCAATTTGGTGGAATTAAGCTTTCATGCTTTCACCTATGTCCCTGTACAATTATTCCAACCAAAGTTTTAGTCTCTATCATGATAACCAAGATGAAAAGGGTTATAGAAAGAAAGAAAAAAAAAAACACACAGGATATCACAAAGTAAAACAGAAAAACTCAAGATTTGCTAACTCAATTTGACAAACGCATGATACAACCACACTAGTAAACGAATTGCCCTTTACATTGAGAACACCTGGGAGGCCTATTTTATTGATGGACAAAATTTAAGTACAGTATATACGTGTGTTTTTAGTTTTTTTTTTAATTGAAATGAAAGTTTTACTTTTGAGGTAAAATTTCAATTCTAATTATAGAACAAAACTTTTAGTACCTACAATACTGTACTAAACTTTGTTCTTTACGAATTCAAAAGTATGATATGCAAGTAATTGGACTAGTCCAACTGTGTATCTTTTTAGAAGACAAGGTTAGGTTTCCTTCATGTATATCTGATTGAAAGGTTAAGTTCAAAGCATGAGACTCAGTAAAAGAAGGCTATTTTTGTACACTTTGATGCCACTATGATTGGAAAGCTTTCTTAGCACAAGCTAGCAAACAAAGAAACCTCAATTACAATCTGGGGAGGGTCACAATGTAGGGCCCCATACTCACTTACAATTGCAACTCATAATAAAGAGCATCTTAAAGAGTGACACGACTTCTGATCAACCACTCGCTTTGTTAGCCTCTATCTACCTCTCACAACATATTGTGTGGTTTCTTATGAATCCGTATTTTCTTCTTTCATTTCTTTTTCATCATTTTTTCCCTTCTGTTTCTCCATTTTTTCTGTCTGATTAAAGGCTTTTTGGGTCCCATAATCTCACAACATATCTTCAATATATCTTACGTTACACACACAAACGTACCGTCGGCAAGTGAAGTGTCACGATAAAAATATGGCAAACCAAAATGACGATAGTTAACATAGACAGCACGTCTCTTGAAATTTTAATTTGCCAAGAAATAGCATCGTGTTGATATGAAATCAAGTACAAAATTTTGTAGCTAAGATTGGAATTGGAACCCAATGCCCCTCCTTGTCTCTTCGGTTTGTGAATGCTGAAATGTTCATATTAATGAGAAGATAATATAGGTTCCTGGGTTCGTAATAAATGCTTCAATGAACTGTGATTAGAAGACGGCAACGGCATGAAAAAAGGGAAAGATTTGAATTTAATATATAAAGAAAAAAAGATGGTAGAATCAATCGTTTATTCATGACCAAGAATTGAGGCCACTATGTTTTGTGTTTCACAGTGTATTCTATTGTTGGGTAAACTATGCAGTTGATTAAAAGTGAAAATAATTACATGATTGACATGAATTAAATTATTATGTGTGTTCTTTTTTTAAAAATTATTTGTAAGTCACCTAAAGAGGTTTTTCTTTGTATAAACCACTCAAAACAATTGAAAGTAGAGTATCCAACATTTGTATTTTACCCCATCAAAATTTCCGTTGTTATAAATCTGGGAAGAAAATGATTTCATGTTGTTATATCCAAAAATTGTTTGATTTTGCTTCTGGCCCTTTTATATGTCTTTAAGGTTATAAGACGTATTAAAAAAATATAATTAATATTTTAATTTATGTAAAATTTATTTATTTAATTTATTTCTCCCATTAATTAAATAAATAAATTTAGTTTCTCTCTCGTTAACTTAAATGTGTAAAATATTGAACATTTAAAGATGATGATATATAAGTAAGAATATATTAATTAATGTTGTCTTAAACATTTAAAGAAAAAAATAATTAAAAATATTTTTTTCTGTAAAAGACAAAGGAAAAGGATACTAAATAATAAAAATACTAACATTATATTTTTTTTTCTTCTAATTTGTATTAATTAAAGTTCTCAATATAACTTGAATCTCACCTCTTATACAATAAACAATTTTTATGACGTTGCATCATTTCTACCGTAGCCACCGCCATTACACCTCAGAAACAACCACAATTCAACAAACAGTACTTCTTTGTTGCACGTTTCACTACCTAAAATTTGGCCAACTTAGCTTACAATGTATAGTGAAGAAATCTAAATTACTGTGCTCAACATTGTACAATCCACTGAAGAAGTAATAATGCATTTCAAGCCTTTTTATTTTTTTTATATAACAAACACATAGTTTTTGTAATAATTAATCTTGTTTGGACAGAATAAAACTACTTATGAACGAATTTTTTTTGAAAATATTTAATGCAGTTATGTATACCTAAGATTCAAATTTAAAATACTGTTTATTAAACTCAAACATTAACCTCAATAAAGTTGTATTAGCATACACTACATTAAAAATAATTATGAGCTAATTTTTATACATTGACATCTAATGATGAGTCGTTGCATGATTTAATATATAAGTTTGATATTCGTTAAATGAGGTGATCATATATTATTGAATGAGAGTATAAAACATTTTTTTTGGACAATACTTGTATATTTAAATCAAAGTCATTAATTTATTAATTATATATGCTCTTCTTTTACCAAGTCTTCTCATTGTTGTTTCTTCCCATCTTCAATTCTTATGATTGATGAACTACGTGAGACTCCCAAATCATTCTTTTATCTTTCTATGCAATACTATACTATGAGAATTAAAGCAGAATCAATAAAAAACAATTAAAAAAAAAAAAGGAGCCTCAAGAGGGACCTTATATGTTGTATTCTACATCTTCTCCGAATTAAATATCTCTCAGCTTATAAAATAGCAATAACAACAATTGAAAATAATAAAAAGAGAAACAGGATCTCAGCACCTAAAATGTGAAAACTGATCATTAAACATCATCAGTTCATGAAGTTTGAAGAAGCTACAGCTTGCCTAAATATATAAATGAGCTATCTATATTTATGAACTCTAAACACCTTATCTTAGTACTCATTAAAATGGATTGCACCAAGTTTCCACACAATGTAAGTTGTTGCAAACATCACTGTACTGATAAAAACAAATGAGAAGACAATGATGAACACATCAGAACCTCCGGGAAATTGGAAAGTAAAGCCCTCCGAAATCCCTCTTTTGCTATCATCAAACAAATTGGTAGGGGCTTCAGGAAGACCAGATTTTTTCTTCCCTTTGTCACCTTCTTTTAAAGCTTCCAACACTCTGCTGCTCATGTCTTGTTTAGATGCTTTTGGTTGCGCATATCGGCTAAGGACTCGAGCTGCCCTTAGCTTCTCTCTTGCAGCCAGGGAAGGCCGTTTGGTTGCAGATTGTGAATTAGGAGATGCTTCTGACCCTTGATCTTGGTTAATTGAACCATTGGAATTCTCTGATGTTTGAGATTCTGATTCGGTGGCATTAACTTTAGCTTGCAACTGGGAATTTTCATCTGGAGGATTTGTGGATGCTAACTGATCATTGGCTGGTGAATTTTCAGCATTGCCAAAATCCTTACTACTGTTGTTTGCTGCAAGCTGATCACTATCTGCCACTGAAAAACAATGACCAAATCTTTTTTCCTTGACAAGCATTCTTGATTTAGGCATTACCAAGAAGGGTGTAAACTGAGTGGCCTTTGGTAAAGAAGCTCCAACAGAATATCTTGATACATCCTGATACTTTGTTTCCAACTTCTAATGGAGAACGAAAAACTTGTGTAAGTAATCATGAAACTCAACGTTAATGATAACATAATTGAAGTGATGGATAATAAACACAATTAACCATCAATAATTCATTACATGTAAGTTGGTGCCTTTTCTTCTCAAGAATAATCTCAACATAGACATATAAAAGGATTCTGAATCTCTGATCAATATAAAACACTCATTTTTATCATCTGAACCAAAATATAGCTCAAGAACAGATCATAACATAATTTCAGAGCTACAATTAATAAATCTATCTAAAGTCATACTCATTGGCATCAATCTCTTGCAATCCAATATTTATGTTTCAGCCTTTTCCTGAATTTCTACCTCTAAAATTCTCCATCTTTACCCGACAATCTCCATGCCTTAAACAAGACCTCTTACCAAAGCATAAATCCATAAATTTTTCTCAAAGCAGCTTAACTGGGTGCTGGCAACTTCAATTCTTCGATTTCCAGATATAACATTCAAAATTAAAAACTTTCCCAATTAATCTTTTTTCTTGGTTTTACCAATTTTTCCTATAGTACAAAATCTAGGACATCACAGCACTCTAATTCATGTAATCCCATCAAACCAAGACTGTTTATCTCTGAAGTCCAATTGTATAAAATCTCATAAATCTGAGTCATTCCACTTATGTGGAACATAAGATACCCAATGAGGGATATACAAACAATCCTCAGATACTTTGAAACCAAAAACAAAACAATGAATGTTCCAATGAAGTGGAAGCTCCTAAGTAAAGTGAAAGGTGAAGTAAGAGAAAGGAAGAACGTACCGTTGAGCTGAAGCTAATGATGGGGTTTATAGATATAGCCATCTTCTTGTATCCTTCAAAACCCAACCATGGATAGCCACAAAAAGTGGTCTTCCACTTCCCACTTGATTTTTTATTCAGAACTGAAATTGCTGCTATTCACACACGCCACATAGCGCGTGACCACTCGTATTATTCTTTTTTATTTATCCGAATAGAAGAAAATATGAGGCAGTACACTAACCAAAATATCAAGAACTAAAATTAAATTATTTGTGTTAAGTATTCGTGGTTTCGGCTAAAAAGTAAAAACAATGTGTATAAATTAAATTTCTAGTGAAAGATCGAATTCTAAAATTATATCTGATTTCCCTTTTTTTTTTAAATGAAGAAGATTACTGTTCTGAAAATTGTCTTTCGATTTTAAAAATAAATGTTTATCTGATAGGGTTTTGGACCTTTTGGTTTTATGGGTTAAAGAGCTGCAACTAGCCGAAACAGAATAGACAATGCTTTCGGGTTTCAGCTTAACATTTGTTTTGTATTTTTAAAATGCAGTGATAAACTTGTAGTTAACACCATTCATCACAAATTGACTCGTAAAATGAGTTTCGGTTGATTAAAAGTCTGTTCGTCTGTGTACATGATTATTTTGTTTGCTTACGTAGAATGTAGCCTACCCTCTAGACAATAGGATAAGGAAAAAAAAAAAAATCCTTCTAAAATAATATTTATTCATATAAAATACATATTGAGTTGACATTTAAAAAATATTAAGGATACAAATGAAGAATCTATTGTTAATCCATTTGGGTTAAATTTATCCGTAAATCATTGTTTTATTGACTTTTTAAATAGGCCTCTATAATTTAAAAGTTTTAACTATGCTTCTTATATTTCTAAATGTCCCAATATTTTATGATTTTTAGATATAAATCAATAAAAGCTTATGATCACTAGTGAACAAAGACATCTATTAATCGGAAAATGCTAGTGTCTTAGGCTACTTAAGAAAACAAGATGTATTTCATAAAAGATAAAACAACTATTTTATTAAAACACAAATTAAAACACCATAAAATAATATATTTATACAAAGTATCAGCTTAGTCAACTACCATTTCTTAAAAATAAAAGATAATTTATAACTTATTATTCCATTTAGATTAAATCAATCAATACTGTTAACCGATGCCCTAAGAAATATGCTGAGGACCGTACTAGCTACCCTGCCGCCCATGACAAAACTTTTTGTTTTAAAATTAGGTTAAATTAATTTTAATGGGTCATTTCAAACGTAGAATGTAACTACTAGTGTCTAGATCCGATCCCCATATACAACATAGAGAATTAATTCTATGCTTAAAACAAATGGGCCCAAAGTAAATAGACCACCTAATAATTTGGATTTCCTAATGCCATGCCTGTATAGCGTAAACTAAGTACTTTTCATAAAGACGTGCAATAATAAATATTATGGCCAAAAATGCCGGGAACAAGAGATAAAGCAGTACTAGTACCAGCAAAGTGTATAATTTCAAAACTAAACAAGATCAAACCTGAAATTAAGTGGCAATAAACGGCGTACTTAAAAAGAAGATAAGATGCACACGACAACAGCATTCAACAAACTATAATCACGTAGCTTGGATCGCAAGGAAAAGTGGAATAAATCCAGGACCATGACAAACATGCGTAGAAGTCTGTCTATTTCGTATTGTACTTGGGAATATCATTTCATACAAGAAAAATGGTTACATACAGAAAATCCTCAGCTAGCTCGTACAAGCAGCCCAAAAAAATGCCTCGACTACAAAAAATATTACAAAATTATGACAAACCCCACAACAGAAACTCGAAATTATTTTGACTTGAACCTCTTCTTCCATCAGAAGCAAGGAAAGAATACTGCATGAAAACCAGAAGAAAATTTTTGTAAACTCCCAATCTGCTACCTTGTCAGTACAGACTTGAGTTTATTGGCAAGCTTATCACTCGCATGTCAGTAGCTGCTGCCCATGGGTGGCATACCAAAAGGAGGCATTGGAGGCATCCCCAATCCACCCATTGGAGGGGGAGGGGCAAAGCCTCCTCCCATTCCAGGCATTGGTGGTGCAGGCAAAGCAAGAGGCAACAACTGAGCATACATATTCTGCAACAGAAAACATATCTATTCAATCAGTATTCGGTATTATCAAGTTCAATCTGATAAGAATGTTCAATTAAGGGATAGAAATTATTAGTAACATGTAACAAAATGGCCAAACTAGTTACCTGTTGCGCAATTACTTCCTTCTCCTCTTGTTCTTTAGCCTTCACCTGGTTCTGCGCTTCAATTTTATCCTTCACCAGTTCATCAACTTTTCCGGTGTACTCGCGGATAAACTACAACAGCAAAGTGGAAACAGTGAGAAAAAGCACTATATAACATGATGAAAAAGGCATACATATGTCAATTGTTTTATATATTTATGTAACAGAAGCAAGCAGCACCCTAAGGAATACAAACCTGGAGGAGATATGGGAAAGCAAAGTCAATCATATTGTTCATCCAAGCCAGTTCAAGTGCAATATCTGCCCGGATCAAATCATAACAAACAAATAGACACGACGCAAAACATTCCTTCTTTCCCTGCATAAGCATGTGGAATGAAATATTAAAATGTATTGATGGTACTCAATTGCATGGACATTAATAAATAATAGGATGGAATATCACCATGCCGAAGGTAAAAAAGTTGGACCATTAGATATGAAATTAAATCACAACCCCTTAGTAAGTGTTGACACTTGATAGTATAACTCTTTAACATCAAACTGGCAGACAATAAATTGTCTCTCTAAGCTTGAAATTATGAAAACAAAAATAACAATTCTAGTTGCCATGATTTCTGACTGGGAACTGCATATGCTATGATGAGCAAGGTAGTTAAAATCAGGATTTTACTTTAAATCGTAAAGGAGAGTGAAAATCGTAAATCGTAAAATCGTAAATTGAATCGTAAGATTTTATAAAATTCATATATATGATATAAATTCATATTATTCATATAAAATATCATAAATTAAGAGAAAAAAGCTTCAAATCAGTAAAAGTACTTAAACAATGTAGCACTCACAAATCATAATTTATTCCATAAGAATGTAATGCATTTACATGAATAAAAGATAGACCAAAACAGAAAAGATGTAAGAACAACAATAGATTTAGTTGCAGACCAGGTTGCACGCACTAGGAGGACTGTTGAATGTTGACAATAATGTTAGGGTTCAAAGCTGCTAGAGGCAAATTAGATTCCATAAAAAGGAGATATATGAAAGAGGCGTACGATAGGATTCAACAAAATAGACTTTGCGAGAAATTTTCAAAATCGAAGTGAAATCGTAAAATCCCACAATTTGAGGGATTTTATGATTCAAATCGGGATTTTACAAGGATTTTACTCAATTAGGATTTTATCCACGATTTAAATCGGTGAGACTTCCAAAATCGTAAAATCGTAAGATTTTAAGATTCAAATCGAGATTTTAACTACCTTGATGATGAGAACCACAAGCACCAATATTCACTAAACAAAGCACGATGACTTAGCATCTTAGTTTTTAAATTAAACAAGTTAAACGAGAATGAGTTAGTCCACTAGTATGTGCTGGGTCATAGTGCCAAAATGAATTATATACAATTGAAATTGAATTTTGTACCTGATCAATGAAATAAACAAGCAACTCCTCAGCAAGTTCACGGTCACCAGACTGCGAAGCAGTCTCCATGGCATCTTTGTAAAGGTTATCCTTCTTTGACAAGGCAATGGACTGCTTCCATCTGCCTGCCTTCTTGTAAATATAAGCAGCAACACGCCTCATCTCGAGAAGCTCGTGCTTTTCAATCTGCATTATAGATGATGATGGCAACGTTAATATAAATCTCTTGGATTCCTATAATTAAATTTAAAAATAGTCAACGTGAAGAATAAATGTAGCCACCTTCTGTGCAAGGCCTATTTGGTCAAAGTTATCATGAAAATCAATTGATTCCCGCAATCTATCATAGTCTTCCTCTTCAACATATATTTCATTCAGGGCTTCATTAACAGCAGACACATTGTTGCTTTGAACTGCAACCATGTATGGCTTGACAAGACGGAGATGGCCAGCCTATAGTACATCACAGGGAAAAGACTCATGAGTGGAACAGATAATAGGTTATAAGGTATAAACTAAAGATCTAACAAAATTGTTGACATTATTAATCCTACCTTTCGCATGATGTCAACAACGCGTGCATGGTCAACACGAAGTGCAAGGACGTTCAGAACATCATTGATAAGATCAGGATGCTCTTCTAAATAGAAGTGAACAGCCTTGTAATACAGCTCCACATTAGCAACTTTAACAACAACATCTTTGAATTGCATGTGATCCCATGCTTCAGGTGAATGGTTCATGATGGTTGTGGCAGCATTATCAAATTCATCATATTGGATGTACAAATAGGTCAGCTCCTTCCAATGCTGTTGTTCATCACAAGCTCTAATGAGTTTTGGAATATTGAGTCGGGTTGCAAATAGTTTGATATGCTCCATAAGCTTCTCAGGACGGTATCTAGCATACAGAACTCCTAACTCAGTGAAGATGCCCATATGTGCCCTCTCTAATCCTAGACCACTCTCCATTAGGGATATTAGCTCATTGAAGCAACCTCTATTTTGGTAATATTCACTGACTTCTTCCAAGTCATCCACCTACAAAATTCACAACAAAAATTGACATATTAATCATTACAAATAACCAAGTAATGTTAACAACCCTTCCAATCATCACAAGCTCAGCATATTTTTATGGATATTATTTCCCCATACATTCTGAAAGATCAAATTACTCTAACTTTCTAAAGTGAAAACAGATAACAACTGAATATAGAAAAACTTTTCAAGTTCATTTCAAAATATAGTCAACTAAAAAAATTAACAAAATCAACATATTACCTGAATAATAATGTTGAGCCCACATATCTGGGCCAAACGGAACTCCTCTGCATCAACACATGCAAAGCAAACTTCCTTCCATGTTTTAGAACTGTTAGCTTTCCTTGCTGCATCAACTGCACCTTGGAACTGTTTCAATTTCACAAGCGTAACTGCTAACTTGGCCCAGTTAGATATAAAAGCAAATATGATTT